TTATACGTACCGTAGCAGGTTATCTACTAATCCTTTAACTATTACAAGTATAGGAGGTCTATATTAGTACGAGGCAATTCCTACTCGACTATAAGCCGCTACTATAGGAGGGTTACCTAGGCGCTAGTATCGAGAGTAACTGCGATCTGTTAGCGGTCTCCTTACGGAGTTTATACCTCGCTAACTGTTTCGATCGCTTCCTCTAATTGTACTAGGATAGGCCCTACCGCTATCGAAGAGGCTACGATAAAGCCTATACTTTTCCCGAGCGGCTAAGCTATTACTTATTAGGGTTGCCGTTCTTTTCTTTATCTTTCTTAGGATAGTCGGGTCGGATATATCCTACCTTATTATAGTAGTAGTATCGGATCTCTTTATCCTTACTATTCGCCGCTAGGGCGCGAGGTTTAGAGTCCCTCGATCGATCTTTATCTTTACCCTTATCTCTATCTTCTCTTCTTAGCCTAGACTTTTCCCTAGGCTTAGATTTTTCCCTTAGCTTAGACCTTCCCCGATCTAGGTTCGCTAGCGACGACGCCGGGCGAGAGCGTTAGGGCTTCTTATCCTTCGTAGCTAGGTTCTTCTTAAGCGTAGTCGCTAGGCGGTATAGCTCCTCCCGATCCTTAGGGATTACGTTATAGTCCGTAACAGCGATACGCAGTTCGGGCCGTAGGCGGGAGAAGTAATAGAAGAGAAGTTAATTAGGAGTATAAGGTTCGATCTATTCTTCTAGAGTCTCTATATAGAGGAGAAAGTTCCTAGAATTTTAACCCTTGCGCTACTTAGTCTTAGCGTACTTCTCGTATACGTCGAGTATATAGGCAATCGGGTTATCTAACTCGTCTAGTAGCTAGTCCGTAAACTATCGCTAGGTACGGTATTCCCGTAGGAGCTCTAGTAGCTTCTTATTACGAAGCTACTATTTCTACTATAGTTCCTTAGAGGTTCCCTCTAGGAACTATATAGCGTAGGTAATCTTAGACCGATCGGAGTCGTAGGTATATAGTACCTAGAGGAAAGCGATCTTATACGCTATATACTATTTATAGTGCTCCTTTAGGCTTTTACCCTTATATATCGGAGAATCCTTAATAGTTCTCTTAGGTAGTAGCCCGTAATCGGTTAAGGAGGCTATCCGCTTACGGCTATCTATATAGGGTCCGCCGGCGGTATATAGTATCGGTAGGAGGCGCGACGAGGACGGGATAGCTTCGGATTCTAAGATAGTAGACCTCGAAGGGTCGGCCTAGCGGCCTATTTCCTTAGTAAGCTTTTCGTTATCTTTCTCGAGATAAGTAAGCTTCTTTAGTAGGAGCCTCCGTTGCTCTGCCTTTACGTCCGTAAACTAGGTTACTAGTTATTCGTCGTCGTCGTCGTTACTTCCCTCTATACCTATTAGTACGCGAGCGTCGCTTATAAAGTCGTTTTCTTCGACTTCCTCGACTCTAGGCGTTCCTTCTAGGAGGGCTCCGCTTATAGTATCGGCCTACGATTCCCTACTACGGAGTTAATCTGCCGGCGACTATTCTCGACTACTCGGCACTTCCGAGAGTAGAGACGATTCGCCTAAGTCGCTAGTAGAGCCTATAGGTAGTATTCTACTATCGCTTAGCTATTAAGTCGCTATACGAGTTGTTCTTTTTAAAGGCATATCGGACCGCTACCCTTAGTAGAAAGGTTTAAAGATTATTATATTAGGATATCGTTAGAAGTAAGGATATACAAAACGAGTATTAGGTTATATAGCAATGTAATAGCCTCTATCCGTAATACTAGAATAATCTTAGGAAATCCGAGAGAGAGGGAAGCGTAGTGCCTCTTTTATCCCTGCCGATAGGGGTAAGCGACGTAGCCTTTATAGGCTTAAGCGACGTAGCCCGCCGGGGGTCCGCCGTCGGACCCTAGTCCGTTAGGAAAAGCTCGGCTTATCGCGACCCCTACGGGAACAGACTAATTCTATTAGCCTACTACCGAGATCTTTATATTATACCCTTACTATAAAGCAAGAAGGTGTAACTATTAAGAAGCCGCCGTATAGTATATTAGCGAAGATGCAGTTATATAAAGAGAAGTAGCAATCTCGCAAACTAAATAGTCTACTTACCGCCTCGAAGGAGCTATAGATACTAGTAGTAAAGGCTCGCTCTACGCTAGTTTATCTACCGCCGCCGCCGCCGGCTATTAACTATATTAAGCTCTTCGAGACTATATTTAACTTAATTAATTAGTAGCTAGGCGTTGCTTCTACCGCTTAGTAAGAAGCTTAGCCTATATAATAATAACAAGAAGAACAAGATTTACCTATTCTAAAGCAGGTTACTTAGTAGCTTAATACTCCGCTAAGAAGTCTACTTAGACAGTTCTTTATATAGGTAGCGATATAGTATAAATAGAAAGAGCTAGAAGACAAAGAATAGCTCTTAAAGATAGAAGCATACTTTATAACTAAACGATATAACTGCGACTAGTTATATTAACTTCCTTTAAGAGAGTAGAAGGAGCTTAGCTTCTATAAAGGTAACCTAGGCACCTTACGTAACTGTTTAAAGCGCTTCTAGAAGGAAAAACTATCTAAGAAGGAGTAAGAAAATAATAATATTTGTAACGGAGCGACGGCCGCTTTTATTAGTTCAGATTTAATAGGCGTTTATATAGTAATAGCGAATTGAATAGCGTTCTATTTACTCCGTTACGTATGTCTCTATTGCCGTCGTTACTTCGAGAAATTCGGTAGTATCGAAAGCTAGTAAGATATATAAAGCTTAGTATACGCACTAACACCTGATTAATTTTGCTATACTAATACTATACTAGTTATATATATAAAAATCGCAGCGGAGCTTTAGATACACGTTATCTTAATGTCCTATAGATACTAAGATATATTATCGATGTTGTAGTAGTTAAATCTAAAGCGACTAAAGGTTGCTAGTAAGCTAGCTTTCCTCGTTAGTCTCGAAGCCGTATACGTTATAGCCGCTATGTTTGAATAACCCTATAACGTCTATATTGCTAATATAACTAAGAGCCTATATAAGGAAGTCGTAGAAGGTCTTAAAATCTTCTATAAGATCTTTGTTCTTCTTAATCTACTTCTTTAGTATAGCGAAGGTCTGTTTAATAGGATTTAAGTCCGGCGAGTATAGTAGTAGATACTTAAGGGTATGTCTAGCTAAGCGGATTATCTCCTCGACCTTCTAGCTATAGTAGATTAAAGTATTGTCTATTATAATAATTATATTATCGTTAAGAAGAGGTAGTACTTTATTCTTAATCTAATCGTTAAATGTAACCTAGTTAACCGCGCCTTAGATATAGAGAGTGTAAGGCAAGTATCTATAGATTATAAGTGCTAGAAGTACCGATATTCGCTCTTACCGTTACGTATACTAATAGTCGTAGCAATCGATACCCTTTAGAGACTATCTATATTTGCGGTATCTAGTCTTCTTATTAGAGGCAGTCTTATCGATAAATACTAACTTATCTATAGGCTATTTCTAGCTCTTTGTATACTAGGCCGCTCTTGCTAGCGTACTACGTTCTTTAGCAACTTTACGAGTAGCCTTACGACTCTAACCGAGTCTATATAGGTAGCGCTATACCGTAGAAGGATCTAATTTAATATTAAACTAGTCGTATAGCGTAGTATACATTTCCTCGAGATATATCTCCGGCCTTACTAATAAGTACTTAAGTAGGAAGATTTCTATCTCCTTCGTTATCCTCCTCTTACGACTCGATTTAAACCTCTCTAAAGGTAGGAATACCTTACTAAATAGGCTATAGTAGCACTTCTAACAATATACGGTCGACTAGCTCGTATCTATCTTTACTATTATTTTAATTACCTCGTAACCGCTATCGAAGTATTCTTTAGCGAGTTAAATCGTATACTTAGGTAGGGCGGTAGGAAGGGCTCGGGCAGCGTAGAAAAGCTAGAATAGATAAAGTAACAATAATAATAATACCTTAAACTGCATATTTAACGGCTATACTAACAACATGTATTTTATCGTATTTAAGGCTATAATCGCGCAAGAATAGGAAGAAATAGGCGATTTGCTAGTAAATTCTTAGTAGGGTTTCCTAAGTCTTAGCATTCTCAACCTTCCGGTAAAACACAGTACTATACGATACTGCTCGTAGCCGCGGAAGGCTAATCCGAGCAGAGACAAAACGTCCGTCTAAAAACGTAGCGCAGCACGTTATACAGCCTTTATGTAGGGCATAACTACGAGTTGTGTCGAGTTCGATTAGTCTTAGAGATATTGTATATAATAGTATAGCCGTAAACATTACCGTTATTATACGGTGAATACAGACTACCTTAGCGCGTGTCTTATAAACACGTAGGTAAATATAAGATTAGTAATAATCACTTAGATAAGTAGCTAGAATGGCTGGAATAGCTAGAATAGCTAGTTTGCCGCCCTAGCTAGGTTCTCGAGGTACTAGCGCTATAGAGATTTTTTTATGCCCCGGTCCGTACTACCTCGAGGGCGTGTTTGTTCGCGTTCTTTCGTATTAGTATCGCGAATGTGAGCGATCTATATACAAATGTAATAGTTAAAGAAAAGGCTATACTAAAGGAGGTATTTAAGCTATAAGGCGACTTTGAATATACTCGCAATAGCGGCGACAATATAGACGAAGATAGCGGCAACAACGCTGTCGACCTTACTGCCGACAGTAACAGCTAGTAGGGCTGTTATCTATACTAAGATTGTTACTATATACCTTCTATATGTCTTATTTCCTTTATTGTTCTACTTTATATAGGATACGCTATAATAACTAGATCTACTTGCTAACCAATCTGTGTCTCGTATATGTTCATATAGTGAACACCGTGTTCATAAGCCCGGAAATTAAATACACCGTGAGTCTACATCTCTAATCAGTCTCAATGCAAAACGGGTCTTGCCGTGGCCAGACATTGGTGGAACTGCTGGTACTTCACCCTCAGGCGAGAACGGCTTCTCCGCAGCCGCCTCCACATGGCAAAGAGTTTGGGTCTAATTCTGTTCTATCCCCAGGCGTCTCCGCAAATTCAAAAGTCACGATGTGCTTTAATTCGGCACATATATTTGTCGCCGGATCCACGAGAATACGGCCCCTTCAAGCCTATTCGAAAATCCAAGGTCAAGAGTACCGGGGTGGAGAAGGCCAGTATTCCAGCTGAACGTCCTCTGCGAATAGCAGCCATGGGTCTTTTGGAGAAGTTCCTCCCGAAGGAGGGCAGGTTCGCAGCACTTTTGCTGTATGGTATGGTATTCTGTACATGCTTCAATGGTGAGTTGAACCAGCTGCCGAGTCGCGAAGTTGGTATTGACAGCATATCCAGCATACGACGCTGGTATCATGACTGTGATCTTGGCATGGCATCCTTACTAATTCGATGCAGTGTTTTGCAGTCTGTATCAAACACCTACGCCGTACTCATCGTCGGTCGCCTGATCACCGGTCTTGGATTCGGATCTGTCTATATCGCAACAAATCTTTACGTTGCAGAATGTTCGCCTCGCCTACTCCGTGGAAGCTTTGTTGGTACTGTCTCACAGTTCGGCTACCAGCTCGGAACTCTGATCGCCTTTTGGACTGGCTATGGAATGAGCTTCCACACTCACCACTACAATATCGCCTGGAGAGTGTCCAACGTCATCCAGATCCCGATCGGCTTGATGTTCATCGTCGTTAGCTTCTGGTATATCGAAAGCCCCCGATGGCTGCTCGAGAAACACTCGGAAGTCCCAGAGAGATCTCTGCAAGCCTTGGCAAGACTCAGGTCTGCGAGTCCGACAGACGAGCGTGTTCGAAACGAGTTCCACGAGATGGTTGCATCACATGAGTACCGCAGGAATTATGACACTGGATACATGGGAATTTTCAAAAGTGCAGCAATGCGCAAGCGTCTCGCCTACGGCTTCTACGCCATGTATCTGCAGCAATTCGGAGGCATTGCAGCATTGACCATGTACGCGACTCTGATCTACCAGTCACTTGGCTGGGATAAGGGCAGCCAAGCGTTGGCTATCAACGGCATTCAAGCCGTTCTACAACTCTTCATCGTCTTGATCAACACGTTCACCGTCGACAGGTTCGGACGTAAGCAGCTACTCATTGCCGGCTTCGCTATTCAGTCGACCGCTCTCCTCATCTTGTCCAGCTTGACTACGGCCTTCCCACGCAACAACAACAACAAGGCAGCGGCTGTAGTCGAGGTTGCCATGTTCTTCATCGTTGGCCTTACATACTGTTGGTCAAATGGTCCAGTCACACCCGCAATCGCTTCGAAGATCTTTCCACAACATGTCCGCGATAAGGCATTCGGATTGTCTGCACTGGGCCAGAGTATCTGTCTGATTGCTTTGACTCAGCCTTGGCCGCGCTTCAACGATGAGGTCGGCCCCAAATCCTATTGGCTTCTATTTTCGCTCAACGTTGTAGCAATTGGAAAGGCTGAGGATGCTAAAGCCGTCCATGCCATGGAGGGCGAGACTGTTGCTCGCACTGGATCTGTGGACGTAGAGAAGGAGAGCGCTGTCAACCACATCGGGATCCACCCAAAAGCCTAGGACTGGAGGGCAAAAGAGAGAAAGGGACACCACGATACCAGTAGCAGTACAGTACAAAACAACGTTAAAGTCTACATGCACCACATCTTGCAGTCACTCTTGTCATCCAATGCACGCCAGCGTATCCTAATGGTCAAAGTGTCATCGTCTCAACAACGCATTTTGTGGTCGAGCACGAAGCTGGAACAATGTCTTTCTTCGTTCAAGACAAAGCATTCACATTCACAACAAAGCAAAAGCGCAGTATGGAGTGAATTGAGACAAAGAAGCGTCCCGAATACGAAGAGCTATTTCAACAACCCTCACCACACAACCACTCTTTCCTTTCCCACCACATACCTACAGAATTTCGTCGATCAACCATGTCGCCACCAGGCCTGCAGACAGGCTCAGCAATGTCGACAGACACCACGAAACAAACCTTCCTAGAAACCAACCACATCGTCCGCGAACTGGCATCGGGAATGTTCGGCACAGTCTACATTTCCATCCCCAAAGCCATCACGGAAAACATACTATCAAACGCCACCACCACCACATCACTGTACTCAAATCTCCGCCAAAACCTCCAAGTGGTCAAGATTTCAAAGTCGGTCGACATGACCCGCGAAATCTCCCTCCTCAAAGCCTTCAAGGTAAAAACCCCATCCTCCTCAGCATTCACCCTCCCTAACTTACTCGCTTCAGATCCCTCCCAACCACCCCTCTGGCTAACCCTCACCTACCTAAACGGCGGAACGCTGCACGATCTGCTTGACCACTGCTACCAAAACCCAACCCTCCGCATCCCAACCTCGCTCCTCTGGCACTGGATTTCCCAAATAGCCCAGACCCTCTTATTCCTGCATCTCGGCCTCACAATCATCATGGCCGAAGACGACGCGAAAACCCCTCCCCGCCTCGTGTCCGACGACTCCTGGACCCCAACAATCCACAACGACATCCACTACGAAAACCTAATCTTCAACCTCCCCTTACCCAACAACGCGAATTCATACCCCGATCTAATCCTCTCGGACTTCGGCAACTCAAAAAAACATTCCACAGACCCATCGCCCGGCCTCGCGATCCCCTGGAAAACCCACAAAGAGAAACAAATCGGTGATATTTTATGCGAGCTCGAACAGTTGGCCAACAAAGTCGAGGACAAAGATGAAGTTTTGGGGGAGTTGTTTGATCAGACCCCGAAGTTTCGTGATGATGATGATGATGATGCTGAATTGGAGTTTTTTGAGAAGATGATTGGGACTGCGGAGAGGAGGAAGAAGGAGTTGTGGAAGGAACTACCCGACGGATTGAAGGAGTATTTTGAAGGGAAGGGGGTTGGGGATGAGGAGTTGCAGAAGTTTGTGGAAGAGGTGAGGGGGGAGAAGGGTGCGAGGAGTAAGGCTTCTCCTTCTTCTTCTTCTTCTTCTGAGGTTCAAGATGGAAAGACTGCGGGTTGCGGTTGTGTGGCCTTGTAGATCGGTGGAAGCTAGCAAAATCTGCCTGTGTTGCCTGGATCATCAGCAATCAATGATTGTCGAAGATCAGCGAGGCAGTGTGAGTAGTTTGAGAGGAAAAGAAAGATCGATTCAATCTATGTCCATACGCTTGTGTCCCTATCATCATCCAAACCACATCCTCACTGATGAAGGTCATGGTGCGGAGTCAACCTGATGCTAAACAACTCCCCCGCCCAATAAAGGCGCAAAGCACGCAGAATGTCGCGCCCGTAGGTATCATCGCAGGAGAATTCCACAATTTGTCCACCACCAACCAGCCGAGTGATGCTGCAGTCCGCGCCGTAAATGCACTGTTGTCGCTTTGTCTGCTTTTCTTAATTCTTTTTCTTCGTCCAGCTTTCCCATGACGGTCCCTGCCCGGTAGAGTGGAGTGAATTGTACGTCGATCCCACCTCATAGCCAGCCGCGCTTTTCGACCTGCTCTTCGCAAACGTGAAAAGAAAATGACGGACATCGTATCTTCGTTGCTTCGTGCGGCCGTTAATCATTGGCTTCAGCCAATTGAATAATGAGCCTGCTTGCGACATCCAGGAATGGGAAGGGACTGGTAATGTCTTTCTCTTCCTGCGATCGTCCGGCGCCGACCAGTTCTTCGCCGTGTTCGTCGATGTCAATGTCATCCGACGTGTATCCGTCTGGCAAGTTGTCGGTTCTCACAACATCGCTTTCGTTGCTGCCAGTGACTTCGCGAGCGAATCGGCGCACAAGTCTCTCATAACCAGCACATTTGAAGTCAACTAGGAAGAAGTCCTTCTCAATGCTATACAATTGAATAGTGACGTAAACCCACACGCTTTCCTCTGGCTTGACCTCGCTGCCGGCAGCGTGGCCACTAAATACAGAACCTGGCCGACTCGCAGTGCCACCTGGTCCTGTAGCTGCGATATTTTCGTGGCTGCTGCTGATGCTTGGCACATGGCTGTTGCTGCCAGATCCGTTGGTAGACATTATCATGGCGGCAGCACTGGATCTCCGGCTGTCAGGGTTGAGATCGACTCGCGAGCTGTGGGCCGAGGTAGGATGCGCGACGCCAGGAGGATACATGCCTTCCTTCTTGAATCGTGCCATGATGACCCACGGATCTTCCGGAATGGTGTAGCCCCAGTCGTTCCACTTGCCATATCTCTCGCGACCTCGAGCACCTTCACCATTCTGTCGACGCTTTGCTCGTCGACGTTCTTGCTCCTCGTGCGTAGCATATTCCGGATCGGTACCAGAGCCTGGGTCCGAATCACTATACTCAGGACTATTACTCCGTGTGCGATCAGAGTCTCGTCTCTCCGGGGTGACGTCGCCGCTACCAGCACCTGGCTCTTTCGTCTTCGGTAGCTCCCATTGGGCTCCCATCTTTTGCAGTGCTCGATAAATGGCTAGCATTGCCTCGGCAGGTGAGTTGCGACTTCGAATACCGAACTGCCACTTGGTGGGGCGCTGCTTCTTGGGTCGACCTTCGGGAAACTTGGTCATATCAAGGTCAGGCTTCTCACGATGTAGGTTGGTCGAACTCTTGCTGTGGGGCTTGAGCCGCCGAGCGGTAGCTTCCTGTTCCTCTTTCGTACGCGGCTGCTGCACGTCTTCCTCGCCTTGTGTTGGAGACTGAGTATTGTTGATGTGGCCTCTCATGTACGCCGCATGGTAGTCCGGTAATGAAGACGGCAAGATGGCGATTGTGGATATCGGTGAGCGGGCTTCCATGATCGAGCCCGATCCAGTCGAGCCATGCCGTGGGTGGTCCAAGGGCGATTGTGCCGGCTTGTTACGGGAAAGCATTGGGGACGGAGTCGCACGTGCTTTCGTGGGAGGCGTCATTCCTATGCTGTTGGAGTGGAAGGGGGGTGGTGAATTGGGATATTCCGGCATCAGGCTCTGCAAGGCAGGATTCTGGGCAGTGATGACGTTCTCCCTGACAATCAAATAGGCATCTTTGATAGCGTTGGCCTCATTCTTCTGCAGCGCCTCCTGCACATCGGTTGAATTGTAGCCCATTGTCTTGCCAAGCTTTCCAACAACACTCTGGTGAATCTTCTCTTGAACCACAGCTGGCTTACCAGGGTCAAGTGCTGTAGGATCAATGGCCTTGCTGGGGTCGATACCAGTATCCTGAAACTCTTCAACCGGAGACTGGAGATACTCGGCCAGATCTTCCTTGAACCATTCATTCTGCCGAATGTCGGCAATCGTGATTCTGTTCACTGGATTGACTTGAAGCATGGCCTTAATAAGCCTCGAAGCTCCACTAGAGACATACTGCGGTACTTGGTATTGTCCCTGGGCGATCTTCTTGAAAAGAGCAGGTATGTACTCATCATCGAAGGGTAAACGGCCGACCAGGAGCACGTAGAGAATGACACCGCAACTCCAGACATCGACCTCGGGACCAGCATAGAGCTTGCCACTGATGACTTCAGGCGCGGCATAATTCGGACTACCACAGCTGGTTTTCAAAAAGTTGCCATCGGTCATGATGTTACTGAGTCCAAAGTCAGCGATCTTCACGTTCAATTGGTCATCGAGTAGAAGGTTCTCCGGCTTGAGGTCCCGATGCACGATTTTGTGGCGATGGCAGTATTCGACGGCACATATTATCTGCTGGAAGAAGGTCCTCGCTTTCTTTTCTTGCATCCTTCCGTTTTGGACAATGTAGTCAAAAAGCTCGCCTCCGGCATATTCCAGCACCATGATAATATCCGTGGGCGTCGTTATGACGGTGTAGAGCTTGATGATGTGTGGGTGGCGGAGAAGTTGTAGGTATTGGATCTCGCGCTCGATACGTCCAGCCATATCGCGAGTGACCAGTTTGCGCCTGGATATGATCTTCAAGGCGACCTTCTGTCCACTGACGGCGTGTGTTGCCAGCTTGACCTTGCCAAAAGAGCCTTCACCAAGCGTCTTTACAATGTTATACTGGCCCAGCCTGGTCAATGCCTTGGACTGCTGGTTCATGGGTGGTGCGCGCACGACGGGCGTCCGCGTGTGCGGCGGTTCGCGCGCAGCCTGGACGTCTGTGAGCGGGCGATCATCTTTGCTGCCGCGGCGCTTCTCCGCGGGGGTGGGTGCGATAGAGAGGGCGAGGTCATCGTCGTCGAAGGCAGAGGTCATGGCGGGCGGCCTCGGTGGTGGTGGTGGCCGGTCAGACCGGCACACTCAGGTTGGGGCCAATGCGGAAATGTTGAGTGGTGCGACGCTTGGTGGTCAGATACGGGAGTCACGATGTCGTAATGGTATGGCGAACACGCAGGCAATATGGGCGGTGGGCGGTAGGCGGTGGTGGTGGCGGCGGCGAGGTTGAAGAAGACTGCGGAGGTGGTGGTGAGGGGCGTGCGTTGACAGGTGAGGTGACGAGTGAGGCGTGCAGGGCAAGGGCAAGGCGAGGGAAGGCCAATTCGCAGTGAGGTGAGACCGAATGCGGGCACTCCATCCACACGTGCAGAAACGTCCGGTCTGTGCGCTCACTTTGACTTTGGACAAGCTAACGTTGAGGTGATGTTCGGTCGGTATTCTAATCGTTCCGAGCCAAGACTCGTACCCCCATAACCATACATGTACCTCGTTGGTAGCTTCTGGTGTAATATTGAATATGGAAGCAACAACCAGCCCACTGTGCCCGCTATGCCAAACTCAGAATCACTTGCATTAGCGTGTGGAGCTGGAGGTTCATGTGAAAAAGGCCGAAACGATGAACACCAAGACTGCCACGTGACTCGTGAGGCTCTGCTGGTCGGATCATTCAGTGGAGAAGCCAGTGTTGTACGGATGCAGCACACAGACGCGGCATGGATTGCCTGCTTTCGCAGCTAACGGAACTCTGCATTCGTCATCAAGGAGACCGGCCACACAATTCGCAGAGAATCATAAGAAGCACATCTCCAACAGTGCAGCCCGTCAGTGGCTTCAGCTACGTATATTATATCATCTATACACTGTCCACAATCCATTGCGAGGCTCATCAACCGCTGTGCCATTCCGTGGCCTCACATGTATTGCCCTCAATCATACAGTTCCAGCGGCATAACCCGCTTCTCGATCTCTTTGTACGTGGCTCTTCTAGTTGCTCGAACATCCGACAGAACTACAACCCAAATCAGCACAAGTCACACGCACTTAGTCATAGATTTCCAGAGGTGCTAGCTGGTCTATGTTATAAAGCCAATTACTGCCGCGTTCTTCTTTTTCGAGCCTATGCGATGAGTCAGCAAGGAACATGGCATGAATACTGCTGCCGAAAACATACCAGTCGTAGGGCCAGAGCACGAGATGGCCTTGCACTGCATTGAGCAGCTCCTCGGCTTCCTCACGCCCAAGAACGTCATCTGGCACAGGTCGCGCACTGCTCTTCGTCGTTCCACGTCGTCGCCGCTTTTGCGATGTGCTGTGACCCAGTGCCACGCCACCGCCCTTCTCCGTCTGAGTTGCAGTTGTCTCTGAAGCGTGATTGATGTGATCGCTATATGTCACTGTGCGCTGCCGGGTGACATCATTCTCATCATCCTGCAACGCAGCCTTCTCATCGAGATGGCCGTTGCTGCACGCCGCTTTCTCGCCCGACGCTGTCGCGCCAGGAGTCGCTCTCTCTTCGAGCCCTATCCCATCATCTGCTCTCAGATCGTCTGCTGGTCGCGGCGCATCCTTTTCATCCAACGGCGCCTGATTCGGTGATGGAACCGCAGTAGGTGCGTTCGAAGATACCGACTTGGGCGACACAGGGACGCCACGCCGGCGGGCCTTCTCATTCGACTCTTCAGGATGTGTCATGGCCGATGGCTTGCCTCCAGGTCGCAATTTGTCCATTAATCCGCTGATCATGCCCTTAGACTCTGCTGAGTTCATGGCCTCTAAGCTAGTGCCACCGGTTCCTGGAGGTCCTGACTGCCGTGGCGCGCCTGCTGCACGCTCTGGCTTGCTGATGCCTAAGCCTTGCGATTGCATGAATCGCTCATTGTACTCGTTGAATTTCTGATACCCGGCCCAGTCTAGCACTTCTGAGTCTGGCATGCATCTGAACACTTGACGATAAAGCTTTGTGTTGTTCTCAGCGACTTGATGCCAGATTTCTCGGTAGAACTCAGTCGCTAGAGGATCAGTCATGCAATCTTCGCTGACATGAGGTCGACGAAGCGAGGCCATGAGGTTTCCAGCCGCCTTTCCAGATGAGTGAGATTCATCTCGCTGCAACGGAGGACCTCCTATGTCTGTATCATCGAGATTGGGCAGCTGGGGTAACTGCGATCGCTGTATCAATCCGAGCGGCGCAGTCTCCGTCCTCTCTGTGGGCCAAGGAGGACGAATGGGAAGTCTCTCTTTCAGCTCCTTGCTTTGACTGGTTTGCAGCTCCAATTGCTGATCTTCGAGTTTCTTGATACGCCCAGCGTCTGGTGCGTCCTTTTGGGACAGGATCTCGCGGCCGTGAGAATTGACGAAGGTGTCACGGAAGCCATTATCGCCGGCATCAACGAGCCGTTTCATGTTATCAAAACCGTAGCCATCCACATCGAGATCGCGTTTAGGACCTTTCATCTTGTCATCGGCCCCATCAATGTGCGTCTGGCTTATCGTGTCTGACGACGCCTGAGTGGTACCTGCCCAGCCATTGCCGTTCTCTTCCTTTCGGCCTGCGAATCCTGGAGCCGTCGCCTCGAGATTGAGGGTATTCAGGACCTCCGGTCGCGGCGTTTGCGGTGGCGTTGCGAAATCATCGTGCGCCCGCGTTGGCTCATCGTGGCGATAAATTCTCTCCATTTCGGCATCTTGGTCCTCACGCTCCGTAGCAGCCTGTTCACGCCTGTAGATCGCATCGACATCGAGACCAAGATGCTCTCTCATCAGACGCTTGCGCAGGGTATGGGGGAACTCTCCCACTTGATATGGTCGTCCTGCCATTCGGCCCGCCAGCATGCACGTATCGGTCACAACGGCCGCGACTTCGGAATCTCTGCTTCCAAGCATAGAACGCTCGTTGATGTTCGCAGAACCGATAATGGCCGACCTATCATCAACAATCATGCACTTGGCATGTATGTATAGCTGCTCAGTTGTTAAGCACTTACGAGGACCAATCTTGCCCCACTGTCGCAAAGAATAGAAGCGGACATAGTCCTCCGGATCAATGCCAGCGGCTCGCAAGCGCCCGAAAATTGAATGCTCACCACGGCAAATGCTGCGGAATTGGCACATCATGATCAGTCGCACACTTGTACCGTCCTGAGCATCCACGCTGTTCTGAAAGCCTGGCATAAGAGGAATGAGCAGACATGCTTGCCACTGCTCGCCGTTTTGGTGCGCTCGAATGGCTCGTTCCACGATTGCGTCGCCTATCTTGTTGTGTATCGTCGTTCCTTCGGCAACAGTGCTGGAAACGTAGAACTGATTCTCGATGTATACGAAGTGATCAGAATTCTGGATGAGAGAACAGTATGCGTTCATGATGCTGTGCTCGACCTTGTTACGGTAGCCGATGGACCACGGCGCGGATGACCGCAGGATCTGGACCTGGCAAGTGCCTGTCATGCCTAGATCTTCCAACTCAGACTGATCATACTCAGGAGGTGGCATGAGAACCGGAGTCGGTCTCGTTGGTACACGAGATCTCAAGACATAATTCCAGCGCTGAACGAAATGTCGACCTACATCTCGAGCAGGTTGGCCGACGAGTTGCATAGCAATGTCGTGCCACGGCATCCTTGGTACCTTAGTCCGATCATACATTTCTTCATAAGGCCGATCCAGTTGATAGAAGTCCTGCACCCTCGGATTCGAGTAGTCTTTCCCTGGCCACACCTGGCAGTGTTCGGAATCACGAGGAACATCGTGATCCAGCTCGAAGCCGGTAGGTTTGTCGTCAGTAAGTGAGTGGCATGGATCATCCCAACGCCCAAAACAAAGGTCGACACCTCCAACAAATGCCACCATGTTGTCAACTACGACAAGTTTCTCGTGGTGTGCCCAGAAGAACTGGTTCTGCCGGAATTGATTTGGTGAGCGCTGGACAATGATGTTCTCGTGGAGATCAAGAAGACTCCACTTCGTGTATTCCGAGTCAATGGGGATGGCAGACTCAATGTTGCGGTAGACAATGACGAAGATCTTGACGCCTTCTTCGGCTTTCCTTTGGAGCAGCCGATCTAGACGCCACTTTTGACTGATCGCTGCTGGCCGCCGCATGTAAAGCTCAGGACTTAGCCACCAGTCGTGAATGTACACAAAGTCCTTGGCGTTATCGATGGCACGAGACACCTGCCACATGTGGTCTCTGCCGTCAACAAGCCAACGTGCCCAGACGTCATTGCGTACAGGAGCGAAGCTACCGAAGCGCTGCTTCTGCGACCATATCGTCTGCTCTTTCATCTGGGTTAGGGATTCGCGGAATTGAAGGAATTGCTTCTCGTTTCTCGCGTACAGCTTCATCTTACGCTCGGCGTTGTATAGTTGTATTAGATGTGCCTTCTTGCTAGGCGTGGCATTTTCCGTGGCAACTTTCGCCATGTCCTGAGCAGTCTTTTGATCGAGTACCTTCTGCTTTGGCTTGTCGAGGGCAAAGTCAGAGTCGACCAGAAAGACATCGTACGGGACTAGCGACTCGGGACCGTCGACACAGACGAGGTAGCTGTGCCGTACGAGGAACCATCGTCGCTTGTGACGTTCTTTGATGGCGTGAGGGCCTAAAGTGCGTATATTGTTGCGTCGAATCTCTCTATGCCGCCGAGAGGCAATCTGCAAAAGACCTTGCTTGCCTTGGTAGCCACTTTCTGCCGCAAGACGAATTGCCATCGCCGAGACCTCCAGAAATTTGCACAGCCGCGTGCTGTCTGGACGGAAAATAAGCCACCGGATCATCTGCTGTAAGTAGATCTCAAGCTTCTTTCGTGTACGCTCTGCGTAGATCGCTTTTTGCCGAGCATCCATTTCGTCAGGATTCATAGGCCTGGTGCCAATTTCGCTTGTGCTTGCTCTCCTAGGTGGTGCAAAAGAAGACTGCCGCCGTTTGTGTCCTCTTGGTCTTGCACCAGGTGTCGCAGTGCCTTCTTCGTTGACACTATCAAGCCTGCCGGAGTCAGCTACCTCTTGCTCATCCTCTTCATCTTGAATCTTTTCAAGAAGACCTCGTAGTCCACGTGCGTAAGGGATCACCGTTCTAGGGAAATGTGGCATTTTTGCCAGCTTCTTATCTTCTCCTCGCAGATGGACGACTTTGTCGGTGGCGTTCTGACTTTTGTATTTGAGATGAAGGTTCATGAAATCGTTCACTGATCGATAGATCGTCCAATTCATGCGGGCCGGTCCATTTCCGTATTCGAGGTCGACCTTGTATATGTAGTCACGGTCACCTTTCTTGTCTGTACGCGGTTGCACATCAGGAATAGTGATCTTGAGCTGTTCGAGTAGGACTGGCACTTTCTTATGGTGATGCTCATCACGCTGGAACATGCTGGCGAAGATGAGAGCAGCTGGAGCACCAGCTATCAGCTCAGCCATCAATTGGGCCGATTTTTGGTGGTCGATCTTCGCACGTTCATCCTTCTTGCGCTGACCAAAAGTCCGCACCATAGACTTGACCTGGCGCCACTTTTGAACACTCGTGCTATTGTGCCGGTCTGCACGTTGCCGAAATGGCGAAATGCCGTCACCTGCACCAAAGCCGGTCAGGCGGCGCAAATTGCCAGGCCTTCTCTGTTCGGAAGCCTCGCCTTCGCCATCAACCTGTCTTCGAGGAGCATAGCTCAGAGCACGAGCACCCTCTATACCTCGTCGCCAAGCACGCCTCACACGATCCCTGCCCTCGTCTTCAGAGACACCCGCACGGTCTCCAGGCTCGTGTTCGGTGTCAGACACATCCGTCAGAGTGCCTCGCCGCGATTGGGTTTGTGCAGATCGATCGTTGTTGCCAGGTGTGGAATTGTCTCGCATGTGCTCTCTCACGAAGGACGCGAATCGAGAGGCTCGAGGAGTGGTCGGTAGAGACTCTGAAGCACCTGCAGCAGGTCGTTTCCGTCTTCTCCGCTGCTTCTGGCGCGCAGGTCCAGGAGTTTCGGTATCTGAGTCTTCTTGATCACCATCTATGGCGGCCTCGACGGCTTCATCCGGAACAGGATACATGGGCTCGCTGCGCTCTGACTGTGGAGACAAAGTTGCATTGGGAGTCGCATATCCCGGACCACTCCCGCTGCCCAAACCTGCGCCACTGCTCGATGTACGATTGTGTGCCAATGACTTCAGCTTGAGGAAGAACGAGCCTGAACCCTGCCTATCTCGAGGTGTATGTTCTTGCCCGTTCTGCTCTGTGTCTGCATCCTCCCATGTCGTGCTCTTGGCCAGCGGTGTAGGCTGGGTCGGAGTCGAAGCCGACTCGTCGAGGTTCCAGCGCGCGAATTGCACACTCCTCCTGCCTTCCGGCGGCGTGCCTGCGCCTGTTGAAGCTGCTCCATTCGGCCTCTTCCGGGACACGGCATCGCCGCTGCCACTACTGATCTTGGACGTTGCCTCGCTGCTCCCGGGTGGTGTTGCGCTCGGCAGGAGGTCGTTGGTGGTAGGAGAAGGACCAACCGAGCCCGGAGCAGCGGTGAAGGGGAATGCACCCGGCGATGGAGGCGCAAATTGGAGCGAAGGGGGTCGTGGATGGGTGTTTAGTCGTAGCGGAGCTCGGGGAGCCTCCGTCACTGGGTTCGCAACACTGGTGATATCGCTGTTGGTGTGCTCGGTAGCAATCGACCCGCTCGTAGGACTATATGCCTTCGGAATATCGTCATTCTCGTCCTCATTCCTGACCATCACCGCCGAAGCCATAACAGGCGGCACCGGTACTGGCAACGCTGCCTCGGTCTCTGTCTCCTTTCACGCGTTCCACGCCGTATCACCGTCGCGTCGCCTCGTACCACGCTCTTCTCGATGCACTGTCCGCTGGTCTGCCCACACATCATGAACGAGTCTGCCCAGACATTGCCATTACTCGCTTGCTGCAATAAAGCCAAAGCGCCTGCCACGTCCCAGAGGTCCAGTGGCCAGGATGACGGTGATGTGTGGTAGGGGTGTCTGATGCCGCCCAGGATGATGAGCATTGCCTAACTTTATTTAGCAATGCCGAGACCGCGCTAAAACGGCCCCTCATAACACTTAAATTTTAACCAAGGAGATGCGTCTCTCGATCATGCCATTATAGTAACCCGTGCTCTACAGAGTACATACATCGCCTCGTCATTTCTGTCTTGCGACTCTGCTCTTCGTCTGTCTATGCCATCTCTGTTATTATTATACTGTTACTCCCCGGCCTTGCTCATGATACAAGGAACACGCACACCGCTGAAACGCAGAGAAGCAGTCATGACTCTGCGTCGGCGACAAACCATTATTAGAATCTGGACACTCATACCCAACCTCTTCGCGTCACATTACCACCCTGCCATCGGCTGTCCACTTGAAGAATGGATCGGTCGTGGCGCATCGGGTGGATGTGAATAGAGAGGTAATCTCTCGGCCGATGCCGCTTGCTGTTGGCGACTGATGGCCAACAAGCTGGTGCCGTCTGAAGGCTCTTTCGTGATGTATGCTTTCAACATGTGGTGATCCTGCCTCTGCGGGAGCGCAGTGATGCCCTTTGCCATAGGTTGATGGACTTTCGGCGGCTCCGGTAGACGGCTACTGTAGCGAATGGGACTGCCGTCTAAGTCTCGACCAGCTTCAAGGTCGCGAGGTGGTGATTTCTCTGGCGTGGTCGGCCCTTGTGGACTTGACCAACGATTCATCTTCTCCAGCTCGGCAGATAAGGTGTGTTGGCTTTTGCGGTTTGTTCGGCTTGAAGGAACGCTTGACAGAGGCGTGGCGTACACTGTCGAGCTGAATCGCTTGGGCGTGCGCTGCTGGTGCTCATGCACGAGAGAAGGCGCTACGGTTTTGGTGAAAACAGGTTTGATCACTGAGGTTTCACGAGTCAGCATGGCACTCTTGAAGAGTTGGCCCTGATCGCTTACCGGCAACAGAAGCGCACAAGATTCCTAGGTTGATCTCGATGAACGACCATGTACTGATAGGTGCAGCGTCTCTCATGGGCTGTCGCGAGTCGGTGAAGATTTTGATCGAATACATTCTGATGCAACTTGCGAGTGTGCCCAGACCAGCAACCAAGAAAGCAGCCATGATACCGATCTTTTGTGCCCGTGGCCTGGGTATCTTCCAGATGATCGGCATTGGCAAAGCGATCATCACGAGATCAGTGATAATTGTGAAGATATTCGCGGCTACAGTGGCGTCAGCCGCCTTACGTCGTCAATTTGGTTCTGGGAACGACTTACAGTAAAAGAATGCTGTGATGTCGATGCATTTTCCGGGTGTGCTCGGTCTCCAGTATTTCTTCATCGGTATGCATTGCACAGAAAACACGATCACGGTCGTGATGAAGTGCAACACAATGACCGCAAGCAAAGCCAGGCTTGTATACCAGAACCATCCACGGAGCTCATTGCCTAGACAGCATTGTCAGCGTCACCCATGAAAATCGGAAGCGACCTTCGTCGTAGCTTACCCAGCCGTAAATACAGGCACATCAAAGACAGCTTCACAGCAAACACAGTCAGGTAGTAGAAAACCTCTTCGGCGTAGACGGCCTGCGCAGAAAGTATTAGTACCGCTCTGTTTCCTGCCAGCATGAGGACGTAGACCTACCTGAATCGCTCTCTCTGCCCAAAAGAGCGGCACATCTCGCAACTCAAGTCCAACACCCCATCGAACAGAAATGAACGTCGCTATCGTGAAGGCCACCGAAAAAATATATGCAACGAACATGGCATGATCATCGTATCCAGTCTTCCGTCGCCGTTGAACGAGCGTGAGGATTCGACACACAATCGCAAAAGTGCCGAGTATCGTAAAAAGTACGCCTATGACAGTCCAAGTCAGCGTATTTTCCCTTGACGACGTTCATTTCTGGTTCGCTTCGCGCACTCACCAACAGCCACGAGACCTGCTCTCGCCTTCGTAAAAGTCTCCGGATGTCTCACGACCGGAATAGGAGTGATGACAATCTTCTCAGCCAACCAATCTTCGAAATCTGGTAATCCATCTGGATGCGCAAACGCCATCTGGTCGTCAACGTGGCGAGCTATTCTCGAACTTGCGCTTCCAACCACTCCCAGTATGAATACATAAAAGGCAGGAAGGCGGACAAAAGCAGGCAAGTAAGAAAGAGAAAACCCAACCACGAACGATGACGGAACAAAGCTTGCCAACGAGCCCGATGATCGCGCGATGGCGAAAAAAAAAGACGAGATTGAAAGAGAGAGGTGTTATTACTGCAAATACCCCTCTCACGTAAGATCTGGACAGTCCAAGTATCTTATTGCAACTCCATCTAGATTCAGAACTGGAGAACCCTCTTCCATGTCCCATAAGCGCGAGCGACTATCTCCATAATCATCAACGGCAACGTCATGAAACCAACCACATTAGCGTTAGAGTGCTATGGACTGAGGGTGTTGTGTCGCAGGTAAGGATATAAGCCGGGAAGTTGGCTGTTTGAGGTTGCCTTTACGAAAGGGTTCATATCGTATGCACCTTTGACATGCCGGATAGCCGTTGGATCGATGTTCGGGACTGAGGTACGAGGGCATTGGAATCGGCCCCTTGGTGACAGATCATACAGGGTCTTTGAAGGTTGGATTGTTGCGATGCCGTGGATGAGCACTTGAAAGCGATGCCGTCTGCTATCCTCTCGGCTGCGAGCACCCTTCGATTGCGCATACCGAATTTATCCATTCATACTGCTGTTCAGTTTGGCATATTTTTGGTATCTCGGGCATGCGCAAGACCACGAAGTAGCATACATCCCATCCATGTTTCTGCCCAAAAGTGCATGGATACCCTATACTGCCAGCAAGCATTGTCTTAGTGTGATTGAGTTCAAGTGACGACATAGCAGAAAGGACGTCTCTATCAAGGCACCTGTAACGCGCACGTCCCTTGGATGGGCGCAAACGGTGGATCTGTGTGATATATAAAGCAACGAGATCCCAGACAGATTCTAGTTGCATTCTATGCCCACGAGTCGTGGTTGACTTGCTTAAGCGAGAGATCTTCGTCCAAGCGCTCTGGTAGCGTCACCGTCGAGCTTGATTGGAACCCTCGTCATACGTCGGGCGCGCCTTTTGAAGTACAGGGCGGGAAGATTGGGCTCGCAGAGTGTGGTAATGGGGTTGCTTTATCGGAAAGTTTGCAATGCGTCTGATCATAGTCTTGGCAGCTGATGTCTGTTGCTCATGTACGATTTCCGATTTTGGCCATAGTTGTTGAGTACCGACTCTTCCGTCTGATCGCAGGTCCGTACTTGTAGAAAGGATATGGTATCGGTAGCATCGCAATGCAGACGAGGCCAAGCCAGGAAGTGGCCCGTGCGATTCCAAGCCGCTCGTGCATTTGCACGGTGAACTGGTTTCAAAATTAGTTTCAAAGCAGATGCACCACGCGCATGCGCCTACCAGAGGAGAGCAAGCACCAACAGTGTAGCGCATCAAGCCATTTGCTGCCACTGCCGATGCACCGTTCATCCCTAGGGCCGTAGACGTCAACCATGAAGAACGTGGCGCTAAGAAACTGTGCCAAATTTCCCCATGCGAAAGGGATGCCTGCTAGAACGGGCGAAATCCAGTGAAATCACTTGGAGCAGTCCAGTCACATCAAAAGAGATGGTACTGTGTCAAGTCAATTCATGCTTGAAGAACATGTTCGCTCATCTCGCACGTACCCTATGGGCAATCCAATTGCTCCCGCCATATTAACGTACAAGCGCTCTTCTGGCGGCACAGGTCCGTTGCCCTCTGCCAAAGCCTAGTCATGCTCCTTGCAATAGATGAGTCTATCGAAGATGATGGCCGTCGCGGCGGCAATGAGTACGCCACGTCCGAGGGAATGAATGTACGACCGCTCTGCCATGTGTTGAAATGGTGCACCTCCGCATAGGTGGATGGAAATGCTGCAGGGAAGACGACGAGGCCGGCAAAGGTGAAGGAGTTGTAATATCGCAATCAATCGCGTGCACAGAGCAAGTGCGTTCTAGATCTTGCTGCAGAGGAAGCTCGGCGGCTCGGTGTCCACCAAGCTCTACACAATCAGTCTCGCTGACGATGCAAAAGTGGCACCGAATTCGAACGCCTTGGGCGCATGTTGTCTCGCATTTCGTTTCCTTGACCGATCGAGTTCGTGATAACGCCCAGCCTCTCTTGGCGACATGAAGTCAATAAGCCAGCTTGCAGGTACTGGATATAAGGCTTTCAATCTCGCCATTCTCTTGCACGCTCCGACCTTGAAATGTGGCATATGTGGCATGTTGAGCATACGAGACTGAGGTGATCCAGTGAGGCCGAAGACTCGGCACAAACCCTGGAAGCCAAGCAACAAGGATAAGCTTTCTCGCGTGCGCAAGGGTGACTTCATCCCGCGAGCGCGAGGTCCGCTCCTGCCCTTCTCCTCCTCCGTTGCGCGATCAGAGGCGGCAGCTGCAGCAGCGTGAAGCTGGCTGGCGGAGAGAGGACAGACACTGGACGATGCTGCTTCCGCGAGCTCTTGTTCGTCTTCAGCATCTCCTTAGGACATACCACCAAGAAGATTTCTTACAACCACCCGGCTGAGGAATCCGCGGAACCATCTCCATTCAGACATTCTTGAACAGACACAATGGACTGTCTTGGCATTCCTGTCCCTATCTGCATTCAATGCGGCACTGACCAGAATCCATGCCATTTGAAGTGAGCGGAGAGAAAGCCCCAAGGTACCCCGATGCGATGCTATGCTGACAATCGGCCGCATTTAGAGTCGTCGGTCCAACTCTTGGTTTCCTCGTCGGCATCCTCATGGCAGTAAGAGCATGAAGCGAATGTGTGCGAAGATGAAAGCGTTGTGATTGACAACGAACCAGGTCATATGCTGGCCAGCTGCAATTCTATGCTGCTGCTGCGCTACCGAAACAGGAAAAAAGCGAGTCTTGCACGAAGCTGTTGTTTGGACATTGCTAACAAGAGTGTCAGAATGCTTGGTGCTCCCGCAGATACCTCGCAGGCGATAGGTAATGCCATACCGTTCTAAAAAGCATGAGAATCCACGTTTTCGACACAGCAACGCGCCAAGCGCATGCATAACGACGCGTACCGCTAGACCTACGAATGCCGTGCAACAAAGATAGACCTGAGAAGCCCGAGGACGAGCGAGCAATACGCGATATATGAAATAGAGCTTACAGGTTGCGCCGCACTTGCGCTTTCGCGAAGCTGCGTAGAGGAGGCGTCGAGGACTTGGAAAATAGCTATTGGAGGCAAGCCTTTGCATAGGAAGAGCTTATTCACGGTCAAGCTTTGCAATGTCACCATATGCACAAGGCATCGATGCTGGAGCTGGTGACGCGACTAATACGCATGCTTCATGCTTCACTTTCTCTCATACAGCTCTTCTCACCCAGGCATTGACCTCACTTAGTTTTAGCTTTCCGCAGCCTAATCCCCGCCGAAGCTTCAACGGCGTCTTGAAACGGTCAAGCAGCATCAAAACATCACTGGGTATCATCCTCTGCGCCGCGCCACGCCCAACGCACACTCTCGCCTGCTCTGGACCGACCTTGGTCCACATGCGCCATCATGGAGCGCGGCGACCTTTCAGTAGCGCCATTGTCCTACGAAGCCGGTATCGATGACATCAATACATTCTACGCCTCTCCAGAGCCGGAGCCGGTTGACCAGCAGTTGGAAGTTGCCGACACGATGAGCGTGAATCACCACACCCACCACCTCCAGCAAGCGCAGCTGTTGGAGAATCAGCTGGCGGCGGTCACAGACATCGAGAATCTGCCAGAGCAGGCGGTATTCAGCTCCACCCTCGAGTCTTCCGCGAATCCCACTTTCTTTCACGGCGGACTCCCACCCAATCCGTACTCGCCGGTAGAGACGAGCAGCCATTCCAGTCTGATGCGCGAACTGAAACGGAGCACGAGATCGCCCGGCGCTACACAAGCACGATCGGCCTCAGATATCCCAAACAAGAAGACCACCAAAAATCCTCGCTCTGTGAATGACAGCGAAACGCCTGCGAATAGGACGACTGCAAGGGATCTGAACCCAAGTAGTGACAGGAGTCAGCTGCAGGCGGAGATGCGGACAGAAGAAAAGGATGGTGACTGGCCAGTCCAGGATTCGCCGCCTTTGCCCAGGCTGGACCTTCGAGCTGGCACAAAGCTGGACCATTCGCCATTGAGCTCAAGTCGATCACGAGACGGACTGCAGGACCTCGAATATTCAGCTCTCCTGTCTACTGCGAGTAATGCGGCCTTATTGCAATCGCTTAAGCGCAACAGGCAAATGAGCTCGCCTCTCTCCGGTGACGTGTCGCAGCGAAAGAAGGCAAAAGTGACCGCGCTGCTTAGCACAAAGAGCCCTCAAGCTCTTTCCAACACAGAATTGCAATCACTGCAGTGTGCGCTACCGACCGCCGTCACAGCAGGTACTACCACCGTGCCTTCGCGGACTCTCCTGCCACTTCACGGCTCGAATGATCGGCCCACAATGAACACTGAAGATGGCTCCCCCAACACAACAAATGAGCGCAAAGACCCCACTCCTATGGATAGGCCTGCGGCGAAATCGAATGAGCCAAAAAATCGCGAGAAAGGGATTGCGAAGCAAGAAGCTGGCCTACCCTATACCTCTGGAGCTGTTAAGAGGCCTCCAAGGCACTCGCTGAGTGAGCGTGAGCTCAAAGAGCTCGGAGGCATTGTATCGAATGCTGACAAGCAGTCTCCTCGCAAGACTAGGATTCAGCGGACGGTAGAACAAGAGTCGCGACCGAACGCGGTTGCTGCTGCGAAGCGTCGCCACAGTACGAATCCAAAGACGTAACGAAGGCACGACCAAAGCGGTCAACATGAACATGTAAAATAGGTCGAAAGGCTCGTTCCTGGCATGCGATCGGTGAGACTCGGTTGAATGCAGTGCGTGCTTGCAAGGAGCCACGGGTATTGAGCTTGGCTGCTAGGATATCTTGACGAGAGCGATTGGAGGCCAATTAGGCAACTGACGGTAGGTACAAGAAAGCACCTTTCGTTGTCGTTCTGTTGCGGCACTCGGGCAATGGAATCTTTGACTCTGAAGTGTCGTGTGGCCCACCAAAATGCTCACGCTCATGCTTCGGCTAATATACAGGCTTCGGTTCCGGTCGCCGAGGCATTGTTTAATCCCCACTCCCACTGCCGTCTGACATACCACTTCCTTCTATTCGATTCAGGCTTTCACATTTGCTGCACACTTCGTCTTTCATACACTGCATAATCACACTACAGCTGACCGTGTGGCCTGAAATTGCGAGTGCTGGTCCACGTTAGGAGCCCTCTTGCAGCCGATTTTCCTTGAGATCGAAGAACAGCCCAGACGATCACAGTAGCGTTACATAGCCTTCACGGATATGGCTCTGGGTAAACAATGAAGAAAGGAGAAATCAAAAAGAGTACTGACAGTTCAGCAGCAGCCACAGCCGGCCTTCTGGCAGCCGGCGCTTATCTCGATGGCAAATATCAGCTCACTCGGGATGCCAAAGCCTTCCTCAAGCAGAAGCTTGCCGAGAAATCATATGCGGCAGCAGTAGCGGCAGACCGTCTATCACCTTGGTACCTGCTAGCAGAGACATGTGCACGTCAACCCCAGGACCGAGCAATCTGGACCCGTGAGCGAGAATGGACGTACAAAGAGGTTCATGACCAAACTGTTCGATACGCGCAATGGCTACTCGACGAAGGGATCAAGCCTGGTGACCTGGTTGCGATGTACTTGCACAATTCTGCCGAGTTCTTGATGCTCATGTTCGCCACGTTGTGCATAGGTGCTGGTCCGGCGATGATCAACTACAATCTCGAAGGCAAAGCACTGTTGCACTGTTTGGATGTGGCCCAGAGTAAGCTTTTGATCGTCGATATGGATGAAAGTTGCAGAAAGCGAATTGGAGAAAGCCAGGCGGACATCGAGCGAGCCGGGGCGAAGATCGTGATCTTGAACGACGAGCTAAAGACGAACGTCAGCAGGAGGCAGGCTGTCGTGCCGCCAGATGAGTTGAGGAATGGGATGCAGGGCAGCTGGCCTTACGCGCTCATTTATACCAGGTATGTTTTTGATGTGGTTAAGATCATTGCCCAAGAGGCAGACGGCTGATGTGACTCAAGTGGTACAACTGGACTACCAAAAGGATGTCCTTTCACAGTGGCAAGAACGTGGCTGATTGGCTCTCATCTGGAACCTAACTTCGGATGTCAAAAGGGAAAAGACTGCTGGTATTGCCCTATGCCTCTCTATCACGGAACAGGACTCATTACCACTACTGTCAATCTCATGGCGGGCGTTGGATGCGCCATTGTCCCTCGCTTCTCAGTCAAGAACTTCTGGCCCGACGTCCACGACAGTGGCGCGACAGCATTCATCTACGTCGGCGAAACAGCCCGATATCTCTTAGCAGCTCCCACACACCCTCTAGAACGCTCTCACAAACTCCGACTCTGCTACGGAAACGGATTGCGACCCGACGTCTGGCACAAATTCCAAGAACGATTCAACATCCCCGAAGTCGCAGAATTCTTCAACTCCAGCGAAGGCGTCTTCGGGTTAATCGTCTGGGCAAGAAACAAATACAGTAGCGCTTGCGTCGGCCACCATGGACTCATCTTTCGAACCCTCCTCCATAACGTCTACATTCCCGTAGCAGTAGACCCAGAAACCGGAGACATTTGGCGCGACCCCAAAACAGGTTTCGCAAAACGAACCCCGTACACAGTCGGAGGCGAAATCCTAGTCGCCGTTCCCGGCAAAGAAGCTTTTGGAGGTTATTGGAGAAACCAAGCGGCCACAGACAAAAAATTCGCGGTGGATGTCTTCAAAAAGGGAGATCTGTACTACCGTTCCGGCGACGCACTACGAAGGAGTGATGATGGTCATTGGTACTTCCTCGACCGTCTCGGCGACACTTTCCGCTGGAAATCCGAAAACGTGAGCACCGCCGAAGTCGCAGAAGTTCTGGGCCGTTTCCCAGGGATCAGCGAAGCGAATGTCTACGGCGTTATGGTTCCAGGACATGAAGGTCGAGCGGGTTGCGCGGCACTTCACCTCGAAAACTCAAACGACGCAACTCCCGCATTCTTCCGAGATCTCCTCGCACATTGCAAGAAGAATTTGCCGAAATATGCTGTTCCGGTGTTTCTGAGGATCGTGAAGAGTTCGAGTCATATTCATAATCATAAGCAGAATAAGGTGGGATTGAGAAAGGAAGGTGTGGATCCTGAGGCTGTAGGGACGATTGAGAGGAGTGGTGGGGATGATGTGTTTTTATGGTTGGATCCGAAGACGAATAGTTATGAAAGTTTTGGAAAGCCCAGCTGGACGAGTTTGAGTCGTGGTGAGGTTAGATTATGATGAACATGATGGGATGATGCACAGATGTCTCGTGGGAGCGTTTACCTAGATTGGCATGATGTAGACAGACAAAAGTAGAATTGCAAGAGTAGAGTTTCATGCTGAGAAACAGAGTGCACGGTCGCCGCAGCAGCAACCGAGTGTTTGAGTCTGAGGTGCTATTGCGATCTCGTCTATGCGGTGCAGAAACCTGCTATATGTGTTGCAACGAGCTTTGGCCAGATGGTTTAGGCTCGTTGATGTGCCACTCTAGGCTTCTTCTGATACCAAGCCTTTGTACGTCCGATGCAATGCTTTTTCCGTGGGTATCTTTGCTCATCATTCATGATTCATGTTGTGCTTCCTCGGGCACATGCAGTCTGCGGTGGACTGGATGCCGATGCTACCCTTCAATCCTGCAGCTGCCGGGCCAGACTATTTGCTGCCCCTGGTCAGCTTCCCGAGGATGCTGCTCTTCTTGCTACCAGTACCCTTCGATGTGTTGTCGACATCCATAGCGTCCTCGTATCCATCTTCATCGTCCGCCTGATCTCGCTTCTGTGCGCCTCGAGTGTTATGTCCTGAGCGGCCGCCACCAATCAGAGAGCCTCCACCTCCTGCGCCGGGTTTCTCAGCTGCCTCCTGGACAGCGTTGATCTGCTTCGCTGCAGCCTCGTCTCGTTTGTTCTGTGCCTGGGCATCGGCAAGCACCTTCTGAATGTCCATTTTGAAGCCGGCTAGCACATTATCGCAACGCCCGCTCCAAGCTTCGAGTTCTGCTATCATGGACTGTACACTGCCAGGCGCAAGATCGCGGAGTGGCGCGACAGAGGTGATGACGACGGTCTGTGCAGCTGGGTTGAGCGTTCCTGTGACAAGCCCGCTGTAGATGGCTTCGGTGACAATGTGTTCGAGATCGACTGGGTCATTCAAGTCGAGCCGGCTACATAATGACTGGTAGCTGAGATTCGATGGCGTTGAGGAGGGAGCTGACTTCTCGGCGGCGAATGTGAGAAGCGATAGTAATCTGAGCTTCAGTGCTTGAGCGTCAGAAAGTGGTGGGAGATTGGCGGTTGCTGCTGACCGTCAATATGGATTCGCCATGCTGCTAATAATGTGCTTCCATACTCTTGTAGCTTTCCCAGGTACCCCAGGCAAAGCATTGAAGGAGGGCGAAGAAGGATCCATACTGCTCATGACCGGCGAGAGCTTGCACATTGGGTTGCTGCAACAGCTCGGCGAAAACGTAGGTATTGGCGGCTGAGGTCGCTTGTGTGATCAGATCGGCAGCTGCTCGAGGCGAGTTGGCTGATTTAGCGAGGGCGATGTAGGGCGCGAGGGCGTTGATGGCGCGCGACTGGTCCATACTGGCTGAGTTGCAGTCTCAAATGAGGCAGCTGGAAACTCACGTATATGTGATGCCCGACAGAGCTCTGATTCACATATCGCCATGATGAGTAAGCGCATGACTCGCGTTCCAGAAAGGCCCAGCTGCAACTCCTCGAGACACGCTCTCCTTCCAGACTCATTCTCTTCGATGACTCCCGATCTTGCAACACGTACAGAAGTACAAGACCATGGCTTCTGACCTGTGCCAGATCTGCGAGAAACTCGCTGCCGATGCGATCCGCCAGGACTTCAAGGACTGGAGGCTGGTAGACCATGATGTGAACGCGTCACTCGAACTGGACTTCAAGAACTACGAAGCTGTGGAATGCTCCAGTGAGCAAGCTCTGGCATGATTTGGTAGAGAATTACACCTCACGACAGCTAACCAAATCGACCGATCGGCTTCCTGCTCTACACGGACTTGCTACCAAGTTCCAGCAGTGCACAAATGAGATGTATCTACTCGGTCTATGGTTTTCAAGCCTACACGTCGGTCTGCTGTGGTCTTGCGAGGGCACTAGCAGCCAGGCCCCAGCAGTAAACTCAAGCGTTCCTTCATGGAGCTGGGCTTCACTCGAGACACATGTTAGCTTTACGTTGAAGCTAAACACACATGCGAACGAGAAGACATATGTTCCACGTGTGCGAATTGAGCTTATGCAAGGCAATGCCGCATTGCAGATGGAGGGAGTGTATCAAGCTGGATTCTGTCTAAGAGAGTCGCGAAGCTTCAATCACTGTACCTTCGCCACCCCGACCTCACGGGATCTTTTTGACACTCTCAAAGTCACACTTGATCAGATCGACAGCAACGTACGCAGGGGTGAGGTCGTAGAGAAAGAGTTGTTCTGCGTTCTTATTGGGGAGCGAGCATCGAACATCAAAACAACTGTAAGGTACTTCCTCATAATCGAAGCAGTGTCAAACTCAAATTACGATGTTGATGGAGCAAAGGTCTTCCGAAGAGCTGGTGTTGGTTCGCAAGAAGTCTGGAACTCGCATGGGACTGGTATCCTTGCGTTTCCTGCTGAAGGCCAATCTGGTGCGCCCGTCGAAGGCAGATTGGTGCTTATCTGATCAGTTCCTTTGAGCTGATAGGGTTGAGACGGTCATACAGGAGCAAACTTCATCGTGGTACAGGTCGGGATATCCTACCTCGTCATCGGTGTCACGCAAACATTCGCGACAAGCAACAGCCGAAAATAGAAGGATGCTCGATGCTCGCCTTTGTGAAACATCACACAAGCTTCCCCTCAGGCTGTACCACTGCGTAATGATGCTCGTGCGGCAGAGATCACGGCCAACAGCATACTTTGATACCAACAGCCTCGAGCGGTGTGCCACAGTCACAATAATGCTGCTAAGATTTTCGCAGGCCTGGGGATGTCTTTCATTCCTGTCGGCACCAGATTGAGATTTTGAATGTGAATAGAACAAGCAAGATGGCGTCTGTCACGCCAACGATGACACGACTTCTGGTCACTACTGATTCAGCAAAAATGGCGGCAACCATCACCCAAGTAGGCGAGGTTCCACTCTCACAACTCGCGTGGTCGCGATTCACGTCGTCTGCATGGCAGGAATTCTCGGAGATTCTGCCAACATCAATCCTGAACGAGGCGACGAATATCAAGGATGCTCTTATCATAGCTGAGGCCGCAACCGGAGCTGCCAGGTCTTCGATCTGGGAAGCCCTGCCTGAGCAAGTGAGCGCTTATCTATCTAGTGTGTACTGGCTGCAAGACCCCGGACCATCATTCACTACTCAATGGCGCCAGATATCCATCGCAACTCCGACTACATCGCAGTCAGGAAACTCCAACCCGACGGATGTGGGAAATGCTTCGGCCTTTTCGGCGGCACAAGACCGACAGTATCATCGTGTCCTGACAGTAGCAATCGCTCTGCCAATCTGTCTGGTCGCAGTATTCTTGCTCTCAGGCTGCTTTCTCTGGTGGCAGAGACACAGAATCGTGCAACATCTCCATCGCAAATACTTTGGTCCAAAGTTCAATGCTCCACCTCTTGAATATCGCGAAGACAAGCGCTGGTCGGCGGAAAACTCTCCTACCACAGGCACGCCGCTCTCAGATCTGCCAATTCGGGCGTGCGACGGAGGTGAAAGACAGCAGTTCGACTGCGCAAGCCCTGGAAGACGGACGCCCGAGAGTCCACTGCGGGCGATCGGCACCACCAACTTCCCTGGACCCAAACAACACTTGCTTGAGAAGCCACGCTGCATCACTCCCGACACACCATCTGGTCGACGTGAACAGCTGGAAAGCAGAGCTCGGCTCATTCAAGATGCTCATCAGAGAATGAGAGAAGGCAGGATCACACCTGATCTGGATCTCCTTGGTCCAAGGCGAGTCGTCAGCCTGGACCGTGTCCATGAGGAAAGAATGGGGCTCGAGAGGCCATCGTCGCCTACTGGATCTATCAGAGTGGTTGAAGCAGCGCATGTACCTCGCCGCGCGGCATCAGACGCAATTCGATCGAGGCTTGACGAAGTCTTTCAGCCGGACTGGAGGCCCGAGAGTGCGAGTGCGAGTGGGAGTGGGAGTGCGAGTGGGAGTAGGGTAGATGTGATCAGGGAGGTGTGAGGCTTGCGAGCGAGCGTCTTGCCGAGAGTGCAAAAAGGGAGTCTGTAGCCAGCTGTATATCGTAGCGCCCTAGCCAGAACCACTCAAGACAATAGTGCACGCGGACTCACCCGATGATTCTACTACCCACGAATACAAACATTGTTTCCGCAGGCGTTGGCGAGCTGGTCCTCACCTTTTGCCCATGCCGGCGTCACTGCTGCAGTCAAGTGTGATGTGAACGTCAGCATCTTCCTCGTTGCATCTCTTCTGATCCAGATTGAGCTGGCTGTTGCTGTTTCTGTTTCTGTTTCTAGACTGAGGTCGTGCTTGCCTTCATTGTGGTTGCCCGCAGGAGGAGCGTTGCTGCGGAGGCAACCACTGTTGCTGTTCATGAATACATCCACAAATAAAGACTTTGCTTGCTTTGCCCTTTGTTCCACTTCAGCGGGAGCATCGGCACGACCGTTGCAAGCACGGGCCGTTGACGCGCTTTGGAGTATTTAAGCCTCTACACATGCGCCTTCAATCAGCATACGACAACGCCGCCGCCAAGATCGCGCACATGAACCAGCCCTTGGGCGCATCAATCTGGTCCGACTCGGCATCGGTAAGTGGTATCCTTCATTGCCGCATTCTCAATGTGTCGCTCCTGCAGACACAACTGACCTTCTGCAGGGCAACGAGAACGCCCGGCCAACCCAGCCGACTGGCGCCACGCCATCTGCTCCACAGAGCTTCTCCTTCGACACCTCCACTACCAGCAACAACAACAACATCGACACCGCATCGTCGACACCACCTGCTGGCGCCCTCCCGCCGCACGTTCAAGCCAGCCGTCGAGCACCATCGCCAGCGCTTAGCGCCTCCTCTACCACCTCAACTCCTACCGACGCCACCATCGCCGACATGTCGAATACGGCTCGAGGCCCCACGCTGTTCAATCCGCAGCAGGCCAAGCTGCTCAAGTCCGATCCGGACTACTTGGAAACTCGTCGCACCTCAGCTAGGCCTTCTCGCTCTCGTGCCACGGCAGTCGCTAGCTCTCCAGCCCCTTCGTCAGCACCACGGCAGAGCCTCATGGCCAGCTTCAATGCAACACCTAGTCGCGCACCAATGTCCAATGGCCCTTCACAGTGGAATCAGATGCAGAAAGAGGAGCCGCGCGGTCGTGCGACTCAGATCACATCTGCTGCTGCTGCTGCCGCCGCCGCCGTCGCCGCCAACCCACATGACCGTATCAACGAGCACAAGGCGGCCGCTCCAGCTCCAGCCACGCCGCTGTCACAAGCAACTGCTCGTGGTCTTGGTAGCATGGGAGGCGAGGAGGAGGTTCTCAAGGTCGAGAGCACGGTGAACAGCACCAACAGCTCAACCGCTGCCACGCCAGCTGTCAGCTTGCGCGAGCCCACATCGTCTTCGTCCAACTCCGGTGATAAGCTCCTTGACGCTGTAAAGGCTAGATTCCGCGCCATTGGGGAGGATCAGGAGGCGGCTAAGAAGGCTAAGGCCGAGACACCGGCCGCGCCACCGGCTGCACCACTACCGTCGACTTCGTCCCCCGCGCCGGCGCCGGCGCCTGTGTTCTCGACTCCTCTCGCCATCAGCACTGCCAAGCCAGCTGCTGCAGAGCCCTCTGCGGCTGATCGGAAGACCGATCTCATGAACAAGGCTGCTGCAGTCGAGAAGAAGGCCGAGCTGGATGTGCCATCGCTGGCCGCTAAGCCGATCGCTCCGCATGAGCGCAAGAAGGCTGCTGAGGAGAAGCCAACTGAGCCACCGAAAGCCGCGCCGAAGGTTGAGCGAAAGATTCAACCGAAGGTCGAGGCTAAGGCTGAGATCAAGCCTGTGATCAAGACTGAGCCGAAGATTGAGCCTGCCGCTGCCGCTCCCAAGCCGACCAACACGCCGAAGCCTCCCGCAATGCCGACGCCGGCCGCTTCACCTGACTTTGATGCCGACGCAGCATATCAGAAGCGCGTGGGCGAGCTCGTGGCTATAACGAAGCAGAATCCGGCTCGTGCCGCCATGGAGTGGGATTCACTCAATGAGATGAACACCGTCCTCGAGGAGATGGCCGAGGTCCAGCAGGAGAGGGGGGCTCTTGTAGCCAAGCGCATCGAGATGAACGCCAAGATCGATGCCGCTATTGCGCTCAAGGATATGCGTATCGCTGGCTGCTTGAACACATACTCCAGGATCAAAAAGATGCGCAAGGAGGAGGAGGAAGAGGCATTCGCCCAGGAGGGCGGGGCTAAGCTCAATGGCTTGAAGCAGGAGGAGTAGAATTCCCGCTCATTTGGTCCGCATAGAAGTCCGGTTAGGGACGGCATTGGAGGCTCTCCATAGCATGACAGAAGACGGTATAGGCCGATGGTAGCCTGTATTGTGACGAATTGCAACGCATGTGACGCTATTTTGTTGTTCCGCTCCCTCTCATGTTATGTTCCGTGCCTCTTGTAGCGAATCCAGTGAAAGTCGAGAGTGCGCTGTGCATTGAGATACGTCCATATGAGCTTCCAATATACACGCAGATGTCACTCTGAAAAGCCTGGAAGGCGATGAAGCTCCCTTGACCGATGGGTGTGTGCACGTGTAGACTCGGAGTCTTTACGTCGTACAACAGCTGATATCCTCGAGAGCGATCCTTGTGAACTCTCCCAAGTAAGGCCGAGATCGCATTGCGAGCTTTCCGAGCGAGGATTTTTCCATCGGTCATGTTTTTGCATGCGTGTGTAATTGAAGTCTTCAGATTTTATGACAGCTGATGATCTTTGAGATGAATCCATGTAAGAAGATTTTCTGAGAGAGGTCGAGATCACCCTCCAAGTTTCGGATGCGGAAATTTTTCGTCGATGAAGATTGATGTATGGATATAGACTCGTAGACCTCGAACTTGGTCGTAACTAGGTAGGATATTGGAATGGCTGTGATATGCGTGTGATGGTGGTATGTATGTCGAGATCATGTCCTTGTCTTTGAGGATGTAGATAAGTCCTTGGAATATTTCGAGCAAGGTGTGTAGACTTGTGAGTACTAATATCGAGGATTTCAAGAAACGGTGGTGTACATGCGTAGAGATTCGCCTCGCAGGTCTTAGTGGTGCAGACGATCCCCTGATGCGTATATCCAGCCTTCCTTGCATATTGCATCCGTGGTTTTTCTCTCTACGAATTTAAAGATGGATTCCGACAGGCATACCAAGAAGGCCGTCCGTGGGGCAGATTACCCCGGGTCTTTGAGGCTATAATTTGAGTGAAAATCAGCATGATGGAGAAGCAATTTTACGAGCCATTTTGATGAGCTTCAGATCACCTTGCAAGTCTCATAATTATGGATGCTTCTTCATGTTGTATCGAGAGATGCTTATAGAATGGTGGATAGCGCTGTCGATGACGGCCAGGCGTTTGGAGCAGAGGCGATGTGGAACCCACGACCAGCGACGAGAGTTGCCAGGAGTCAAGATGCCTAGAACGGCATCGAGTGATCGTCAGGGTCGCGAGACCGGATCGAGATGAAATGTCGCGGTTTTGTTGGGCCCTTCGCCTTCTTGCCATTCTCTTCGGTCAAGTGGGTCGCTGAAAGCCGTGCTATTGGCTGTGATGGGGGCGCATCGAGCTTCGTAGTACCGGTGCCTTCACAGCCATCGTCCGAATCTTATATCGGAACTGTGCAGCTGCTCGTCGCTTGGCAGGGCTTGACAGTGCAAGTGGGCGGTGGACGCTCACGGCGTCCTGGCGACGTTGAGCTGAGCATCTCAACGACGGAATCGACTCGGAAGAAGATGCGGCAAATTTGAATCTTTCCTGCAGAAATTGATGGCGGTGGCGGTCATCAGAAGCTGTTAGACATCACGGGCCAGAATCTGTATGCCTCACAAACACGTGGATTCCAGATATGTAGCGACCACGGTGTGCATTCATGTAGTTCTAGCCTGATTCGTGCCTTCGATCGCTGGTTGCGGCAATGTGTTGTGATCTTCATCTTCGTTCATGATTTCTCTCTCGGATCTTCAGTCCAGCCTCCGGGATTCTCTCCGTTCTCGAGTCCATGCTTAGACACTGCATCTTCATATGAGCAAAATTGCAAGATGATCCCCATCACGGATGCTACAAGAGATAGATCGTGTGGAGGGAACGCGAGCAAGTGGTTATGCAGGTGAGGTGAGGTCAATCTGAATCGAGTTCGTCGGCACGGCAGGGGTTACGTGCCGACCCGCCACTTTTTTGGCCCTGCCAAGACTGTCACAGCTAGACTCATACCTCCATATGAGTCTTCAGTGATCTGTCCTGCTTAGCAATCCAACGATTTCGACATCGAACGAGCGTACTCGGGATCGATTGAAGCATTGAAGGCGCATGTTCATCGAGAAGAGCTCACATCCAGCCAGTCGCCCGCAATGGGCTCCATCAACTTTCCGAAGGAGGAAGAACGCATCCTCGCAGACTGGAACACCACGAACGCTTTCCACCGCCAGCTCGAGCTCACCAAAGACCTACCAAAGTATGTCTTCTATGACGGTCCGCCATTCGCCACCGGCACGCCTCATTATGGCCATCTCCTCGCCTCCACCATCAAAGACATTATCCCGCGATACTGGTCTATGCGAGGTCGATATGTAGAGCGTAGATTTGGTTGGGACACGCACGGAGTTCCAATTGAGCAGATCATTGACAAGCAGCTGCAAGAAGAGCTTGGCGTGAGAGGCAAGGCCGCCGTCGACAAGATTGGCATCAAGGAGTACAACAGACGATGCAGAGAGGTCGTCTTGACCTATGCCAACGAATGGCGGAGAGTGGTTGGCCGAGTCGGACGGTGGATCGACTTTGATCGCGACTACAAGACCATGGACCCAACCTTTATGGAGACATGCTGGTGGGTGTTCGCGCAGTTGCACAAGAAGGGCTTGGTGTATCATGGAGCGAGGGTGCTCCCATACTCCACCGCCTTGAACACGCCCTTGTCAAAGAGTGAAGCGCAAGAGGACTATCGTGATGTGCAAGACCCCGCCGTGACTGTCAGCTTTCCAGTGTTGCCAGCCTCGGAACAGCCGGAAGCAGTACGGGCCAAGATCGAGGAGGCATCGAAGGCAGCAGGAGGTGCGGAACTGAGCTTCGTGGCATGGACAACCACACCCTGGACGCTGCCAAGCAATCTCGCACTCTGTGCTAGCCCTGAGTTCCAATACATCATCGTGCGCGATACTCTAACAGATAAGCACTACATAATGCTCGAAGCTGGCCTTAACGTGCTATTCAAGGACCCCAAGAAGAAGGACAAGGACAAGTTCCAGGTGCTGCCGTACAAGATCAAGGGCACCGATCTGGCTGGCTGGAAGTACAAGCCGATGTTCCCATACTTCTACGAGGACTTCAAGGGCACTGCCTTCCGCGTCATTAATGACACCTATGTCAAATATGACGAGGGCGTTGGCATTGTGCATCAGGCACCGTCATTTGGTGAGGATGATTTCAACATCTCGTGGCGCGAGAAGATTTTCACACCGGAGAAGCCGGCACCCAACCCGCTCAACCCAGCTGGAGAATTCACGAGCGAGGTCAAAGACTTTGAAGGCGACCACGTCAAGGCTGCTGACAAGAACATCATCAAGCACATTGAGGGCCTTGGTCGTATGGTACGGAAGTCACAGATTACCCACAGATACCCCTTCTGCCCTCGATCCAAGACACCTCTCATCCAGCGTGCTGTGCCTTCCTGGTTTATCAAGGTTGAGAACATTGTACCAGAATTGCTCGAGAATCTCGAACAGACACATTGGGTGCCATCTTCCGTGAAAACTGGTCGCTTCTACCAATGGCTCGGCGCTGCGAAGGATTGGAACGTGAGCAGAAATCGCTACTGGGGCACTCCATTGCCTCTGTGGGTATCAGACGATTTCAAAGAGGTCGTCTGCGTGTCATCAGTCGCAGAGCTCAAGAAGCTGTCAGGATACGAAGGAGAGATCAAGGACCTTCACAGAGACACCATCGACCAGATCACGATCCCATCACAGCAAGGCAAGGGCACCTTGAAACGCGTGGAAGAAGTCTTCGACTGCTGGTTCGAATCAGGATCCATGCCTTACGCTTCGTCGCACTATCCCTTCTCCTACCCCGGTTACGATGCCTCGGACGCCGCGTCAGGAACCTCACCAAATGATGGTCCTGGCAAGGAGCTCTTCACCAAGTTCCCAGGTGACTTCATTGCTGAGGGTCTGGACCAGACTCGTGGTTGGTTCTACACTCTCTCAGTCCTCGGCACACATCTGTTTGGCACCTTCCCTTACAAGAACTGCGTCGTCAATGGCATCGTGCTTGCAGAAGATGGCAAGAAAATGTCAAAGTCACTCAAGAACTTCCCTGACCCAATGCTTGTTGTCGACCGATATGGCTCTGATGCTCTCCGACTCTATCTCATCGATTCTCCGGTCGTACGTGGCGAGCCTCTTCGCTTCGTTGAACTAGGCGTGAAGCAGATCGTTTCTGGTGTACTATTACCGCTTTGGAACTCATATAACTTCTTCGCTCAGCAAGTTGCTCTGTTCAAGAAGAATACCGCTGAAGATTTCGTCTTCGACCCCGAGATTCAGAAGACCAATCACAACATCATGGACAGATGGATTCTGGCTGCCACACAGTCGCTTATCCAGTTCACGAACCAGGAAATGGAAGGCTATCGCCTGTACACAGTCGTGCCAAGACTTTTGAAGATGATTGACGAGATGACCAACTGGTACATCCGATTCAATCGCGATCGCTTAAAAGGCCAGAGCCCGTCCGCTGGTGCCAAGCCGACTGCAAATGGTGTTCAGGAGAATGGTACTGTCAATGGTGATGAAGAGGAGGGCAGCAAAGCAGACACGCTACATGCACTCAACACACTATACGAGGTGCTCTACACATTAGTGCGAGCGCTTGCGCCATTCATCCCCTTCCTCACCGACAATGTCTTCCAACGACTTGCTCCACACCTGCCAGAATCCATCACTAAGGGTCAAGATGTTCGGAGCGTACACTTTTTCAGATTCCCGACAGTTCGTGAAGAACTCTTTGACACAACAGTGGAACGTCGCTTCCGTCGCATGCAGAAGGTCATCGAACTTGGTCGTCTTGCGCGAGAACGCAGAACAGTCTCGCTTAAGACACCACTCAAGACCTTGGTAGTATTGCATCCCGAGCAGGAATATCTCGACGACGTCCAAAGTCTTGAAAGATACATCACCGAAGAACTGAATGTGCGAGATCTGGTCTTAACCAGCGACGAGAACAAGTACGGCGTTGAGTATTCGGTGTTGGCTGACGTCAAGAACCTTGGACAGAAGTTCAAGAAGGATGCCAAGAAGATCAAGGATGCGTTACCGAAGTTATCTGCGGAAGAGATTCGAAAATTCCTCGACACTGGTAGCATCACTGTCGAGGGACACGAGCTGGTCGAACAAGATCTTCGTGTTCAGCGCAATGTCAAGAAGACAAAGGAGACAGAGAACATCGAAGCTGCCATTGATCCTGATGTGATGGTTCTGCTTGATGCCTTCGCTTACCCAGAGCTTGCGCAAGAAGGTCTTGCTCGAGAGGTGCTGAATCGTATTCAGCGATTACGAAAACGTGCTGGATTGGTCCCCACTGACGACGTCAAAGTCGTGTATACCGTGCTTGCTCCCACAGCCGCTGATGCCGTCGATGGCGCGGTGAGCAATGATGAGAAGACTGCAAATGCTGAAGTCAGCAGACTTGAGCAAGAGCGTGTGGTGGAAGAGATGTTTGAAGGACAGAAGACAACATTCGCAAAGGCTGCAAGCCAGGGCGTGGTTCGCGATGCTGGTGGCAGCAACATTGAGCCCGTTGCGGAGGAGGAGACGGATGTGAAGGACATCAGGCTTCTCCTGAAATTGTTAAAGACATGAGGTAAATGGTTATGGGAAGCATGGGTGATGTATCGGCTTGTAAGCGTGACGACAAGACGCCGACTATTGCGCTGATAGATTACAGATGATCACGGAAGTCCCGCGCAGACATTTGCTATGCTGTGCTGGATTCGCTCAAGTAGCATGAAATATGTCGCCTTTCCGATGCGAAGTCAGTCGTGGCCTTTGATGAAAAAATTTGACATCCTTTCAGACCTTTTGCCTGACTTTTCTGTGCCAAAAAAGTCGATCACGATGCTTCTGCCAAGCGAGTAAGTCCGTCCGGCTTGTGTCTCTCCCGATCAAATTTCAGATCCACGGGCCTCTGGCATATGCATGGAACGCCAGAACCGCACCTCCTTTGCCATCGAGCACCCTAGGATATTGCGGCACAAAGCGAGATCGTGCTCATGCTCGGTGTCCGAAACGCTGCGTGCTGATCGAAATTCCGCGCCGATGACCTGCTTATCTCGGAATGTCACCCACTCCTCCCAGAGCTTCGCGCTAGAGTAAATAGACTCAACGTGACAAAATCATGCACATGGTCAGGCTTGGCATCGGAGAATAAGCAATGCCCTGCTTTCACATGCCTTTTCTCTCACACATGCCAAGCGAGAGCATGCAAGGGCAGTGGAGAGCAGCACAAGAGTGTGTTCGCGCATTTTTCGAAAAAAAGAAATGTCACAGGGCTGCTCACGTAAATGAGCGCGGCACAGGTGTGCTGCCATCTCTACATACTTCGAGTGCTCGTGCCGCTGTGGAGCTTGGTGGAACAGAAGCGATCGGGACATCTACAACAGTCACACGAAGGCTTCGAGCCACACGGGCAAGTCCGGCAGAAGAATAATAATGTGGGGATTGTGCTACGGAGGCGCTCGCCTCTTCTGAAAATCCTTCTGGCCAAGACTCTCTGTCCGAACACTCAGTACAACCAAGCCGTGTCCGCAGACGAGGGTGATTTTGTGGAACGGAGAAGAATTTCCGTGCAATTGAATATGGGTCCTATGGGGCTCAAATGGCAAGAGAAGGTGTCGTCTCAACATGTGATGGACTTTGATTGCACACGAACGACCCCGGACCAGGTCGGTGGGAGTCGTGAGATCGAATTCACATCTCCCTCGATAGCTGCAGACGCTGAAAAGTGGGTCCCAATACCCATGCCGCATGTGATTGTGTCGCTTGATATCACCTTTAGCGCTCTATACACGACACCCTCAGACTTGTCTAACTCGGCGCCGCCGCGTGTATCTGCCAAGTGTAGAGCGCAAGCAACAGACTTTGTACACGAGCACATCTTAATTTATGGATGGCCCGAGACATGTTCTTGGGAAAATATGCAGCCATCTCGTATCGGGAGGTGGATCCTAGCACGCAGGCGGCAGCACTGACATTGTGGTGGTGAGACAGTCCGTTGGGGTTGGTCAGCTTGGCATTGCTTGTTCTTACCTCATCATTTACGCTGGCACATGCATGAGATGTTTGAAAAGCAAATACTAAGAACTGCTCAAGTCATGTCTGGTGGCACAGTCGTGAAATAAGTATGCTATACAAAACCGAAAAAGCTGACCTTAGCGGCCGCCACCATAATCACAACGCTGTCCCGAACAAATAACCCGAAAAAGAATCCCGTACATTCTAGATCCCACGTCCTGCCAATGCCTCGTTCAGGATCCGCTGGAAGTCTTCAATCAGAGGCTCCTTGATCAGACTGATATGCGTGCCGAGGACTTCGTGGAAGCGAACATTCTGATCTTTCACGTAAGACTTCCAACCACTAAGCACGTCGCTCCTCCAGGCCTCCGGTGTCGCCCCGAAGTGTGGCATTGGATCCGCGCAGAAGATATCTGCAGTAGCCACTTGACCTTCGGGGTCGTAATTAGCGGCCATGAGACGCATGCAGTCCTCAACCCGACCGAAAGCTTGCAGACGAGGTACCGTGATGTCCATGCTTTCGATGAACCTGGGCGAGAATTTGTTGAAGAGGAGAGCGTAGAAGTCCTCGTCGCTCAGATCGGCTGTTTCTTCGGCGAAAGCTCTCGCTTCGTCTTCTGTGTACTTTGACACTACTGGCAGGAGGTCAATCATCAAGGAGCGATAGCGTACTTGGCCGATGGTGCTTTTGAGGCTTGGTGGGTTGTCGATGCCACCGCAGAAAAGCACTTGTTCACCTTCAGCCTCGAACCTCTTGGTCAATTCGAAGGCCAAAAGTCCTCCGAAGCAGTAGCCCAGCATCGCATAGGGACCTTTGGGTTGCGTTCGTCGGATGGCTTTGTAGTATGTGTCCAGCAATTCATCCAAGCTGTCGAATGTGCCTTCTCCAGGATGCAAACCCTTGGCTCGCAGTGCGTAAATTGGCCGGTCTGGCAGATACTTCAGAAGACCTATCCAGCAAAGGAACTCTCCCGCACCTGGATGAAGGAGGAATAGAGTTTGCTTTGTGCCTTCCGTTGCCAAAGGTACGATGGGATCATATTCCTGTGATACAGTACCGAGAAGTGTCAGTTCGTGCTCGAGCTCCTCAACCGAGTGGCAGCGTATCAGCATTGGCATCGGGATCTCCTGATGAATTTTGAGTCCCTTCTCCAAGGCCGCCTTCAGTCGCATGAATCCCATTGAGTTGATTCCAGAGGACAATAAACCGTCTTGGCCAAGCAGTTCTTCCGGCGATATGTCTACGATGCCAGCGTAAATCTGGGCGATCTCTTGTTGGAGTGGAGAAAGGTTGTCCAAACTTCGCTCGGGTGCGCTATCGATGGCTTGTCCAGATACCGCATTATCAATGATGTAGTCGCCGAAGAGGCCCTTCTCGAATGATTGCCTCAATTTCGCCCGCGAAAGCTTGCCAATGGTCGACTTGGGAAGCTGAGATTTTGGCAAAGGTATGATGTGTAATGCTTTCTGGGCACAGACACTGAATACCGCCTTGTCGATGGCTCGCAGAGTGGCTCGCAGGTTCTTGGGTCCGATGGCATCCTCAGTCGGATTGAACAGGACCACTGGCGCCTCTGAGTCCCTTTCCTGATCCCATGTAGAAAACACAGCTGTGAAAGATGGGGTCAAGCCGGCAATGTTGCTGCTCTCGATAGCGTATTCGAGCTCGAATGAAGAGTAATTATTGCCGTTGAGGATCAGCACTTCTTTCGCTCTACCGAGGAGTTGTAGATTGCCATTCTCATCAAAGCGTCCAATGTCTCCAGTATTCATCCAGTTGTCTTCGGTCATGCATGCAGAGGTGGCAGCCTCGTTGTTGTGATATCCCATGAAGATTACCGGGCCGCGTAGGTGAATTACGCCTTCTTGTTCACTTTCTGCGTCGTCGAATGTTGGCACGATCTTGCATTCCAGTCCCGGTAGTGGTTTGCCAACAGAGGCGAAAGTGTTGGAGTTCGCAACATCGTAGTCTGGACTTTCCAAGTTGTAGAAACAAGCTGAACAAGTTTCGCTCAGACCATATGCGGCCTTGATGCTATGTGGAGGAGCACCGTACTGCTTGAGCACCTCGTCCACAGCTGCCAAAGTCTTCGTTCGGTTGGCTTCTCCACCGCACATGATTGTTGACAGATTGCTAAGATCGAGACTCAGAGCGTCGCTTCCTTGTTTTGAGAAAGATTCTGCTGCAGCTGCGAGGAAGAAATTCGGTGAAAAGGTATACCCAATCTTGTTGTCGGACAACACTTGGAAGAATCGCCAAGGCTCAGAGACGAGCTCTGTGGTTGGCACAAAGACTTGGTCGTCTCCATTGAATATCGCATGGAGATGAACCTCGCAAAAGCAGGCTGAGTGGTCGAATGAGACCCAGGACATGAATGCCCTACCCTTCGTGGAGAGATAAGCGGATTTGGCTCGCACAGATTCGATCAGCTGGGCATGAGAGAATTTCACAGCTTTGGAGTGTCCAGTACTCCCCGATGTGAAGAGGATCGCCGCGATGTCATGGGAATCAATCGGATTTGGCTCTGTCGGCGATGAGAGCCCACTGTCTTGACGGCGGCCAAGACCTTCCACTGACACTACATTGAGCTTTCGAGAGGCGATGATAGATGATAGCTTGTGCGAAGTGAGAATCGGTGTTGATCCAAATAATGCCCGAAGATTGTCAAGCTGGCCTAGAAACAGTCAGTGAGCCATCAATCTCTTCGCGTCGTTTTGGAAAGCCTTACCTGCGGCAGTTTTTGGTTCGTTGGACACTGGGTTGAGCACAGCACATACACCGCCCGCGGCGACCACAGACCAAAACCAGAGCACATTGTCTGAGTGAGTGTCGAAATATGTGATGACAGTGCTTCCATTCTTTACGACTCCAGCTTCCAGTAGTCGAGAGGCATTGTCCTGTTTGATCAGTAAAGCTTGTGAATCAACGAGGGAGATATAATACCTTGGCTCGTTGATAGAGTTGAGCATACAGCACAAAGCTCGCTGATTCGTTCAATCCTTTGTCAAGATATCGAATTCCAGTGCCCGAGCCACTCTCAGCCGCTCTCTGAAGTAAGTCCAATATGTGCTTTGGGGTTGACTGAGGGGGCATCGCGATTGCTTTGATGGTGAAGTGAGTGGTGTCAAGGAAAAAGTTTGATCGTGTACAACAGCTTTTAACGCAAGTGACCGCGCCTAGCCATTCCGTTCGTGAACCAATTGAGCCGATCTGCCTAGAGTCTCGGACAAGGCTCGTAAGCCAAGCACGGGGAGCATTTGAGGTCATAGCAAGCGCAAGCCGGGGGGCCACGCGCTGGTAGATCGCAGACCGGTCGGTTCAATGGCCGCTTGCAGGGCTTCCTGCGCGTCCGGACGGCGTGGCTCGCGCAAGGTGTAGAATCGTTAGACTTCGGATGACCGACCCGCAGCTAGCTAGGCACCTGGATCAGGCTGATAGTCACCAAAGTCTGATCGACGTCACGTCGCCGTGGAACGCGTAAGGTGGTGCCGTTGCCAGCGGGAGAAATGCTTCGTCGTTAAAGTGTTTCAAGACATCGGAGATAAAATGGGCTTGACCGCACCGGGAGATTGTCGTCACATCTTATCTGTCGAGACCACCATCTCGACATGGTGGTACGCGTAACATGGGTGCTGGAAAGGCGTGTAAGGGTGGGTGTGCATCACACCTTGTGGTAGCCCGTAGCCCGAGAATCTCGGAGAACGACAAACATTGTCCGAATTACCAGCTGAAGCGGATATTTGCAGCGAGGGAATGGAGCATTCTCGTATCCTTCGTTTCGGTATTCGATTGAGTTGGATGGTCGATCAACGAAGGTGTGAATAAAGATCCGGCGGCGTTGACTGCGAAGTGCTTGTATGAGCGCCAAGTAGAATATAATAAGCAGGCACAGTGACAAGGGTCTTGCAAGAGTACGTACCCAGTACGCGCGCCTTGACCAAGTACGCAATAGCGTTGCAGATTGTGGCCCAGATAGGTATGGTGCAGGCTGCGAACCAGCCAACCATACCGGCTAGGGATAAATGGCTTGATACTCAAGCCGAATCGGTCCTTGTACGAGTGCGAAAGGGACTACATGCAATTCGTACGGTATCTACGTAGCAGTTGCATTGGGAGCGCGGCTCGTCATTAGCGTCACACGTTCCATCACTTGTCCGACGAAGTGCATGTGAAACATGAAAAATCCGTTGATCCGATGAGATAACATCATGCATGGTGTATGCTTCAGACTCCAATCTTTCTGTACTGAGCATCCGAAGTCTTTGTATGTGCGGAGGTAAATGAGGATGGGCTAGTCTGGTTGGCATCTTCCATGCCGCAGATCTTCCATGAGTTCAGTCACCTCGCCGGCGTGCCCGAGTCAGCACTCCATCTGCATCGGGGGTATTTTCGTCGGTGGCGTATGGAGCCCTCCATGTCATTGTCGAATCAAGGGCCTTTGAAGAATCAATATTGTAGACGCGAGATCAATATGACCTCCCGTGCAAATTGGTCAGTCCGTCAGACAACCACAGTTTGATAATTTTTCCTTTCCTCGTCGTTGTATTGAATCCATCAACGATGAATCCATCCACTTGCAATGTACTTGTATACGGAGGTGGTGGTAAGTGAATGGATCGATCGATGGAGAAATTGCGCAGGCTAACACTTTTGTAGCCGTTGGAGCAATATTTGGATGGAGGATCGCACAGCAAAGCCATGCTCGAGTGTCGGTGGTCTGTCGCAGCAATTGGAATAGTGTCTCCAGCAACGGCTATTACCTACGCACATCGACATGGGGAAATGGACGATTCATGCCGCGTCAAGTCATCCAAGCAGGCGCCATAGCCAAGCTTACAAACAAGCATCGATTCGATTACATCGTCTGTGCCAACAAAGTCACCGATGGTTATGCTTCAGCCCTCCAGGACTTGCGATTGCTTGTGCGGCCAGACACAACTCTGGTCGCTGCGCAAAATGGTATGGACGTCGAAGTTCCCTTGAGGAGAGCCTTCCCAGACAATACCGTCCTCAGCGCCATTTGCAACGTGGGTTGTGCGCAAATCCGTCCTGGATATATCGAACAGACTGCAGCTATCAAGCGCCCTGCTTTCCTGATTGGCGTGCACAGCCCGAGTAGCAGAGGCCACAGAGTCGATACTTCCCGACGAGATGCATTGGCCGCGATGGATCCCGAGTTTACAACCACACAATGTATTACTGGCGAAAGGTGGCGAAAATTGATCTTCAATTCAGCCTGGAATGGCACATGCGCGCTCACCGGTCTCGACACGCGCCAACTTCTGGAATACCCCGGTGCTGCAGAAGTGGTCATACAGCTTGCCGATGAGGCCTACAGAGTCGGAGTGGCAAGCGGTGTCGACCTCGACCCCAGGCTACCAATGAAGACGATTGAGCTCGCGCAAGATAGCGCGCCGATCACACCCTCAACGCTCCAGGATGCTCGAGCCAGGCGTCCGATGGAATTATCGCCAATATTTGGTAAGTCTAGTCAACCATCAGATCTTGCAGCTTTGCTGACGTGGATAGGCTACCTCGTGGACCAAGCCGCAAGGGTAGGTGTACATGTGCCTTACCTGACGTGGATATATTCATTGCTTCGACTCCGGAACAAGGCATATGTCGCCAAGCAACAAGCTGCTGTTGAACCTTTGCACAGAGGTTTTGCCGCAGTCCAGGGGCTATCAAGTACGATCATGTCTCCAGGAATCTCGGCAGAAGTGAGGTGATGTGGCGTTCAGCGTTCAGCGCTCAGCTTATGATATCCTATGTGTAACTCATGATTTTCGGCTTACTTTATTAGAGCACTTTGGCAACTTTCGGTTGGTTAGGTATGGGCAGTCTCAGTGACTTGTCATAAATCGACAGACTCGTTTGATAGCATTTTAAACATTCAGTTTCATATTGTAACCTAGAGACAAATTCTTAGTCCGAAATAAAAGCGCCGAAAGTTTCAGTGAACGCTCAAGAGTAAAAGCACACGAGTGTTGCGTACTTTGAGAACACCTCATCCTTCTCCAGAGTGTCTTTGAGTGACCGCGTAGACGTCGTTGCAACCTCCAGTCCTCCGTCATGAAGGCGTGGATGCACGATCACAGCATTAGCGCATTTCGTCAGACTGGTTGCAGGCTTCATATAGCGAGTCCGCTCAATGCGGCCAAGGGTAGTACCCCAGTCCAGCGTGTTCGACTGTGAGCTTGAGTAGTCGTTGAAGCCTAGATTGTGGGGCACGAGCAGGCATAACGGATTTGGGCATATCGCTTGGTCATCTGGCAGACCTGCCGCCATAGTAAGCCACGAGGCCCATTTAGATTGCTGCCAGCCAGATACAGCTTCCCTTACGCAACGCGCCGCGCTCGCAAGACCTGTGTCTGGTGCCTCAAGTTCTCGCAGCGGATGACTCGTATTGATGATATCGACTGCGTTGCCAATATACTTTGCGTCAATCGAGGGCTGGAGCCGTTTCCGAATGTTTATCGGGAAAAGGAGCGTGGACTCCTCGTGGCCAGCTTTGCTAGCTTGCTTCACGTATGAGAGCCGTGACCAGAAAAGACCGATTAAGGCATTCTTCGCATGAGTCAGCATGGGCGTCTCACAGAAACTCTTCCAAAAGGAGACTTGCCATCGTCGAGATCCATTTCGTCGGATCTGGTCCCGCTGCATCCTTCTTGAGCTTCGCAAGACTTTCGGTGCTAAAGCTCCAAAGCGCCCAGTGTGCCCTGTCGGCATCATCGTTATCTTTCTGGGAGTCTCGGGCCGCTTTAATAGTCGCTTCAACGAAGGTGGTTCGACGCTCCTTAGTAGCAGCTGGAGCGGGCGGAAGATTGAGCTGGGAGTCGGAAGTGGGAAAGACCTTCCATCCAGCATCCACAAAATCTCCCGAGCCAGCTACAGGAGCTGAAAGTCGCGCACGAATGGCCTCGTCCTCCACCTTGTGCCTGTGACTTCGTTTCTCGCCACAGCTGACATCTGCGGTATGTTGCGACCAGATTCGCTCGATTTCTGCAACGGTTGATGCATCCGCAAGGAGATGATTGAATCCGAATGACAAGGCCATTCCTCCCTTGAGCAGATTTAGTTTGGCTGTGAACATGCGAGAGCCCTCGGTAATCGATGTCAGTGTCTCCGGCTTCGAGAAAGGTTCGACCAGGCCCGCCATTGGGAAACCGGCAGCTTTGAGTGTTTCGTAGCTGGGTATCTCCTCCCACGACGACAGGTCTTCTCGAGCGAATTCCACATGCGCATCTTCATCAATGTCGACGATAATGTCTCTGGGGTTGCTGGATGTTCGGGCAGTAGTGCCAGCAAGTGCAGGAACCTCAGCAAGGGTGCGGCTCAGTCCTTGACGGAGAATGTCATAACATTGGCCAAACGTCGCGTGTTTTGGCATGGGCCAGAAAAGGGCTTGGGTCACCCATGATTTTGGAGAGTACACGTCACAAATGGACAAATGCACGACGTGCTTGGGAACGTGCCCGCTTGGATAGACCTTGTTGTTCTCGAATGTGTTCGACATGATCACGGAGTGGCCTTGCTGATTCTTGATCATCGTTCTTGATTCTTTGATCGATATATACCCTCACAGAGAGGCTCCGGGGTTGGTGCGATGCTTGGCGGGCTTCGGAGAGCGCTGCAAGTTGCAAGCATCGCGAGCTGCCAGCACGGGTAGTGAGTGGTACGAGTAGCATGGGCATGGGACATGGTGGCGGTCGTGCGTAGCGTAGAATAGAATAGCGAGTACCTGCGCACCGGTTAGCCGAACGCCATCAAAGTCACGACGCATTCATGTTTGCATGTGATGAAGACTGAAGAGGTGTGGTCGAGATGATCGGCATGAGCTTGGCATTTGCACGTGCTGCTCGGACCGAGCACGACATTGTGGACACTTGGTCACCTTACTTATCAACCAGCCGTTCGTTGTTTATTGGTATGCTGCAAGACGATTGCTTTGGCGTGAGTCAATACACCACCACCTTTCGACGGCTTTCACTAGCACACCGCGCGATGACCACACGGCGGCGACACATACCTCACCACTCAAAGCATCGCGCCACGTCTACGAAGTCGGCAGCACGCTTGCCTCACGAGAACAATGCCAATCCCCGATCGAGATACGCAGACAGGCTCAGCCGTCGGAAAGGGCGTGCGTGTACGGACGCGAACAGCCTTGTGTGTACTCATACATTCGTCGTACAGTATTCCCTCCAGAGCCTCCCCCCTTTTCGAAGAGAGTGGAGGTAACGGTGCATGCGATCATTCTCTTTCGCTCACGTCTCTGGAACCCTATCATGCACTCACTCCATGACTCCACGCTTGCTGTCCTTTCCTGGCTCTTGTGCATCTGCTGGCTTCCCAACACCGCGGACTAAGAGGAGGAAAATGATTAGCACGCATACCGTGGAGGGCAAACGGCTCATATCGCATTAAGGAGTTCTGCTGCTTTTGGCCTTCAAGCGTGTCCTGGTGCAGTAATCTGGATGCCGCAAAGCCAGGTGTGTACACGACCCGAGAAGGTTGCGAATGATATTGCTTGCACTCACAGGTCTTGTTGAACCAACCACCAATCACACCTCCAGACATCATTTGTTCGGTGTGGCTTGCCCGCCGTGCCTCGTAGTCTTCGCTCCCTCGCTTGTGCTGCGTCAAGTTGCCTGGAATTCCGCAAGTCAGGGAGGAAGCAAGAGTTGAAATACGCATGGACCTCACCAAACAGGCCCTGAGACGCTGTGGAAGACTGCCATAGCGTCTAATCAGCCTGACTGCTCTTCGCCGGGTCGTCCTTTCACTCACTCGTGCATACGTACCCGTCTCCTTTGTCCGGTTGGCGATGCAGGCGCTGCAGCAGGACCATTGCTGGGTGATTTGGTGACAGACGACTGACTGCTGACAGAAGCCCTTCTGACAGCATCAATCACGCCACCGCTCTGAGATGGCCGTCTGGCTGGCTCATGCACCTCCTTCCCTCTCTGGAACATACCACGTCGGTCTTCCCAAGGTGTCGACATTTTGAGCAATGATCAAGTGGGTTGACTCAAAGAACACGGAAGTCGCGTGCTCGGTATCCAAGAAGAGAAAGATGGATGGTTAAGTATAGGAGCCCGACGAATGGTCTCCGGTCTAATAAGCAAGCCATCGATACCACATCATGCCACTGATTCACATGTCTGTCCAGAATGCGGGGTAGCTCTGACAATCACTGCATGGGCCGCAGGTACTACTTCGGTGTTATTGCCCGAGATCTTGTGTGTACGACTGCCTGTGCGGATCATGAGAGATGGGATGAGCTTGTTTTGCTGCGCAAAGCTCTTGGAATGTATGCAAAGAAAGGTGTTGCATTCAATCAGCTTTAGCGCGGCTCTTAAGGTGAATTATCACTGAGCTTATTACAGCTTCTCCCCCAGCAAAGTAAGTGCCGACCGAGGTCGCTCAATCTGCCGTTGTGAGCGGAGTCTATGCATAATAATACAAGTAAGTGGGTGAAGGAGAACTGTGGTCTTCATCACTCAAACAATAATAATCAGTCAAGCTGCACTCTACGTCTTCATTGTTTTTGATCTCCCTCCATCATGGCATCCCTACGTGCAGGACCAGTCGCTCCCGGCATAGCATTCATCACTGGAGGAGCTCGTGGGCTGGGCAATGCTATAGCAGTGTCTTTTGCTAAAGAAGGCGCGAAAGGCATTGCACTCGTAGACATCCTAGACGATAAAGCGTTACAAGCAGGCAAAGAAGCAGTAGAGCAACACGGCTGCAAGGTGACAAACCCCGAAATGAAGCATGTCCTCTATTGACATGGAGATAGTGCATAACGATTCGCGCAGATGTCACGAAAGAAGAGGACGTAGAGCGGGCCATCGCTGAGACAGTCAACGAGTTTGGTCGCATTGATTACGCGGCGTAAGTCAATGTCCAATTTGGAATTTCGCATTTGATTGAGAAAATCTCGCAGGAATTTTGCCGGAATTGTTGGGCCGGTTGGCATGAGCTGGGACGTCTCGCTGGACGATTGGAAGAAAGTGATCGATGTCAATTTGGTCGGTGTCTGGGTTTGCGTCAAGCATCAGTTGAAGCAGATGATCAAGCAGTCTTCGATTGATGTGTAAGTGGAGTTCTTCGGCACGGGACACAAAATCGGGGTTTCTGATGCCGTTTTAGCGAGGAAGGTCGAGTGCCACAGCAAGGATCAATCATCAGCGCTGCTTCGGTCAACTCGATCCTGTCTGGTGCCGGGACGAGCGGGTATACAGCAGCCAAGCATGGTGTCGTTGGCATTACCAAGGCGGTAAGTGTGTCAGTATGCGGCTGGAGGAGCAAAGTGCTGATCAAGACCAGGCTGCTCTAGAAGGAAGGACACATAATATCCGAGTGAATTGTGTATCGCCTGGTTTCCTACTTACAGAGCTCTTAAAGCCAGCTATGGCGGAAGGGGTACTTCGAGAGGATGTTTGGAAAGGCTATGAAGCAAGACAAGGCAGACAAGCCAATTTCAATGAGGTCGGCGATGTGGTCGTGCTGCTGAGCACGCCGAGAATGAGTCTTGTCAATGGTCACAATCTCGTAATTGATGGTGGGTTTACAATTAATGAGAACGCCTCATAGATTGTGTTCTGTGGGATTGCTGCTTCTACAGCACTTGAGAAATGCCTCAAGATATGAGGGCTTTCCAAAGCTTGATTCGGTCTTTTCGTTTGACAAGTCTTGTCCAAGTCATGCGCTTTGCGCCATTTTCGAGCGGGAAATCGCCTATTCTGAGTCGTTGTCATGGCTGGATACTTCTGTCATCTTGCTACGCGTTTCTTCTTGCCCTTGGTTACCATTACTTCAGGAGGTTGCTCGAGCGCCGGATCAAGAGGTCCATTCATAGTGCCATAGTTGGAACCGCAGTCTGTCCCTATCAATACGCCTTCCTCCAGTGCTGTCTCCAGGACCGAAGGAGCGACCCCTCCCGCCGATGGCGCCTTTGATGGACCAGCTGATGGCTTCATGGCCTGTCCTCGAATGTAAACTGCTGTGCGTGACTCCGATTTGGATTTAATGCAGTCTGGTCGCTTTCGAGTGCGCGAGGGGAATACATTGACAAGGACTGCAAGATAATTAATGTCGATTTAGACTGCTGAATGCACCAAGTTCTACAATTCATCAATTGAGTCCGTCCGCTCACGAAGCTAGCTCTTCTTGTAATGCCCACATCCCCCAAAGTTTAGATGGACTTTCTCCGGGAGCGAATATAGAATCTTCCGCTGTGGTATTGTATGCGTCAGTGCGCAGATCACGACCATTTGTAGCGACTGACAACTCCTCCTTCTTTGGCTCGGGTATAAGCAGAGCGTCTGTATATCCAACAGCAAGCCTCTGTGTGCTTGTGGCTTTGGCTAGTTGAAGTATAAGATTGTCACAGGCTGCCTTCGCTACCTGTGCTGCAGGGCCTGATGCTTCTTGGCCTGCGATCAGAAAGAAAGGTCCTTGAGGTGTCTTGTGAAAGGAGCCGTTGAGTGAGGCGCCATTTGGCTTACACCTTGACAGTAGGTGGATGACGGTAGTCCTGCTGATGGCATGTAGGAATCGCAAGCTCCGTTTCAAGGAGCTCTCAAGTTCCGAGTCGTCCAAATTCAATATGCTGCATTCACTGGCGGAATCATCGAATTCTGGTGAGCACAGCACTCCTTGTATGGCATGCCCATTCCTGGTCACGCCCTTGATTATCTCTTCAATGTCACTCTGACGCCACTCATCATTGATGATTGTGAACACGGCAGTCTCTTTGCGTAGTTTGCCAATCAATGCATATATGTCCATCTTCATTTGTTTGAGAGCAGAAGCATGCTCCTGCCCTGCTGCAATGGTGATGCTCGAGAAGTTCTGCTTGCCAAGCAGAATTTCGAGGTCTGAGAGCGTAGCGTGATGTAGTCGTCCCACGGCCAGAACAAGCAAAGCAGCCTTTGGTGTTTGGGGAGCTGCGTCTGTAGTGGTAGACGGCGTCAGCGCCGGTCGAGCTGGAGTTCCGGGGACATCGATCGGATGGCTGGTTCTTCTCATGCCTGGCTCTTGCGGGTGTGATGAAGTCGGTGTTGGCTTGCGGACAATGTTCGCGACATGGGACGGAGCGTAGCTCGTTGGTCGACTGCCTGTAGTAGGTCTACTGCTGAGACTGGGCACATTCCTGTGCTCCATATAGCTCGCGCTTTGCGATGAGTCCGAGTACGTGGAACTGGATCTGATGCTCCCTTGCTGCATCTTGGAGTCTCGTGTGAAATATCTGCTTGTGTGAGCACGCACGCGAAGCTTTTTCAGACGCAATGCTTTCTTAAGAAGGTATGAAAAGGACGAGAGTCTGTGGGTACGGAGGCAGGGTAGTTCGGTGGTCGGCCCCGTATTCTAAGTGGAGACTGCCATGCATGTCGGTCGAGAAGGTCGTGTGATGGCACGTGATGAATGAAGTGAATGGCAGCATACTTGCGGATCTCATTCTCGTGCAAGTCATTCGTGAGCGAGCAAAATGGAGACGGTCGAACATCGTGCGTCGTGCGTCGTGAGAGTGTTGAACTTCTTGTTGCCAGCCCGGAGTTTCCCGGAAGCTTCACTCTTTCGCTTGGCTTGACCTTTCGAACTACTTCACTCCTTCAATCCTTTGACTGCAGCCATGATTTCGTGCCTGGACAACAATCAACAATCATTACAGACGGGCGATTGAATCTCGACTGTCGCTGGCGCCACACCTCTAGCATTTGCAAGAACACCACCACCACCACCATCCAGAGGACTAAAACTGAACCCGAACCGCTCAGCATCGAGCATCATTCGCTGCCATGGGATTCATGCAAAAGCTCCAGCAAGCAATGCTTTCTTCAAGCTTCTTGGAACTTAGTCTGGCTGGTATCTATTTTCTGTCAGCCTTTTGTATAGTTCTGTGGATACCATGGATGGCCATTCCAGTCTCGACTCTGGCATGAAGCGTCATCTCTGGAAATTTCTCCCCTTCCTGCTGAGGTGGGACGTTCCAGAATGTGGTCTCACGTTCAGGATGCCAGTCTCACTTGGGCAAACTTTTCGGCGCATGCGGCTTCGCTTTATAAGGCCCGCCCATTCTATCAGATAAACACCAGCCGGTGTGCAGGACCGTCCAGTAGCATTCGAACAAGATGGTTGTCGATGATCCAATCTGCGCGTGCTGCGGCAATCACGGCACCCGAGTCTGTGGTGGTTGTCGTCTGGTTTTGGTAAGTTTAGCGTCTTCAGACTCAAACACATAGCACTAATGGTATCTAGTACTGCAGCGGCGAATGCCAAAAAGCACACTGGCAAGATCACAAGAAGTACTGCAGATCACCACTGATCAAGAGTGACTGGGAGCCGGGTTGGATTCGCGAGGGCCGTGTTCCAACATTCGTTGTGCCGACCGAACAAGCCGGACAGGAGCCTTTTGGAGGCAAGAAATTCTTTTGGGGAAACGTACCAGCATTCGACATCGTAAATCTCCCAGGTAACGAGGGCAAGAATTTTGCTGGGAATTTGCGCCTTCTGTTTGCAGGTAAGATAGCGGCTGCCATTTCGCTCGTGGTACATCCTTGACAGTCATGCAGCTTCTGGAGACCTGCGGAACGTCTTTCTGACTCTAGCATCCCTTCCCTCATCGTACTCAGGTACGGTGACTGCGACAGTCAATGATCTTGATTTCGAGGTCGTTGCTCGAAATGTCATCATGTTGCTTATTATGTTAAGCGCTGAGAACAATACACTGGCCACTCAGAGCATCATTCACCTGTGGTACTCTGCCTTCCTACGTCAAAAGGATATGGACTTCCTCCAATTGAAGATCCGACCTCTGCTTCAAGACGTTGTAAACAAGATCTCAGGCAAGGCTCCCAGTACCCTTTGCGGTAAGACTTGGAAATGGCGCAAGTGTTCACTGCGTGTTGAATTGACGCAAGCACGTTGGAATCAGCTTCTCAACTTCCTCGATGTTCCGATTGGACTGTCTACGGCAAAAGCACATCAGGAGCGAAAAGCTGTAACTTTGGCCAATGGTCGCACAGATTACCTTGAGCGCCGTCTCCTCTGCCATCGACCGGCGCATCGGGTTGTCGACGTGAGATATAGAGACGACGGTGTTCTCGCACCTTTTGGATACTCTCGGAAAGAATTCACAGTACCTAATCCGTATGGGCTATGACACCCGTCTCATGTCGAACACTGGCTGACATTGGCATAGCACGTTCTTCCGAGGCACCGAATGGCCTATGAAAGACTCTGCAGATCCTGCAGCAGGGTGGAGTTTACCAGATCTGCTTCAAGTCAATACTTACGGTGCCACAAATGATCTGCACGCGCAGCTCTACTTTCATCTCCAAACCGTGCTGGACACAGTACGATCAAGCCTGTCTCAGCTTGGGTGTTATTTTCAGATGCTCAACAGCAACGCCGAAGAACTTTCTCACCGCCTGAAGGGCTCCACATTCGCACGAATTGAGGTATTGTAGCTCGGTCGAGTTTGGCCGCCATTGACTACGTACTGACCTCTTTAGGCCGCCAACATTGCTGACAAAGCCTATCTCGGTGTCGCACGCACCGTCAGCAGCCTTGCTCCGTTACTGGACCCTCCACACATAAATCAACACGCCACATTGATAACGCTGTTCATGAACGCGATCGGTGAAGCGGACCAAACCTTTCCGGACGATGCGTCCAGACAGGCGGACAAGAACAAGGCTCAATCGTACGTCCTTGCGAACGGGCCTCCGAAGCCCTCCAAGTCATTCTACTCCCCTGTTCTGATCAAGCTCGCCTGCGGCCTGGATCTCGTACATGATATGGACAAGAGTTTCGAAAAGTAGGTTCTATCTTTCACTTAGGCATTGGTGGTCGTTCTGACTAGCTATACAGATACATGAGTCTACACAGCTTCACGCGCGTCGAAGAATTCTGTGGCGTAAGGATGAAGCAGCAAAACACAGTCATCGAGAAGTGGCCCATGAGGCTGAAGTTGGCGTTTGGAGAATCTGGTGCGCAGGACGAGTTCGACGTGCTCCTTGGATCATCGCACACTGGTTCAGAACGCTATGTAGAGTGGATTCGCAAGACTTGAAGAATCTTGGAGGCGCGATGCTGATGACGCTGCACTTGCGGCGGAGCCAGACCGGGGACAAAGCTGAAGTCCGGTTGGGTCGTTGGCTCGAAATTGTCTAGGAAGGGAGCATGTATGGACTCGCGAGGCTCCTCAATCCAAGCGTGAAGATGGAGAGAGATAGCAAGTGAAGCATGATAGCAACAGAAAGAGCCTACTGAACCATATGTGTCCGCATCCTTGGCATTCTCGCATACGCCACAACGTTGATATGGCTCAGTCACGACTTCTCGGATGCCTTGGCCGATCTATCGCTAATAAGGTATCTGTGGGTGCCTGCTCTTGTCTCATTGCGCTTCTTACAATTCTGGTTTCCATTGCTCTTGCTCTTACTCTTGCTCTTGCTCTTACTCTTACTCTTACTCTTACTCTTACTCTTACTCTTACTCTTACTATTACTCTTACTCTTACTCTTGCTCTTGCTCTTGCTCTTACTCTCGCACTATCCCTTATCCGTTGCATCTCACTATCAACCGCTCGCTAGGCCTCCCCTCTCACCTCACCTCCTCGCACGAGGGCCGCATTAATCTCGCCGTCTCATGTCCTACGCCCAGCAACCCATATTCGCCCATGGCACGAAGGATCGTCACCACCACAGAGCTCGCAGAGCGCTTGCCATCCTGAAGAGATATGACAACTGGTTGATCCCGAAGAGATCTCCCTGTGAATCAAGAGCTAAGCCTGTTGAGGACGTCGAGGACACCGAGGCATTTCACGTACGCAATCGGACCGGGACTACTTTACTGCTGTCCTGTACCCATCTCAACTGCACTCGTCTCCTCTGGAGTATCCAACGGTTGCTATCGACCCGTGCGAAGAGAGAGCGGCGATGGATTCCATGGACCCAGTGTATTCGCGAGTGCTTGCATACAGGTCCTTGCTAGGTAAGAGTAATGCAGTTTCGAGCCATGTCAACGCCCGCGATCACGCAATCTTCAAGCGCGAAGTCACGAACACAATAGTTCTAATGCAGCGTTCGCGGCCATGCTCTGTGCGAATTTTTCATAGCGTGCGAACCGACCTTCTTGGCCACGAGTGCGGCTGGTATCGCAATAGTAGAAGACAAGCACGCGATACATGATGCTTGACACACGGAAGGGATCCCAGAAGACTTCTAATGCCGTCTCCACTAACCTCGCGAAGAGCACCGATTACACCACTATTCATCAGTGGGTTACATTGAGCTACCATGATTAGTTTAAAAGGACCGCGCAAAGCTGCGTGCGGAGCCACTGCGCTTTGTCGACTCCCGCAGCCTGCTCACCATGTGTATGTTATTGTGCCGCTGCTTCAAGAGAAACGACTAACTGGGGAACAGCTGGCCAGACCGCCGGAGGTGTTTGTCGTGGAAAGCACAGCTTCTCCCTGGAAGATGGAGCCGCAGCACTGGATCACGAGTATACCAAAACAGCGAATGTAGATGTGGAAGCTGTTGGCGAACGCACCTCATCAGCGATCCAGCGAGACACTTACTCGGCGCCAACAGAAGAAGAAGCCAGCACGCTGCGCAAGGTAGCTGACAAGATTCCAAAGACGGCCTGGCTCCTTTGCATTGTCGAATTCTCCGAGCGTGCATCTTACTATGGAGTCAAAACAGTGTTCTCGAATTTCATGCAATTCCCCCTGCCAGAAGGAGGCAATGGCGCTGGCGCTCCAGCACGAGGAACTCAAGATACTGCGGGAGCTCTAGGCCGAGGTCTACAATTCTCGAATGCCTTCGTGCTCCTATTCGCATTTCTGGCCTATATCATTCCAATCTTTGGAGCCTGGATCGCAGACACCAAGCTCGGCCGCTTCAAGACCGTGGTAATTGGGGTCGTCGTCTGCGGAGTATCTCATGTCATCATGGTCGTGGGTGCAATTCCATCGGTACTTCAGGCTGGAAATGGCATCGCCCCGTTTCTGATCTCCTTCTTCTTGTTGGCTCTCGGCGCTGGTCTCTTCAAGCCAAATGTGGCACCGATAGTATTGGACCAGTACGAGCATCAAAAGCCATACACGAAGACTCTTTCGGGAGGTGAGCGGGTGATTGTCGACCCAGAAGTCACCGTGCAGAAGACGATGTTGGTGTTCTATGGTTTCATCAATGTCGGAGCGTTCTTCATGATCGCAACGTCTTACAGCGCAAAATATGTGGGCTTCTGGCTGGCCTATCTTCTTCCCGGCATAGTCTACTTCTTGCTCCCGGCTCTGCTCTGGTTTCTATACCCACGCTTACAGAAATACCCTCCGGATGGCTCGGCGTTGACCAAGACATTCAGGATTATTCGCGCAGCATTCAAGCGCAGCAACGGCAAATTCTGGAAGCACGAAACGTTCTGGTTGAACGTGATGCCGAGCCATCTTGAAGCTCAAGGCATCACGACAATCAACGGAAAAGCCTTATCATGGACCGACAAAGACGTCGACGACGTGCGACGAACGATGGTGGCGTGTGCCATCTTCCTCTACTACCCAATCTACCATCTCAACGATGGAGGCATTGGCTCTGTGTTGACGTCTCAAGGTAGCACGCTCACTACCAACGGCGCGCCTAACGATCTCCTAGTAAGTATTATCCATGACACTACAATACGTGGCTGACCTCAAGCCAGAACAATTTCAATCCCATCACTGTCATTGTTGCCACTCCGCTGTTGTCATACGTGGTCTACCCGGCGTTGCGAAGAATGAAGATCAATTTCGGGAGAATCAGTCGCATTACCTTCGGATTCATCCTAGCGATGAGTTCAAGTGTCATTGGTGCGATCATTCAGTGGAGAATTTACAAGACCTCTCCTTGTGGCTATCAAGCAACCGAGTGTGACATCGGAACTGGCGTTTCTCCCATTCTCATCTGGGTTCAAGTCCCGATCCAGATCTTGGGTGCGCTGAGCGAATGCTTTTGTAACGTGACGGCCTACGAACTTGCGTATGCCCGATCACCAGACGGCATGAGATCGCTCGTCGTGGCACTTTTTCTCGCTACCACGGCGCTGTCCAACGCACTTGGCGAAATCATCTCGCCTGTGATCAAGGATCCATACCTGATATGGATCTGGGCCGGCCCTGCGATCGCGTTAGCTCTACAGACTGTCATCTTCTGGTTCAGATACAGGAAGTTCAATGACGATGAGTACGTACCGCCACCTTGAGATGGATCTTGATTTACAATGAATACTGACTCTCGATTTTTTAGATTCATGACATATGAAGAAGTCTCCAAGGATCTCAAGATGACGAGCGAGAGGACGGCTTCAGTGACGGATGCTGAGAAGGAGGCGAACGTGAAGGCGTGATCTGTATATGCTTACCGCAACATTGTCTCAGTCATCTAGATGGCACCTTTCTCTTGCATCTCTAGATTCTCAGCGATCATGTTACCTTCACAGCTGAGTTCATCGATACGAGGGTTTTACAATGGACATGGGTGGCTTGCTCTCTCCCAACCTCACCTCACCTGTACCTCTTCATATTTCTTTGTAGCATTCGTGCGTCAATGAAGACTATCATGGTATTCTGAAGCCCAGAAGACGACGATAATGTCTCCTCCACGCGCCTTGGTGATGGTCTTTGCTGGCATGCTTGGTACCGCCTAGTCTGGACCACCGATGCTGCTCATTATTTTGACCCTCCACACATTGTTCGGGGCGCAATCGACAAAGCGACGCGTTGTTCATCATTATTGACGATACATACGGCGATGAACGGATCCAAAAACGCTTCTGTCTGCCGGCCTCAAAACTCCGACTTGGCTCATTCATCATCAGCTGCTCCACCTCCACCGAGGCTTTTGCTCCGCATATTGATATTCGATTACGCGGCTAGTCCCCGCCTGTCTTATGCTTGGCCTGAAACAGTGTTCGACGCGGAAAGTTGAAGCATTACAATTCCAGAGCCCTTGCATTGTATGTCTCTACCAAAGGCATGCCAACTAGGCCGGATAAAGGGCATTCTGCGGACCAGCGACTGCCGAATAGCCAGCCACGTATGTACATGTAGCCACGTCGCCTAGTCTTTCCAAGCAGTGTATGTAGGTGGCTGCAGCCAGGCTGCACAGGCGATCGTCTTTGGGGCCCGAACGGACCACTTTCTGTCGTTTCCTGATGTGCCAAGGTGCTAGAGGTGATGAGGTAGGTCGCTTACCTACCAAGATAGCCGGTCCGCCACTCTCTTTCCTACGGTCGCTTCTCTCGTTTCTACGACACCAACGTGGAACGGACAGCAGAGGCTGCCGAATAACCATGCTTTTGCCCATTTTCTGGACTTGTTGGTGCCTTGCAAGCATCGTTACCGCTAGAGACCCTGCAGGATTCGAGGATGGCAGCGATCTGGAAAGCTTCGTGACTCGACCAGAGCTCCGAGCGCCACGGTACATCGTTTCAAGGCATCACCCCAAGGATCGGATCGCAGAAGGATACTGGTTTGTCGCGCACTATCCATCGTTGTTCGACGCACAGCCTTCGTGGAGAAAGGAGCATGTGCCATGCCAAACAGGTCCTCACATATACGACAATGACGGACAGCTGGTATGGAGTGGTGCATGCGAATATAACAATCGCAATGTCTTCGACTTCAAAGCTGTCGTGGTCAATGGAGAACACCATCTCACCTTTTTCGTGTCGGGGAATAATCGAGAAGTCGACGAAATCCCTGCCGACAGGGTCAAGGAGGCAGGAGTTATGATGGACAACCAGTATCAAGAAGTCGCGAGGGTGCATCAAGTTGGATTCAAGCTTCTGGACGTCCACGAATTTACGGTACTGCCCGATGGCAAGTCGGCTTTGATAAGTACGACCTACCCGAAAGACGTCAACGCCACAGAGGTGAGTAACCTAAAGGGCAAATCCCTTCACCCTGCAAAGTCCCGCCTTGTAGCCCTCTTGTCTCACTCCACCTGCTCCAATCAACTCACCTGGCTGCGAATCGCCTTTCCTCGCTGAGGAGATTTATGCTGACGCTTCCACCCCTCACTTTTAGATCGGGCAAGCCGAGAGGTCCATTCTCGTGTACGGCTTCCAGGAAGTCGATATGAAGACTGGGGAGCTCATCTTTGACTGGGACCCGCTCCAGCATGGCATTATGCTCAATGAGAGCTGTGATGCGACTGGAATGAAAGGCGATGATGGCTGGTGGGACTACTTCCATCTCAACTCTGCCGACAAGTTTGCCAATGGCGACTATCTTGTCTCAGGTCGACATACGAGTACGATATATCGGATCTCGAAAGATGATGGCCACGTTATCTGGCGACTGGGCGGCAACATCTCCGACTTCACTATGGACGAGAATGTGCCATTCTACTGGCAGCATCACGTCCAAATTCGAGCCGAAAGCACCTCAGAAATCGTAATCTCGGTCTTCGACAATGCTGGAGAAGACCTTGACCGCAATCTACAACTACCACAATCGCGTTCGGTGGGCAAGATCATCACTCTGAATACTGACATCATGTCAGCCACGATCCTTCGACAGTTTCCACGACCTGATGGCCAGAGAACCTCAAAACTCGGTAGCCTCCAGACTATTGGCTCGGACATTAACACCGCGAACGTATTCATAGACTGGGCCCAGAGAGGTTTCATTAGCGAATATGATCAAGACAACACCTTGATCATGGAAGCGACGCTGCAATCGAGTCGAATGTCAACATACCGAGCATACAAATATCCTTTCGTTGGCAATCCTCTCGATCTGCCGGTCCTGAAAGTCTTACCAATTGCGTATGACGAAGAAATCGCTTCGACCTTCTACGTTAGCTGGAATGGAGCTACGGAAGTCGCTCAATGGGTCTTCTACGGAAGTGTCGACGATGAGAACACAACTTACGAAAAGCTTGCCACCGTGAAGAAGAATGGCTTTGAGACTTCATGGGTGACGCCTGGCACATTCAGCTATGCTTACGTCGAAGCTCTAGATAAGAACGGACATGTGCTGAACACATCCACTACCGTGAAAGTCGACACTGTCGACCAAGCGCGATATCAGGTTGTGTATCCTCAAGCTGCAGCGGTTGAGGAGAAATCTGCGGCACAGTCAACGGATCAGACCTCGCTGCCCTTCATTCCTGGGACACTGCCCGCCCTGATTTTGGATTCCTTTGCGCTTTTTGGAGCATACTCGTTGGTGCGAAGCTTGATTCCAGAATTCTTGAAGAGGCGGAAAGGACATCGTGTGGTTGCGCACGATCGTCAAACGAGCGGGGGCTGATGCGACGGCTTTCTTTGGTGTCATTGAATGAACGCGGGAGACGCGTGGGACATCATGTCAGTACGATCTGCCCTTGAGCGCCCTCCTGCGATGTTGCCGCCAGATCCAGTCCGAACCTAAGCAGGTCTTCAAAGACTCAGTTCGACGATACTACACGGAAGGCAACTTTCGCTGGACCCTCGATGGCCAAGGAGGCTGCTTCGTACGCCGCCCTGGACAACATCGCTCAGACTCACGACATCGATAGCGTTCAGAGCCGTCATCCCACGCTCATCGAATACTGCGTGGAGTCCGTTTTTTAGGCAATTCTGCAGCAATAATGGGCAGATCACGCGATGGTTCCCTTTCTCAGGCTCGAGCCAGGCCACATACGTCTTGCCACTGAGGGAAGGGGACTCTAGTATCAATTGGGAGACTTTCTCAGAAGATGAGTTGAGTGAAGCGCAAGAAGCCGCGCGCAATTCTGGTGTCTCTCTAGTACATGGCACGAAAGCGCAGATTCAAGCCCTTTTCGCGGGTTTCATGCGATAGCTTCACTGGGATTCAAAGCGCACCTTGAGAGCCGAGTGAGATGATAGTTGGATGGTAATGGGAAGGGGGCATCGGATGTGATCTTTTGATCGTGTTCCCGGAATGGCTTGTACAGAGCTTACAGTCTGGGTCAGGACATGAGCAAGATGTGAGAACCATCACGTGCATGTGGAAAGACAATTACCGAGAGCACGGCAGTACGATGGGCTTCGGATTCCGTAGCAACATGCGCAATCAGGCCGAGCGCCTTTCAGCCGGCCATGGGCATGTTTCAAGCGGTATCACAAAAGGTGGCGAGGAGAAGCCAAAATCAAGTATTTACAAAAACAAAAGTCTTCTCGAATCATCCCTCCTCAAGAACCCAGTGCCCAAGGCAGCTGCTTCGCAGACGGGGCAATCGAGCGAGCACTGACATTCTTGAGATCTCCAATACCAGCATTGGCAGCATCAATCGCAACTTCCCTCTTCATAATCTGGATTGCGCGCTCGACACCAGCCTCGCCGTAAATGTTGGAGAACATGAAAGGCCGTCCAATGCCGACAGCCTTGACGCCCAGCGCCAGGAGCTTGACAACATCCGCACCATATCTCACACCTCCATCAGCCCACACCTCAATCTCGTCGAACACCCATGGAGCTTGTTCGTGGATCTCTAGCGCCACCTCCAGGGGGGATGGAGCGCCATCGATCTGCCGACCACCGTGATTGGAGAGGAAGAGAGCTGGCACGCCCTGCTCCGCTGCGATGATGGCATCTTCGACAGTCTGAATGCCTTTGGGCACGATGGGAAGTTTGGTCTGGTTGCGCATCCAGTTGTATTTTTCCCAGGTGATGCTTGTGTAATCCGAGTCCGCGCTGCCAACGCCGAAGCGCGCGGCTCGATGTCTGTTTCCGTCTGCGGCTGAATCGACAGTGAGCACGATAGCCTCAAACCCTAGCTCTTCGACCTCTCGAATCTGCTCGAGTGTTCTGGTGTCGTTTTGTGGGGTGATGTAGAGCTGCTGGAAGACGATTTGGCCTTCCTTCCGCGCATCTTTGATCTCCTGCTTGGTTGCGCAACTGTAGTCGGAAGCGATGTAACTTGCGTTCTGGTCAGCTTTTTTGGGAACTCATGCGAAAATGTAGCGCACGAAATTTCACTCACAGGATGTTGCCGGCGCCGGCGCCACGTGTAAGACCAAGCTCGGCGATGTCGTTCGCATAGCACGCTCGTGCGCACGGTGAGATGAAGAATGGCGCGGAGAAGTTGTGTCCCAGGATGGTGGTCGGAAGGCTGTCTTCGATGTTGTCCACCTGCACCATCACTCTCGGCCGTAAACTTATCCGCTGGAACGCCTCGAGGTTGTTTCGATATGACCACTCGCCCGCTGCGCCATTCCGATAGTATGAGTAGGCCGTCAAATTCATATATCCTTCCGCCACATATTGGAAGTCTGGCAGTCCAACGATTGTGCTGACATTGGGTAGTGTACCCGCCACCTCGATCGTGCCGTACTGCTCACGAGCTCCGGTGTCAGGAAAATCGAGAAATGAGCGTGCAGCGTGTGCCGCTCCGAAGAGCAGCGATGTAGGAATGAAACGCATCATCGGCAGGGTCGGTTGGAGCTGTGCATGACCCAGAGAGGCAGGGCAGGCAGAACAGAAGAGAAGATATATAGAAACCTCTCGTCGTCAAATTCTTACACGGGCAGATGCCTGTACCCTTAGCAGTGTGACCAGCCCATGCTATCGTTCGTTCACCCAGGTTGAGCCGGAGTGGTCCTGAGCTTTGCCAGAAAGCGTCTGGTTGTCAAAAGCAAACGACCTAGACCAGCCTGGCTCCTGGAGCAAATCCGTGGCACCACATGGCAAAACCGGTCGGATATTCAAGTTAATCTGGGTGAAATTCAACTTCGGCATTGATGTAGCCGCTCCAATCTCGGCAGCGTTCTGGGCTGTGAAAAGTTGTCGGTCTTGGTCGGAGATGTGTGAGGGTGGTCTGATCGCCATGGCCGAATGTCTTGCTTGTGATGCTTTGGTGCGGTAGCGATGGCATGCGACAGTATGGAATAGACTCAATAGAGGCCTCTTGAAGCAAGGCACAGCCGCCACGGCTTGGCGAAACACGGACTGGTGACTGCTCAGGTCAAAGAAGAAAGAATGTCCGCGCAGGCGGGAGTGAGTGAGGGAGGAATGCGTCGTTCGTTTCACCGCATCGAGGCCGCGCGACCGAGCAGGCGCAGGCGCACGTGCTGACTGGGTCGACACCAACGACGCGAAGAACTATTCTAAATTTCGGTGGCCGAGTAGTTCTAATCCATCACTTCGTCGCGCTCTCACCTCTTCCCGCCTGCTTCTGCTTCTGCTTCTGCTTCTGCCTCTCTCCACTCCACTCCTCCTTCCCGCGCTCGTAGCATTACATAGTTCTACCCATGTCAGACGCCATTGCATCACATCTTCTGGAGCTGCTCTAAAGAACCATAGTAATGCGGCATGATACTTCATCCAGGAACGCTGATCAGCTATGCCCGGAGGAGCCGCTGTCGACTTCGAACTCTTCTGACTTGCTCCATCGAGCAAGCCGATGGCTTTCAGACATACCTAGAATATGGAGAAAGGCATACATTGCAAAATACCGTATCGCACGCATTGAAGTTCTCTAGACTTGTGTGCTAAGTTCCGGCATCTGATGTTGTATATCTTTTCTTAAGAGCGGGGATGGAGTCAAGGTCTATTTAGAGGTCTATCCTAGTATAAGTTTCATTGCCAACTAATGCCAACGATGTTACATCAAGGGTGAAGCGATGGTTTGCCGGATGCGAGGACAACTACGGAGTATATAGTGCCTACGATCGCTGGCTGTAATTGTTGCTCTGTACTACAACCTAACCTCTACCTTCAGCATCGACACAGCAAGAACACTATGCGGCCTATACTCACCTTCGCTGCTACTATGGCTCTCGCATTAACCGCTTCGGCATTTGTTAGTGGAAGTCAATGTCTTTGCACAGATGTCAAAGCTTGCCAACGCGGAGGAGCTGGTGGATGCATATACACAGCAGATGGTGTAAACTGTGTAGATTCGACTAGCGATGAGGGCTGTTCGGCCGCGTGCCTTAGACATTCTTATGGCTATGCCTACAAGAAGAGGAAGTAAGTACGGCGGAGTAGCGTGTCTGCGAATTTTCGACTACATCCTAACATACGATATAATAGCCCAAAGAAAAATGAAGACGCTTGTATTTGCAGCGATAATACGGATGACTACTGCATTTAGCAGGTGTCGGGCGGGCGCAAACCACCCTTTGACAATGAGTGCCGTTCTGGTCTTCTCAACAAGTGCCAGTCCGAGGGGCGCCTGGAGTTGGTTGTGTGTCGAACAGGGACGGTTCGCAATTTGGTCTCCGGTCGGCTTCCTATATGCAGTTGGCACCCTATATCCTTCTACACCACGCCGTCCACCACATGGCACTCACGGCCGACGGCGTCTCCATTCGTCCAAAGCTGAAAGATGCTGCGACGAATGAGACTCAACGCTGGCCTCGGCAGACATGTGCTATCCTCGTCATGGTCAAAGCCAGCATTGATCGACGTGTGTCGAACCAGTTCCTGCATCCCGGATCAGAGTCACTAGTGGCAGGCCTTAAACCATAATGTTACTGTATGCTCAGCTGCACGTGGGTGTTGCGCGCATCGGACTCATGATGATGGATGTGATGCGCATCAAACCTGCGAGTAAGTTACCTGATGCTATATAGGTCGCACTTGATCCTGCGTGCCATCGTTCAATCCAACACAGGTCACTCAATCCGACAGCACAACAACTTCTTGCCATCTTCCCATTTCTTTCGACGATTCAATCAACTCAAGCACTCACCAACGACCAATCGACCACCATGTATCACTCAGTTGCACTCCTCGGCTCTCTCGCAGGCTTCGCCGCCGCTCAGATGTCCTTGCAAACAACTATTACCAACGCAAACAAGTGCCCAGATGGCCAAGCATTCTTCCAGCAAGGAAACAACGCATACCACTGCTGTCCAGGCTCATGGGTAGTAAGCATCGATGACAACGCGTACTGCTGCGTCGGTGGCGCCGCGGTCACTTTCGATTCATGCTTCCCATTCTGCACCACAACCACCGCGAGCAGGGTAAGAATCCTCTTCCGATCAACAAAAACACTGCTTCGATGTTTCACTGACGGCAGCATCTTCTCAGGCTGAGCCGTCCTGCGCCACCAAGATCTACACTACCGACTCCGACTACAGCTCCAAGGTATCAGCCGCTGCGTCGAGCTTGAGCGCTACTGGCGCCAGCTCTGCGACGACTACCGCGGAGGATTCAACCATGGCTGATTCGTCCGGCACGACGGCCTCCATGACCAGTTCTGCTTCGGGTGCTGCGGAGAGTGGTAGCTCGTCCAGCGAGGCTGCTGGCGCTATGGTCACGAGCGGACCTATCATGGGAGCGATGATGATCGCTGGAGGTCTCTTGATGGCCGCATAGATGGTGTGGAGAGATGCTTGAAGTAATTGAGAAACTCCTGAAGCAAGAGCTAGATTTCCAAATCTGATGATTCTGTTTCGCGCTATTGATGCTTCCAAATTTCGACTTCAGTGGAGACTGGTAGTGTGCTTAGCTCGGGTATCGACATTACACTCAAAAATCAAACCTGTACACAAGGAAATTCGACTGCATTCTCTGACATAGGAAATGCTGTTCTCGCTCCTCAACTCCATCCGCGCCTTCATGATACTACTCGACTGCACCTTTATGCTTCCTTCTCTGGATCCTCCGGAGGTATCTCCGCCTTCTTCCTTTCGATCTTTTCCTCGGCCTTCCTCATCTTTTCTTCGAGCTTCTTCCTCTTCGTCTCGCTGCGCTCAAGCTGCCTCTTCTCCTTCGTACCCTCTTTCCCTGCAATTCTCTCCCTCAAGCAGTACTGCAGCAGCCAGATGGCTCTTGCGCTGGCTGCAATCCCGCTTCGGAATTCCTTGAACGAGTTCTTGAGATGAGTCTTGGCAGCTGCACGTTCTGTGCGAGCACGCGTAGCCTGACGTTTGACGCGGTATTTGGTCTCCGCTTTCTTCGCCTTCCTGGCTTGCGTTGTCGTGGTTTCGCGTTCAGCAATCAGAGCCAGTTCTGTTGTTGAAGGTGCTGGTGGGATGGATGCGCCTGAAGCCGGCTTTTCTCCGTCGCTAGGGGTGACACCCTTGGTCTTCTTGCTAAGCAGGCCCATGCTTGGAGGTGCTGGAGAGCTCAGAGATGCTTTGAAGTTTTGCTGGTATGATAGGTATCCTGCTGCGGATTGCGTGCTTTCGACGTTGCTTCCTGAACATCATGTGGGTAAACAGAGAGCTTTGTACCTACTGCAAGAACTGGGTGAGTCACCAGACCAGTTGTATCATGATCTAGAGTTGGGCTCCATGGCCAGAAGATGGTCCTGTCGGACTCTAAAATGGTATGGCTGCTTGACCTGGACTTTGCCAACTTGGTTTCAGTTGGTTGACATTGCAGGGGTGTAGTCAAGGAACTTTTGGCCCAAGATTATGTCGAGCCAATACCACGAGGTTACAAACGCCTGTCTTTGGTCGGGCTGCGGAAGTGCTGGAAATGTGGCGTATTGTTGCGTGCCATTTCAGGCTTTGTAGCGGGTGATATGATCAGGTAGGCCGGACTATTCTACTGGCGGAACAGAGTCGCCAGCACGACGGGAGAAGGCGGTGCAACGAGAGATGCTCGTAAACATTGATTCACTCGGCTGTCAACAAAGTTAAGATGTATGTGGTAGGTAGAGTAGACGCTGAAAAGCTCAGTTGGCTTCTGTATGCTCTGCTCTGCCAGTATGTGCAGTTTGATGAGATGGCCATCGTCGGCCGTATGCCTTGGGTCTCAGCACGATTATTGCGACGAATCTCGCTGAAACAGTCAGCCGTGCGCGCGCGAGAGAGATTGCGAGAGATTGCAATGAGGAAGAACGCGTCTGGGTGATGGTTTCAGAATTCACGCCTCGAGCGCGAAACGAGAGGTCGAGATGGGCCTGCTGATGTCATCAGCGTGGACCCCACCTTTGCAGTTGCCGTTGTTTTGGTCCCTGCCTTTGCGTTGGACGAGCAACCGCGAACAGCACAGCGCGCTTTCGAGTCTGCACTTCACTGCATGAGATGAGAATTCCTGTTACATCTTCCTCTTATGTGCAATAAGGCTCTGGGTATTGAGAAGAGCTGCAGCATTGGTACCAGCATTGTAAAGAGCACAGCTATTCAAAACGTTCACTGCTTCAGCCTTGGCTAGCGAAGAGATCTGGGCGAGCAACGATCAATAGCAGCATTCACTTCCGCGGTTCTACCTACACCACAACCAGCTTCTGATCAAGCCGAACTTCAAACAAAACATGGCGAACAGGTTGGATACCGCAACCATGTCGTCTCCGCCATCCATCAACCAAGCTAAAGCCGGCAGCAGCGCATCGAGACCTATGAACAATGGAAATGTCGTTAAGCGGTACGTCGAGTCGCTTCCACAATTCGCAAACAACAACAACTAACGCGCTGCAGACTCCAGTCAGAACTAATGACCCTCATGACATCGCCTACCACCGGTATCTCCGCCTTCCCCTCCAACACCGACATCACAAAATGGAACGCCACGATGGTCGGACCTAGCGGCACACCCTACGAGAATCTAAACCTCAAATTGACCCTCTCATACCCGACCAACTACCCATACGCGCCGCCGGAAGTACTGTTCAAGACACCCATATACCACCCGAACGTCGACTTCTCAGGCAGAATCTGCTTGGATATCCTGAAGCCTGGTGGTGAAGGCAAGGAAGGAGCATGGAGCGCGGTGCTGAATACTGGGAGCGTTCTGCTGAGCATCCAAAGCTTGCTTGGAGAGCCGAATAAGTGAGTTGAAATTGAAGAGCGCGAACTTTTACGAATGTGGCATACTGACGGAGCCTACAGCTCATCACCACTCAACGGAGAGGCGGCCACGCTTTGGGACACCGACATGGCCGAGTTCAAGAAGAAGGTCATCGCGAGACATCGGGATTTGACTGATGAGGATCAGAATTGAAAGCGCTCGATGATCTTCATGTGTCCCGTTGTTGACTGGTCCGGCATTTTTTTCGTATCATGCGTTACGGCATTTGCATAAGGGCGGCGTTCGGAACGTCACTGGATTGCATAGCAGTGAAATATTGCTCTTTGATGATCAGAAGAGCTTCAGGTGTCTGTACTGAAATGAATGTCAATGCACTTTCCTGAGAAGTAACTTCAAGTAAGGCTTTTCCCACGCCTAGAGTGATGCGGAGTAGACCATTTACAAGGCTGCAAAAGTTATCTGGCATCGAAACTCATGCTTTGCATGAATGATCGACTGAGCATGTTGTTCCAGGCTCCCAAGAACACTCCGCGTGATGCGAGACGATTGCTTTGGCGATGATCATTGAATTCAAGAGGCTGTGGAAGGCTGATAAATCCTCTAGCTATACTGCTGCCACCGCCCCTGATCGTCGGCTGTGTCCAGTAATGCTACCTATCTGATTACCTACCTAGGATCTGGATCCTGCGGTCAAGTCTCTCCTCTCGTGCGGAGCCTGCCCACCCTTTAGTTCCCCTTGAATACCACTCTCGCACATGCAATCGACAGTACACTTGACACGATGGTGAACCATCAATGTGCTAATCCTCGTAGTCAAGATGGCAGCTACTAAAACTTGCGGTCGAGTAGCTATTGGCGTAGGTCAAGTCCTGAGGTAAATTGGTGTCGGCAGTATGTTTTAGACCACTGGATCACCAGACTTGATGGGGTTGCCGGATTGGCCTTGAGGTGGTTGAGATATGTCTTATAGTCTAGGTATCTACAGACTACGTTAGTGCCTGTTCTAATACCTCTTTAAAAAGAGTCTTTATTGTCAATAGAGTTCTGCTTTCACTTGCGGCTGAAATAACTTTCTCGGCAGCTTCCGCGCCAAAGCTTCGCGCCAAAGTCGCGTTTCCTGGAGAAGAGCTCAAAACCTCACATCGCATCAACAATACAAACGTCGCCCGGTCGCCCGCAGCTTTCCTATTGTCGACATTCCACAACAAGCTGCAAGGATGGCGGACGATAAAAATAGGCCACCGGGCTTCGCCTTTGGCGATGCATCGACCTCCTCACCTTTCGGACAACAGTCGACATCGACATCTGGCGGTGGTCTTTTCAGCTCGAACACAGCGACATCAGGCGCATCGAATATCTTCGGCGGAGGCAACGCATCTTCGGCAGGCTCAGGCTCAGGAGGTGCACTCTTTGGTCAGGGCGGCAGCGGCACGATCTTTGGCAATACTACAAACACCAGCACAACATCTGCTGCATCGCCATTCGGCCAACCGGCAACTGCAGGCGGTAGCGGTGGTCTTTTTGGATCAGGCGCGGCCAGTGGTCGAAGCACACCAAGCCTTCTCAACCCGACGCAAACATCTGCACAGTCTACGAGCGGGAATACGGCAAGCAGTATGCCACCATCAAATTCGGTCTTGTTTGGCACAAGCACTGCGAGAAAGGATGAGACTGTGAGCTTCTTCGGCTCCGGTAACACCCAGAGTGGCTCTTCAACGCCGCAAGGTAACAAGCCTGGTGGACTATTTGGCGGAGGCGGCACAACAGGCAGCTTCGGCGCGAGCACAACCCCCGCAGGAGAGCCAAAGCAGACACCAAACATATTTGGCAACTCAGCACAAGCATCTTCTTCCTCGAACCTGTTTGGCGGTGGCGCAAAGACAGGTGGCGCTTTGTTTGGTGCGGGTGCGGCTAGCAGCACTCCGAGCTCAAGCTCTGGTGGTGGTGGACTATTTGGTGGAGGCAGCGGCACAGCTACGTCGAGCGCCCCTTCGACAGGAGGTCTCTTCGGCGGAGGTGCCAGCACTTCGTCCTCAGGAAATTTGTTTGGCGGAGGTGCAAATAAGAGCGCCACGACAAGCACTTCGAACAATCTGTTTGGAGGTGGGCAGCAAAACAGCTCGAGCACACTCGCGAGCACTGGCGGCACCACGACCTCAGCTCTAGCTTCAGGAGGACTCTTCTCATCAACTTCTGCTAATCAGCAAGGTGGCTCCGGACAGCAAGGAACGACCGGCCTTCTTGGCGGTGGTCTCTTTGGCAAGGCGGGTGCAGATTCATCCAAGAGCCCTGCTCCTGCTTCAGCTAACCTCTTTGGAAACCCGGCGAGCAGCTCTTCATCAGCTCAACCTGCTTCTACGACCTCGACTGCTCCCACCTCTTTATTCGCAGGCTTAGGTGCTCCAAGCTCGGCCCAGCCTGCCTCGACTACCGCCACTGCACCGACTTCACTTTTTGCCAATCTTAACGCCTCGAGTTCGGGCCAGTCTGGTTCGACCCCAGCACCTTCTGGCACAAGCAGTCTGTTCGCCAAGCCTGCTACGACGTCCGGTTCTGCTTCAGGTAGTCTCTTCCCCAGTGCTACACCCGCTACGTCAGCGCCGAGCTCTGGAACCGGTCTATTCGGCAACCATGGATCGTCTAGCGCTGCCACTTCGCAAGCACCAACAGCTACAGCGGCTCCGAGCTCTGGAGGGCTTTTTGGCAACCTAGGCTCATCAAGCGCAGCTGCATCGTCAGCACAAACCACCACAGCCAGCTCTGGAAGCACTCTTTTTCCTTCTGCGCCGGCTGCCACTAGTGCACCATCGAGCGGCAATCTGTTCGCGCCCGCAGCCTCTACTACTGGAAGTTCTGGAGCTTCGACCGCAACGGGAACTTCTGCTACTGCAGGAGGCGCCAGTACCAACACAGGAGCCGCGACTGTCTCCGGTCCGCCCCCATCCAATGGTTCGCGTCTTGCACAGAAGTCGCTTGACGAAGTTCTCACCATGTGGTCAACTTCACTTACGCAGCACCAGAAGACCTTCCAGTCGCTAGCCAAGAAAGTCCAGACGTGGGATCGGGCGCTTGTTGAAGACAGCACCAAGATCTCGCAGCTTTATGGGCGATGCTTCCAGGCTGAGCGCGACTGCGCCGAGGTTGAACGACAGCTTAGCAATGTTGAGCATACACAAAATGAGATCGAGAAATTCCTTGACAAGTATGAAGATGAGGTCGATCGAATGATGGGCACCTACGGCGTAGGCGAAGACGGCATTGGCGGTGTTGATGCCGAACGTGAGCGCACTTATAAGACTGCTGAGAACTGCGCTGCTCGCTTGAACGATTTCAGCTCCTCTCTGACCGACATGGTTTCGGAAATCAACCTCACGAGCGACAAGTTGCAAGGCAACAAGAACGCCAACGATGCTTCTGATCCTCTCAAGCAGATCGTCGGCGTCCTCAATAGCCATCTTCAGCAGCTTCAGAAAATTGGTGCAGGTGCGGCGACCTTGCAGGAACAAGTGACAACCGCTCAGCGCGAAGCGAGGAACTTGAACAACTCGCAGGCCCTCAATGGAAGCCGAATTGCAGATGCGTTTGGGCAATCGTATGGTTTTGGACGAAGATAATGCCCGATAGGGCTTCATGCGGATATGATGAACAGGTGAACAGCATAGACAGGTGCATTCGTGGCGTTGGAAAGGCATGGGCAACAACTCTTCAGAGAAGGCGGGCGAAAAGCGTGCCTCGTGTAGTATAGAATGAAATTGTTGCGCTACAACGCCAAACGCGAAGAGAGACATTCGAAAGAGGCCGCCATGGCACTGCTTCATCTCACGTTCCGGCCGGGACCTGGCCTGCAGGACTGTCAGAATCACTGGCTTTCCAAGGACTTCCGTCTCTTGAGGCACCACTCATAATATGGTTCTTGATGGAGGGACGTAGAACGATGGCTGGTGCTGTTTAGAGTTCGCGCCAATTCGAAACATCATCACTCATTGACCATTGCTTTGCATGCATCAATCACATATACTTGGCCATCGATCAACCATCTTCTGCTCGCCGTCACATCACAATCCGGCCAACCACGCATTTGCGTGCCATCCCTGCCCTCGCCCACGGCATGTGCTGAGGACATTTCTCTAATGTATGTGTCAGCGCATCTCGGGCTGCCCTCCTGCATTGGTGCAGCTTTCTCTCCCACAAGCCGTCTCAGCAGCAGCAGCAGTGGCAGGCCTATGAGAAGCCCCTCTGCCAGCACTGCCTCATGTATGGGCGGATGTCGGCACCTGCTTTCCGCGTTGGAGACGGTTGCCTCGTTTGCCTTGCGAAGAAGGTTTGCGGCTTGGTCATTGCATTGATCAAGGGAGTAGTGCGGAGCTGAACCAAGCTATCAGAGGTACAATTGGTACAGAAATTCGGTCGTCTACTAGGATCATTTAGGGGATGTGCGCATGCGTAAAAGCCTGGACGGCAAGCAGAGGCCTTGGGTCTCCTGCGAAGAGCTTGCTGATGCAAGATGGCTTCAGAGAGGCTGGACTCTGCAGGATCGAGCCTACTGTCTGGTTGGCCCGTTCAATATCTCTCTGGCACCGGAGTACGGCATCACTGGGCATCGGGCGTTTCATTTGCTGTAAAAGAGGCAATCGTTCGGCAGTCTTGCGAATTGGACGAGTCAATCTCCGTGTGGGACTCCGATGAATGATAGTCGGCAAGATGAGCTTTTTGCCAACTCGCCAAAGGGTTTCCGGCATGGTGGCGATCAGCACCTCCTTCCTTCAGGCGGCGAAAGATATCGCGTCCGCTCGATGAGTCTGAGTCTGCAGCATTCGCCGCATTGGAGATCCATGCTCGTCAATGTCCAGATTGCTACCATCTGGGCGAAGTGCTGCTTGCTGGAGGGAAGCGCTGTCGTACTGGTCGAGGTGTAGGGAAGCGCGTCGACTCATACGCCTTCTACAGAGGAGGCAAGGCGTTTAGTCGGGAAGAAAGCGAACGCCTTCAGATTCTTCTGGAAATTCCTCAATCTTTTCAGCAAGTTTGGGACTATCTGTCGACGTGAGCTCCGGTCACGGGCATTATATCACGTTCGGATGGTTATGTAAATGTGTCCTCGCGTAGACCTCGGCATTGGTGCACAGACGCAAAGCCAAGACGCGCTTCCCTTTCACCCACATGCAACAATCCTCCTCCTTACATCAACTCCGCAGCCTATCATACTGAGCGCTGAGGGACCTGTGATCTCTGTACGCGACTTCAAATCTCTGCAGGGCCATGTGCTGGGCATTGTGGTCGACTTACTCCGCATGCCGGGCCGTGCAGACGCTGGCATGATGCCCGGGCAACGATGGGCACAGTTGGCTAGCTACACCTGCAGATATCGGCTTGTGCGAGCACAAAGATGCTGAGACCGCTCAGCCCGAATGGTCGTCGCGCACGGTGTATCCAGGGCGCATTGTGTGCTACAAAGAATCCAGCTTCTTCTGCGAGAAAAACAGACGCGTTCCAGGCAGGATGGACCGCCCATCCGCTCTAGACCCTGCGGCACAGAAGCAAGCATGGATTCGAAAGGCAGTCCCGACAGTCCAGAATCTCCAAAGAATCTCAAAGCCGTTCCGGAAGGAGAGGATGCACCAGAGGTCAGGCCTTCCAGGCGTGTCCGGACCACGAGCAGAAACAGGCAGCTTGGGACGATGATCCAAAGTCCTTGACTTCTCTGGACAGCTGCACTGCACTGCTGCAGCTTCTCGCGGAGCCGGGATAGTTCCCAGAAACGAGACATGGATTTTCAGCATCGGTTGCTGCATTGTACATAATAGCAGTCCTCACTGTCGGCATCGTGCTTGGCGTCCATTTTGGGAAGCGAGAGGATAAGAAGACACGCGTTCCGGCATCACGCAGCGTGAATACGAGGTGACGAAGCGAAGTCCTAGTCTAGCATTGACGTGACTGATGATATGAGATAGTTCGTCAACGGTGGCGACATCGACATCGAGAGTCGAAGCCATGCCTACACCGACCTCTCCCATGTCCACGGTTATTGCGCAAACCACGTCAGCGCTAGACTCTTGTACCACGACAGCCACGATCGCTGCCGCTGCGGTGGAACCGATTGGTACCGCTGCCGAAGACCTGGGCTGCTTCGAGCAAGGAAATCCCGACAAGCAGGACCCATTATGCGCTCAGCCGAGTTGCCCGCCCGGGTATAGGAGCGTTTGTATCTGATATGTAGCTTCATTTCTTTCTGTTTGATGCCTGCCCTATCATACTTTGGCAAATGGCGAACTGTTGGGGAACGATAAGAACACCGAGGGTACGAGAAACATGCAAGGGACCACGCTCAGTGGCCAGTCAAGCAAGCACGGCAGTCCGCAGTAACGATAGCAATGGTGTACTGTACCGTGTGGGTGAGCCTGTGCCGCATCCGCTGGCAGACGTCCACATGCCGGTAACTCAGAGCCTGGAATCGATCGCCACATGGTGGTTACCGCCGCTTGATTGTCGGATCCGCACAATGCCATTAATGCTCGTGAAATCATGGTCATGTGAAAGTGCAATTCCACCGCCGAGCTCCACCACTGTGAAGGAACATTACCGATAGCTAATGGCTCAGCAGTAGCACCTCCGGAGGATTGCACGAGCACGGAAGAGGTCCACGGTTGCACAAACGAATACCTATCAATGCCTATAAGCAGAAAAAAGACACTGTGCATTGACCGAGCGTTCCATTGCATTCGTCCAATGGCGGCTTTGCTGACGTGGCTAGCACTACTGCAGGCCTGGATGCTTTAGCCGGGGAGCAAGTTGCTAACTCCCCAGCGCTCTCATGTTCAACGACATCAGAGTGCTCTAGGTTGCACACTATCTGTCAGCCGTTGCAGGTCTCGAAATCCTTAGTAGAAACACCACCCATACGAAATGGTGGACTGCATGGGTTGATACCGCCGCCATGTGGACAGACCAGACCGCAGCCTCTGGGCAACCGCCAGCACGACATGGTCCTGGATCGACGACTTTAGAGTTTTCAAAAAGACTACTAATTGCTTGCTCGGGTAGCTCGACTGTCTGCGATTGTTGAATCGGCCCTGCTGCTACAGTTGTCACTGGACAAACAAACCATCTCCGATTCCGTTTCCAGCAGAGGCAGAGCTATTTTCGTTTCCGCAACCTTCCTTTTTGACGGTCACTACCAGAAGACACTATGGCAGCCTCTTGGGATATTCCCATACAGGAAGACGGCCATGTCCTTGTGACTATGCCAGATCTGTTCAAATCTTTCCTTGCCGCCGAACCCACCATTCGCCCAGACTACGAAAAGTGTCAAGAAGATACGGCGCAATGGCTCATCGAAAGACTCGCTTTCGATAGCAAGGCTGCAAAGAAACTGATCTTGGCCGATTTCACGTATTTCGTGCAAACATGGGTGAGACGGTTTTTTCCCAACGACTGACTATTCAATGGGCCCTAACATACGACCGTGTAGGTGCCAGGCACACCGTATGAACGATTTCGACTTGCCAACGACTGGACGAACCTTTTCTTCTACTACGACGATTTGTTCGACGACGGAGAGTTGAAGAACGACCCGATACGGGCACAAGCGACCGTGGACCGTCTCTTCGCTGCTATCGATGGCGATTTTGTCCCTGCCGATCCCCACGATCCGAGCTTGGACTATGTCGACAGAAACCAAGCCGCACACGATGAGTTCTGGCAGAGACTACGTGCTCTGGCCTCTCCGGGGCAACGACGACGTTACAGACGATCGATGTTCAACTATTTTAGCGGTGCACTGCGGCAAGTCCTGGACTGCGAGAACCACTTCGAATACGACAGGAGTTTGGACGATATCTTGGAACGGAGAAGAGACTCGGTTGGCATGGAGGGTGTGCTTTCGTTGCTTTACTTTGCATTCAATCTCGAGATAGACGATTCTGTCATGGAGGATCCGAAGATGAAGGAGATCGAAGGACTGTGCATAGATCTGTTCGTGCTGCAGAACGATGTTGCCAGTCACCGGAAAGAAGAGGTATGCCATGCATGCACTACTTACTGATCGTCGACGCTGTAACGATCGATGCTGACCGAATCCCACCTACTCATCAGGCTGAGAACGTTACACACAACATGGTGGCCACCTGCCGTCTCAACGGTATGAGTGCACAAGAAGCATACGACCACACCGGCGCCATGATCGATAGCCGCCTCGCTCGATTAGACCAGTGCATCGCCGAACTCCCGTACGTCGACGACCAGGTAGCAACCTATATCCAAGGAATGAAGAACGTGCTCATCGCCAACGTCCATTGGAGCTTCCGGGGCCAGAGGTACTTTGGCTCTCGCAATGCAGAAGTACGCAGGACTCGGGTGATCGACGTGCTCGCAGATCCAGAATACTTGAGGCATATACGCGAGGACAGCGGCGGCAAGGACAAGAACCACAAGCGCGACAGCGTCTTGGATGTCTCCCCGAAACTCAAACCGCAAGGTATCAATGTAGATTCTGCAGGAGAGGTAGGCCCGAGCCCTGCACATTCTGCACAGGCGGGGGTAAGTGAGGAGGAGCTCCAGCTCGAGCTTGAGGAAGCTCAGATTTTGGAAGAGCTGGAGCGCGCCAAGTTGAGGGTTGTGAGAGTGAAGCGCAAGTTGGAGGAGTTTAGACGACGTCGGTAGATCTGCTGACGTTTGACGTGTGACCTCGGATTGGAAGATTTCTGGTGGAGATTGTTGTGAAGCTTGTGATTATTGACGATGGCTACAGGACAGGGTGATGGAAGACCGCCCCCCCCCCCCCCGCATTAGATTGGAATCGTGAGCGTGCATTTTGGCGATTGCATTCGCCTCTCTCTTTTGTTTGTAAGCGAGGCGTACATCTTCTCTTGAGATAGATCGTGTGATACCATGCATCTAGTCGATGTTATGATCGTCTCCATGAAAGAATCTCAAGACAGCAGCGGCCACGATTTCTCCATCGTGTTCCAAATGTGCCGTCTCTTCTGCGTCCTGCACCTCTGCGGCATCATTCTCATCGATGGCTCCCGATTTCTGCCGGAGCTCGATTTGCCTTCGCACCATTTTTTCGTCAAAGCCAAGGTGGCCTTGACTTGTGAATAGCCTATCTCGAATGTAGAGACCCTGTATCTTGGTATGCTTTGTTGATGCCCAGATATGCACCCTCTGGTCCTTTCCGAGCAGGTCAGAAGTTTCCGATGATGGTACAGTTGTGACTTGGTCTTGGTGCATCTGATGCACAGAAATCGTGTCATCTTCGGTCAAAAAAAGCTTCTTGCCGACAGGAGAAAGTTCCATGGATGTGTGAGAAAGCTCCCATTTCTCTCCGGGCGTGGCCTCGACTCTCGCACCCAAAGTCCGTGCAAGAATCTGGTGACCAAAGCAGATACCGCTGAATCTCATATTCGGTCTTGTCCGCCACAACTCCTCGATGAGAGATATTGTTTCCGTAATCCATGGATCATCTCCATGAGCATCGTACATTGATCCCGTGATAAGTATTGCTGTAGTTTTGTCCGATATGTCGGCGGCTCTGGGTACTTTGCCATGATGGCCATTTGCAGGATCGTCCACAATGAAGCGCATGTCTGTTTCTATGCCGAGAGGTGGATCATGTCTGTCTCCGGCGGCCCTAAATAATCGATCCATGATCTCTCCAAATCGTCCTCTGTGCTTCATGGTCTCTGGATGAGGCTCATCGGTCTCCAACACCAGCATCTTGACGGTCTCTCGCGGAGCCACATCGTCACAAGGAGCATTCTCGCTCTCCTCGCGAGAGAGCCGGAACGCTTTGTGGATCAGAGACGTATGTATTACGGACTTAGACATAGTGTTGATGACCAAGATTCTGTTTTCAGTGAATAATGTTCTGTGGCTTCAGGTACCTGCTCAGCCACGACGGCCGTCTATAAGTACCAAATCACTCCACAGCCTAGCCTTGATGCCGACTGTACTGAGTGGAGACTTGCCATGGAATGAAACCGTGCACCCGACTGGCGGAACATTAGTGGCGCTAGAATAAAGAAAAGTCCCCTTCCAATGTCATCATCAATAGTGGACACCAAGACCCTGAGCCTGGGGTGCAAGCATGATATTAGTCAAATCCACGCAATGGTTTGACGCGATGGTGGAATCGAGGTGGAGAATTCTGGTTGGCAGTTCTTGGCGTACGCAATTGAATGCCGTCTTGTCCGTAGGGCTGCAGAATGCTGTAGCCATGGCATGCAGACGTTCAGAAGCCGTGCAAAGATGATTGTAAGCTTTACGAGATCTCATGAGAACAGCAACCAAAAGATGGGCCTCTTTGATCAGCATCCGATGCAAATCGACCGCCGCATGAGCTAGAGCAAGCAGAAAGAAATTTTCCAGAGGCCTGCAACCATCTGGTAATTTCAAATCGTATTGCAAAATGGGGTATCATAGCTGAAAGGAAACTAGAGCAGCTCAGGGCGGAATGCTCGTCAGCTCGCTGCGCAACTGTGTCCGTATCTCCTCATACAAGGTACGTTTAGTGGCTTGCGTACTACTGCTGGGAGAATGTGGAGCAGTTCGCTTGGGTGGCGTAGGTTGTGCCCAAGTCGGTCGCCATGCACTACTGCCTGGACCCGGCTGATCTGCTTGAGCAATGCTCGGCGGAGGCCAGGCTGCGGCAGGAGTCGCGCTTGATGTCGGAGCCCGGGATTTGTATGCAGCATCATAGGGCAATGCGAATCTTGAGCTGGTTGCAGCATTCGCCAAGACCCGGCCTGCGGAGTCGGGAGTATCATGCAGTGATGATGCAGGAGGTGCCCGGGTATTAATGCCTGCCGAAGGGCCTAAAGGCGAGGCTGCAGGTGCTTTAGAGAGCACGATTTGGCCAGACCCATTCGGATTTGCTCCTGTGTGCGTGAAATTGTTGGGTATGGTGCCTGGGGAAGCGGGGGGCGCGGCAGAAGCTGTAGAGGGAGCAGGCCCTTGATGACTCGTTGATGAACCGGGCCCATTCGGCTGCTCAGTAAGTACAGGTCGCACGCAGGAGTACAACATTGCCCGTCTCTCGGGTAACCCTGGTTCCGGAACAACAATATCCTCCGCTTCTAGGATATGCGAGGAAGATTCGTCTTCATCTGCAGCCTTTTCCATGAACGGCAGAATGATTTCCACCGCGTCTGGAATGCGTCTGCAGACCTCCGTGAGTGCTTTCGCCAGTTGTGCTTGGGAAGTGGTGTGGATAGCGTTCAAGCAATCGTTGCGTTGTTTGTCCCCATCATTTTCTTCTTCAATCTCGCTCTTCAGCTCAACCTCCTTATTCAGAAGTCGCCAAGGTCTGCCAACATTTGAGACATCTTGCTTGGTCAGATATTGCACCTCTTGCGTTACATTTCCATACTTCTTGAGGATCCATTTGTGGACGCAAGCGAAGGTGTAGCGCTGCTCCACCAAAACCTTAGCATAGTACATGATAGCATCGCTCCTCTTGAAGCGATCGAGCATCGCAATGTCATGCTCGTGCTGATGTTCATACTCTTTTGTCTTCTCTGTTCGATCCATGTGCACCCATTCCGGTATACATTTGCAGCCCATGAAGCCTGGAGGTGCTCCTGGTTGGTCTTTCGACCATGGGCAGGACTCGTGATGTTTCGTGTATGAAATGAACCTGATACGCATTTTGCATTGCGCTGAGTCGCCCAAGATGCCGTCCTTGGTGTTCTTATTCCTTTGACCCCTGCTTTGACTCTCTTTCGGGGGGTTGGCCATAATCTTGACGCGTCTTCGGTTGCGACACTCCCAGGCTTCTGTAACGGTGCCATTGCGGTTTCTCTCCGGCTTTGTAGATCTCTGGTATACATTGGTCATGTGGAGCCAGTAGTCGCATATCTGCTGGCTATCAAGCAGTATCGGCTTGTCATATCGAAGAAGCTTGTCTCGTACGGCGTCGAGATCATGAGGAATAGGCCGGTACTTCAAGTGCTTGTTGGGGAACTGGATCGTCGAGCCGACGACTGGCGGCAAGTCGAGCAGTTTTCTGTTGGTAGGATCTGTGCCGAGCGCGATCGGTTTGGGTGTTCGTGCTTTGCGTGCTGGTGAAGGTCCCGACGGCTCTTGTTCCTGTTCGCGCTCCTGCTGCGGATGTTCGGGCGTGTCCCAGGCCTGGAACCGGCCATACTCGCCAGATAGACCGTATCCTTGATGTAGGTATGCATCATGTGGTACCGGCGCGGCTGTGAACGCGCCATTTGGCTGCGCGCCTACATTTGGCAGCAGCATTGAAGGTATCGTGGTTGCGAGCTCTCACTATGCGGCGTCGATGGGACTCTGCCAAGCTTTCAGGGCTCAGGCTGTGGGGTGGGGAAAGCAGAGAAAGGTGGAATGAAGGTAGGTACCCCCGCACTTCTATGGTCTACGCACAACCTGCGATGCTATGAATCTTGCCATCTGCCTCCCATTTCCCAAGCTTTCGCAGCCTTCAAAATGCTTAGCTCATCAAACCTCTTCGCAACCAACTGCATTCCCACTGGCAGCCTTCCTTCTGAACCTTTGACCTTGCCCCAGCCCACAGGCATAGACATGCCCGGATGTCCGGTGACATTGAAGGAGCATGTATTCATCGTGTTGCCAATAGCAGGCTCGAAAAGGTCCATAATCTTCTCAGTCCAGCCATTCGGATTCTGTTCGGTCTTCTTCACAGACTCGGGATGGGGAGGACCAACAGTCGGATTCACGGGAGTCAGGAGCACGTCTACCTCCTCAAAAGCCTTGTCGTACGCAGCTCGTAGCTCATGGATATGCATATATGCCTTTCTCACAAGAGCAGGCCCATATCTCTGCTCCATGTGGACAGCGTTGAGAATAACATTGAGAATGGCCGGGTTGCGATGCGCAAGCTCATCGTAGAAGCGTTGATCAACAGGAAGTGGATCTAATCCCGGGAGAGGGTACTCAAGCAGATCTGAAACTCGGTTGTCGACCTTGTGGGGCATGAACGCTCGACCAGCGACGGTCCATACGGCGGCACCAAAATGATGCTCTGGTATCGAAATTTCCTTGACGTCTGCTCCCAGGCTTATATAGCGCTCTGCAGCAGCTTTCACCGTGCTGGCTATTGAGGATTCAAGCCCCAGAACATCGAATGACTCCTTCAGGATGCCAATCCTGAGTCCTTTAGCAGCAGAACTGCTTATCCATTCGTTTTGCTCTTGCTTGGACGTGATCCAAGATTTCAAAGCTCCGAGGTAATCTGGTACCTTCTCTCGCAAAGGAGATTCTGGCGTCATGCGTGGATCGATTCCATCATAGCCGGCTAGTGTTCCGAGAAGCAATGCTATGTCTTCAACTGTTCTTGCCATTGGTCCAGTGTGGTCAATCAGAGGATTCAAGGAAGCAATGCCGGTGTAAGGGATGAGACCGTGGGTGGGCTTCAGGCCATAAATTCCGCTGTAAGCCGCCGGCAGTCTGATCGATCCACCCTGATCACCCCCAATGGCCAGATCAACTCCTTCACCTAGCGGATATGTTCTGTCGTCATTTCCCAACTTCCTTTCGTTCTCAACATCACCTAGACTGACGAGAGCGCCGCATCCACTGCTGCTTCCACCAGTTGCGTATCCTAGAATGATTCAGCAGAAGCCAATTACGGCTCGCAAAATTATGCTCACCTGGCAGCCATGCATTATGAACTGCTCCAGAGTATGAAGTGTAGGACACTGGAAACATAGAAAAGTTCTCGCAGTTCGCCGTTCCTTTCACAATGCCTCCTGCTTCGAGCACACGCTTAACGACAGAAGCATCGATGGCACTGATGGGATGCTTTCCATCCTTGAAGTGCTTGGGTGAGCATCCAAGCCCCAGGGGCAGACCTCCAACCGAAACATTGTCTTTGAAAGCAACTGTACGTCCAGCGAGTGGACCATCGCGGGCTTTTGAATCTGCTGCCACAAGGCTGGTTTTGTGCGCCCAGCCGTTCAAGGGATTTTCATCATGACCTGGCTTGCGGAACTTCCTTTCGCCTCCTTCAACTGCTACAGGCTGCAAACGAGGATCGTGGTACTCGGGTAAGTTGTTGATGACGTGGCAGACTGAGTCGAAGCTGTTTGCGAACTGCAGGAAGGCTTGCTCGTTAAGGCTGCCGGACTCAATCGAGAAGTTGCTCGCCTCGCAAACCCTTTTCAAGTCGTCGAGCGTGCATGTTGGCTCTCCGGTAGCCAGAGCAACGATTGACATCTTTCCCAGGCTACGATGTTCCGGCAGATTGATAGCTGTTGCTATAAGTGCCCAGACCGCCGTTCAACGGAGCCGAGGAGCGGGCAAAACGACTTTCGTTATTCTGCTCCGATCTCGAGGCCAGACTGTAGCAGCGCTCGGCCAGGTGATAAGAGCAGCTTCTTGGCCGTGCCCGCCGGCAGCTGCAATGCGGCATCTTGTGCAGGCATGAAGCATCACGCAGTGCCTGTTGCGGACACCATAAAATTGCCCTGCGACATGGACGCGTCGCCAGCCTAACGTTATCTTCTACTGACAGCCTGAGGCGACGACGGGAATGGATGGACACAAGATGCAGAGACGAGGTCGAGATGGGATGCTTGGCTTGGCTTGGCTTGGCGGCAATGGGCTTCCACGGCCGAGATTCGGAAAATCATCCCTGTCGTCCTTCCCATCGAACACCACTTCTCACTTCTCACTTCTCCTCATCTGAGGCTCATCCTCGACGCGGGCCTTGTTTCCCAGGCCAAACGTATCGCCCACTGGTCGGTCAGGGCAGTGCAAGGCAGCTGGATAGCTGCAGCAGCCGATGATGGATGAGATCACGGCTTTGGATCGAGCATCACAGAAGTACGTGTTGAGACAGAGCACGAATCGCTTGTTGTACCCACCGCCATGGAAAGCATACGTGCATCTGCATGGAGATCTGCGCCTCCTCACCACCAGCGCGACGTCCACGCAACACCTCACGTCCTCCGCTGCTCGAGCCTCGCCGAGCCTCGCCTCGCCTCGCCTCGCCTAGCTCTCCCACCCACCAGCTCTCACATCCCAGCATTGGGCGTACAGTACGGCTTGCCTATCTGTCCTACTCCGCGCCATGCAGGCACAGCTTGTACGCCGACGTTAGTGTGGAGCAATGCATGCCGAGGCGCGACAAACCGCATAGACGTCGACTACGAATTGTAAGTACTGTGTAGGTTGCCTCTCACGGACACCTGCACGCGTCTTCCCACCTCATCCCCTCTCATCTTTCCCGTATACCTGACATGGCCTCTCCGACATCTATCACAGACACATGTCGCCTGGGCGTGGATGTTGGAGGCACATTCACCGATGCTTGCGCCTTCTCTCCTAAAGGGAAGATATACAGAGCCAAGGTCGCATCCACACCTCATGACCAGTAAGTGCAGCGCAGCACGTCCAGCAATACCTATAATCAGAAGCCGTTACTGCATTACTGACCTCCGCAAGGTCGATCGGCGTCCAAAATGCCATCGAGAAAGTCAGAGGCGTCATACAGGCCGAAGAGACGTTCGACGGCAAGTTTGGCTCCCTTCACCACGGAAGCACAGTCGCAACCAATGCTTTGCTCGAGGGGAAAGGCGTACCGGCGGCTTTGATCGTGACCGAAGGCCATAAAGACGTCCTGGTCGCTCGACGCTCTCAAATCCCCGGAGGCCTTGCAGCATGGATCAATTGGACCCCGCCTGCCCCTTTGATACCACTGGAAAGAACAATACAAGTGTCAGAAAGAATTGGGGTGGGCGGCCAGGTCGTCAGATCTGTGGACAAGGACAAGTTGAGAAGGGAGCTTCTCGGCGTGAAAGGCAAAGTACAGGCCGTCACTGTCAGCCTGCTGAACTCGTGGGTTGACGGCTCCCACGAGAAGGAAGTAGCAGAGGTTGTAAAGGAAGTGCTCGGCAAAGAAGTAGAGGTATCATTGTCGCATGAAGTGCTTCCTGAATTGGGAGAATATGTAAGTGAAAGGAGCGCTGAAGATATCTGCGATAATCGCTATACTGACATTATCTCACCCCAGGAAAGGACCGTTACAGCCGCAGCGAACTCCGTGGTAAAGCCTGAAGTCAAGCGGTATATGGCTGGTCTTCGAGACAAGCTCACGAACGACACTTCAACTGTCCGTATCTTAAAGAGCGATGGAGGATTGACAAACCTTGATCTGGCAGGCCGGCTCCCAGTGAACATTCTGATGTCCGGACCAGCCGGTGGAGTGAAAGGAATCACTAGTATCATCGCGAAAGCGACTGAGCACAAGAATCTCATCTCTCTGGATATGGGCGGCACTTCCACGGACGTTGCATTGATTGCCAACTCACAGCCTTCGTTGCGGAGAGAAACCATGGTAGGCGATCTGGCTGTGCGATCACCGTCTGTAGACGTGAGGACGATCGGTGCTGGTGGTGGTAGTCTGGCATTCTATTCACAGCTGACAAACTGTCTGCGAGTTGGGCCAGAGTCATCTGGGGCTAACCCAGGGCCAGCTTGCTATGGCAGAGGTGGCACACAGGCGACGGTAACCGACGCAAATCTCGTGCTCGGCTACCTGCCAGAGACCCTCCTGGATGGCGAATTCAAGCTAGATGTGGCAGCTGCTCGTGCTGCTGTAGACAAGCTCGCAAAGGAGATGGGAAAGACGCTGTACGAGACGGCAGAAGCGATAATTGATCTGGCCAACGAGGCTATCTATGGCGCGCTTCGCTTGGTGTCTGTCGAGAGAGGATACAACCCGGCTGACTTCGCGCTTGTGGCTTTCGGCGGCGCAGGCCCAATGTGTGCCAATGCTGTGGGCAAGCTCCTGGGAGCATGGCCCGTCATTGTTCCAGCCGCACCAGGCATCCTTTGCGCTCAAGGTGATGCTACCACAAAGATGAGCCATGAGCTTTCGGCCTCATACATCCATCTGCTACGATCTACCACAATGGAGAGCATCGGCAAGGAATACAAGATCCTCAAAGACAAGTGCGAAGCAACAATGAAGGAAGCTCTGGACATCAAGGAGCCACTTCTCGATGTGGTCTATGGCGCTGCACTAAGATATAAGGGCCAAGCACTCGAACTAGGTATAACACTTTCAGAGGAGGATCTCGGAAAGCCAATGGAGGAGTTCGAGAAGATTGCTCATGAGAAGTTCGACAAGATCCACGAACAGCAATTCTCTTACACGCTAGAGAACTTCTCATTGGAGCTCACGAGACTTACAGTCACCATTACGGATGCATCGCCAGATGTCGAGATTCCAAAGATTCCCTTGGCCGAGTCGGAAACTCCACCAGAATCTGCGATACTGGAGAAGAAAACCATCGTAGTCCAAGGCAAAGAGCACAACGCAACATTCTGGAGTCGGTCTGCAATCACCAAAGAAGGGTTCAAAGTGCTCGGACCGGCCGTGGTTGTGGAGATGGACAGCAACACCCTCATCGCCCCAGGTTTCCAGGCAATCGTCGATTCGGTTGGAAACCTGTGCATCTCACCAATGCCAGGTAATGAGGTTCCCACATTCAAGTCCAAGTTCGAAAGCATCGTCTCCGACAAGTCACCAGAAGAGCAAGCTGCCGAGGCCAGAAAGACCGTCGAGGAAATTCCCACGATCCCGACTCTGATCTCTAGCTCTCTTGCCTCCATTCGCGCCGAGATGGACACACTGATGCTCCGATGCTCGATGTCGCCAGCCATTCGTGAGCAGCAGGACGAATTCAACGTCATCACCAACGCAGGAGGCAAAATGTTGGTGGGACAATTCGGATCTTTCATCGGGCAATTCATGAAGATCTGGGCGTACAAAGTTAGCAAAGGCGACGTCGACGACTTCGAAGAGGGCGATGTCTTCGTCACGAACGATACCTACGAAGTCGAAGGCGCGGTATCTCATCTCAACGATGTCATCGTCTTGTTGCCCATCTACTACGAGCATAAGCTCGTTGGTTGGGCTGCGAACTTTGGGCATATGACAGATGTGCAAGGTCAAGTTCCTGGTTCCATGTCCATCAATGCGCAGACCATTTTCGACGACGGCCTTCAAATTCCTACGATGAAGCTATTCGAGAAGGGAAAGATGAACAAGTCCATCGTCGAGCTCATGTGCCGCAACAGCCGTCAACCGGAATGGCTTCGCTCTGACTTACTGGCCCTCATTTCCGCTTGCCGCACAGCTGCTACCAGAGTCTGTGAACTTTGTACGAGATTCGGACCGGAAGTTTACAAGGCCTCTACAGACATGCTCCTCCAGCGAACCAGGACCGCCATCAGCAAGATCGTTGAAGAGCATATGTCTGATGAGACATCTACCTTCGTCGACTTTGTTGACGATGATGGTCACAGCAAAGGCCCTTTCGCTGTCAAGTGCACGCTGAGCAAGCCTGCAAAGAACAAGTTGAAGTTCGACTGGCATGGCACCAGTCCTCAGGCAAGCAGCAGTATCAACTACTATCTGAGCGAGACCATGTTCAAGGTAAGTTCCAAGCCTATAGAGCCAAGGAAAGCGCTGCTGACCTCACCCTTCAGATGTTTGTGGGATACTACCTCCTAGCAGTGTACTCGCCATACACCATTCCAAATGATGGATTCCACGATCTGGTCGAAGTCGACATCCCGCTCGGGTGCATTTTGAAGCCGGTCCGGCCAGCTGCGATCTCATGCAGAACGCATTTCCTTGGACGAGTCATGGACGTCATGCAGGCACTCTTTGGCCAAAAGAATTCTTCGTTCATGACTGCAGCCGGCTTCAGTGACTCGCCTCACTTCTTCTACTCGGGATTCAAGCCTAATGGAGAATGGTATCAGCTATACCAAATTGCTTTCGGCGGAGTACCTGCACGTCCCAAGGGCGATGGTCCCGACTGTCATTGCTTGTTCCCAGCAATCAAGAGCGTACCGACCGAGTCCATTGAACTCAACTTCCCTGTTCGACTTGACGTCAACGAGGCTGTTGCGGACAGTGGTGGAGCTGGCTTCCACCGTGGCGGAAATGCTCAGCTTACCAAGTATCACTTCTTGTCTGCTGGTGAGTTCAGCTTGCACGACGACAGATGGTTTACCAAGCCTTGGGGTGTTCGAGGCGGAAAGCCAGGAAGCCGAAGCCGTAAGGCCATTCACAGATCTGATGGCACGATTGAAATGCTGCAGTCCAAGTGCGATCACGTCAAGGTGAAGCCAGGAGACGTTTTAGAATGGCAGACATGGGGAGGTGGAGGGCTCGGCGACCCTCTTACTCGGCCGGCTGAGACCGTTGCTCTGGAGGTCAGGAGGAAGCTCGTCACAGTGGAAGGAGCCAAGGCCAACTATGGCGTTGTCATCAACCCTGTGACTCTCGAGCTTGAGGAGGCCGCGACGGAAACTCTGCGCGCCGACATCGAGAAGGCAGAGGCAGGCGTTGAAGCTGCTTTGTATGACCGTGGTGGGACTGTTGCTGAGCTGGTTGCAAAGTGCAAGAAGGATACAGGCTTCGATGCGCCGACGCCTCAGTGGGAGGAGGAGATCTATGGTCCTCATTGCGCACTCCCATATGTGCGGGAGTGGTACAAGCAGGCTCGCGAGGAGAAGTACCAGATGTGGGGTGTATAGTCCATGTTGTCAAGTTACACGTTCTCGATTACTGAGCTGACTTTCTCACTGTACGGTGACCTGTCTGCAGTGTTGAATAAGACGTAGACATTTCCGCTTGACTGCCGCATAGATTCCGTACTTGAATGCGCGGGCAAATAGTAACACCGATATCATGCTCATGTGTTACTATTCTTTCAGACCGTTCAGCAGTCAGCAGCCAGGCCAGGCCAGGCCAAGCCAAGCCAAGCCTTGGGTTCGATCGGAGCCAAGGCAAATGAGCGGACAATGTTGATGCCTGGGTGGTAGTACATCTTTCGTATAGCGACGTACGTAAGGCATGGCATGGCATGGCATGGAATGAAATGACTGCAGGACAGCGACCGAATTATGAATCTGCGAATGCGACCCTAAACGAACTACGAACGGGAGCTTGGTCGTGCGTCGCACCGTGTGTACGAAAGTAACTTATGACTCCGCCTGCTTAGTTTCATTATTAGGCATCTGCATTTCTGGCCATGCCATGCCATGACCAAGGCTACGCGCTCCAAGGATTCGGGCAGGTTTTGATATATGTGGTGGTCGCGCCATCTCTTCCTCCTGTGATGATGACCAGCTTTTCTAATTCTCCGAATCAAACCACCCTAACCAACAACACATGACTTAGTTCTACCTCTCGGTCACCGACTTCCCTTCCCTTCGATCTCGAAAAATCTCCATCGACCAACAACTCCCCGAATCCCGAACTTCATCAATCAATCAAACAAACAAAAACAACATGTCTTCGCCAGCAACAGCAATAACTGCAACCGGCTCAGGCTGGACCGACCATTTCTTGGAAAAATTCATCCAAGCTTCAATATCAACCTCAACCTCTACATCTCCAGCTCCAAGAAGCAGTCTCGAAACTTCTCGCAATGCCACATCATCATCATCAACAACACTTTCGCAATCCCCGCCAAGATCTGCTCCAAGACCTAAAGCACCTGCTCGCTGAAAGTGTAACGTCAGTGTCAACATCAACAGGCAGCGAACGACGGAAATTTTCTTATGATAATCCTGTGTCAAGATGCAGTGGAGAAGACGATCTGATCGATACCTTCAGCATTACATCCTCAACAACATCCTCGGAGACTTCGTCAGGAAGGCAATCTTTCTATATTCCTACACGAGAACGAGAACGGAGTATCACGACTTCAGCGTCCGAGGTCTCATCCGTCTCCACGGAGACCTTTCCTTAAGAGGGTGAAGAGGTCGTTTTTTGTTACGGCGTGGGTTGTGAAGGAAGAGGGTGAGAGGCAGATGGATGAATTGCGAGAATGTTCATTGGGATCGGATGACTGGACTGGGTCATGTTCTCTCATCACGAAAGGAAAGAATGGGGATGGGAATGAGGTTCTGAGTACTGTGCCGTTCCGTTCCGTTTCATGACATGCCATGTCTACTCCTCTGCTTATGATAGAACCCAAAGATGTAGATCGATATACAATCAGCGTTTACAAAGCCGCTCGCAGGAATTGCAAAGCATACTGCCGATTGACTCATCACGCGCGCATGAGATGAAATGCGTTTCCCTTCCTCGACAGGTACGTCTGTATTTCATCAATTCAAACGTGTTATGCTTCGGCTGCTCGAGGGCTCGTATGGGAGATGAGAATAGCACCATTACAGCTGCATGTTGTTGCTAGATGTATCTGAAGCTTCACGAAGCTATTCTGTCTGCCTCTCTTTCTTTGGTAGGTCAACAAATGAGAACCACCACCACCACCACCACCACAATTCGGCCCTCCACTTCTCAACCATAGAACAGGGAGCCATTTCATTCATTCCAGCCCGGTCCTCATGGTACGTGTGCCGACCGAGCAGCAAGAAAGCCTCTGCCGCACACACAGCGAATTTCATGCATGGGATATCATTCCAATCGTGACCGCCTTGACGAGCACCATTCACGCCATTGTATCATATGCCATCCAAGGTCGAGAGTTATCATGCCAATTCGATGTCTGCTCATCTTGCCGACTCTTCCAAGCGGCGCGGGTCATCGCGGCGCATAATGCTCTCTACTGGGCCCAGCAATCTCTGGAAGCCATCCTTGCCAAGTGTAGCCACCTTGACCTCAGTCGAGCTGATCACACTGGCTGCACGTGGCTTGTCGTCAAGCAGGGCGAGCTCACCGAAGTAATCGCCAATCTTATATGTCTTCAATGGCTCGCGCTCGCGACCGCGCTTGACAGCAATTGCCTCGCCTGCCTCGAGGATGTAGAATCGGTCTCCGACATCGCCCTCGCGGATGATCTCGGTGTTGGCAGGATACTTGGTGGTTTCCAAGGCATCGGCGATCTTGCTTCTCTCATATGGCGTGAGGGAAGAGAAAAGCTTGACCTCCTCCAGGAACGACTCATACATGCGGCGGCGCTGAAAGGCGGAGTCCATGAGAATACGTCGGAAGGTGACGCGGTCGAGCTGCCAAAGAATGCTTGGCTGGCTGCTCACAACGGTAGCAGCACGTGGTGCATTGTACATCAAGGCCAGTTCACCGAATGAAGTGCCGGGACCAGACACTGCCACTTTCGTTCCAAGGCCTTCAGGGCCGGGTTCCACCTTTCCCGTGGTGGAAACGTAAATGTCGAAGCTACCGGACTCTACAACGTAGAAGTAGTCGCCAGTGTCGCCTTGCGCAATGACGCGCACGTCTTTCCCGGGCACTTTCCTCTCCTGGAGGGCGCCAAGCACCTGTGCGGACTGTTCGTCGTCGAGGTGAGAGAACAAAAAGTTGTGGGAAACGGCGTCTTTCAGGCGCGCCAGCTGTTCGTCGGTCTTCGGATAGCTCGGCGCCTTCCAGTTGCTGTCATCGGCAGCGGCTGGTGCCAGCGACTCTGCCGAGACTGACGTGCGGCGATTCATGTTGTAGTTGTTTGGAAAAGACTGTGGTTGCTCCATGGCGCCAGCCGTCACGTTTGGTGGAGGGTTGGAGCGTGAGGCAGGACTGCTGCCAAAAGCAAAGTTGCCAAATGTGCCGCCGGGGACGCTGTTGGATGTGGCGCTGGGAGAGATTTCACGAACATTGGGTGGGAATGAGGAGGCGGTGGGTGACTGGAAGTCGTGTTCTTCCTCTTCCGCGACGGAATGCATGCCGGCCGCAGCTGTTGTCTGGCCTGGTGCAGTTGACGTGGTACCGAAGGGGTTGCTGCCGGGAAAGGTGCTCTCGGCCACACCCGGCTGGCTGGAATGTCGTTGCGATAGCAGGAACTCGTGGCGCTGCGATTCGAGGCGGCGGTGGAAGAAGTTGGCGCAGAACTGGAGGATGTCGGTGGGGTTGTTCTTGAGGATTTCGCGACTGAGCGCGCTGATCTCGTTGGTGTAGTCGGAGGGCAGTGAGGCGGCCGACATTGAAGCAAGGTGGCAGAGAATCGTCGGAGCAGTCGCTAGTCGGTGGAGGAGGAGTACTGCGGTGCGTGCAATGCTTGCTAGGCTAGGCACTGGCTCCGGCGGCTAGCAGCGTCTTGCTTGGGAGAAGCTGGGCTGGGCTGGGCTGGGCTGGGCTGGGCTTCGTTCGTTCGCGTGCTCGAGAGATGGCCGCTGGATCTGCAGGGCCGGCGGCGTGTGTGGAGTGCTTGACGTATGTCGGTCGCTAGGTGCTGGGGGGGCAGGCCGGGCAGACAGGCAGACAGCTGCTCGTCTCAGCCTGTTTGCGGGCGACGCGCCGGTATGGATTATTGTTTATTGGTGAGGATTGGCAGCAGCAGCAGCAGCACAGGACAGGGTTAGGGGGCCAAGGAGTTAAGGAGGCAGGTCGGGCTTCTGGAAGAGTGCGCGAACAACTCTGGGAGATGTTCACTGTTCACTCTTTGTTCCCAACTCAGCTAGCAAGTCGGCCCGAGCCTGCGAAGCGGGGCACTTCCAGCAGCCACGTCAATTCCGTCAATTCTGGTCGCTACACGGCGTCGCGATGGTCAGGCGCGAGAAGCTTGTTGCATGGTCGATGTGTGGTAGAAGAGGAGGATGTAAGCGAGCAACGGGCATGACGATGGGGCAACACATATATACCGTGGCTCCTGCTGGCACGAATGCCACGCGGTACCGTTGAGACCATGGAATTTCTGCCCTGCCGTACGTGCTACAGTATGCAGAGACAGAGGCAGAGGCAGAGGCAGCGGCATGGATGGCATTGGACGGCACACCTGAGACATGAGCTCTGCAGAGACGCTGACTTCACCTCTGGGGAGTCGGCGATTCAGCTGCTGAGTCCTTTTGCAGAGCGTCGAGCATCATTATTCACTTGGAACTAGTATCGATACATTCACTCGGAACCAGTAGTATGTGACGTCAAGGTGCATGCTCCGCTCCATAGAATACAAGGTCGTTCCGCATCGCGAGGCGAGCTCGTCTTCACCAGCCACTGGCATCGGCACTGCAGGGACAGCGTGTCTCAACGCATGAGACACCACCATATCTCTGCCACACCCCAATCTCTCTGCATTATTGCCATTGCCATTGCCATTGCCATTGCCATTGCCATTGCCATTGCCCCGTCTCCCGGGCAGCATCGCCATCATTTCAGCGGCCTCGGTCATCGCATTCCATTCGTTGCCGCCGCGTCGAGCAGCACCCCGCAAAATTCTGCGAACGATCACGAGTCGCTGAGCGACGTCGGTGCTGAGCGCGAGGCCGCGTCGTCCTCCTTTTACTCTCTCATATCATCAAGGTGAGCCACCAGCAGAGTGCAAAATGGGCTCTTACAACTTCCGATGTGAGTGCAAACCATCGCCCCCAGCCATCCCGCGCTGTGGCACAGCAGGAAGAGAGCTCAGCTCGAGCTCCCGTCGAGTGCCAGGCCAGGCAGCAAACGCAGACGTGCAGGAACCGGTCCGGCAATTGCTCGCGGACAGCAGCGGAGAGGCTGAGAGCTGACAATTCCTCTGCTGCCTTAGGGGGTCACCGAAACGACGTCGTCTACGTGACTGGCACGTTCGATAATTGGAGCAAGTCGGTCAAGCTCGACAAGAAGGATCAAGTGCACGAGAAGCGCGTGAATCTGCCCCAGACCGACGGCAAGATCTACTACAAGGTAAGCAAGACAGGAAAAGCAATGCGTCAGGCGCATGCGCATGCGCATGCGCCTTCGCATTCCAATGGCGCGCACCTCACATGGCCGCCATGCGCGTTGTCTTGATTCTTGAAGTCGGCTGAGCTCAGCTAACGCGCGGGCCAACAGTTTGTCGCAGACGGCGAGTGGAAACACGACCACACTGCGAAGACCGAGACCGACCACGAAGGCAACGTCAACAACGTTCTATCCCCTGACGACCTTGGCCCCATCGACCCCATGGCTGACAACGTGAATACCTCCTCCGTCGCACCCGGCGCAACCACGACTGATTTGGCTGGCAAGCAGCCGCTGGAGAAGGACCAGAAAGACAATGACTTGCCGGGTGCCTTTCCCGAGACACCAGCGGCGACAGCTGGCGAGGAGAAGAGCAATCCACTAGGCGGGAGCGCCATTGCAGGTGGTCTGCTTGCTGGAGGTGCTCTTGCTGCCTCTGGAGACAAGAAGGACGAACAGACCTTCTCCGTCAACCCCATTCCTGCCTCGTCTGGCGCCGGCAACCCAATTACTCTAGCTCCTGGTGAAAAGGTCCCCGATCCATCAACAATCAACAGCAATACTATCTCATCTACCGTCCGCGACGACCCATCGTTAAAGAGCAGTACTCAAGATTCAGAACAGACTGTTGGCGTGGCACCTCTTCCTGCTACTGGTGGCGCAGGTAACCCAGTTCACCTGCAGCCAGGCGAGCCCGTTCCAGACCCAAGTACTATCACCCGCAGCACTGTTGACAGCAACGTGAAGCTGGACAAGGAGTCGTACGAGAAGAGCGACGCCGCTGCACCAGTTCTTCCCGCCACAAATTCATCATCCGCGGCAGAAAGCGCTGCAGCTGGCGGAGAGCTCCTCGGCGGTCTTGGACCTCAAACCACGAATATGATCCCAGAGTCCAGCATGGGCATGGGTAAAGACGCACCAGGTCCTATGGACGGCGCTGCTATCAACTCGGTCGGCGCAACCAGCACGACCAACGAGCTCGCAGGTAAAGTGCCACTCGAACCCAGGGGAGGAGCCACTGGAGCCATGATCAACACCGTCGGCGAGAACAGCACCACGAACGCACTCGCTGGCCAAGTCCCACTGGAAGCAAAGGGCATCCCTGAAGTGGTTGCCGAGAGCCAGAAGGAGGCTGGTCAAGCACCCGAAGCTGCCGCCAATCCAACAGCTGTGGAGGAGAAGAAGGAAGTCGAGGAAGAACTGAAGAAAAAGGTGCCAGAAGAGCCAGTCACAAGCGATGACAGCCACAAGGCCGGAATTGCCGGCGCTGTTGCTGGAGGTGTCGCCGCCGCTGCCGTTGCAGTCAACAAGACCAAGGAGGCTACCGGCAAGGATCCAACCTCTGTGCTGCCAGAGTCCGTCCAGTCGGCTGTTGACGAGCAGAACGCGGCTTCCACCAGCGCTGCCAACGAAGTCCCGGCTGAAGTCAAGGACTCTCAGAAGCAGGCCCACGCTGAGCCAGAAGCATCTGGTAACCCAGAAGCTGTCCATGAGAAGAGCGACGTGGAAAAAGAGCTCCTGTCCAAAGTCCCAGAGTCACAAGCAAGCGGCGAGCCAGCGCCAACGGTCAGCGCTGCTACAGCATCCACTGCACCAACCTCATCCACTGGCGCGCCTCAGCTCGCCGACCCCACGGCGGGCGTTGCAGCACTCAGCCTGGACGACAAATCCAAGGATGGTCTGAACGCATCAGCTGACTCTCAGGCACAATCCCAAGCCGCCAAACCAGCTGCGCTTGCAGCCGAGGCCGGTAAGCCAGGCAACAGCCGTGATGTTAGTCCCATGACTAAGACACCCGCAACAGGTCCCTCTACCACAGGTCAATCTGCGCCTGAAGTCACCACTGGCGTTGACTCGGGCAAGGCGCCTGCGCAATCCACTCCTGTTGGCACTCCTAGGAAGAAAACTTCATCGACACCTGGCAAGCGCAACTCGATTATCGATCGACTGATGGGCACTCCGGACTCACAAAAGACTGCTGATAGTGCCGGCTCCGCTAAGAAGAAGGGCCTCTTCAGCAGGATCAAGGACAAACTCAAGCAGTAGTTTGCCTCCTTCCCTCTATATCTTTTGGTCCCACTTTTGCTTCGCTTGTGCTGACGTTTGTTTTCTCAGCCTCTAGTGTGCGTGCTGCGGCAGTTACTGCATTAGACGCGCGTCAGAGTCGGAAGAGCAGAATGAGCCGTCACGTAGTATCGCAATGCAAAGGCTTCGGACTACCGCAAGCATGATGGATGTACGGAAGGCAGCGCAGGATCAAGAGCAGAACGATTCAGGTTACCAATGCCGACGAATGGTGTCCATATCGAGCATCAAGTCCATTCCAGAACTCAGTCCGGATGTACTTCCATTTCAAATTAACGCCGGAACGTACAGCTCGATCGATCTCGACTTCACTGTGGACGACCCTCGCTGGCGTGGCAACATTGAGTTCGCCGAGCCGATCAGCAAAGCTTGGACGGACGACCCTACGCTGGACAGGAATCCGGGAGGATGGCCGGAACTCGTTTATCCTGCTCTTCGCGACCGATCCTCATCGGTGCCGGCGATCTGGGCGCAGCCTCTTGCGCGGGACTGAGGAGAGAGGGATGGATGCGTGCTATTGTTGTGTTTTGGTTTATCTGTATGACATTAAGCACACGATCATGTTTGCATGAGCGACTGGATAGGTTTTCGGTCTTTGCTCATTTTATGATGATGGTTCTGTCTGCTTTCAACTATACCACTTTCGCGAGGTCTATTGGTGCGGCTGCGCTGGATTACATAGGATGTTTGAGGAAATTGAAGTAATGTCTCTTACCGGCCACTTCTCGACTTGGCTCTGTACAAATTCATTCCATGAACAACATGTGAACGACTTCGGTGCAGCTTGAAGCGGCAATGCCGGTCTTCTGCTCTTTCCCCGGAGCCATATCACAGCTACGTTCTACCGAAGCTACTGATCACTGAACTCTAACCACATCAATCACTCCTGCGAGGTTCGAACATTGATTTACCTGGAGGTGAAGAAGCGCTAGTGGGGCACGTGATAGCAGCAGCAGATCTCACAGCACTGGAATCATTCTTCTTGTGCCAGGCCAGGCCTCTTTGATAGCACGTCCACGAAGATCGAACAGCAGTAACTCATGCCCGATCCGCAGCTCCAAGCCAACCGAACATTGGGACGGGGATCGTAGGTCGACTGTCACCGATCAGTAATGGAATCACGCTATATGCTACAGTCAAGTGGCCTGGAGCCTTCATGAATTGCATCTGAGTTTGCGAAGGAATTCCCAGAACGACGTACGACAACCCATTGGTACTAGTCATATGGCCCCATGAAGGACGGATTTTGAACAACAAAATAAGTAATGAATGGTAATGCAACTTACCCTCCGTCAGTGTCGGGTGGACCTGGAGGGCTCATGAAGTAGCAGCACTCTAATGTTTTTCAGAGACCACCGGCCTGTACTTCGGGTCTTCTCAAAACTTATCACTGTCGGCAGTGAGTTTCTGTGGAGCCTGGAGATTCGGGAGATCCTTGAACTTTTCGCAGATAGCATGCAAGTTCCACAGGAGACTGAACGCGATTGGATTGAATTCGTGGGATTGACTCAAGGTAGTGGCACATACTACTCTAAGAAGTCTTCTCGATGTGGGAGAGTGATCACGCATCTGCTTTGGAGCTACGACATAAGACATTCCAATCATGGACTCTATGGTTTTGCCGGCCGATCATATCGAGATGAGTGCCAAGCAAGCGTGCCCTATTCCACCGGTTACCTTACCTTGGTCTGCATCTGCTTCAGAACCGCGCCTGAGCAGACGATAACAATGCTTGAGCCTCATGACCAGACAAAAGATTGTCCGATCTTTACAAAGAAGACGCCACATCGGTCTATGATCCTGCCACTACCAAAGCCTTTCAACCTCATACATTCTCTTTGTCCGCGCAAGAATATGGCAATAGGACAATGCTCTTGTCCGTTCCAGAAACAAAACACAGTGACCTGACCCAAACAAAGCACCACCGCCTGCCTCAACAAGATATAATGCCCTTCATCATCAACCCAAATCCCTTCCTCTCTCCATCAGCTTCTCAACCCTGCTAGACCAACGATACCTGCAACCCCCAGCAGGTCTCGATCCCACCACCCCCAACCACTCTAGCAAGGTGAGCTGTTCCTCCCTCATCCTACAAGCAACAAGCAACCTACATCTCCCGTCCACCGATCGCTGGTTCGATCAGTTCCCGACACCAAGATGTGCTACACCCAAACCCCCTACCACACCGTCTGCGGACACTACGGCAAACCCACCTTCACCGGTGGCTCGCCCTGCATCCGAGCCCAGACAACCAAGGGTTACACCAAAGGTTGCGAATCCACGCAGAACCATGTGCAGAGCACTGCTTCTCGCTGTATCGCTTGTACGAGGGAGAAGGCGAATCTTCTCTTACCGCTTTCTCTTTCTAGGAACGATTCCTCTTCTTCTCTCTCCTCCATGGCCTCCGCTGCTTCGGCTTCTAGTTCTGTTTCTGCTGCGACTTTGAGAAGTCTGAAGCAGGAGACCGGGAGTTGCGGCAGTTGGGGTTTCAAGGGAGGCGAGTTCTTCGAGCCGAGTTCCCTGCATTGGAGAGGTCATGTTGGCACTGCTGATCAACGTAAGACTGACAATGGCAGTAGTATGTATGCTGTCCAACCTAAAGGTAAGGCAGCTTCGGCTACGCTTAAGTCTTGCTTGGAGTAATGGCATGGCATGGCATGGCATGGTATGGGAGAAGGTAAGTTTTGGGGATCTACTGACAACAATGTTCTAATGGCTGGGTGGGACTTTTCAACAGATGGGCGGTACAGGTAAGTAAATCTGATCTCCCCTTTTTCTTTCACAGGCAGGTACAGGTAAGTCATTATCATTGACCAATCTTTCATTTCTCATTTCTCATTTTCATTTTCATCAAGGCCACTCATCGTGGTCAGCGAGCATCAAGATACTACTAGCAGGCTCACAACTCGTAGCTTGAGAGATTCCTCCGCCAGCGAACGTATGGCTCGTCCCGTCCGCTGAAATAGCCACAGAATTGCACGTTGGCTGTCCAAAGCAAAGCAATGCACCAGGGAGTAATTGTCAGCCAATTGCATGAATGAGTGACAAAGATCCTATAAGACTCGTGGTAGCCGAAGAAGTGCATGCAGCCTTGCCATTGCCACCCTATGCATACACTCACTCCAAGTGGCAGGCTATTTGCACGTTTTGCGCCCATGACAGCATCTGTCCAAATGCTGGAAATTATAGAAGAACACTTGAAGCGTTGACAGCCGTACTGTTTGTGAATACTCTATAACACTTTGTCATGACAGATGTGGGTCCAGTACATATGAATGTTGTTGTTGTTATTGTTCCCACTAGAACTTCTTCCCATACATCGTGTCCTCCTGAGCTACGCTTTTCTTGCGCCTGCTGTATCCCCTGAAACGCCATGCAAACTCTCTCCAAGATCTCTTCCGTTTCGTGTCGTGGCTCATACTTCTCAGTTCGAGAGCCAGCTCGCACTATACATGTTCCAGATTCGCAAATCCTTTCCCGTCTACCTACTGCACCTACTACTCCTTGGTAGCGTGCTCATCACCAAAAGGACTCTGGTCTCGCTTGCCGCCAACACCTTCATGATCTGGTGTTTCTGAGGCCCTCTTTGCAGCTTCTTCGATGACTGCACTTAGTCCACCAGGACCTCTATTATCGCCACTCTTCATGACGCGTCGTCCGGAACCCACAGATGCTGACATTGCTGCATATGGGTTCGGTCTTTGTTGTTGGGTCGCTGCGGAAGCTGAAGTCTGTGTTTCCGAAGCGTCAAAGAACGGCGACTCAAGAGGTTGGATCAGAGGTGCAGGATCCGCCGCGTAACCGAGGGAACTCCTGATCATGCTTTTTCTCGCACGAGCGTGCTCATCCTCATCGTCAGATTCAGTGGCAGTTTGGACCAGTGGTGAGGAGACCACAGGCTTTGTTGAAGTTGATGTTGCCGTGGACGCATCGCTCGGCTGCCGGGACACCGGGAATCTACCCTTGCCTTTGCTGCTACCAATAGTGACAGGCTTGGCCTTGACAAAGCCGCTCGCTCCGGACGAAGGAGAGCTGGTGGTCGATGTTTGACCGGGCATCATTACTTTCGGGCCCAGTTGAGCAGCAGTTGGCGGCGACTCCATGGATGGAGAAGAAGTGGCTGAAGAGCCTTTGACTGAGACCATGCGCGGCGCTGCTCGGATGACTTGCGTGGCTGGCATTGGTGGAGGCGCGGAGTTGTCCATGTACACGTCTGACATGATGGATGATCGTGCCAACGACGGCGTGATAGACTGTCTGCTGTACTGCGTATCTCTTTTGTCCGCTGATCTCAAGGAAGAGGAGTCCGAATATGTGCTGCCGCGCAGATCGCCAGGTCGGAAGAAGAGGGCATCTCCTTCGTTGCTGAGCGGGCTCTTGGGAGTGGTGTTCGCATAGGCAGCCGGAATAGGCGGGACGGGTGCATGAGCGAGCAAACTATTGCGACCAGAGCCGTTCCTGTTCGTGACACCTGGGATATATGCAATCTGGATGATGTTGCTCGCGCGACTGAGGATGCTGGCTGCAACAGAGCCTCTTGTTCGTGTGGACGCAGTATCGGATCGCATGGCAGTGAATCTTCGAACATCGCCCTTCTGCTGTGCAATGTCATCTTCTTCCCATTCTTCCGCCTCGAGTTCTTGCTGCTCTCTTCTCTTCTTGATCCAGAACCTCCACAGCAGAAACATGACGACACTCATGAAGACGACGCCGCCAACGACGCCGCCCGCAATGGCTCCTACATTTGGACTGTCGCTCTTGGGCGAAGGATTTGGATTTGCGATACATTCGGTATGTGCGCAGTCGTTGCAGTTCTGAGGCACCAGGGAACAGATGTGGCCATTCGGGCAAGAGCCACAGGTCGGTGTTTCGGGCGGACATTGCACGCATCGCTTGAAGATAGTCCGCATGGCTCTTTCAACCTCTGAGAGGATGTTAGTAGGCACTCGCGGTGGGGTGGGTGAGAGTGGAGAATGATACCGAAGGACATGGTGCCCGGCTTACTACTCTTGCCCGCCATGTTTGCGCGGCGGCAACGTTCAATGCGCTTTCAACGCGGCCTTGAAGATGCGTCGAGGTGCGGGTCGAATGCTCCAGCGCTGCCGCTTGCCTTGCCTGCGCGCGCTCCCTCTCGCTGTCTCCTCTCGTCGTCGTCGCACAGCGTCTTCAGCTTCGGGTAGATGCCGCGCGGTCGCAATGTGTAAGCTTTGTCGAGTCGCGGGCAGCTCGACTGCACTTCTCCGCGCTCTGACACCAAAGCAAGACTGAATGCGACGAAAAGATAAACGAGTGACTGTCGATGTTGGTTGCTGGCAGTAGCAGTTCTCCCAGTGTGCTGCAGGTGTCGTCGGTGGTGTGAGAGTGAGAGTGAGCGAGCCGTTGCTGGCGTGCGTGTTCCTGGGTCCTGACGCCCGCGGCCCGCCGCTCGAGAAGCCGTCCCCGCTCAGTCTCCGTCTCCAATTGGCTCGGCACTGCTTGAACCCTGCGCTTTGTCTTTGCCTTGCCCCGTTCCCTCCACTTCCGCACGTGTTTCCTTTGTCAGTCGATGGGAATCTCCACTCCTTCTCACTCATCAAACTCGACAAAGATCTGCTGCGCTACACTGGCTGCAGAGAAAGCCGTTGTGACATTGCCTGAACTATGATTTCGGGGTACGATGGTCTAGACTCTTGGACAGAGCACATCACATCAGCCTAGACTGGCGTGCACAAGACCTTCACGCTCAGAGGGTATGTGCTGAAATGATAGTGTAGTCAGTATTCATTGCGACAAAGCCTCTGCAGATGGCGTCGAGCTTTATGATGAATAGGAAAAGGAATCTCGTTTGATTGTTGCATTTGCATCCCAAACTTTGCATTATCTCAACTAGTATTAGATTCTAGATCTCTACCTGCAAAGCAATGACCCGATCTGGGAAAGCATCATCGTATTATGTAGGCTATAGAGCCTTTCTTGTGCTTATCTCAATATGTGTCTCGCTCTCATAAAGTGCAAGGCGTCGTAAAATCGTAATAACTCGCAGTACGCTCGTCCTGCTCTGCTCGTCTACTGGCCCGCTTTGGATGTAACTATTATCGTATGGAAAAGCCCTCCTTTTGCTCAGTAATTTTGTTTCTGCTTATGCGAAATGCCTTCTGCCGCCGGGAAGTTAGCATCGATCAAAGCGAGAGGAAGAGGATTGAACATACCTCTACGTCAACTTTGCCTTAATACGGCCTATCGTCTCGCTATACCGTTTCATAGTGCGTTTCCAGAAATCGGTGAGGTAGAATTCGTCCAAGCTTAGCAGAAGTTTGTATAGATTCTCAGTCATCTGCTGTGCGTGGTAATCTATCGCTCTCAGATTTTGAATCACTGATTTTGCTCTCCTGTTATGCTCCTCCTTCTTCGCAATCTCGACCAGCTCGTGAGCGATAGGCACCGCAGCGGAACGAGCGTCTTGAGAAATGTAGTTCTTGCAGAGTACCATACTGCCGGTGTCTGTTTTGACGAGGAGCACAGGGAGCTTGTTCGCTGTATCGGGCATTCCGTATGGAGCAGCGTCGCACATGGCTTGGATGGTGGTGTTTTCGAAGGAACAGTCGAAAGTGAGCTGAGCGGGTTCTATAGCGATAGCCTTGTAGACGTCTGCGGAAACGGTCAGCATAGCCGTAGCGTTGTATCACATAGTGTGCCTTACCTGCTCGCCAGCGTTGGTTCATTTCATTCAGCTCTTGCGATGAACCTGAGGAGTCTGTATCCTCGATGAACTCAGACGTGCCGAGGACTTTAGCGGTAGTGATGAGCTTGTATGCGGTTATCAGGCTATTTCCGATGCGGAGTTGCTCAAGACTGGAACAGTTCTTGAAGGTGCGGTCAGCCAATATGTTCATGCTCAAAATGGCGAAAAGAAACAGGGCAAGGCGGAATGGCTCCATGGTGGCGTGGCCGAAGGTCTGTTCTGGTGCGAATAGTTGATAATGGTGATGGATGCGGTTGAGTGTTGTTGAGATGTCAACGACGCTCAGATCTGTAGAAGTATTCGCTACAATGGTCATAGCTTCAACCTGCAGGAAGCGGTGAGCAAAGCGACTGGATGCTAAAGTGAAAGTGAAGCATGCCTGAAGCAGGATCGACTACGGTGAAGGCGTCAGGTGTCGCCCAAGATCCTTAAGTAAAATTGTCGTGATTGAGATCTGAAAATACTGTACGCTGCAAAGCCATCGATACATGACACAGCTCTATCTTGTGAGTGTCGTGCGGTATCAAAAGTCGTGAATGCATCGCAGTTTACGCCAAGAAAACACCTGCCCAGATTCACATGTCTTTATTACATGGCCATTTCGGCTTGCAGTTTCCGCAGCTCCTCTTCTTCGTCGTCTTCGGCGTGCGCATTGCTTCGAACTGTGTCAAAGTCAGTCAAATGTGCTTCACTTCCTTCGGCGAGGTGAGAATGTGACTCACTTTCCCCCACCGGTTGGTTGGGTAATCTTGATATCTGGTCCGAGACTGGCACATTTCCAGTCTTGAGCATCTTGTTGTCCAGCTCCTCCTGTTGCAGTTCTGCGAGCTCGTCCTCCAGCTCGTCCTCGTCCACGCCTTGCATTTGGTTGCCTTGCGTAAGTGCATCGGCAATTTCCTCTCCGATCGCATGCTGTTCTCGCAAATCTTCCATGGTCTGGTCAACTTTTTCGATCGACAGATCTCCATGGATCTTCTTCATTGCCTGCTGTGCGCCCTTCATTGCGTCCAAAGTCTCCTTGTTGATGTTGGCGGTCTCGATAGACGAAATCTCCCTTTCCACAGTCATCATCTGTGCACTAGTCTGCTCGAGTTGGTGCTCAAAAGCTTTCTTCCGTCGTAACGCAGCCTTCGCGACTATGTTGCAGGATATGGTCAGCATTTCTTACTCAAGCCGTGCCTCCGCTGATAAGAGTGGTCGTGTGACACTCACTGGCTTTATTCGAAGTCACATTCTTGCGCGCTATCGCATCTTGCTCGTCCATTTGGTTCTGTAGGTGCTTTTCTCGCTTGGACAGCATCTCCAACGTACTCCTCAACCGCAGGATAGCATTCTTAGGCGCATCTTTCTTCGCAGCGGCGCTGCCTCCAAACAAGTTATTCCAGCCCCAGCCAGACATAGTGGCGGTCGACAAGATTTGAAGCCAAGCGGACTTGAGCGAGCGAGAGTCTTTTGGGTCGTGTGCGGTGGTCGCTAAAGAGTGATAGTGGAGGTGGTGAGAAGGCGGGTTGTTCGTCGGGCCAGAAGAGCGTGGAGTGCCGCCGAAAGCTTGCAGAGAGGTGTGTTGCGAGTCCTTGGGGAGAAGCGCGTCTAGATGTCAGTGCCTGAGTGGGGGAAACGGCGCAGGTAGGTGAAGCTGGAGACAGTATAGTCCGATTTCTGTTGCCTTCTCGTCTAGCACATGAACGTTGATGCAAAGACCGAAGGGACGTCACCAGCGCACAGACCAGTTTTTGCGAGGGGCGGCTCTACCTACCCTTTGTCGATCTATTTACTTTGCCACGTGAACAGCCTGCTTCAAACACGAACACAAACACGAACACGCAGGTGACCCTGTTCAACAGCATGGTCTGGGACAGGTCTCACAATAAGTATGGCATCCTCAGACCCTCAGAATCGAAGACCTGAGCCGACGCGGCTCGTGCTATTGGAACAGATCCGGGAACAAGAACAAGGCACCAAGATTCGCTTTCTAGGATGGTTCGACGTTTGACCGACACCGTGCTTCGGCATCAGGGCTGACATGGAAGCAGCGTTCATGCGTATAGTGGGAAAAGGGCTTTCCTGGTGTTGAAGCATGACTTTCCCGCGACCACAGCGAAGGCGCCCATGGTCTTGGCGAATATCAGCAACCTGCTCGACAGCATGAACCGCGATCTGCTTCAGACAGGCGCCTGGATCAATGTCGTGGGCTATGTCAGAAAGTCGGTCAGGTCGGCGATCAACGAGGACGTGAGACGCGATGGCAAGATCTCTACTTGTCGCAGGCCAACCACCATCCCACAGTTGGAAGCTACCATGATCTGGTCTGCAGGAGCTTTGAATGTGACGAGCTACACATGCGCAGCGCGAAGCTATCAAGAATCACTTCCTACAGCCTCATGATCATGGCATCCGTTCTATTGATGATCTATGTCTATTTCTTGTGCGCGCCCACTTTTCCAGCGCCTTTGAATGCTACTGACGCTATCAAGAATGCCAATAAGCCAAGGGCGAAATTGAACCATTCCGCCGACCTCAATCCAGACAAGAAGGCCGAATTATGCAAATCATCACCTTCCACAGCTGCAGCCGTCGAGCCTTGTTTGCCCTCCTGGACCGCAACTTGAACAGCCGTCGCAATCGCTAGCCCAATGGCTCGACCACTTGACCATATCAGCAATTGCGAACTTGCGAAATAACGGAACTGAATCGTACTTACATCTGACCGACTGCGTTGATGATTGCTCCTCCAATGGCCTGGTCTTCGCGCGGTAAGGAGTGCGCCGTCAGAAGCAGCAGTGCGGGAAACAGGGTATCTGCGCCAAAGACTGAAAGGCACATGGCCGGGAAGCCCCATGCCCAGTAAGTTGTCGACGGTGGGATTGGTACTGCGAAGAGCCTAACAGTTTTAGCGAACTTCTCTCATCCCGTGCAGACGACCTACAATCCACTTATGGTGCAACACATCGTGCCCCACGCCATGATGTAGCCGATTTTGACTCTGGCTAGAATCTGCGAGGTCACGAAGATCGTCATCACGCCAACAACACCAGTCGGTATGAAGCGTAGCGTCGTCTGGATCGCGTTGTGCCCTTGGTACTCTTGGTAGAAGTACGTTGCAAAGACCAAGAAGTTGCTGAAGGCAGCGAAGAAAAGACCCATGATCGCCATAGCGGCAGCAACCCGCTTGTTCTTGAAGATGGTGACCTTCATGAGAGGTCTTCGCATAGTTCTCTTCTCGAGATGGAGTTGCCAAAATACGAAAGCTGCCACCAGCAAGACCGAGAGCACCATCAAGACTGGAATGTAGGGCTGGCTCCAGCCTACAACGTTCCCATCAGTGAGAGCGAACATGAGGATAACCAATCCGACGGTGACCAGAATTCCGCCTGGCCAGTCGACAGCATTCTTCAGCTCCGACTCTGAAGGCTGTATACGCGGTGCTGGTATGACAAGCTGCCCTGCGACAGCCACCAGTCCTGCCATGATCGCCAAAATCCAGAATACCCATTTCCATGTTGCGTATTGGCCGACTAGACCACCCAGAAGGTTGCCGAAGACACTACCAAGAGGTGCACCTGCGCTGTATGTCGCGAATGCGTAGTTTTTTGCTTTACCTGGCTGGAACGTCACTCCTAGGATGCCAATGGCGGTTGGAACATTCGCCGCCGCCCCGAGACCTTGGAGACCACGAAAGATGTCGAAGCCAATCTCGTTCGGAACGAATGGGCAGACTAGAGTGACAATGCACACCCATGCGCTGCCCCAAATGAAAATCAATCGTTTGCCATAGACATCAGCAAGACGGCCCCAAAGTAACAGGAAGCAACCAAAAGTGAGAGAGTACGCAGAAACAATCCATTGCTGTCGCGCAGATGGTATCGACAGATCGTGCCCGATTGTTGGGAGAATGATCACGCAGGCCTGCACTGATCTAAAGAGCGACAATGCCAAAGTCAGCACGTGTCAGTGGCATTGAAGTGCATTGAAATCAACTGCTTTCTTACAAGGTATTCAGGAATGCCGCTCCAGTCAAGGTGATAACCAGTGCTATTGTTCTTGCTCTGGAAAGCGGTAGCGATGAAGATCGCGTATTGGTCTGCTCGATTGGAGCGCCTTGATGGTCACTGTCGCCAACGCTGTCTCGTTCAACGTCATATACTGTTTTTGGATCTGATGCAGATGAAGCATTTGTTTGGTCCGCTACAACGACATCGGACTTCTCACGATCGTGCCGACTTTGGGTGACCGGCTGCAGAGAACCACTTCCTCCGGATTGCTTCTCCATTCCACACCAAACTAGAGACGGAAGTTATTAGCAGATGTCAAGGGCTCTCCATGATAAGAGTGAAGAGAAGAGACTGAGCAAGGAAGAATGCAACACTTGTGGAGATTCGGCAGATTCTACCGGTGCGCTTGCGCAATTCAATGGAAGACCCAAAACACCATGTGATTCCGACGGGCGATCACTTTTCTGTCATCGAAGCGCGTTTCTTCGTTTTAAGCCGACGTCCGAGCTGGGAATGGCGCCATTCCTGAAAGGATCATTTGCGAAGCCCGCTGCTTAGACTTTGCTATGCAGGCCGAGAACAGAGCTTCTACAGTCCTTTTTCATTGCCTACGCTACGAACATCTACACTTCACTGCAAAAGTGCAATGCTCACAATGAAGCTAGAGACATGAAAGTGTCAATGAACATCTTCGGACTCAATGGCGGCATCTAAGTCTGGCAGTCGCGAGAATGTCGTCATGACCATCTCAGGACTACATATGAATATCCATGCTGAAGTCATTGCACGTAGGCGAAGGTGTAAAATAGTTCATTCGAACCCTGTCTCAATCCCACCTACTTTCCTTCACAACCCGGATCTCGACTGCATATTCCTCCATGCTGGTATTACCTCTCTTATATGCATCTGACGAAGACCTTCCCCCCATTCTTGCAGAAGCAGGCGCCGAAGGAGACGTCACTGGTCTATGTGACTTCTGGCCTGGCGCTCGTGCCGATTGTCTATTGTCCGAACTACTGCGCGAGCAAAGCTGCGCTTCACCACGTGTGTCTGGCAGTGATGAAGGAGGCCAAATTTAACGTCAAGATCATCGAACTCTTGCCACGGACCGTTCTGACCGAGCTGTGTGACGACAAACGCCAACTGGAGTTGAAGACCAAAGGCGGACGACTGGGGATGCGCTTAATCGACTTGGTTGAGGAGGCGTGGGAGGGACTGAACTCGAGCGAGAACGAGCAGGTACGGGTTGGCAAAGTGCCGGGTATGGGGTTGTACGCGTTCAATGGGAATAGGAACGGCAGTAGACGGTAAGAATGGACAAGATTATGAAGCAGCGGAATTAATGTCGAGTAATAGAATGGGAAGATGAGCGAAGTGTCTCGGGAGCATGTCGCCAAAAAAGTTGATGCACGAAACGCGGTACAACGGTCGGGACGGTCGGGTGCCAGGTTCAGGATGCTTAAGAAAGTTGGCCGCGGGCAAGGAGCTCGGCAGACAGAAATGGCGAAACGCGGGACAACACCGACACCGCCACAGCAGTTTTGTTGACCCCATCGCGGTGTTTGATCTTTTAGTAGTGAAGAATCGTGAATCCTGCAGTTTGATTGGACGTCACGGCTCCTTATCTTGGAGTGTCAGAAGGCGGCTTAGCCCAAGTTAGCACCTGCATGAGATGAGCGATTAACGAGGGTCGTCTTGCTGCGGAGACAGAGTTGTGGCGTGAGTTGAGCATCCGGGGCAACGCGAGCATTGGAACAATTGTAAGATACTTCCAAATGTTGCGTCGCGTGCAGGTGGGAGAAATGTCGTCGTGCACAGCGTTGACAGCCATGCAAGTGTACGCCCGCGGGCAGCAACCACCGCCACACTGTCGGTTCCTTGCAGAATGCGGGCAAGCCTTATCGGTTGATATCGGCCTGGATTGCACCTAGGTGCTAGGATGGATGACGTGGGTCCGTCGTGCCTCAATGCATAGCACGGTTCGTAGGTATACAGATTACTCGCGAGACAACTGGGGAACACCAGTTCGCGATCGTGTTCGCTAGCTCACTCGCTGCGCTATTTTGGAACAGCAGCGGACGAAGGAGTTGCACGACTTGAACAAAGAGTCGGCATTGCACGGCTTGAACAAAGAGTCGGCAACGCTTCCGGGCGTGAAAGAAGCAAACATGAGCGGCGATTGACAGCGCGGAGATCTTCTGTGCACAAGTGATAGTGACTACTCTAGATCGTCCATTCGGCCGCCCGCCTTCACTACAGTGCAGCTATTTCACATTTTATTAGCAACCCGGCAGCAGCCTGTTCGGAGTATCTACTGTCCTAACTTTCCTCTGCACTGCGTCGCCGCGCGAACCAAGTAACTGACCGGGAGCCACACATCCCTGTGACGAGTGGTACGTGCGCTTGTTCCTCGAACTGAGAATAAATCACTGCCGCTCCCACCCACCCTCGCTCTCTGAGCCGTCAACATCCTTTTCACTCTGCCACCACCCATACCGTTGCCTCTTTACTGATCACCGCTCAACCGTCAATCCCACACTCCGCGAAACACTCTACTTGGAATCCTGGGAACTCGCATTGCGAATCAGTCACAATGGTGAGCTCGAGCTGATCCACTCCCACGACCACGAACTCGGAGCCAACTGATCGTGACAGGCCAATTCCACCATCATCTCGAATACCGCAAACGTGAGTCCTTGGTCGACGATGTGGTGGCAAGCTTCATACTGACAAAGAGCAGCTCGAGAAATACCTCAAACTCCCACAGAAAGGCTCCGTTATCGCCGAGTACGTCTGGATTGATGCTTCCAGCGGCGTCCGCTCCAAGTGCAAGGTGAGTCTTTTCTGAGTCATTCCACCGGAATTGCGACATGCACACGACGAACAATCCTCTTTGCGAGTTCCTGCAGGGGCCGCGAGGCCGCGCGAGGCCGGCCGCCTGGGCAAGACATGACGACCGCCAAGCAGGGTCACAGCCGTGGCTTGACAATTGCCGCGATCGGCTTTTTCGGCCGCGAGAAGCGCTCAAAGAGCTGGTGCTTGGCTGTGGCGGGCTTTGGAGACCATTGTCACTCGGAAACAATGCTCTCAGCTACTCACGTGGTCGCAAAAGCCGAGAGCTAACTATGCATTATGCAGACCCTCAAGTCCAAGCCAAACAGCGTGAAGGACCTCCCAGAATGGAACTTCGACGGATCTTCAACAGCTCAGGCACCCGGCGACAACTCTGATGTCTACCTCCGCCCCGTGGCCATGTACCCAGACCCATTCCGCCTTGGCGACAACGTGCTCGTCATGTGCGAGACCTGGATGTCAGATGGCAAGCCAAATGCATTCAACTTCCGCCATGATGCCGCAGTCGTCATGGAGAAGCACAAGGGAGAGGAGTTCTGGTTTGGTCTGGAGCAGGAATACACCCTCCTCGACGTCGAGGGCTGGCCATACGGATGGCCAAAGAACGGTTTCCCAGCTCCACAGGGTCCATACTACTGCGGTGTTGGTACCGGCAAGGTCTTTTGCAGAGATATTGTCGAGTCCCACTACAAGGCCTGCTTGTACGCGGGCATCAACATCTCAGGTACCAATGCTGAGGTCATGCCGGCTCAGTGGGAGTACCAGGTCGGTCCATGCGAGGGTATTGACCGTAAGTTGGCCATAGACATGTCACCTGCACAATGAGAGCTATACTAATAATAAACTGCAGTCGGTGACCAGCTTTGGATGTCCCGATTCCTCCTCCACCGTGTCGCAGAAGAGTTCGGCGCCAAGATCACATTCGCACCAAAGCCAATCCCAGGTGACTGGAACGGTGCCGGCCTCCACACCAACGTCTCGACCAAGGCTATGCGTGCAGATGGTGGTATGAAGGCTATCGAGGCAGCTATGGAGAAGCTTGCTGCTCGACACAAGGAACACATGTTGGTATACGGCGAGGGCAACGAGGCTCGTATGACCGGTGCCCATGAGACTGCAGCATATGATAAGTTCACTTGGGGCATCGCCAACCGTGGCTCATCGGTGCGTGTCAACCGCGCCTGCGCAGAGGAGGGCAAGGGCTACTTTGAGGATCGCCGCCCAGCATCCAACGGTGACCCATATCAGATTACCGGTATGATCGTGGAGACCATCTGCGGTAAGGTCGAGGGTGCAGACGTTTTCCAGAAGGCTAAGCAACAGCCGGAAGAGCTTGAGAAGAACGTTGTTCCGTCCAAGCCCTAAGCGTCTCGTCTCTGCATCATACACGTAACGATATCCCGAACGGCACCATTCCCACAACCACAATGATGACCACACCTTACACAGCCTGACCCGACTCGGATGCTACTAGATGATATCCCTTTCTGAGCGCCGTTGGCTGTTCCGCTGAAGATCTTGGATGCGACACCGAGTTTCGGCGGATTTGCTTTACTATAGCTTGTGAAATAGCCAAAGAATGGCGAATGAGCAATCACAGAACTTATGAATGATCTGCCTTTTCTTTTCCCCTTCACTTCCCTTCGCTGTGCGTTGTGGTGGTGCAAGTAGGCTGACGCACGTGCTTTCGCGGAACGCATTGACCGAATTCGTCTCGGCTTCTGACTTGCGTCTGCACCTCTGAACTCTCTTCGCGACAACAACATGATGAGCTGAACTACGCAACCACCATCGCGCTCGTTGAGCGCTGACTCTAAAGCAGAATGGCGACTCCAACGTCATCAAATCCCCCTACGCAGCCGTCCTCGGCCTCGAAGAAGCCGACGGGCCATGTTACGACGCCATCTAACAGAGGCATCGCATCGCCCGCGCCTCGAAGCGTGCCCTCCCCTGCCACAATACGAAAAGAACAATCTGGCAAAACACCTGTGAACCATCCGACGGCAAGCAGTCACTCTGGTAGTAAGACGTTAGGTGGCACGCCAATGGTCCAGAGTCTGAGCCAGACTGGTATGAACATCGGATCTTCGCCCGGCGGTGGACATATGAGTTTTGGCACCCCACTCCATGGACTCGGTGTCGATCTCGGTAGTGCCACTCCAGGTCATCTTAACGTGCCGACTCCATTGTTGCAGAGTGTCGGGATGGCGCCCACGATGAGCGAGATCATGCATGGTGTTGGGAAGAGGAATGAGGAAGAGGAGAGGAGGTTGAAGATGAGAAGCGTTTTGAACACGATTGGACAGCGGAAGGGGAGGAGCTGTGAGGAGAGCATTGCGAGGGTTGCGTCGAGGGTTGAGCTCGATATCTCTATTGATGATGATAACAACAGGAAGGTCGGCAGTAGGACGATAGCTATGGCTGGTTCCTCGAAAGTTTTGGTCGACGTGGAGTTGCAGAATCATGCTGCGTCGGAAGTCAAAGTATCGCTCATGGGCTCAGAAGCGCTTATGGCGCAACAGGAAGCGGCATCAAAGGTCCTATTGCATGATCTTGCTGTCCCGAATGGCATCTTGCTCAATGCACATTTGGACAAGTTCGCGGCAAATCTCAACAAGCTCGCGACTTTGGACAAGCTCTCTACTGAAGCATACGGAGGAGTGGACTGCTTTGAAGCCATCACGGGTATTTATACGAGCCTGAAGAAACTGTATGAGATGGAGAAGGATGCAGTGAAGACGCTGAAGAAGTTTTCGGTATCAGAAGCTGATCGCCGCGCTGAGCATGAGGTGCTGTGCAAAAGAAGCGGCAGACCTAGCGTCCATGAGGGAGGCAAGATTGGACTATCGCTAGCCTACTGGTCCACGGATTTCGCGACTAGCGATCAGGATGACACGGCGATGGATGTCGATGGAGATGAAGGAGTGGGCCAGGCTGATGGAGACGCGAAGGGAACCTGGAGTGTGGATATCGAGGTCGAGAAGTCGTCTGCCGGCTTGTATCCCTCAATGCGCCTTTCCGATGCCTGGCTTCCGGAGTTCTTCGAACTGCCCTCACCTGAATCAGGAGAGAGTTTACCTTGGCAAGAACCACCTCCCACATATGTCAACAATCCCGCAACAGATAAGAACGACGCGATGGCTGTTGAGCCGCAACGCTTGCCAGATCTACGCTTCATCGCGAAATTCGACCCTCCTCTTGTGGTCCCTCTCCAGACCGCAATGAATATCCTGAACGTGATTGGAGCCCAACCTCCTTCGACAAACATGTTCCCTGCATACCACTATGCCGTGCTAAATGTACCCTCGATTAAGCACGCATCGCCACAAGACATCCGAGCTGAGAAGAAAGTGCTCTCTTTGCATGGATCTGATGAGCTCGAGACGACGCATTGCTACAACCTAGATCTATCTCAGGTTCCTCTCTCGATGAAACTGGAGCGCCTACCATTCTCACACCCGCGACAGCTGATCGAGCTTCTGCCGACCTTGCGACAGTGGGCGAGCACTGGTGCTCTATTACATGGCACGTTTGGCGACGACCCAACAGAATCGAAGATCGATGTTGCCACTACAGTCATGAATGGCACTCACATAAACAATGCCGAATCTCCCGTTGCCGACTCTGGAATAGAATTGGAAGGGCTTATGGAAGATGCGCCAACCACCTCATCCGGGTTGCAAGTCGACATGGGTTTCGCGACAGCCCCAAACCCCACGATTTCTGTTGCGTACACCGACCCTGACAAAGCAGCCGTAGTCACCGTCGTGGCGCAGATTCTCCCCAACGCTGATGTGCTTGTCAGCGATATCGGTGATTCCTCCGAGGAGCCGAGAGATGCAGAAATCATGAACGTGAGTGAGGAGCAGAGCGCTCAAGCTAAGAAGATTGCGAGAGCGCTGGAAGTCTGTGGAGATATCGGAGTCTGGATTGAGTGGATGCGGAAGAGCAAGCCTTGAGGCTGTGATGCCAAGATTATATCACTCACTCTGCTGCACCGGGCCACGGACTCCCCGTGCAGGTATGAATCAATGCTTCGTTCTTGAGCAAGAAGCATGTCTCACCCGTCCATGCCCATAGCATATCCTCGCCACCCCCTTTCGCTCTCTGCCTTCATATTCTGTATCACGCGCGCCATGGTTGCCGCTCATAGCATGTCGATGCTGTGGTCTTGAAGTATGTATGGGTCCTGGTACTGATGTCGTTCAATGAGCGCCTTGTGATTTATATCACTCTTCGTTCTTTGATGATCATCAGAAACACAGCCTGATTGAAACGACTACATCGGGGAGTCCTTGACATAGATTGAAGGCAGAATTGACAGTCGCCCGTTTCTCAGCGGATACTCTATTCATTGAAGAAGCTTCGAACAGGCTTGAAAGGAGTAGGTACTGCACTTCGACTCTAGACTTCTACCGGAGGAGGTTTGCAAAGCGCGATCCTATCAAAAACGTTGAATGTCGGCTCAACAGTCCATCGGAGCGTTTGCGCCAATAGCGATTGATTTTGACTGCCTTGTGCCTCTTCTATACGTTATCGAGTGAAATTCTGAAAAGATATATGAGAAGACTAATCCACAATCTGTACGCAATCAATTACCAATCAGTAGCTCATACCCTCGACCCAAAAGCTAGCATTATGCGCCAAATCGGCCGATGACGAGCCCATATAAACCACGAATTCGCCGGGCTCGACGACGTATTGCATTTTTCGATTCCAGAGACCGACATCGCTGACGTTCAAGGAGATTTTGACGTCTTTCGTCTCGCCTGCGTGAAACATGACTTTCTCGAAACCTTTGAGCTGAATGTTCGGGACATCGACACTGGCGATCATGTCCTTGACGTAAAGCTGAATGACCTCGGCGCCGTCTCTCGTGCCCTGGTTCGTGACCGATACCGAGGCGGTGATGGTGTCTGTAGATGAGACGTTCGATTTATCGAGCGTGACGTTGGAGTATGAGAAATTGGTGTAGCTGAGTCCGTATCCGAATGGAAACCACGGATTAGGCGTGTTGAGAACATATTGATGGCCGAAGTAAAGCTGTCCGTCCGCACCTACGAAGCCTGAGTCTCCGATTTGTCGTGCTGAGTTGAGATGATCGTAGTAGATTGGGAGGGTACCGACATCGTGCGGGAACGAGACTGAGAGCTTGCCACTGGGAGAAACAGCGCCGAACAGGATATCTGCTAGGGCGTTTCCTCCTTGCTCTGAAGGATAGAACTGCTGCACGAGACTTGCGGTTGTGTTCGAAATCCAGTCTTCGGTGATCGGTTTGCCACTTGAAAAGACCACGACGGTAGGAGTCTTGGTGTTGATGACTGCTCTGAGAAGATCTGATTGTGCGCCGACGAGGTTCAGAGAAGATAGGTCCACGTGCTCGCCTGTGGTTGCGTTTAAGCCTTGCCATAATTCGACTTGATCGCGACTCCACGTGCCGACGACGACTATGGCAACGTCGGCTTTGCTAGCAGCTTCGACGGCGGCAGGAAAGCCAGACTGGTTCAAGCTCCAGCGTGCACAGCCTTGCGCATAACTGACGCGGTCATTGCCTAGTGCGGCCTGGATCCCGTCCAGCGGCGTTACTCCACGATATTGAGAGCCATCTACGACGTAGTCTCCATAGTTCATGAATCCATGGGCCATTGGACCAATGACGGCGACCTTTTTGTCTTTGCTGATTGGCAAGATTTGGTGATCATTCTTCAGCAGCACAATGCTGTCTCTGTCCACTTCTCTTGCCAACTGCTGAGCATCTGGTCCGCGGATAATGCTGCTCCATTCACTCTCAGGTGCGATCTGGTATGGCCGCTCGAACAGGCCCATCTCGAATTTCGCTCGAAGCACACGACTGACAGCAGTATCGACCACGGCGACATCCAAGCGCCCTGACGCGACCAGGTCTGGTATAGACCTGTAGCTGAAGCTGCCTCCACCCATCTCGACGTCACCGCCGGCAGGAAGAGCATTCAAAGTCACACATTCGTTGCCCTCAGTTATAGGACTGCCATACTTAGTGAGAGGACTTGGGCAAATGCGGAACGGCTTCGCCAGCCTATCGGTAGCGCCAGCATCCGACGACACCCAGAATTTGTAGCCCCATTCATCTCTCAATATCTCGGTAAGCGTGTGCTCATCAGCGACTTGCGGCACTCCATCATAGCTCGCATAGGCGCTCATGATGGCCCAAGCTCCAGCATCGACAATCGCCTTCTTGTAGCTTGGCAGCCATGTGGTTCGTAGCTCACGCTCGCCTCCATGCACTGGTCCCGTGTTCAAGCCCTGCTCCGGTTCGCTTGATGCTGTAAAGTGCTTTACCATAGCACTGACGTTCAGACTCTGCACGCCTTTCACGTAAGCGTAAGCAATCTCTCCAGCCAAGTAACCATCTTCCCCAAAGGTTTCCTCGACGCGGCCATAACGAGGCTCTCGAGCCAGATCTGCAAGTGGTGCAAACACCTGCGATATGCCAAGAGCTTGGGCCTCGCGAGCGATCTGGACGGCCATGGCCTGTACTTGCATTCTGTTCCAGCTGCACGCGTAGCCTATTGGGGAGTTGAAGATGGTGGCATTCCCGACACGGAAGCCGTGGATGCCCTCGGTCTGCACGATGGGCGGTATTCCGAGGCGGGTGCTGTTCACGGCATAATCAATGCCTCGTTTGATGTTAGAAGCCAGCCAGTCCCATGGGATGGTGTAACCGGCCCAGACCTAAAGGTGAAGGGTGGAAGCATTAGCAGATGTCCCACCAGGTGACTCGAGTGGCGACTGAGAGTGAGACAAGAGGGCTACACGGCGGGAATGTGCAGGATGAGGGATTCTGCCCGTGGGTTTACTCACCATGCCAGCCTTCTGCTCAAAGTTCGCTTCCAGCCCTGATTGGTTGAAGGCACCTGTGGTCGTATTGAACCAATTGGAGATGTCGCCTTGCATGAGCTGAGCGGTCTTTTCCTGGATTGTCATGCGAGACACCAGATCTTTGACTCGGTCTCCAACAGGGAGGGATGGGTCCTTGTATGGCGCGCGGGCCAATGGTGAGTACTCCCCATCATGGTCAGGCTGCGGGTTCGCAAGTGCTGTCGTGCTCGCTATGAGCAGACCCAGTTTCTGTAGCCAAAGCATGACGTTCTGGACGAGGTCTCAAGCACTGCCACCAAAGCTGAGCAAGGAAAGAGATGGAGTTAGTTATACTTGCTTCTGGCCTACACACTGCATCACGCATCGCGTGAAAGAGAGCCGCACGCTGCACGGAAATTGACTGAATGTCGCAAGGCCCATGGGATTCCATGCGTCCCCCGCATTTTGATGTGACTTGTTCCTGCGCGACCGGCTGAATTGATGAGCGCTGCAGGTCTGCTGTATCCATGATGCAGGCCGGGTCTGCCGCTCTGGCACTTCCTGAAGAGTCGCGGCTAAAGTTGTGCTCGTGGTGTTGCTGGAGAGATTATCTGATTCTTGTGATTGGTGTACGGAGGAGTTGGTACAGTAGAACACGTGAGAGTGGTCGGCGGTCGGTGGCCGGTGGCCGGTCGGCAGCCGGATGCCGGATGCAGCATTTCGATTGCTGCACGTCTATACCGCTCTCAGTTCCGCAGCAACAGTACATGTAGTACCGAGCATCACCGTGTCATATTGCAAATGTAGCCGCGCAGCTACTGCCATCGCGAGCTCTGCCACGTCTGCATTCACCTTCCTTGACCCCTCGACTTCTTGAAAGCAATCAGCCATCATCGCCGCCATGGCTATTGCACGACACCATTCGCCGGTTTTCGAAGCGTCGCCTTCACCGCAACCGCTGCCTCTCACCAAGCGCGACGTACGCCGCAACAGGATCATGGAGAAGCTGCAAGGCATGATCGATACCTTTGCCCAGAACCAGAACCAACACTATCGCGCACAACTACAAGGCGTTCAGGTGGACATGACCTTGGTTCTGAATGCCGATCCCTATACAGACGGTCCTCTGGGCGACAGCCACGACGACATACAAGAGCTGATTCAAGGCTTGATGAAAGGCGATCCACAGGGTAACGGAGGAGTCAGCTTACCCAATGACGATAACGTCAAAGCTGATTTCTGGAGCATTGCTGGCAAGCGTTATGGCGAGTTTGTCAGAGATGTCAACGAGTCCATTGAGCAGCGCGATACCGATCTTACAGCCTTGCATGTAAGTGGCCAACCTGGCTCTGGAGACTTGTTAATCAGAACGAAGAGTGCTGACTTTTGGGGGGTAACAGGACAACTACGAATCCGCTCTCGCTGAGCTGAACCGCCTACACGAGCAGCGGTTACATCAAGCCGAAGAGGAGCACAAAGCCCTCTCAGCCACCATCCGCGATCGCCTGATCACCACGTTAAACAAGAAGCGCCAACAGCTCATGCGCGAGAAGGAGCAGCTTGACATTTCCGACAGCAACGCCATGCTTCTCCACCCAAACCACTTTAGCATCGGCAACAACCCAGGCTCACCTTCACAGACTGGCCTAGGCGTGAACAAGCGAACGAGATACCTGCGACACCACCGCGCGGCGAGTCCGGCTCCTGCAGCCGCAGAGCCTGGCGAGGTTGGCAAGAGAAAGAGAAAATTGGCACCAGCTGACGACGACGCCGGCAACGAGTCACCTATACCACACCTTTCTGGTGGCAGAAGCCCGTTCAAGGAAGCCAAGAGCGTGCGAGAATACGCACAATTTGAAGCACCCGCATACTCTATCGAGAGACTGTTCACCGAGAAAGAGCTTGCGATGGCCACACAGACTGCGAAGACGGCAACGTGGAAGTACTTCAACCAGTCTGACAGAAAAGAGTCGGGCTCAACTAGCAATGCTACTGCTGTCCCTTCTGTAGACGGCGAGGTTGTCGAGTCAGCGGAAACCGCGGTGGACGAACCTATGGCAGATGCGCCAGCAAATGCCGCAGATACACCTCCACCATCCGAGCCGCCTGCTTCCGTGGGCATGGAGCGGCAGAGCTCGCATCAAGTTCTGACGCGTGGTGGTGCGAGAGCAAACCCGCTGGCAGCACTCTCGGATCTCGCCAACGCGGCCGCTGCAGCCTCTGGCAGTACTGCAGAGCCGATCGTGAGAGACAAGCCTTTCATGCCTGTCCCGCCTGACTTTAATGCTACTCTACGCTCAGAGAAGTCCGGTGCTCCAACGCCTAACCCCGTCGGAGTATTGGAGCTCGAGAACGATTTCGAGATGATGCGTGACTTGGGTGCAGATGGCGTTGCAGCAGATTCTGAGGACGCTCAACAGGACGAGCGGGCGGAGAAAGCCAGGATCGACCGTCGTCGCCTACTCGACCAGGCGCTTGGTAACAGTGGTGTTCAGGCACCATACAGGCTGCCGAATCTGGAGACCGGCCCGGGTGCCCTGATCGGTCGTGGCGTTGATCGCGAACCGCGGACTGGATTCGCTCCGGCGTTACCGCCTGTCGTGCAGATTGAAAGCAGGCTGAAGACGAGCGCGGCAGTATTGGGTGTTCCCGGAAGCAGCATGGCCGCTGCTCTAGGAGGCAGATTAGGCGGGGAGCCTATGTCTCGAACGACAAGCGCCGGAGGCATCAGCGAGTTGGGAGATCCTCCAAGCAGACGGGGAGGTGCTCGAAGATTGGTGTGAGCAGTCGCACAAGAATGCGATTTGAGTTCGATTTAGCGTGGCGTTGGTAGAGGCATGCTTGTTAGGCTGGAACTTTTATCATCTATCGAATGTTGACGAATACTCCCCCGATCATCCTCCTGGATTTTCAATCTACAATGCTCAATGCCGAAGCTTGACTGGAAACAGGTACTGCCTGTGGTGAGATACTGACGGGCGTTGCCAGGACATCGACTAGTAATCTATACCTGTTCGTCATCACGAACTGTGGAGAGCTGAGATGTGCGATGCCGGGATACCGACTGGCAATCTGTACATTGGGGGGCAATAGGGATTGTGGAGAGCTGTGAGATTGGTATCAGTCTATCAAGGCTCACATGCAGCCTCAATAATATCTTAGCCTCACTGCCAGCTTTAAGTCCGCGGGCACAGTGCCATTTGGCGTGGAAGCTGGCAAAGATTGTCCCAATTGCAGGAGAGTCGCCACTTCGTACGAGCTCCAATACGTGCATGTCCAGAACTCTCGGAGAGCTTAACATTCAGAAGAAGTAGATCTGCTCAGCCCGGCCGAGAAGTCAACTCTCTTTCTCCGGCCTCAAACGCGAGTAGAGGTTAGCTTCCCGCGAGCCGTGCCGCCGCCGAACGAGTGAAGGGAAGGATTGCTTTTGTGCCGTCGGTCTGTACCCAGAATGCGTATTTCTGCAGACATATACGCATCAGTGGCACAGCTGGTCTCCAACGTGGGTTCCTGATATTGTTTGCACCTGTAGCGGAGATAAGATTGGGACAAACCTCATCATGATGTCTGAAGACATCGAAGTCCGAAGGACCAGAGGTGGAAAGCAGTATAAGAAGACGATTCCAGCTCGATGAGAATGTTGTGTTGTCACAGTCAATCAAGCACATCATAATCAAGAACATCTGAAGGACACATTCGAACATACCTTTTGGCATCCAATTGCACCGAAAGAGGTACCACAGAGCATACCATCTCCCGCATCATGTCGTCCTCGAACTACATCAAGAACGTCGCCATTGTTGGGGCAAGCGGCAACAGCGGTAGCTACATGGTCAAAGAGCTGCTGGCTACTGGCAAGCACACCGTCACAGCCATCTCGCGTATCGACAGCAAGAACAAGCTTCCAGAAGGCGTCAAGGTCGCTCGCGTCGATTACAGCAAGTTCGACACGCTGGTCGAAGCTCTCAACGGACAAGATGCTTTGGTCATTACGCTGAGCAGTGTCGCCGACCATAGCCAACAGGATGAGCTCATCAAAGCAGCAGCCAAGGCCGGCGTTTCCTGGATCATGCCCAATGACTGGGCACCGGACACCCACCACGAGGGCCTCGTGAAAGATGTGACTTTGTTCCAAGGTACGGTGAAGACCAGGAAGCTGATTGAGGAGACTCCAGGAGTGTCCCATTTATCAGTATCAACAGGCTACTGGTATGAGTGGTCCTTGTCAATCCCTGGCTCATACGGCTTTGACTTGGTAAAGCGAGAGGTGACATTCTTCGACAATGGCGAGACCAAGATCTCAACATCTACCTGGCCTCAAGTCGGTCGTGCTGTTGCTGCCATCTTGAGCTTGCCGATCAACCCGGAAGGCGACGCAATGGGATGTCTCGAAGACTTCCGCAACAAGACTTTCTACGTCAATTCATTCACCGTGAGCCAGCGGGATATGTTCGAATCGGCACTTCGCGTGACAGGCACGAAGGAAAGTGATTGGAAGATCACAAAGGAGCCAGCGAAGGAGAGATACCATGCTGGTTTGAAGGAATTCCAGAATGGGGACCGAAGGGGCTTCGTAAAAGTCATGTATACCAGAGTATTCTACCCCGATGGCAATGGAGATTTTGAAAGCAGCAGAGGCGTTGCTAACGAGCTCCTTGGGCTGCCGAAGGAGAGCCTCGATGAAGCCACCAAAGCTGCCATTCAGAGAGCCATTGACATTCCAGGAGGCTATTCCGTTTCGAAGTAATTGAGCGAGGCGATCTGTGGGTGATTATGACAGCCAGGCAGTTAGTAGTTGTTGATCGAATAGAATCAAGGGTGAAGAACGAAAACACGCTTCCTTGACCGCCAAGCATACTGCCATCCAATTACACTCTGTTCCTCGCCTGCGCCACTTTGTGCTATTGGAGGGCCATCATGCACCTCGGCCGGTCACAGCTTCGAGTTGCTGCAGGGCAGGTAGATGTATTGGTGAAGGAGAGGCCGTTCGAGTGGCGAATGGCCTTCCATGTTCCTCGCCTCGCAGATGCAGCACTGTCCAGCTGAGCGTTGACCGTAGCCTCGCAGATCTCTTCTTTTGCACAGGTTGGTGCTACAGTACATACATACAGTGGTAGGAGGATAGCTGGTCAACAGAAGCTGCACCAACGCGCCAGAAGCAGTGGCGGACGCGATCGCGCAAGACTGAGCCCCATTTGCAACGTATAGACGGCCATAAGAACGCGAAAGAAGGAAGCTGGTGATGCAGCCATCAGTGAACAGAACCAGACACGAGCGCAGGGTTGCGCATACGAACGAGACTTGAGGCAGCCGACACGAGAACCCATGATGGTATCGCACCATCCTCCGCCGTATTCAGACCTGGGCCTGCCGCCACTGGCAGCTACAGCGCCAGTGTATGCTCGTGCTCCTCGCGCAGCATCAGTGAATTCCGGACGCTCGCATACACGCAGACACAGCTCGCGACATGCCCGAAGTCATCATGGAGGATCGAGTCATGTCGCGCAGAACGAGTTCCCCTTCTTCTCGCATACTGGAGACGTCGAGATCATCATTGGAAACGAAAGCGGGCGGAAAGAGCAGAGATACCTTTTGCACAGGTTGATTTTGAGCCAGTGCTCTGGTTTCTTCGAGGCAGGAACGCGAGCAGAATGGAGTGGACGGATGATTGAAAATGCTGGTAGTTCAACTGGTACCGCTGGCGGACTGGCTCGGATCAATGAAACTGAGAGCGTGACGGCGGGCAGCAGTTCACGGGCAAGCAGTCAAGAGCGAAGACCTTCATATGAGCAAGGGAAGCGAAAATGGAGATACGAACTCGACTGGCGAGCGGCCGGCGAGGACGATATGCCTATGCTTGTGCAGAAAGATCACACTCCTGGTTCCATGTTTGGAGGTGATGGACCACCGGCTGTGCGAAACAAGCCGCCTATATCCAACGACAGCTTCTTTCGCAGCGTGGCCCACTTCAGCACGCTCAATCTGACCGAGAGAAATCAGCCCAGCGTACCCGCGGAACCTGGCGATGAGGTTCTCAAGGACTATGATAACCTGTTCCGGACGATGTATCAATACCCACCGACATTAGATACTGTCAACATCGCCACGGCATATACCGAGTGCAAAGCGCTTCTGCACCTCGCAGATATGTACGATGCTCTGGAGATTGTGGGAACACGCGTTGATCACCATCTCCTACGATTTGGTGCTCGATTGTTCAAGCAGATTGCGAAGTATCCACCGAGCTACCTCAAGCTAGGGTATTTGGCACGCTCGCGCACCATCTTCACAGAAGCTCTGATCCACGTTGTGGGACAATGGCCTCTTGCAGCGCCGCAGCTTCGCGGTCAGGTTAACATCAATGTTATGGAACTTCTTGAAGACAAGGTCGATGAGCTGAGAGAGCTTGAGGAGCGCGTTGAAAGCAAGCTGTGGAGACTCAATCTCACCACAAGTCGAGGCGAGCGTGTCACGCCCAGCAATGACTTCCTATCGTGGCTCGCCATGTCTCTATTCAGGCAATGGCTAGCTGAGAATACGACGCCTGCACCTACAGGCATTCTCAAGGATACAACCCGACCAGCATCGGGCAATGCAGCTCAATCGACTCGATCTTCTAGTCGAGGAGAAAATCACGCCGTCTCCCAGCGTGTGTCCCAACAGCCTGCCTCGCAGGTGCAGCCCGTCCAGAACACCACCGGCCGAGTGTATCGTCTTATCGGATCCTCGGATCCATCGAAGTATCTCAACCACGATCAGCTTAAAAGATTTTTGAAAGCACCCAGTACGCAGCTAGGTACAGACTTTTACACTCGCGACAATCTGAAGCGCTTCGAGCGCAGGATCGACGAGGTCAAGAATCTCGCCCGAGATGCTGTGAAACCGCTCATGCGAAATTTCCTCGAACTAGATCTTCGAGACTTCAGCCCTGCAGGTCTGGGCTATTTGACATGTACACGACTCGAGGACCGAGACATACCATGGGACGAATGATGGCATTGCATAATAGTGAGGAGAATGCTGTGTTGTTTTGCGTTTGAAGCGAGATACCCCAACTTTGACAGACTTCTTTGTAGGCAGACTATACCCACACCTGTACCAAGCGACCCAGACTTCCCTCCATTCACGCACTGCCTTTTTCTAATAACACTGGAACAGTGATTGGCATCCGAGACCCCTACACTAGTGGGAGTACACGGGTATGCGGGCAACAGCCTCATAGCGTCCCAAGCTGACCATAGAGAAACCCATCATCATTCGCGACAAGCTGGTGGCACGCCAATGGATGTCCAAAGTCAACAATGCCTGCCCTCGAAATCTAGTGGACGAACGAACGCCAAACCAAACCAAACCGACCCAAACTCCACATTATTGCAGAAGAAACCGGCTCATCAGGTCTCTTTGTCTCAGCTCAGCCAAAGGACATGATCAAACCACCAACACGTTACACAAGCGAGCGAGTCGAAAAAATTCCCCCAACTCAGAAACCATTTCTTACCCCCAAGACTGGAATTCTCTGACACGGACACCAACGGCTGTCCCCAACTCAATTTAAATACCGACATGAAAACATTTTTCTGATTTGATACCACCCACCACTCTCCCACTCATTCTTAAAAATAAACGTGTTGGAACGGAATGATTTTTTTTAAGCTGGCATGTACCCTGTGTTGTTTCAGAACGTCCACGTCCACGTCCACGTCCGCCGTCTCAGTCAGCGCCGAGATTTGGCGGCTGAGAGCCTGAGAATTTTTTTTTTTGGAAATGTATAGTATTTGGTTGGTGAGTGGGAGGGTATGCACTAGTGGGAGGACGAATTCAATCTTGAAAATGCGGCACATTTCGTGGTAGTGATTTGATACCGGCATTGGTTGTTCCAAGATGGGAATGTAGTGGTTCGGGATGTGGCGGTTTTGGGGGCCGGAGCCGTCAACGTGTGTATGTAGGCATATCGTGGTTTGTTCTAAGTATGGAAGGAATGCGATTTCTGGGCATGCTTGTCAAGTGTGTGATGATTAACTCGTGTTTGTTCGAGATGTCGACTCTCGAGTACTGATGGAGATTCGGAAGGCCATGTTCTTATTAGAGAAGATTGCTCTTCTCCATCGCCGCTGGTAAGCAGTCATCATTATTCGCTGGTGAAATGGTCAGCACAATAAAAGCACCTCGCTAAGCTTTGCATCCCACACGGCAACTGGCGGTTGTTGCAACTCAGTTTTCAGTATATTCTATCACGTCTCCTGTTTAGTCTCATCAAAAGGTCCCGTCCCTTCGCTGGGGCGCAACTGAACGAATTTTCCAATTCCATACCCAGTGGAAGTCTAGGCAAGCTCATCATACCTTGTCGCCATTCACGATTGCACGATTGGCCTAAGCGCAGTTCACGCCAGTGGGATGTCAAAGTCTGCGCTTCCTGAAGGACTTCCAGGCTGTCTTAGAGACATGGGAATCCAGAACCATTGACAACCTGCAGAGCCTCAATCCTCACCGCCAAAGTCCGGTCATTCGTCGTGTTGCAGTGGGCGCCAGTGGAAGTGCAACTCACGGGCCTTTTTGAAGGATGCGAGTTGGTGTTGAAACCAAGCAAATCTTCTCATGGTCCGGCTGGTGGACCAGGCCAGTGCCTTGAACGAAATGTCTGCATTTGGGATTACATGTGCGATGATTCGTATGCTGGAAAGCGGCAGCTAATGGGAGTGCCAACTCTGATATCCCGCAGGAATGACTCCCTGTCTTGGGTCCGTGATGTGTCTCATGGATCTTGAGACATGGGGCAGAACCGCGATGAGCCGGGAACGTTCTTAAGTTCGCTGTCGACAGTCTCGTTGCTGTTCGTGTGATGAGCTCGCGTGTTCGTCATTGACTGCCTGCGAGCCGCTGACGTGCTTGTGGCACCACGGTAGCGATCCGAAGACGACGGGGCGAAAATGGGAGCCAAGATGCTTCAAACGGTTGCCGAGTCAGGCCATGTGCATTGTTGCAAGCAGGGTAAGCAATTGGGCGACTAATGAAGGCAACTAAGGGATGTCAAAAGTCAATCTCCAACTGCCGACGCTGTGGAAGCTTGGATGGTGGTTATCTTGGCTTTGGACCTTGGGTTGAACTTCGACCGGGGTCGACTAACGGATGACTAGGGCGTGACGGTGCCGGTGTGCAACCGGTGCGTGTTTAGCATGTTATCAGCTTGACCTTATTAGGCGGAAGGTGCCAGGAGAGAAGGAAAGAGAATTGTATCTATTTATTGAAGAAAGGCATCTTGTCATTCGTCGTAGAAAAGTATCTTACGCATACAAAGTACGAGGCTTGTATCGCCTCATTGCAGGAGCATCCTCTCCAAAAGCAAATCAATTCCCATGAAAAAAGAAGTCTGTGGCCGAGGATAGTACGTACCATCGTCCAACAGTGTGCAGCAGTGTCGCAGTGAAGCTCAGCTCAGATAGAAACCATAACCAGCCACGAGAACGCCGTTTCAAACCCATAATGCCGATGTGTGATGCCTTCCTCCTGTCCCATATTTGTGCCTCCTTTTCTGGTCGCTATGCTGTGGTCGGTCGTCGTAATGTAACAGTCTTGATTATCATAAGTTTGGCCGAAGCTTCTTTGTCGTAAGTTTTGTCGATTTCGAATTCAGTGCGAACACATCTAACGCGCACGCTGGCGGCACTCCTCAGAACTCATCATATCTTCTGGCTTTGGGAGAGTCGCAAGCCAGTCATGTATGCGCCGGTTTCTATCGATGGGGGTGGCAAGCAGATGGAGCTTGGCAGCCATCAAGTGATGCTGCATCATATCCAGGCAGTCGCGCAACTAACGCTCACGCGACATCTCGTCTGCGTGCATCTCTGCTGGCGATGGAAGAGTCTTGAAGTAGCGATCCATGACGTTGGCCTTGTCATTAGCGCTCGAGGAGAATGCATCGCCGGCAAACGGACGCTGTGGCTGAATGTTGCCGAATTGAGTCTGGCGGGGATCCGAATTGACCGCCTGACGACTCTGCTCAGAAGGAACGCCGTGATGATTGCCTTGAGAGAAGGGACGAGTGCCAATAGGTGGCTGCTGCTGGCGGACAGGGCGGCCCGACTCTGTGCTGTTCGCTGTACCATACTGCGGTGCAACGGTCCACATGCCGAGAGGCGGCTGTTGTTGTTGCTGGTTGTAATACTCACCAAGCTGGTGAACGTGATTCTGATATATCGGATCCGCAGCCGGGATCCCGTACTTCTTCTTGAGCATGTCCTGGTGCTCCTTGACCTTGGCCGAGTCTGGGGGTGTGATGAGTTGTTGTTGTATGGTATTCTTCTCAGCGAGCTGATGGTGCTCGTTGGCACCACTGCGATCATAGAAGAAATTGTAGTCGCGAATGCTACCAGTACGATTGATGAGCGGGTCAGTGCTCGGCAGGAGATCGTTGAGATTGGCTTGCTGGAATTGCTGGCCGAGCGCAGTGACCGATGGATCAGCACCATTCGAGCCGTAGAACATGAAGTTCTGGCCTTGGTTGAAGGTGCTTGGTGCGAAGCTGTTCGCAACACCAGGAATGGAAGGGTAGTTGGGGGTGTATGTGTCGTATGGGATGCGATAAGGCATCTGAGCGCCGTAAGGGTCGCGATCCTCGCCATAAGCCATGGTGTAGTTGCTATTGACGGCGTACGGATTGTACGGGCCGACAGCGCCAGGACCGATGCCGCTTGGTGGCTGACCCATAGCGTGCTGCGAAAAGGAAGCCGGGTTGATGGCGGAGAGCCAAATGCGAGTCTTGTAGATGCGGTAGAGCTCAGTAATCAAGTCCTTGAAGTTGATGTAGTGGTCGGCATAGTAGTAGAAGATCAGCTTCTGGAAGTCCCTGCGAATCTGTTAGTCTGATGTCGCAAAGAAGGACGCTGTCACAAGACTCACCACTGCCACTCAGCATCGAGAATCTCCATCTGCAAGCGGAGGTGAGCAACCTTCTGCTGGCAAGTGCGCTTGGCCTTGGCTTCGTTGCCCTCTTTCTCGGCGAGCATTTTGATCTCGTGGTCGTTGGCGAGACGCTTGATAGCTTTTGGCTTGAGATTGTTGAAATTGTCGCGGGGAATGGAGCCTTGCATGGCTGGAGTGTTCTCTCCAAACAATGGACTCATCATGCCGCCTTCACCATGAAGTTGGGCGTTTGGGTTGAAGCCGCCGTCCTTGTTGCGGCTGTACATCATCAACCACTTGTACTGCTCCTCGGAGTACTTCTTTCTAAGGAGCCGAGCGACGTCCGGCGTGATGTTGGCATGCTGCACAGTGCCAAGGTCTTGTCCACGGTCGGCCTCAACAATGACAAGGTCGCCCTCGCGAATGATGAGCCCAGTGTTGTCGAGGAGGTAGAAGACGTCGACGCGTGAGCACTTGAAGCTCACAATGTACAGCTGCTTGCGTGGCCGGCCTGCGGCTGGACCCCACTGAGCAGTGGGTGCCACGGCTTGTTGTTGATCGCGGCGAGCGTCAAGCTCGCGCTTCTCAGTGGCGTTCAACTCCACGTGAGGTACGCGGTACATGACTGGTATGTCGTATACGGCCGCTGTCTCCTGTGCCCGCGTCATGTTAGCGAGATCGTCGCCGCCGTCGAGTGGACGGTCAGGCGCGAAGCCCGGATAGTCTGCCAACTTACGCGTTAGATGCTGTTCTGACTCAAGCGGATGTTCTTTGATTGTATGTGATGGTTGCGGATTGATGAGCGGAGCGAAGAGGTGTGTTGAGGAAGTGGAAGAGGTGGTGGTGGAAGAACAAAGTGGATGGTTATGAGGGCAGTGTGAAAGTGAGTCCACAGCGTTCACGCAAGGCGGCAGCCGCCACCGCGCATTGTTCAAGGTGTAGGAAGGCGCGACAATGGCCGCTTGGCGATCATATGAAAGGCGGAAGGGGGCAATGTGCTCGGGGAGGGTTTGATGGACTTACGTTGTGGTATGGTATCGTGCTCGTCTGCCTCCAGTGGATCGTGTGTGAAGGTGCGAGAGAGCATTGAATGCTCACCAGCTGCCAGAGAGCCGCGACGGGTGGGAATATCCGCTAGCGAATGCCGGCGTGACTCGTTGACGTTAGGCAAGTCGTCCCAGCCTAGCGAGCTTTGCCAGCGAGAACGATGGCTTGGACTGTCTGTATCCAGCGTTAGAAGATGCTCTGACTCCGCCCTTGAGCTCAAGATCGCATCAAACAAGCATACCTAGAGACATATTGGCAAATGCACTTTCAAAGGTCTTGCCCCGTAGCAGTCCTGATTGCATGGGAGACTGATTGTCCCCATATTCCCTGCCATTTCTGTGGGACGGCTCAAACGTTGGAGGCAAAGTAGCGGTGCGCATCAACGATCCCATGGGAGGATGGGACGTAGTATGAGTTAGCTGGGCTCCCGTCTCAGACTCAGACTCTGTGTCTGCCTCCTCTGCCAGCAGTCCAAGCGGTAGCGGTGCTGCATGGCCTCCAGCATTGGAGTGCGCACTAGAAGTCTGGGGAACTTCGCGCTGGCCCGTCGAATGCGACAATGACCGGCCAGTCTTTGGCGTAGGTTGCAAAGGAATAGCAAACGGCAACGAGGCTGCACCTTCGCTGGCAGAGGGAGAAGGTGTGTTTCCCGCCCGGATGGCAGAACTGACCGGACCCAGACGGTTCTGCGATAGGTTTTGTCGAACAGCTTTGGATTTCTCGTCCGACATCTTGAAACTGCCACGACCCTTCTGAGTGCTCCAGATACCTCCAGGGAGGCCCGGAACGCTATTCTCCCTCATCGGAGCATTGCCAAACTTCATCGACATTGGCCACGGCCGCTCATCCTCAGACGAAGCAACCGCCTCCGAATCAGGCGTTGCCCGACGAGCTGGCTAAATGCAAGATCAGCACCAACAGACGCCACGGAACAAAACGAACATTGCACGTACATTCATATTGAAAGAAGGACACAAAGTTCACGCACGGCGCTTGAAAGAAATCAGTGGTAAAAGAGCAAGATTATCTGTGGTATCGATTAGCACAAGTCTCCAGCATACCCGGAGCACAAAAGCCAGCAGCCCAGGTCAAAGACAGGTCGGAGGGCCATCGATAGCCTAAAAGATGCAGATGTCGGACAATCGTCTGAGAAAGGCCACAGGGAGCAGCCCAGGAATGATTGGAGAGTGGCCAGTACTTCCAATCGCTTCGCCATCACAGGGACAAGATAATGCCGAGGATGCAGGAGAGGACAAACGAACTGCAAGCGATACTACGCGACAATCCAATTCCAGGCAGTACGGAGTTGGGAGCTGTCACTGGCATCAGAAGATGGCGCAGGAGTGCCTCTCAAAAGTACAAGCCAGCGTGAAGCTCCAAAGCTGTACCCGTCGCCATGCGTCGTGGAAAAACATACGGCCAGAGCAGACATTGAGATGATCCGAGGTTCTCTGCGGCCGTGAAGGTCCCATCAGGTGAGAACATAGCGATCACGTAATCTTTCATCGCTCCTCGGAGACGGCTATGGCTGAGCAGTCGGTCTCCATCCCGCAGCATCCCACAGGACCTGGCCTCTTGGAAGCAGACAAGGGAGCGTTGAAATCACGTCCGGAAGTCTGGTCTCGATTCACGCCCAAGATGGTGCATTCGCTTGTGTGCAGCGGCGATTCGGTAGCATTTCGTGGCAGATTTCCACAAGTCCAGTCGAGTCGAGTCGAGTCCAGTCCAGTCCAGTATATGCAAGCATTACCGACTTTGCGGTGCTCAAAGGCGATCACATACCTGAAGCAAGTATTCGGGTGTCGTAAGCAGTCGTGCAGCCTCTAGTCTATGTCTACAGATTCGGTGCTGAAAGAGGTCAGCAAATGCGATTCAGCTAATCGATGCACCAGGGCGACGGACGTTAGGTATGTCGTGAGCTACTATTACATGTCTGAAACGAGTATCTTTAAGCGGTGTACGTGTCTGGTCGGATGTCAGCAGTACGATCAATCGCAGAGATGGCGACACGGGGAAGCAGACCTATGTTCATTCCCAATATCCTAAACACTCCGATCTATCACCCAGAACAACAACAAATCTGTGCTCAAGATTGTGGCATTCACATTGAGAGATTGTCGTCGTCGGCAGTGCAACGCGTGAAGCCTAGTGAATGAAGGGCGGCGTTGAAGAATGGAGATTCAGTTGGGAGCAAGGTATCGTCGGGGTGTACTTGGCGTGGGGAAGCGTGAGGGCCACGATTCCAGGATGCCAGCCTTCGCAGACAGCCGCGCCTGGCCGAGCGTGTGGTCTGGAATGGAAGGCGGCTTCCCTTCCCTGGCTGGGCGAGAGGTCGCTGCCGCCCGTGGAGTGTGTGTGAAGGAGGTGAGGTCGCAAGCTGGACTCGAGGGAAGCAAAGGCCGGCGTCGAGGCTGGCTTGAGCCTTGAGAACGGCTGGGCTGGGCTGGGCTGGGCTGGGCTGGGAGCTGTGGGGAAAACGCCGCCGAAGGGAACGTGCGGCGATTGGCAAGGCCTGGTGGGCTCGGATGGCGCGGTGGAGCCTGCGGGTTGCACAGGTGTGCGATGCCTTCTGCGACGGTGTGTGCGATGAGGCGCGCTCGAGCTTGGGCGTTGTTGATGGCGCTGAGGTCGTTCGCAAGAGCTTCGACGACCACGACGACGTACCGAATGTCGAGGAGCCTTTTGATATGAAGACGAGCTAGTCGAAGGGGGCGCTGCAGGCTTCGTCTGCAGCTAAAGTACGGGCAGCAGCAAGCCGTCCGCTCACCAAGGCAAGGATGCTCCTGAATGCCACAAGATGCGGAGAAGGGCGCTTGTACTGTTCAGTCACAAGACCAATCACCATCAGGCCAGTCCACACTTTTGGGTACCGGTTCGCACGACTCTCTATCTCGCTGACAGCGCTGTCGTTGCGCCGCGCGCCGTCTGTTCACCCAATCTCCCACCCAGGTCGAGAGCAGCCTTTAAGACATCGATGCCCGCCCGCCCGTCCTCACCCTCACCTCACCTCACCCTCACGAGACATCCGATCCCCAGTTCACGGATCACGACGAGCGGCCGCGATTGAAGGGTCTGGGGCATCAGGGTCTGGGGCATCTTGCTTTCCCTGATCGTCCCTCCCATTGCTGCACGAAGCTCTCGTGCGGGGACACAGGGCCTGTCACCTGGCCTAAATTATTGATAGCGGAGAACCCATGCCATAGCTGTAGAAGGAGCTCAAGCTTCTCAGGTACGGGACGGGGAAATGCACTGCACGCACATACTGTTTGCTCTGCTCGAGTGCCGCCATCACTGGGACATCAGTGCCGCGAGAAAGCCTTAGGGAACGGGCCCGGCAACGAGAGCGACAACTTATTATTATGGATGGAGACGCTTTTCATCAACAGAGCCAGATACCGGGCTAGAACGCGCTACACCAAGGCTTAGGCCTTTTAGGCACCGCATCATACCAATCTCGCGCCTTGCTTTGCAGCCTTTGCTCTCCTGCACATGCCAGGATAGCAGACGTACCCCACAACGTGTTCGCCCACAACCATGCCCAAACCAACCGTGATCATCGAGATCTTGATTGATCGGTCTGGCCTTGACTGTTTCGAAGCGAGCACACTTATTCCATTTCTAGGACACAGCAAAACATCGGCTAAAGCAGGCTACTGCTGTTCGCATTGAACACGTCCTACGTCGCGAACCTTGCCCGAGTCAGGACAGAGCTTCCTGTACGGCACGCCTCACACGCTTGGGCCATTTCATGCGTGCGATCGTTCCGTCACTGCGCATTATTGCATTCTTCTCCAGGTCAGCTTTCTAGGTTCGCTAGAAGCTCTGCAGCCCTCTGGCACTCGGAGTACGGCTACTCCTCCAAACGTCTACATTTGCTGATGTACTGTACGGGCATCGATATGTCCGTGGAAGCTATGAGCTGGCACCGCTGACGAGACATGTGCAGCGGTAAGAGCCGATTCAGATGGCAAACGAACATCAACTGGCCTGCGCCATACTTGCAGTGATCCTTAGAGTCTGAGCCTGACACCATTGTGCGGTCGCGCGACAGAGTGATCACATTAACTGCTCGTGCAGTTTAGTCGCGCAGCAAGATTAGACGCAACACCTTCCTCCCAAGATTCTCGTTGCCCAGGTCAAGTCTGACTTCACTTGTCGACATTGGCGTAACAGCGACTTGCGGACCTAAGATGCGGTCACCATTCCCTCTCAACGCCCTCTTTCGCGCTGCTGGGAAGTACATGAGATTCAAGATCAGTGCTTCTAACTATTTCCTGCCGTACAGTTTCCTATCGAGGACTGCTTGTTTCACTAATAATTGTATATCTCATTGGTGCCCTTCCCCTCAGTCATGACTTTGTTGACTGTGTCCTTGACCAGAGCGGCTATTGAAGCAGCGTACCCATCCACAGTCTTTGGATCGCTCAAGTTGGGCGGACTAGCCTTGGTATTGGCGATGTCGACTGCGCTTGAGCATAACCACGCCACGTTGATCTCCGGACTTTGACAGGCGGCTCGGATGTCCTTCACATCTTGCAGCTCAAACCCACGTCCAAATGCGACAGCTGCTGGCCGTTTGCTGAAATCATGCGAACCAATGTTTTCATCCGGATTTGGCGATGGAGCTTTGCCAGCCAAAATAGCCGGAATTTCAGCTTTGGCCCTGGAAGCAGAATTGATGAATTGCAATACTGGCGGAAAGACATTAGCAAAGATCTTGCAAGAATTGGAGTTGGCCTTGATGCAACCATCCATACCTTCTACTTCGGGTCTGAGTCTTTGCGTGACTGCTGTGCCCATGACCTCACTCACGCCGCACAGAATGATTGGAATTGCCATGTTTGAATGCGCTCTGCTTTGTCTCTTTGCTTCAGAGATACGCACTCTCGAGATGATGTATCAGATCTTGTCTGTTCGCAATTATACGTACAATAAGGTGAGATGCTGTTCTTTAAACCAACCGAGTCGAGATCCTCTGAAGATATACTCCAAGGGAACAAGCTCTCGCGTTCAGCTTGAAGGCCGAGCTGGCAAAGGATTGCTCTCCGTTCCTGTCGCGCTTAGCCGCAACACCGAGTCGTCGAAGCACGACGTCGATTACGACACCGCTTTTGCCCATCGGACTTGTGGTCCTGCCGACTCGACTACAATATGGATTCGTGACTCAGCTCGAAAGCAATGCTGACATATCTTGATGCCATCTTCAGAATCCGTCTTGACCTCGGCTACTCTACAGCCGTGACTTGATTTTCGCGTAACGCAAAGCAAACAGCACTTGTGTGATGATGGGACTTCGAGAAAATCCATCGATAGGGCAGAGATCAGAACCTCCACCAAAAGAAAAACCTCCGACAGAACATCCATCCTGCCAATCAGCACGCCCGAACAACTCAACCTAGATTCCACGTACCTGCATAGACATACACCGTCAAACACCTGCACCATTACCACTCCACAAAGCACATAATAATACATACCGACAAGAGCTGAAGATGTCCCATACCCATACCTTCCCAGATCTCCATCGCCTCCCCTCCCCGCCCCTCTACAATTGGTCCAAACTTTCCAAATCCGTACACCCCAGATCCCGACATTCTTGTATACTTGGCATTCGGAGTCACCGCCACAAGTAGAAGTTGCGCTGCAAGAGACGACGTACCTACCTACCTAATGCAGGGTGAACTGATGAACCGGATTTCTCACGATGTCCTCGTCCGCGCTTTCCGCTTGTACACATGTAAATTCATCTGGGCTACACCGCCACAGTCTCGTAAGTGTGTCTCACGCAGCCTTGTATTTTTTTGGACACAAGCCAATAGTGTCGAGAAGTTGGAGATTCTACGATATGCAGGGGGAAACCAATAGTAGGACGACGTTCATTCATTCGCGCTTACTTCGCAGAAAGGATCCTGTCACATGAAAACAATTTTGTTTGCGCAGGAACAAGGAAGTTTCCACTTCTCGATTTCATCCATTCATGCTTCGTAGTCATAACATCTTGTGTCTGAACACGTACTAGATAACAATAAAATGATTCGCTAACAAATAAAATGCAAGTAGGCGAGACGTCCAGCGCCCAATCAGCCAGTAACAGTTGAACAAATGACAGTATTACACCCTTCATCTCGCCATGCATTTTTTCTTGCTCCCATCCTCGTAACGCGCCATTGCCATGCAAATAGATCCATGCAAGCAGTCTTTGTACATTGCTCATAAAATATCATGCCATGCTGTGCGTCAAGTGCCGGACGACGCCGCCGGACAAGTTCCTCTCCCCTGTCGTAAAAATTATTTCTTTCTCTTGTGTGAGGCTGCTGTCGTATGAGCAACTCCGAAAACAACTCCATACCATGCAGAAAGTCTGACGCAAAGCGGATATTGTAGGAATCCGGGATGAGATTGTCCCGAGGAAGGCCGAGGAACCCTAAGTCAGACATCAGAGGTTCTCGCTCGCGCACCTGGCCGATTCCTGCTAATGCCGACGGGAGAAGTCTGGCTCACGCCACCGACGCAAATTCAGGTACCAAAGTGTTCGCGGCCGAAAAATATAATGTAACCTCTGATGAACACACTTCTAGAAGTGGCGTGTAATCCGAGCGCAGTGTCGGGTGCCAAGAATAGCTGAGCCGCATCTTCTAAGATCAGATCCCGCTTATGCAAGCCTCGTGACCCTGCTTCAACGACTCACGGGGTCGAGATAGTCGTGTGATGCGTGGCATCAGTTGTAGTCAGCCCGTGTCATGACCAGTCATCGCTCTCAACAGGCCACAGCATTCAGTCGCCACGCTTTGAGCGTTTGCCGAAAGCTTCGACCTCCGGATGTACGACGCGCATGTGTCTTGTGAGTGCATCGTTCCGTGAGAAGGTCTTCTCCTCGCGACACATCAGACATCGGACCTTCTGCTTACGATTATTGTGTATCGTATCCTCGTGGCGAGTGAGATCGTACGGTCGCGAGAAGATGGTGTTGCATGGCTTGCCTGTCGATGGGTTGATACGCGTACACTTGTGTGGCCCAGCCTGGGAGTTCCTTGCGAGAATTGCAGCGGAGGTCATGCCATTGGATGAAGGATCCGGTGAGACTGATGACCGCGGTGATGCGGAAGCAGTGCCTGACGCTGATGCTGATGCGCCGCTGTCATGCTGCTTCTGCTGTGAGCGGTGGTACTCGCGCTTGTGTTTCTGCAATTCGTTGTGTGAGTTGAAGCGCTGAGTGCAGCCATGATAGGTGCAAGTGTATGTGCCGGTATTCGCACGAGTGTCGTCAGGCCTACGAGGTGCCGTTGAGACGGTGATACTTTCTTGCGATGACTGTGGTGGACCGGCGTCGCTGATGGATGTCTCCATTGATGGCAAGGCGGCAGGGAACTCTGGAGCAGCTTCGGCGTACTGGTTCATCTTCGCAGCAATAGCAGCTTGATAGTTACCGGCTTCGAAGGGATTGTTTTGCAATGAGCTCTGTGGCAATGATGCAAAGTCAAATCCAGCGTAGCCATTGTCAGCTGAGGTACCAGTGGCGTTCCTGAAACTTATATTCTGCCGACCAGTAGTTGGCAAGCCATTATATGTGGTACTTGGCTGGCCCATGAAGTTGCTTTGCCACTGCTCGGTGCCACCCATGTGCTGTTTATAGCCATCGGGTATACTATCCTGGAAGAGCGATGGCTGGTCTTCTCCAGCGTAATCCAGGAGGGCATCTTTCGGGGAAATGGTCTTTGTGGGCTCTCTTCGCAATGGTACACGGTGCTTGGCATATTCTGCTTCTGCCGCCGCGTCCTTCTGCTGCTGCCTCATACTAGCAGTGTTGCCAATTTTCATGTCGGGTGCATTCCAATCCTTCGATGGAGCGAGTGGAGATCCGTCCCTAAATGGAGATCGCTCTCGCGAGATGGCGGAGGTTGGAGATGCGGATCGAGCCAAGTTAGCAGTCTGTAATCGCTCGGTAATCAGGTTGCGATGAGGTGACAGGAACTGCTGCTGGCTCTGCTGTTGTGACTGAGACTTCGGTGCTGCAGATGTATAGGTCTGATTTGGGTTGTAGAGCTCGTCCTGGAAGGCCTGCGATTCCGTGCGGAACAGCTGGACATTCGGGTTGGGCTGTCGGTAATCTGCACCGTCGAGAAGTAAGTACTCGAACGATTTATGCGCCATATCTGCGTCAATCTCACCATTCTGCGATGTGTTGTAATTTCTTGCGTCATCGCCAGCACCCGACTGCGGTGTCGCCGGCGAGTCGTTACCGTAGCTCGACATCGACTGTCTTGAAGGCGCAAAGTCTGGTGTGAAATCCTCTGCGGTGTGGTAATCGAAACCAAAGCTTTTCATAGCAAGATGCGCGTTCGGAATGTGCGCAGATGCACTAGGCACGTAGCCGTTGGAGTGCGCGAAGATGCTGTCGGTGGGAGTCTGCGAAGGTGTAGGTAGATTCTTTGGGTAAAGTGCTTGGTCAGCGGCAAAATGTGCTGGTGAATTCGGCGCGTGATCCGTGTTTGCGATTTGTGGGTGCGAAGCCGAGTTCATATACGGAGAATTCGGACCGGTCGACGCGACTGTCGATGCTGACGGTGTCCTTGCGTGAGACCTCTGTCGCTTGATACCCTGCTTTTGCAGATGACTGGCGACCGGTCCTCCCAGTCCAACGCTATTGCACTGCGGTGCAGCGTACATAGGCTGCTGCGTTTGCCAGTCGTGGGTCGCCACACTGGAGTCAACTACCGCGGAATCGTGTCGCACGCCCGTGAATGTACTATGCTGTGGCGAGGACGTGGGCGCAGCCGGTATTCGCAAACGCTGTTTTTGGGTCGTGTTCGTCGCGCTTGATGTCTGGGCGTATGCTGGGCCTGCCTGTTGCAGCAGGGCCAATGCCTGATTGTATATGTGTTGTGGCTCGTACAGAGCGAAATCTGCGTACGATGTTGTTGTCGAGTGAAAGGTGTTGAGAGAGTGGGAACTCATCGTCGAAGGTCGAAGTCGAGGGCGTTTTGTAATTAATGACGTCGACGCCAAGCTTTACCCTGAAAATACCGAAGTTGACGACATCGAAGGTCGCGAAGATGTAAGTATTCCAGGAGCGCAATGTACGAGCAGTGTAGGCGTTTATAGCGAGCGGCTTTAGAAGTGTATTATGATGCAACGGACATATAGTAATACAAATGTACTCTGTGCAAAAAGGGCTTTCCTTCCATGCGTCGCATCGAGCCTTACCAAAGCGGCTAGCGCTCATGCCGCACAGCCTCACGAGTGAATGAATAAAGTTTCATGCACGCTCTGGAACACACGCTCCATGCCCTGCATGCGCCGGCTACCACCAGTCAAATCGTGCTCCCGAGTCCCTACAGAACGTACCTTGTTGTTCTACTTCCGCCGAAAGTCCGCATTCCCTGCCGCATTATGCTTAATGCTAGGCAGTGTGCAGGCACGCGACCTCTGGAGTCTGGAGCAAGCACCAACAACGCGTGGAGTCGAACCATCTTTTTTGCTTTCAGGACCAGCTGTTCAAGTTGACTGAACGCTATGGCTGGTGCTGGTTGGCTAGGCTACAGTCACAAGCGACACCCGAGATGGTACGACTGCGCTATAGGCAGGTTGATTGCTCCCGGAGTGCCAGCCTGTCACTGTCCCGAGCCGTTCAATATGCTTGCTCTGCTACGCTTTTGCTCATTGCGCAGCTAACTTTTTGAGCGCCCAATCATGAATTCTCGGAGACGCCTACAGTGGACTTTGCACCTTTGTTCAACCCGGCTGAATCATCAAATACCGCCAGTGGCCGCGAAACCGGCGAAACCGAATTCGGCAGCTCAGCAATTCTGCTTGTGCATGGCCTGAGGCCCGGCGGCGGAAAGACGCGTAAACCAGGCCGTGGTTACATACACTGATTGGACCCGAGCACGACGGACCGAATCTTGGACAAATTTGAAATCTCGCTCGAAGCTCCATGTGCCATGACGACACGCACAAGGTATACACGTGGCTACAAGACAAGTGCTGTGGCGCAGCCTCTCTGAGTATGTCATTTGTACCTGCTCATTGGTCACAAGCATCAGAGACAAAAGAACCATTGGAGAAACAACTTGAAGCAGCCACGGTCAGGCCGAGATCAACTGTGGCTGCTATCCGGCATCAGATGTTTTCCTTGCGCGCTCTCCATGGACAGTCTCGCTGTACCGTACTGCTCCCACCGAATCACACTGCATTGCGTGTACAAGCCCTACCAAATCCCAGCATGAACCTTCCTACTTCGTTTCGAGTCCTTGGCTTCTCGGCTGATATGTATGGAGCGAAACGAGATCTTCCGCTAGTCCTGGGCATAGCATTGCAAAGCAAGACGAGGAAGTAAAGCGGCCTCGAACCTGCCCGGCAGCCGGCACGGGAGATTCGGAAGACGTATACTGACAGCAGGTTCAGTTATACCTATGACCAACACACAATGTGATGCGCCGAGTCGCGAGAATAGCATCATAGTATCAGTGCACTAAGTTAATCCGAGAACCCTAAAGCTTTTCCGCGAACTTCGAAGCGACTTGTTCCGAGCCGGTACGACATTTGGACATGGATAGGACATGGATCTTCTCCCAACAACGATTTACAGTATGTACAACATTCCATTGATAGAAACAATGTACACCAGAACAAGCACACCTTGCACGAAGTCTTTCGCTTGCCTCATCAATTGCGACGATGAGGTGAATGTGCAACACCCCTAGGGCAGACGACATGCAGGCGTCGCTACAGTAGGAACGTAAAAGTCTAGCCCTACGACATTGACTGGGGTGCCTACCAGCGCGCTGCGTTACAACGTCGCACGTCTCAACGAAGATAATAAACTTTGGGCCCGTTACGTTGCCCTGTTTTCGTAGGTCAGTTTTCTAGAAGTATACGATAATCGGGTGTGTTAACTCGACCGTGGTTTTCGTACCCAATTTTCATCCCAATTTTCCAGCTATTAGCGTTCCTCGCTTATATAGCCATATATGGTATAAACCACGAAAATTCGAACTCTTAACACCTCGTAGATAGGATCCACTCTTGTCTTTGAAAACTGAGGCTATTTAGCCCTATATCGCGCTATAGAGTCGCAATCGGTGGTACGGCAGGCGCGGAAGCGACGAATGAAGGTTATAAGGCGCAACTTCACTGTTATATTGGTGGCGGCTATTTCCTGCTGCCACTGAGCATCAGTTAATAGCTCCTCGCCGGACAACAGACTGGATAGATCCATAGCCAAATGGTGATATACAATGGCTTCAATCTACTATAGCGATTCTACGCGCTGAGAAGACGCGAGGTCTGACAACCATTCTATGCCAAATTAGGCCTCTTAGCAAGCCACCAGTATGCACTAGGTCTACGAAAACTGGTCGACTTAACAGACGCGATTATCGTAGCGATTGTCGTGCCTATAAGCGACGATAAACAGTGGATACAACACACTTAGTTGGCTTAAGAGTTGGACTATTATTAGGCACGATAAACGCGACGAAAATCGGGCAACGTAACGGGCCCTAATAGCAACGTCGTTCTCCCATTGTTTGCATTATACGTCACTCAGAACTTCCTCTATAAGGAATATGTACACAAAAAACACCTCGTTACAACTTACAAGAAGGCGGCTGACTACTGCAACTGACGGCTCGCTCTGACCGAGAACTCGAGTCATGTCTCCCAAAAAGGGTAACGCAATCCAGATACATCACGTGCAACTGCAGCACTATGGAGCTCGAGGTCTAGATGCTCACAGACCTTGGCATTTCTTAAGATATTGATTGTGTGGTTCAGCGGCGCACTTGTGTCTCGCATTGCATGTCTGGCCAGCTTTGATCACGAGCGACATCATGCATAGCATGCAAAGCTGGCTCGGAGGCCGCGAGAAATTCAGACAGCCTGACCTTGACATATAGTGAGAGACGTTGGATGTTGTGGCTGATTCTAGCCTATAGTGCAAGCAAGCTGTTACTTGATATTGGATGTGGATGCAGGGTGCAGGGCGCTGAAGCTGTGGCGGTGCAGGCGCTCGTTCGTCATTCGTGTGAATTGGTTCGCGACTATCCTATGCGCTCGGAATACAGACTTTAAATCTGATGAAGTGAACTGAACCTGCACCTCAACCTGTGTAGTTAAAAATGGCGGGCAGGCTGTTACTATCTACTCGAATATGTGCTCTGTATATGTCAGAGCTACACCGAGGGAAGTTGTTCTTGTCCGGTTTCACCTGCAGTTATACTTTAAATCTAGAAAGTCTTCGGGTCAAGTGGTCGTAGTAGGGTACTATACGCCTACTGTCCGGTTCAAGCTGTTATCTTAAGTGCATCTACCTGCATCCTGAGCCGCAGGTGCAACCGGACAGGCCCTAAGCAGCTGGAGTTGGAGAAGAGGCTTGAGGCGAGAAAACGTCCAGACTCCCTTTTCTCGCAGTTCCTACTCCTCGAGACAGGATTTCAAGCCGACTTGCCTGGATTCGGTGCTTCTTCATAACTTGCACCCATTCGGGCTCTGCGGTCAAGTCTTGCTCGGGTCTCCCATTGGCCTGGTCTTGGCTGGCATCCTGCTCAACCAGGTCGTCTTCCAGCAATGCGACCATCATGCCAAAGTCTGCACCAAGTCTGCCTAGACTCCCAGCACAGTAGAGGACTTGCGTAAGCAGAGACTCCCGGGAAGTCTTGTCCATGATATTGGGCAGGTACATCCGAAGTGTGCTTTCTAGCATGTCGACCAGATGCACAGCAAACGTCGAGACAGCAGATGGCGCAGGCAGGAGCGGATCTGCTGACGCATGTTTGTCGCCGTCTTTGGGGTGGTCTGGTTCTGGCAGATTCGCAGGGAATATGCTCTTGTACATGTTGAGGATGGCAAAGCTTTGCTCGCGGAATATCTCGATGTAACGCTTCAGATACCGCTCGCTTTGAGTGCCGGCAGTCGAGAATGAACTGGACTGTTTGGCAGCATCCTTGGCGGCAACCTGCTTCTGCCTTAGAGTAGAATCCTGATCTGCAAGGTCGCGGAGAGGCTCGAGGGCGTCCAAGGTGTGATGCAGTGTTTTCAACCGGCAGACTAGGAAGAGCGACCCGAGTGCTCCATCATTATTGATCGTGGTTGGGGACAAGCTCAAAGGCCTTGTAGACAGAGCAGCAGGCTTTGTTGAAATCTGCAAGTCTTCTGTCAGGTCAGGCGCAACGCGTCTGAGCCAGCCTACTGTTCGCATGGCTGCAGCGAGCTTCAGCGACGGACTCTGCAGGCCTGTGATGAGGACTGTAGCAAGATTCTGCATTTCAAGCTCAGCTTGGGAGGAGATATTGCCAATGAGTTCAGACTGTGGGTACAAAGCTTTCAGCCTCTTGATATGGGCATGCAGATCCAAGGCTGAGGCATATGATGTAGCAGATCCGGCTGCTGATGCTGTGCCTGTGCTGCTGGCTTGAGCTGCTGCCACCGTAGACGAGAGCAGAGAGGGCAGGTCCAGCACATCTGATAATCTGTCCACGTTGCGTGATAGCAATGCTGCTCTTTTCCGCCTGTCCAACACAGCGTTCTCGCTACTTCTATCATATTTGGTGGCAAAGTCCGAGACTGCATTCTCGAGCGCTGGTACATCTTTTTGCAGCGCTTCTGCTTGTGAGCCCAATGCCGGAAGTAGAGACGAGAGGTTGGTAAGATGAGAGGAAGATGAAATGACTGATTTGTGCGAGCGTTTGGACAGCGCCTGTAGGTTGCGTAGATGCGACTGTGCCGACTGCAGGAGGGCTGCTGGCTCGTTTGTGGTCAGGTCGGCGAGGGAGAGTGTGCTGAGCCGGGAGAGGTAGGCAGCTGTCTGCGGATCTCGAGGTGAGGGCGGCGATGTGTCATGGTCGAAGTATGGAGCCAGCAGCTCGTACAGCGGATCTGCCATGATGTGAGCGCCTAATAGAGATGTGCATCTGTAGTGAATGTGGAAGAGGATTGCGGGCTGTTCCGCTTCCTTGGTCAACCTTGTTGACTCTGCTCTTCCACGTCTTCCATCAACTTCCGTTCGAGCAACATCTTGGCCGCGACGGAAGACCGACAAAGAAAGCTCTGCGGCTCACAAGTCGCGTACGCACTTCCCGAACAAAGTCGCGATGCACAAAATCACGACCTAACACGTCGCCCGGCGGCCGGCATCATGGAGCAGGCGCTGCACCAAGATGATATCGTGGCTAGGAAGAGCGACGAGAAGTCGCTCGCCGTCGTCGAGCGGACACACTCAGACATTGACACGCATATGCCGCTTCCCAGGAGGACCGAAGAAGAACCAATCACTTGTGGGCCAGGAGTGTCGCAAAGCGCCTTTCGACGCTTTCTGGTTGATGGTGTGCCCCCGCGCGATACCGTACTAATTCGCTACCAAGACGAGCCGAAGCTCGAGTTGCTGCCAGTCTCGAGAGTCAAGCTGGTGGATCGATCCTTGATGATCGGTGACATTGTCAAACGAAGCGCGCAGGACTCGCAATCGGGTGTCATCCTCAACACATTCACGAGATGCACCCTCCAGCCCATGTGCGATGTCACATATCAAAATAGTCGCACGCTCAAGGGACTTCTGGGACGATCTTCCGACGATCCTGCCTCTTCGCAATTCTTCATCTATCCGGACGGACGGCCACGACCGATTGTGGATGTACCCGCAGCGGAACTTACTTACGCCGAGGCGCTGACGGAAGATGATCTGGTCGTGTATCAAGACTGGATCGGTCGTGTTGATGCCATCACAAACAATATCCAGCTCAAACTTGTCGACAACTCCGTCGTCGAAATCAATGATGAGTCTGGAGAGCACACAGATGGAAGCCCTGGTCCGTTCTGTTTGGGCGACATTGCCAAGACAAAAAAAGGCCTTCTGCGCACCGGAAAGTGGATCTATGGCAGCTATAATCCCAACACGCCGCCGGTAGGTACTGTGGTGAACATTCGTACTATCGCAGCCGAGATCGCATGGGCACAGCGAAGGATAGGAAGTCTACAAGAGAGTGAGCCGCCTGTTCTTCTGGAATCGTCGGAACTGGAATCACCCGAATTCATGGTCTATAAACGCTCTCGACGACCCTCTGCAGACGCTTCACAACCGCGCTCGCAAACGGTGTCTAATTCTGAAATCGATGTGCGGCTAGGTCTGCGTGTACGATTCAGCGATCTCACTGGCGCCTGCCTGAAGTACAACTCAGCAGACGGCACACGTAAATTACTGCGGCTGGACCGCCAGGATCACTTAGGCTATGACCTAAACATCTTCGATGTTGTATCGTTCCACACCACCGTCGCCGTACAGTGGCAGGATCTTTCTATCAGCACCGAGCGGAGTATCGACCTGATCCCCGACGTTAACATCGATGACGAGCATGCTGCTTGGCCTGCGGAGGTTGTACATTCATTGAGACTGCAAGCAGTACCAGGGCTTGAAAACACCGAACAGCCGGAGCTCATCGGGATCGTCCAGGCAGTCAACGCCGAAGATCGCATGGCTCGTGTCAGATGGTCTCCAAACTCTCATGTGCACTATGCGAGAGACCCGGACGGCGAAGAGGGTCTACCGCCTCCGATAGTTTCGTACGCGATTGATCCTTCTTTGCTCACGGCTGAGGAAGAAGTCAGCCTGTATGATATTGAAGCCCCGGCGCAACTCAATGTACGGAGAGGCGACATATGCCTTATCACTTCACCTGAATACAGCGGAGGATCCTCTAGACCTAGTGATCTAACTTGGCTCGGAGAAGTAGTCGACACTCTCATGGATGGCCAACTTGTCATTCGACTAAGTGGCGCTGCGGTCTCACGGGATGTGATACTTTGTCGAGAACAGTGCGTTGTGGCCATTCGTTCCGATGGGACTGATCAGCCTGATGCTTGGCACGATGATGAGGGAGGTGGTGAGGAGGATATAGAGTGGTCAGAGGCAGAAGAAGTGTGGAGTGATGAGGAAGAAGACGATGAAGTCGAGCTCGCAGCTCATTACGAAGACGAAAACGGTCAAATCCTGGATGAAGACGATGTCGAGGATGAAGACTGGGAATCTGCCGACGAAGGCAATGACGAGGATGACGATGTCGAAATGCAGGATGCACCAGAACACCAAACACCCCTCACCCCGCAGTCAGTAACACCAGCCAACGACGAGGAGAATAAGACGAGTCACCCTTCAATTACATCACTAGATGGCAAATCAGATAGAGATGGCGCGGAGTCAGCACCAGCATCATATCTAATCCTGGAAGGTCAACCTCCAGCAGATCACCACTACCGAAATGAAGTTGCATACCAGTCACCGCAGCATATGAAGAGGACGCAAAAAGAGCACCGCATACTCCAGTCATCATTACCCGAACGTGTGTACGTGCGCAGCTACGAATCACGACTGGATCTATTAAGAGTCCTGATCATTGGCCCAACTGAAACTCCATACGCCAATGTCCCGTTCGTGATGGATTTCTACCTGCCTCCAACCTTTCCGACCGACCCACCACAAGCATTTTTCCACTCTTGGCCGGCACAAGCTTCCATTGGTGGCACTATTGGCCGAGTCAACCCCAATCTGTACGAAGATGGCAAGATATGTTTGTCAATTCTGGGCACATGGGAAGGCGACAAGGGCGAAAGCTGGAGTCCGACGAAGAGCACACTCTTACAGGTCCTGGTCTCTCTGCTTGGCCTTGTATTAGTACGTGAGCCATACTACAATGAGGCAGGCTATGAGGCCCTCGTTGGCACCGAAGAGAGCAAGAATTCCAGCAACTTGTACAGCGAAAGAGTATTCCTGCGCGCGAAGGGACTCATGATTACAGCGCTATCAAATCTCGACAGCACCTCCGGCCTCAAAGGTCTCGAAGATATCATTCGCTACCTCTTCCAGGAACCCCACGGTCCAAGGCTGCTTGTATGCGCGATCAAGGATGTAGAGCAAGTGCTGGAAAAGAGCGATGGCAAAGCGAAGTCCGATGGGCTTACAGTCATGTCTAAAGGGGCGTGTATACCTTTGCGCCGCGTACTGGAGAGCCTCAAAGGACTGGCCAACCAGCATGTGCACGTTCCTGGCTAGAGGCTGCTTGGTTGTGCGAATGAGTGTGAGCATATAGCTGAGGTCCGCTCGCAGATATCTCATCGCAAATAAACTCCAGCATTTGCTTCTGGCAAATAGGTATCGGTGCATATCGTTTTCACAGTATCTCGTTCATTCGTCACCGATCGAAACAAGCCTGCACCGCTGACTGTGAAGTAGAAAAGGCCTATAATTCTCTCCGATTACAAACACCGCATTCGCAGCAGTGACGGCCACATTCACGAGCGTCGGCATGGATGGATGAGCGACAGCTTTCTTCATACAAAAATTACTCGCCTCTCTAAATTTCTTGGACAGATGATACTGCTTCTGGAAATCGCTCGTCAATTGGAATCCTGAAGCACACGAAGGTGAAAAAGAGAGCAGAAATTGAAAATGAGCTACAGAGTACTCGCACCAAGATGGTACTAAGGAGTTGAAGGTGGTGGCTTATGGCCTTTAGATGGTGTCACCGAGATGGGCAACAACCGATGCTGGTTGGTCTGAGACTGACTGTGGTAAGAGATCTATAGCAACACTGATGGCAGACGCATTATTCAATGCACAACGAATCATGATCGGGTGGATCATGTTCCCAAGCGATCGATCAATGGCCGAAATCCATTTTCCAGTGTCGTTATGCTGTCCAGTGAATGTCGGTTCTGTCGTATTCACCTTCACACGAGCTCAAAGCATTGTCAGCAGGTGGCCAACGTATATCATAGTGACGTCCAAATATTCACAGCTACGATCCCATAACTTGTCCTTCAAACAAACCATTGTAGACTTGGAGGGTGCGGATATGACCACGTTCGGTACCTACCATATAAGATATCGCTCTGGACCTTTTCAGAAATCATACCTGAGTTCACCAAGCATCGAGACCTGAAGCTCTTTTCCAGCATATCAGACATCGGTCAAGCATCAACCCCGCAACTTACTTGTATCAGCAACCAACTCACCGACAACGCGTCAGTCAAAGACTCCACCATGCTCTCCCCGGGCCACCAAGGCACCATGTCGATGGCCATTCCGCCACAATCTCGTCCCATCTGCGTTCTCGCCAAGGAAAACGACATACACGTCGAAGAATTCTGGGCCACAAATGAACTCCTCTGCTCAGCATCACCATACTTCCAAGCTATGCTGATGGGTCCGTACCGCGAGGCCAACACCTCACACGTAACCATCGATCAGCATCCAGTCTGGGTAGTTGAAGCGGTCTTGAACTTCCTCAAATCCGGCCGGCTAACCAGCGACCAGCCAGACCACGATCACTCCGACGTCTGGTGGTATCGCCAGCTCTTCGAGCTGTACCACTTCGCCGACTTCTATCACGTCCAGGACCTACGGAACCGGATCGTCGAGAGAGTGCAGAAGAAGTTGCATTACCACGTCTCACCACATGACCGACTTTCCACACTCACTCAACACGACTTTCCAAACTTCCAAGAATTCAAGTTCTTATGCGAGAACGTGCCGGAAAGCTCGCCCCTGCGCAAAGTCATAGCAGATGCCGTGGTCAATTTCAACGCCCAATTCTCTCCGATCCGAGTCAGTGCTGCGAGACTTACTGGTGGTCCTCCTGCTCGAGGCAGGATTGTGGTTCCCGAAGCCTTCAAGCAGGACTGCGATGTTTCCCGATCCCGTCAAGCCCAGGTGATCATGTGCAGCAATTGCGCGCACGGTTGGCCTTGCGATCGCCACTCGCCGCTTGAGAAACACAGGGATCGATTTAGCAGTAAGGCTTTGTGTCTCTATCACGAGCATGATACTGATCGGGAACAGGCGGAATGCCAGAAGCGAATGGCGAGAGTGATTGAAGGCAGCTGGTAAGTCGTGGTTCTCGGCTTCTTGAAGAATGAGGATACAGTCCTGCTTCGACGATGGAGTTCTTATCTAGATCTCTACCGTCGTGTTAATCTGATTTGAGTCAGCCGACCTGCACTTGTTCATCCGACGCACAGTATGTACCTGACGACGAATTGTTCTACTTCGCTGATATTTTCTAATTTCCTTCCTTCTCAGCCTCTCCAAAAAGAATGATAAGCCATAACAAAGGTCTGCAATGGCACAAATGGCCATTGTGCGAGTTGCGGCCCAACAAAGGCCAAGGGTGCTCGATCCTCAGGTATCATTTCAATCTGTGCAGTACGACGTCGCCATGTTCGGCCTGGAGTACTTCTGTCGTCAGCATTCTACGATTCTTGAGACTTACATCAGCGAATTTCGTCTTATTGTAATTAGAAATCAGAACGAGAAGAAAACTGGCAACGTCCTCCATACTTTTTCGCTCGGCCAGGCACATCCGTTCGAACCCAGCCATGTGATGCTTGACTGGGAGTGACTGAACATCACGTTAAAAGAAGAACCTGTCGATCAGGCATGCCGAAGCGGCTGATGAAGGTGAATGTCCGACTTCAATCTGTGCACTACGCAGCTACTACACTTCTTGTACAACAACGCCATAGCGCCTCGCTACCACGAATAAACACTTTATCGCAGTCATTTACAGCTCACCGGATATTCTGCCCAAGCCAGCTTGAAGGAGCATCGCAGCATTGTCTGCGCCTTTCTTGTTCTTCCCTGCTGCCAGAATGCCGAAGCGCAGAAATACTTCCGTACACGTGACCAAAATACTCAAGATGATCAACACGATGATGATCCAGGTGATTCTCGTCATCTTGACATCCGCTATGCTGTCTGAGAGGATCTCTGCTAAATCCAAAAATACACGACACCTCTCGTTCAGCACTTGGATCCTCGGCTTGATCTCGAGATACTCGCGAACGGCAGCGTACAGCGGGTGCAGGGTCGGTTCTGCGTCCCAGAAGAAATTTGGCGTATCCAGCATGTTCGAGCTGAGATTGACATCGACTCGTCCTTCAAACAGTCTTCCTACAAGGCCGACAATCTCCTTGCGGTCCATGCCGAGGCGACCTTCTAGCGCAAGCCTCCGTGGCACATATTGCGCTGACTCCATCGTTCTCTGCATTCGCTCTTCGAAGAACGACAGCTTCGTGCTCTGTGCGATAGCGTGGGACATTGCGAGCTTGATCATGTGATCGCTAGTCCTTAACGTGATCATATCGTTGTATATCCTCGGCTTTTCAGCGGTCTCATCGTACTGGAAATGGAACTCTTCAGTCTCGAAGTCGCTTTCATCAAGCGGTCTGGTCATTAGCGGTAATGCCAATGGAGGTAGGCTCGCTGCAGCTTTCTGGCTGAGCGGCCTTTCGTGCTTTCCACCAGGCAGAAGATGCAATGCAGAGGTGGCGGAGAAGGTGAGATCTGCGAGCAGGTCCTTTTCCTGGTTGGGTGTGAAGTTCCATAACACTGCAACGCCGTAGCTAAAGATGAAAAGTTCTGCGACAGTGTGCGCATTTGGCGAAATGCCAGCATGTGGCGATGGGAAGCTGAACGGCGAAGAGGTCGACTCGTTAGACTGTCTACGTCCAGCCAAGCGCTCTTGATCCCATGTGAGCGCGTCCTCGGCGCCGCCGTTCCCCCTCGACGTGACGTCTTGTTGTTGCATCTCTGGCGGCGGTGATGCAGGATTGTAGTTGTCACGTACAGAATATTCCTCGCTTTCTTCGCCCCAGCCTTCGCGGTATTGTCGCCTTTCATTCGCCTCAATCTGCTCGTCCAGCACGCTTCTTCCACCAGGGTTCTTCAAAACAGGACTGCTTCGTACACGATACCCATCTGAGCCGCCGAGCAGTGGCAGCTGATAGACGCAGTATAGGCAGTCATCGTATAGCTTCGTCTTTGCACCGTGTTGGTCGCGCACAAATGTTGCAGTTTGTCTCAGCTTGTAGCTTTGTGCGGTACAATATGCTGTTGTCCGCTTGATCTCCTCGTCGGCTTCTCTTTGCGTTTTTGACAGCCTCTCGGCATGGCTCTTGCCGTCAATCTGCAGTCGCCGCCTTCTAAGCTCATCATCCCTCGGCGGCGCTGAGTCGTCCTCCTCTTCGAAGCCTTGTATGGTCTCATTCTTCTGGCTTGTTTCCGGCAGCAATACAAGCTTCTCGCTGGTCTTTGAACTTCTGGCAGGAATATGGGCCCCTCCAATGGGAATGCCTTGGCCACTCAGTTTGGGAGCAAGAGGATGTCGTCCGCTGGGCGTTCGATTGTGATGCGCGGGACGCTGGCCGGGAGGAAGTCGGCGCTGCGCTGAAGGTATCTCTGATGCATATTGGAGCACATGGTCGACGCTGATGATGCGCGTACCCGTTCTTTGTGGTTGTGGTCGAGGCGCTTGTGGTCGTGTCTCGCGGGCGTCGGTCACCTTGCGTCCTGTCAGTGGGAGTGCCATGTTTGGCTTGCATCATGTGTGCATCTCGGAGTTGCCTACTAAAACTGAAGGCCCGCGCTTCGGTCGTGGAGGTGCGATTGACATGGCTCGCAGGGATCAGGGGTGTGCTAGCTCAGGTGAGGTGAGGTGAACAGATCTCTTCTTCAGCTCATTGTCTTGCGGGGCAGAGCATATGTGAGTGGAGAGAGTATGGCAGAATGACCTCGAGACGGGGCTCTCTGTTCCATGCATGGATATTTGTTTATTCACATGAACCCGCCTTCCATATGCCTTCCATATCGCACTCCACTTGTCTACCGTAAATTATGCAGAGTTGATATACGAAGGAAGCCCTGAGGCACAATGGAGGCGCAAGCGAAACACAGAACCGAACGACTGCATTAGAATATTCATAGCGACGCGTACACCGCCGCTTCGCAATTGACCCATTGGCCCAGCACGTTTCCATCGCAGAAGGGCATAATCTGCGATGCGATCATGCCCGCCACTCCCTTCTCTCGGTCCGCCCACCTGCGCCCATGTTAGCGTGCAAGACAGACGCGACGAAAGGGACGACGGCTCGTACCAGAACAGATTCGCAAGTCCAGCCCACCAGGCGGTGTTTCGACCTCGGCCCGTGGCCCCGGGCTCGTGCGTCATCATAAAACTCAAGCCCCAACCCTGCGGCGGGTCGCCTTCTTGGGGGTAGAGGTGCGCGATCGGATTGGTGTGTTCCTTCTTGGCGTCCGGAATGCCCTGCCGAGCGAAGTCGGGCCATTGCGGAATCTGGTTCTCCCACCTGCCAAGATTTGTGTCAGCCCAAGGCAAGGACGGCCGTCGGTACATGCCAATGAATGTGGATGCGGAGTGCCTACATCTTCTCCACCGTCTCCGCCTTCAAGATTCGTGCGCCCGTCTTGGGACTCTGGCCGTCGTTCAGCAGTGCAGCCAAGACCTGCACATATTGTGTTGGCTTCGCATAAGCCCCTGCTCCTCCACTGTGGAACAGTCTCGCTCGATCCTCCGCCGTCTCGGCCAAGATTGGCTCTCGGTAGATGTGGTCTCTTTCCTCGCTCTTCGTGCCATCACCTGGCCATTTCTGGTGCATGAACGCCAGATTCTCTTTCATATGAGGAGTCGGGAACATGTTGACGGCGTCGAGACCAAGCGGCTTCACAATATTTTCTTGTATCCAATCATTGAGCCGCATTCCAGTCGCCCTTTCCAACACGATACCCGCCCAGTCAATGCCAGTACCATACTCCCATGCTTCGCCAGGCTGATGGACGAGCGGCATTCGGAGAACATCTCGCACCTATGCTCGTCAGCTGGATTTCTTCTGGCCGCACAAGCTCAACACACATCGCCATGGAAGACATCGTAACCGACAGGCCGTCCGTGCTCCCGAAGTTTCTCATTGAAACTGGCAACCCATCAGCGAGAATAGTGGGAGTGGCTTCGCCCATCAACACACAATTCATAGCCGAAACCAGCCGTATGCGCCAGCAGCATCCGAAGCGTGATGTCGTTCTTCCTGTCCTCGAGCGTGCCGTCATCCTTGAGCACTTTCTTGTTGTTCAGCTCGGGACACAGGTAGTGAACCTGCTTTGCATCGTCTAGTTGAAGTTGTCCTTGCTCTACTGCTTGCATACAGGCGATGGTGCACAGTAGCTTTGTACACGAGGCAATCCAGAACACCTGTCGTGAAGTCGGTCAGACATCCTCTTTTCCTCACCAGACCTCTAGAGAGCCTTGCTCACCGTGTCAAGATCCATTGGCTGCGGATGGCTCAGGCCTTTCTTTCCCGACGGTACAGCAGCAATCTGGTCGCCATTCTTGTCGACTGCAACGAAGACAATGCCAGCAATCCCGGTCTTGGGATCGCTAGTCACGCTGTCGAGCGACTCTTGGACTGCTTTCTGCGCTTTTGCATTCACCATGATGATTCCGCCTCAGCGTTTGAGTGGCGACTTCGGTCAACACTTGAACGTCTGCCTTCTCTTCCACTGACTTAATAAATGGCCATCATCAAAGCGGAGTCGTTCATTGAATGCTATGGCCGCGTCCGAATGAGGAAAGCAGCTACAGGGATGTGTTCCTCCACACGCGAGCTTCCCTGGCCCGCCAGGCATTATTCCATCACATTGCGGAACCGCATCGAGGAAACATGGCGCAGGTAGCGGGCTAAAGGAGTAGTAAATCCTGATCCTACTGGTCAGCCATAGTTCCTGTTCCACGGGCATCTCCACGCCTCCTCGTTGTTCATCCAGAACTCAATCAAGGGCTTCAGTTGTGTGCCTAGGTCCGTACAATGGAACACGTCCTCCCTTATAATGGTCGGTCTCGGATGATCGCCTTTTGAACAGTACCACCTCGGCCGGTCTAGACTGCCCTCAGGTCGCCGTCTTTCCATGACCATGCCGACAGCATTCGCGAACCGTACTGGGTTGTGCGGTGTGTTGGCAGGTAAGAGAAAGGTGCATCCTTCCTCGATGTCTATGTCTCGGAACTCGTCGCTCTCAACGATGCGGAGGAGCATGCTGCCTTTGAGTTGGTAAAACCATTCCTAACCCATATCAGTGCTGAGTCGAAAACGGTGCGAAGGTAAGTCGCTCACTTCTGTCTCATTCACATGGAAATCATTGCGAGAGTTCGGTCCTCCAACGATCATCAAGATAAAATCATCACCAGAGTGCAGGCAAAAGTTGTTTACTAACATGCCTTTATATCTTTTGACTTGGAAGATCGCGCCTTGTATGGCTTTCGGATGTACGACTGTTTCAAAGCCGAGTGAGCTGACTTCTGTGACTGCATTCTGCAAGTGCATGGCTAGACCCATATAGGTCTTACGGCTAATTATTTCAGTACTAGCAGATATATGTCGACAAGCTGGACTCTCAGCAGGCGTCCTTAACATCATCTTCGGGGCGGGATTACCAACAGGATCCGCAGACTGCTGCTGTACTTCGCAACATCGAGACTGTCGTCAAAGGAGCGACCAATGGCAACGGAAGCATTGCAGACGTTGTTGATGCAACCGTCTTCCTTGTCGACATGAAGGACGATTACTCTGGCATGAACGCTGAATGGAACAGGATTTGGCCTGATCGCGCCAATGCGCCAGCAAGAACCACGGTGGAAGTGCGAGCATTACCAAGTCCGAGACTGTTGTTTGAGATCAAGTGCTATCGTGAAGGCATGATTGTTAAGTGCCACTCTTGAAGATATGGATCGAGGTAAATCTGATGCCATGTGTTGTGGGGATTATGCTGACAGCTTGGATAGTGTTCCAAAGTCGCACGGGAGAGGCGGACAAGGCTTCACTAGCAGAGTACAGAAGAGAAGCTGGATTGGAGTCGTCGCTCGAGGAAGCGGCGGTAGAGGAGGCCCGACGATTGAGCGTGAGCGAGACAAGGACCCGGAGCCTGAGGCTGCAACACGTGATGACTCCTATTATTCTATATCCTTGTCGCCGGCCCGTTCAATTTAACGACGACACTGCTGCTTCACATTCTCGCGTGGTTGTTTCGATTATATCGAAGCATTTGCAGACCGCGTGCGAAGTGAGAGTGCCAACCCATTAGAAGCGTTCTGGGCTCAATGCTTGTACATGCTCCGGGCCACCTTCAACCAGACCAGAAGACTGAATTAGCCCCAGTGGCCCACGGCACTATTATTGGATTGCCCATGTTCCACTCTAAACAGCCTGGCACACAGACCCAAGTCCTCTCAAGCATTGCAAGCCTTCTGATCATTCCTCTGCAAGGCATCCCAGCGATCGTTTGCTTCATTCTAGGACAGCGGTGCTGTTACATTCGCTCACTTCAGGCTAGGCCTGTCTGAAGCATCAAGATGGTTTACCAAAAGATCTTGACTTCTCTCTTGCTCGGTGCTGGCGCCGGGCTCGTTGCTGCGCATTCAGCACCGGCATCTTGGGGAAGGTTCAAGCAGCATCGCGACGACCACAGCCCTCAGTCGTCGTTCTCCTTTGGAGCCTTCCCAACTGGCAGCTTCGAAGGTGACTTCCCATCCGCTACAGGAGGAACCGTTCCCACAGGTTGTTCAACCGCAAGCATCCCTCTTGTCACTGGATCTGTACCTGTTGATACTGGCGTAGTGAACCAGTTCGACAAGAGCTCCAGCACTCAGGAGTCTTCGAAGAGCACCGCATCTGCTAGCGGCCCATCTTCCACAGCTGCCGCGTCCAGAAACTCTTCCTCGTCTGCCTCGCCAACCGTCCAAGATGGCTGCACCTTCACCGATTCCGACACGGCTTCGGCTTCTAAGGCATCTTGTACAGCCATCGTCCTCAAGGACATTACCGTCCCAGCCGGTGAGACCCTCGACATGACAGATCTTGCTGACGGCACCACCGTCACTTTCGAGGGCACCACCACCTTCGAATACGACGAATGGAAGGGACCACTTATCTCTTTCTCTGGAACTGGTCTTACTGTCACTGGTGCTTCTGGCCATGTTATTGATGGCAACGGCGCCAAATGGTGGGACGGTAAAGGTAGTAACGGAGGCGTCACTAAGCCCAAGTTCCTCTACGCTCACAAGATGATCGACTCCACAATCTCGGGTCTCAACATTCAGAACTGCCCAGTCCAATGCTTCTCTGTCAACCGTGCTGAGAACCTCTACATCAAGGATGTCACGATCGATAACTCTGCCGGAGACGAACTCAACTCAGACGGTGCCACACTCGGCCACAACACCGATGCCTTCGACGTAGGCTCTTCTACACGTGTCTTCATCTCCGGTGTTACCGTCAAGAACCAAGACGACTGCCTTGCCATCAACTCCGGCACCGAAATCTCCTTCACAGGGGGTTCCTGCTCAGGTGGTCACGGTATCTCGATCGGCTCAGTCGGCGGACGTGACAACAACGACGTTGCCAACATCTACATTGCCAACAACACTATCTCTGACTCTGCTAACGGGGTCCGGATCAAGACTGTCTACAACGCCACTGGATCTGTTAAGAATGTCACCTATACTGGCATCACTCTGTCAAACATTACCAAGTACGGTATTATCATTGAGCAGGACTATGAGAACGGCAGCCCAACTGGCACTCCAACTGACGGTGTCCCGATCACCGATTTGACCATTTCGGACGTCACCGGCACTGTGTCCGATGATGCTGCGAAGGTTTACATTCTTTGTGCTAGCTGCTCGGGTTGGACTTGGAGTGGTGTCTCCATCACCGGTGGCTCTGCAAGCAGTGATTGCGAGGGTGTGCCAGACGGTGCTTCCTGCTAGATGCAGTCAAGTGAAGGAAAAATATAGTTGTGCGATGTTGTATTATAGCTCATCAATGCGTTACGTAACGGCCTGGTCATTCCGTCATCCTTCACATTCTCAATCAATTTCAAGATAAATCAGCCAAAAATTTCACCGTCACGTCCAAGCCCATCTTGATCTCTTGCGGCTCGAATTCCAGATCCTCGTCTTGCCGTCCTCCACGACGCATATTATCTCCTCCGTCTTCCTCGCACAAATCCTCCGCCGCGAATGCAGCAGCGTAGACCATACCGGTACTCCTCGTCGTCGGCATGTATACATTGCCCTCATTTAGCTCCACGGGCCTCAAATTCCAGCACCCTGTCGCTTCACAGTAATCCTTCGCCTTCTCGATGGCGTCTCTGGCAGCATCTTTCCTCAATTGCGACCTGAAAAACTTCTCCGTAGCAGGCGTGAGCATCCATTCGATATTCTGGACTTCGACATGAGGCAACGCAGAAGCTTTCGTGCCAAATGCTCCTAATGCTTTGAAATCTTTGAAGCGGATATCAAACTGAATCTTGGAGGAATATTTCCTGGGTCGCGCCTCGCCATCACGGTTATACGGAATGTGCGAACTCGAGGTCAGTGACTTTTTGGACCAGTGCGACAATGGCGACGGATTGGAAGCTTCTTCTGAGGCCTCGCCGAGATCTCGAAGCAGCGATTCAAGGTGCTTTGCGGCTGTAATGACTTCGTCGGATACCGCGGTTTTGTTTGGACCAGAAGAGGACACGTTCAGGTTCACAATAGCTCGTTCGGCAGGATGTGGGATCTCAGCATTGCCTTGCACTGTGATTTGGAAGGGAGTTGCTTTGGAAGTTGCCATTTCGGGGGAGAATTAGAGGTGATCGTGTCTGGAGATGTGGCAGAGCTGAGGTTGGGGATTTGGTCGTGGAGTGGGAACCAGATTTAGCAGTGATTAGCACAGCAGCGCAATAGCTTGTGAGCCGAACAGTCAAAACGTTTGGGTTCGACTCCAAGAGAACAGCCATATGTTCTTTTATGCATTTCTGCACGAGGCAGTAGCCTTGCAAAGAGCTGGTCGAAGTCAATGATGAGGTCGGATCGAGACGTGTACAGTAGAAATGGGGTTGGCCAGGAGACTCAGAAGGTCTGATCAGATGAGCTTGTATTGGTCGTCGCTATTCATTATATGGTCTGGTGTTCGTCAGCCGAAATCGTACAGATGTCAGTTCAAGGCGTCAGATGCCGGCGTAGCTATATACATGGGCATGAGGCTTGTCGATTGATTGATTATTCATTCCTACAAGGTATCAACTACAATCTGCTTTCCTAGAGCTGAGGAAGCGGCAGGTGATGCTCTACTCGTCATCTCCCTAAGTTATCACGATGTCCGCAGGTGTGGCAGTGGCGGAGCGCACGCGAAGTGCCGGCATTGGGCAACGACTTATCATCGTGCAAAACCCGAAGAGGACAGACGTTAAGATCGTGTCTGCCGATAATACCTTTGTCACTTTGTGTCTTGTCTCAGAGTATTCCTCCTGCTTCTGTGCAGCCGTCGCAGTGTGTCATCTCAAGCTCTTTTGCGATACGTGTCGAGCCCAACAGTCGAATGCGTGCATGGGACGTACGCATACATGTATTGTAAGCGCCGTGACGCGCTCGACGAAAGGCATCGGAACATCTTGTCGTCGTGCGCCGGTGCGCTCAAGGGTGTATCGAGGACGTGATCGAGGTTGCGACGGCGGCGGAGCGTGGTGCTTCGGAGCAGCGGCGCTACAATGTGGGCGACAGGATGCATTCTTCTCCAGGCAGTGGTCTATGACCAGCGATCTGATGAAAAATGGTGCTCGATGAGCAAGAGCCAGCAAAAATTGCGCCGATGCTGCCCCCGAAGGAGAAGCACTAGATTGGAGTACCGCAGTGTGCAATGCAGACTCTTGTCTAGACCGAAGCCCATTCGTGAGCGGGCACGGTTCAACAAGGTCTGTGAAGACGTTAGTGAAGTGTTGCTAAAGCGTAGGGGTGGAAATGGGGAAAGCTTACAAGTATGGGTTTTTTTTTTCGAGGAAAGGGAAGGGGTTTATATAGGGCGAGGGGCGGCGTGCGTCAGCTTCTAATCACAACGCTGCCCTGTGATTGGCATTGCAGCAGGCATGCTGAGAACTGAGCCGGCGTGCTCACAAATGAGCAATCAAGCGAAATAAAGCCAGTGGAGCCGCAGAGTGAAGCACGGAGTGCGTGCCCCTGATCAGCTGAGCAGCTTATGACGCTGGCCCCTGAGCCATCATTCCGCCTGAAGTCAATTGAGAACTCATGGTGCGCAGCCACCCTTTGATGATGTGGGCCAATGGACATTCGAGTAATATTGATTCAGAGCAATCGGCTTGTGGTAACTCAACGATTGGAAATGTGTGATGAACTCTTCTGTGAAGCACAGACCCATGTGAAGCTTGGCGTGACCGAATGCGGGAAGTGAGGGCCCACTGCAAACACAGGCGAGGCTTGAGCGACGAGCACCTGCAGAGCATCATTCACGAAATATAATCCGATGAATGCGACAAGCAGCGCAGGTCAGTAGGAAAGGACAACGCAAAGCAATTGCTACACATTCTTTGCCAGCTCCAGCCCCCCAGCTTGGACAAGCGTGCCGAGGTCCGGCTTCCGCGTGGCACATGATCGAGCGCATCACCTTTCACATGCAAGTTCGACTGTCTTCCACAGTGGACAGCGCGACGATTTCTTCTCTCTTCTGACGACCTGATAATGCTACCTTCGATACTGATGAGCCCCTCACGATAGCACACGCGAACCATGGCGAGCCAATCCACCCTACGTCAGCAACCCGCCGACCGTTTCTCACAATGGTTCGACTACTTCTACGAGCGCCTGTTGAAGCGTCTGGACAAGGTACAGAACCGTAGTCCCCTTGACAAGCGGACGACCCAGCTCATTGCGACCCTTGCTTTGTCGTTGACAATAATAACCGGCAGCTATAGCGGGTATCGAATGTACAGGCGGAAGCAGAAAGAGCAAGATGAAGGGAGGAAACTCCTCAGAAGAAACAGTGGCTTGAAGGTCAAAGACGGGACGAGAACATTATTCGTGCCCTATAAAGACCGCGCGAGTAAAGTGGTCATTCATCCTACGCGACCTACAACCTTTGACGCGCATCGGAGATTCTTCTTGAACCCGATCAGGCAGAGAGTGTCCGGTAGAGCGATTGAGCTGGGTGCGCCGCCGAGCGACGTCAAGCCTGGACTGAATGTCGCGTTCGTGCATCAGTTCCTGGCTATTATGCAGATAGCAGTGCCGAGGCTAGGATCGAAAGAGTCGGGACTGCTTACCATGCATGCTTTCTTCTTGATGCTACGCACTTACTTGTCACTAGTGGTGGCCAGAATGGACGGAGAGATCGTCAGAGATCTCATTGCTGGACAAGGCAAGGCTTTTCTATTTGGCATCACGAAATGGCTGTCACTAGGTGTCGTTGCCAGCTACACAAACTCGGTGATCAAGTTCCTGCAGGCCAAGATCAGTATTGCTTTCCGAACACGTTTGACGAGATATGTACACGACCTGTACCTGAGCGCGAACATGACTTATTACAAAATGCACAACACGGATGGCAGCATCGACCACGGAGCCGACCAGTTCATTTGCCAGGATCTTACGCTTTTCTGTGACAGCGCTGCCAACTTGTACTCCAGTCTCGGCAAGCCGTTTATCGACCTAATCACTTTCAATTATCAGCTTTACAAGTCGCTGGGTCCTCTAGCGCTGAGCGGCCTCCTCAGCAATTACTTCGCTACCGCCATCCTGCTCAAGAGGCTGAGCCCGCCATTTGGCAAGCTTAAAGCTGCTGAAGGACGCAAAGAAGGCGAGTTCCGGGCCTTGCACTCACGACTGATTGCAAATGCTGAGGAGATAGCATTCTATGCGGGTGGACCCACAGAACACGAACTGCTTGACAAGGGCTTCCGCGAGCTGAGGAAGTGGATGGAGAGCATCTACCGTGTCAAGGTAGGATACAACATGCTTGAGGATTTTGTCTTGAAATACACATGGTCTGCGCTTGGTTTCGTCATCACCAGCTTGCCTGTCTTCCTCCCGGGCCTCAACATCGCACCAGAACCGACATCAAAGTCATCAAGCGCCCCGAGTGTTGATGCCATTGAGAGCGACGAGGGCAGCGATCGTTCTGGAGCTCGGACGAAGCAGTTCATCACCAACAAGCGTCTTATGCTGAATCTCGCGGACGCAGGAAGTCGCATGATGTACTCCATCAAGGATCTGTCGGAGCTTGCTGGTCAAACGAGCAGAGTGTTCATGCTCATCAGCACTCTGCATCGCGTTCATGCAAATGCGTACCACTTACCACGCGGCCATCACCCCGAACCATACAATCTAACTGACGTGCATGGCACGCTGCACAAAGGCTACGATGGCGTGCGTTTGGAGAATGTACCTGTTGTCGCGCCTTCACCATTCCCAATGGGCGGCGAGGAGCTTATTGAGAACCTGTCGTTCATAGTAGGACCAGGCGACCACCTGCTCATCACAGGACCGAATGGAGCAGGGAAATCTGCTGTTGCCAGAATCGTGGCTGGCCTTTGGGCGACATATCGTGGCCTGACCTCTCGACCTCGGGAAACTGGCCAAGATGGCATTATGTTCTTGCCCCAGAAAGTGTATCTCACTGTTGGCACTTTGCGCGACCAAGTTATCTACCCCCACACTGAAATGGATATGAAGGAAGCTGGCCGAAGAGAAAGTGAGCTCCAAGCCATTTTGGAAGAGAGCAAGCTTGGCTATATTCCAGACCGTGAAGGTGGCTGGGACACGCGCAAGACATGGCAGGACGTTTTAAGCGGTGGAGAGAAGCAGCGAATGGGCATTGCTAGGCTGCTCTACCACGAGCCGCGATACGCATTTATTGATGAGGGCACCTCAGCTGTGAGTTCAGATGTAGAAGGCATACTGTACGAGACTTGCAAGAGGAAGGGCATCAGTAAGTCAATTCGCGTACCTGGACGTAAGTCTCCTCTGCTAATGACCGCACTAGCACTGATCACGATCTCCACTCGTGCCTCCCTGAAGCGATATCACTCATACACGCTTACACTCGGCTTGGGCGAAGATGCGAGCGAATACGAGTTCAACAGGATCGGAACAGCCAGCGAAAAGGACAGCGTAGAGAAAGAGATTCAGGAGCTGCGCGAGAAGCTCAGCCAAGTTGAGGAATGGAAGCAGCGAAGACAAGAGATAGATGAAGAGCTGAACAAGGTCTGGGTTGCTGGGCAGGAGCTGGAGGCGCCTGAATATCATAATGGGCAGAATGGCAGCTCGGAGGCAGAGACTGTCAGTCTGAGCTGAAACCTTAGATCTATAAGTTGGCTCGGCACTTCCGAACTTGACTTCGACGACCTGATCTTCAACACCGACATCAGGAGATGAACCAAGCACTCCGTCGAGATCATGGCGATTACGACGAAGCCGCACATGGGCAGTGTCAACGACGCCACGCCCTATCGTCCGGGCTCATCGACATGACCTGCGAGAGCCTCGAGTGTGACGACTTTCTGTTTTCCGGATGGTCTGCCGAGATATGCAAAACAAATCAGATGATGAATTCTTGAACCGTTTCTTCACCCATCGTCGTCAGCTCATCGCCGAATTCTCTCTCCAGAACTTCCTAGCCATGTCAACCCAGAGACGCCTTCTGAGAAAGCCGAAGAGTGTCGACTTTGTCCTTGTCGAACTCCAAGAAGGGTAGCGAATATGACAGTCGGGATAGCGATGAGGAAGACAGCGATGGGGGAAGCAATGATGACAGCGACGAGTGCGTCGACTCCGGCTGAAAGGTACAGCAGAAGATGGTCGATACCGCCAAGAAGCTTGTCTACGCTCGATGGGACACACAGCTCAAGACCTCGGGAAATCTGCTTAAGCCAAAACATATCACATTGGCGCTCATGAATTTCAAAACCCACGGCATCTATCCTGCGTTCTTGGTATCTTTTGGACTCTGTTACAGCACCCACCAAGCGCTGGTTATAGAGCCAGCTCGATAGAACTTCGTCGTTGCAAATGTCGACTAGCCGGCCGACGTAAAACTCAGTAAATAGGTGGCGTTGATCTTGAGCCTGGTCGAGAGCGCAGCGGCAGGTTGCGTGAAGTGGAAGTACGTCGGCATCTTCTGTACACTCCAACACGATGTCAATCAGTTCTTGTGGCAGCGCCTGCGCGTGGCAGCCCATGTGCGGTGTCGCTGCAACCGATTTCAAGGTCGTGGTTGATGGCAAAATTGAATGGTGCTCAGAACTGATACGTGCGGACCTCGGAGTCAACCTCACTTCAGGCCGGATCACATGCTATTGATTCACTTTGTACTGAAAGTGGTTCGCTATTCACTTGATTGACCTTCAGTTGCTCCTAGGTACTGTCACATGCGAAGTTCAAGCAAAAAAAGGCCAATTATGCATCATGATATTGTGCTAGTACCTGGTCGCAAGGTTGCCAGCGAGGTGTCACTGGCTTCTCACCAGTGCTCAGGTGGCAGGCGTCGCTTGTCCGAAGTAAGTCTTTTGGCGCACTAGCATGCCGAACTCAACATCAATAGACCAGTCACACAACTGCTTGATCTTCGAACATCTGTACATTCACGCCTTCAGGCCTATCGTCCGTTCTGCCCCGTATTGCCTGTCTGCCGCGGCTGTCTAGCCTGCACCATAAAAGGTTCTTCCTCCTCCTCCAAATCTTCAATATCCTCAGACAGAAAAGCCGACGCCTGCTCAGCCTGCATACCATCCTCCTCCACTCCCTCGCCCGCTTCCAGCTCCGCAGGCGGCGCCGGAGGATTTCTCTTCGCCTCCAACGCCATCCTCTTCTCTTCCGTCATCTTCCACTCCTTCGGAAACCGCAACCTAACCTTTCGCTTATGATGTCTCGTATCCAACGGTACATCCTCAAAATTATCTCCACTCTCCAGATCTTTCGCCTCCGCGATAAGCTTGTTGATAGTATCCGCCAAATATCTCTTATTCTGTGCCTGCGTCTCGAAACTTTCGCAGCTCATCTTCACGGAAGAGGATTGTGGGTTGAGTCGTGCTCCGCAGAGTTTCTTGAGCTTCAAAATTTGTCTCTCTCGCGTCTCCTCGTCTTTGGCGAAAGCCAGTTGGGAAATGTCAGAGATTCTAAATTCGCAGACCACTTTCCTGCTCGCCGGGTGTTGCTCGCTGAAATAGGTTGTGTATCGCCATTTCAGAGGGAGCTTTGCTTTGTCTGGCTTCTCATACGGTTGCGCTAGTTGTGAGAGTAATGGCATTTCCCAGGCGGCAAGTCGGACCATTTCTCGCAGCTCGCGATGCTGTTCGAGTTCGGCGTGTGCCATTGATGGCAAAAGGCCCTCGTCCGGTAGTTTCTCGTCCAATGCTTCCAGATATCCGTCGAAGTCATCTTCATCGATCTCGTCTAATTGTGTTGCCGCCGAAGACGGACGGGATGACTGGTAGCAACGTTGTTGCGAGGCCTGGCATTGCGAGTCGGGGATGAAGGAAGGTCGTATCGATCGTGTACGCGTGTGTCTTGATGTCGTTCGTGCCGCCTGATGACACAATCGTTTCAATGGCGCCGCCATAATATCCTGAGTTGTGTTGCTGAAAGCATTATTCACATGAAGTCAGGCATTGCTCCTTCTCGAGATCGAAGCTGGTCTGTGCGCTCCTCCGCACCTGCCTCCGCAGCTTGCTTCATGCCTCGCCTCCACCACCTTGCTCTTGTACGTGACACAAAATGTAGTAAACACACTCCCGAGTCACTTAGCCAGCAAAGTATGGCTATGAAGAACCAGAAAACATGCTTCGTCACCGTCGGCGCAACAGCATCCTTCAGTGGGCTGGTGAAGGGCGTCTTAGCACCTGATTTCTTGCGAGCGCTGGAGCAGCAAGAGTATACAGATCTGCTAATACAGTTCGGTCAAGATGGACGAGAGGTCTTCAATGAGCACATCACTGCAGCTAAGAACAGCGAAAGCGGAAGCGTTCTCAACATAACAGGATTTGCGTTGGACAAAGCAGGACTTGGAAGATACATGAGACAGGCGAAGGGGTTGGCAGCAAGAGAGGGAGTTGTGATCAGCCATGCTGGTACGTACTCCGAGAATGGAAGTGGAAAGAGCGAAATACTGAGCTCCATAGGATCTGGAACGATTCTTGACGCTCTGCGTATCTCGGTCCCGTTGGTTGTCGTACCGAATGAAGAACTTCTAAACAACCACCAGGTTGAACTCGCAGAGGCTCTAGCAGAGCAAGAATATGTTGTGCATGGGAAGTTGGACAAGCTAGCACAGGTGCTGGAAGACGCAGAACAGCTTCGAGCAAGGCACAAAGCATGGCCCCCATCCAATGCTGGTTACATGAGGCAGCCAAAGGGTCTGAAAGGCGTGGTGGATGACGAGATGGGGTTTTTGGACTGATTGGAAAGACTGTAAAGATATTGTGCAACAGCAAAAATGCCTCAACACTGCACTTGAGCCCTCTTGTCTCGGCTTCTGGGCAGACATACTCTCCAGGACACGCCACGCCTCCTCTTTTGATGTACCCATGTCACATTGCCCAGCGATGCTCAACTCGTCATCACCTAGCGAGATCAAGAGAGTTACATACACATGGCGTCGTTCTCCACGTCATCAATCGCTATCGCTATCGGTGCCATACAGCTCCTCGTCTGGACTTTTGAACTCGGCCGTCTAAGCCAGCCGTCGCATCCATCTCTGTACATCCTCAGTGCCTTGCTGACTGCCGAGACTAGTCATGAACTTGGAATCGCGAGAAATGCTTCCGATTTCAATGTACTGCAGTCTCTCGTGCGTGGCCAGCGCTTGGAATACAACCTTCCAGTCGCCTGTCTTCGGCATGTCGATTGCGTGCATGTGCAGCTCGGTCAGAGTATGTTTGCTGCGTTGGAAAAAGTCGCAAAGATCCTGGTGCTGATAACAGCCACCATACAGAACAATTCTCTCGAGCTTACTGTCCGCGAACATATGAAACAGACCGGATGGTAGGGCTTCCTCGGAGCCATAATATAAATCCTCATCGAAGGACAAGGTGAGCTCCTTGAGGTCACGCGCCGCTTTCACAAGCCGGCTCAATTTTCTCAATCCAGGCTCGTGATCTTCTGTGAAATAACTGGATCCTAGCTCGAGACTCTTTACTGTTGCAAAACTGGTTTGCAAGCGACCCATCTCGGCGTCATCGAGATCGAAATCTGCAAAACGGCCCATGGTTACCTCAGTCCCCAGACACAGCTGAGGCACGGCGTACTGAGCGTCCGCGAGGCTTCTCAAAACTAGGTGCACCGTATTGTGACGATGGACGTTGGCGAAGTAGTGCCCATAGCTATCTCTGTTTTTAAGTCGAACTCTTGAAGTGACATCCACACGGGCAACTTCCTTCCTTCAGACGATGTGGGGCAGATATGCCAAACGGCAGTAACGATTTGCGACAAGGGAGCGTCTCCAATCTATGTCTCTATCGTTGACGGTGTTCAGCTCCAGGCCCATATCGATGATGTCTCTGCCTCCAGCACGACTTCTTCCGCCGCCACACCTGCCTTCCACGTTTCATCTTCCTCTTGACTACGGATGCCCAGCTTCCGTGCGCCATTCACCAGTTCATCACCTGCCTCTCCAACCATGTTCCGCATATGCATCTGCTTCTCTAGCCTAGAACGCTTGACCTTCTCGCTGTGTGGAGCTCGCCAGCTGACCTCTCCCTCCCAAGATCCAGTGCGTTTGCAAAACGCCAGAAAGGATGCCCAGTTCTCATCCAAATCCAGTACATCTGGATTGCCAATCACAACAAGACCCTCCTTAGCGCGCGTCAATGCCACATTGAATCTCCTCGGCTCATGTATCACGCCAAGGCCTCGAGCAATGTCTTGGTCAATGAAGCGATCCCTTGTTCTTGTTGTACATAAAATCACCAGCCTTGACTCTAATCCCTGGAAAGCCTCGAGGGGCCCGATATTGATACCCGGCTTCAACTGCTCGCGTGCCTTTCTTCGGAGCACCTTGACTTGAGCTCGGAATGGGCTCATGATACAAATCTGCTCAGGCTGCAGCAGCTCCTGTCGTAAGAATGATTGTGCAATTGCGAGTGCGATGTCCGCTTCGCCCAGGTTGAACCAGCCACCTCCGTCTTGCTCGATCTCATCACCGCTTCGGTTGTCTCGGAACAGGACCGGTAACTGGCGACCTTTGAATCCGTACCACGGCAGAAGCGACTCGACTCCGCTAGCGCATGGCTCAAGAGTGTCGTTGTAAAAGAGCGAAGATGGTGTCGCTAGAATTGCGGGATGAGAGCGATAGTTTCTGATCAAGTCTGTGAATGGCGGTCTTGTGATCGGCAGCATATCTCTCGTTAGGCGCGGAACATGCCCCCCTTTCTGCTTCGAACGAGCCAAGGGATGCTCGCAATAAATTGAGCGGGAAAGAAGACGTTCAAAAAGGGACTTCTGTATACCCGCCTTTTTCGATGCTGTTCGTGGTCCGAGCTGATTTTGGTCCCCTACCATCACAACAAGAGGTGGTTTGAGATCCTGTAAGGCATTCTCGGGAGGTGCGACCGCAAGAAGCGGCAATAGAGCTTCTGGTTCCGTAGCTTGTGCGGCTTCATCCATAAGAAGCGCGGACCAGTGCAAAGATGGCACGTATGGCATGTCTTCTTGGTGAAGAGCAGTGTATAAGCCTCGCTCGAGTGCGAACAGGTCCCGATTGGTAAGTCGTGCCTGATGTAAGACTTCAGTATCACGAACTGTGGTGACTACGATGCGCTTCCGCATGAGTTCTGGAAAGGGCGGCAAAGAGAAGAACTTATCCTCGATATGACAGAAGGGCATTATGGAGCTCGGGACTTCGGGGAAACTGCGTGCTGGCGAGTTCATTCTCAAGAGCTGATTCGGTGTGAGATGCTTGCTGAGCCGGTGAACTATGGTGTCGGCCGCGGGATCGGAAGGTGCACAAAGCAGGACTGCAGTGGTACTGTGGTCATGAATTAGTTGCAGGGCAATCTCGACGACCGTCTTTGTTTTCCCTATGCATTATCTGGTCAGCACTGCGCTGTCATGCTTGACAAGGCTGTCGTTACCACTCACCTGTTCCTGGCGGTCCCGAAATCAAGTAAGGCAATCGACCATACTTCTCCCTCAAAACGGTATGAACTGCTTTGAGCTGCTCATGGTTGAGCTCGTCATCAAATTGAACGCAGTTGAAGGTACTCGGATTCAGTTTGTGCTGCATTGCGCCGTCATCGTGAGTAGGGAACAACATCGCTCGCAGCCAGCTATTTTGGTCCTGCAAATGCGCGTGAGCTTCTTTGACCGCTCTATGCAATGCATGCATCCTATCAGACTGGACGGTGAAGCAAGCATTGAACAGCATGCTCATGTGTCGCAGTCCGTCCAGTCGAAGGAACAATGTCTCATTCATGCGATCTATAACCCACACCACAGCTTCATGACAGACATCGAGACCTCCAGGCACAGGTGCGCGATCTGGAGCAGTGAACCCTGAGAAGACGATGAGATCTCCACGTGCATCAAATCGCAACTGCTTCAAGCGAACAATATCTCCGACCTCAAGAGGGAGATTGAATTCGCGCAGTCCAGGGACTGTCAGACGGTACATGGAGTGCTGAGCATCGTAGGCAGTCTGTGTCAAGCTCGTCTGATAAATCGCATGCGCTTCGTATTCATGGCGCAATGCAGTCTCTTCTTGCTTCAAAGCTGTGGCGAATGCGCTCCCGTAAGTCGAGAACTCTGACAAGTCTTTTCCCGACCCGTTCAAGGCGCTCGTCTCAAGATCGGTGCTCGACGAAGATTTTCGAGACACCAGAAAGGAGGTGCCAGCAAAAGAAGCGGTGTATTCGGAGTACTTGGTCCATGGCGCCGGCGTGGAGGGCACAACGAGTGCGGCGGCTTGATTTAGTTGCTTCAGCTTCAGCGGTATGTACGGAGCGGCATACACATCTAGTGTAGCCTCTTTCTTCGACATGGCAGCGGAAACGCTCACTGCAGTGCGGCAGTGGCGCACATCGGGAAGTGAGAGGCGTGGTAAGGATGTGGCCTGGCCATTCAAGTGGTGTGAGTGCGTTGTCTATTTCTGGCAGATAGTCGCATTAGCAGATAGTCGCATTAGCAGATAGTCGCATTAGCAGTCAGTGTCGTTGAAGGCGCGTGCGTGTTTGAGTAGAAGAAAGGAAGACTGTTGGCCAACAATGAGCTCCTTCCATGTGATTGATCGAAGGTGAAGTGAAGTTCAACCCGATAATTACCTGCTTCTTGAAAGGCGAGCGCGAAGGCTCTGGCTCGAATGACACGATGCTCCAACCCCCGAGTGGAGACAGTATATCTATTGCTACCCGATGGGTGTTTCTGGTGTGGTATATTTGCTTGTTCGTGTGCAATTCCAATATCAGGAGGTGTGCAGTGTCTCGGCCATGCCATGCCGCGATCGGCGAGGGTCCTAGCTTTCAACACTAAGTTTTCTTGAGCACACCCAAGGACATTCCCATTACTCACACCCCATACTGTTTCACTCCACTCTACTACACCATATCACAAAATGGCCTCCAAGAATGCTAGCAGAGCGCTGCGCGCCTCATTGAGGCAGATAAAGGCGCCACAGGTGCAGCAACGATCTTTCATCTCCGCTGTCAACAGCACCAGCCGGGCCAGCCTCCGTCCAGCTCGGAAAGCGACCACATCTGCATTCGTGCAGCAAACACGAGGCAAGAAGACCGTCGACTTCGCTGGCGACAAAGAAGTCGTGTACGGTATGTACACAACTGCAATTGATGGGCCAATGGCTCAATGCTAACTTGCTGCTAGAGCGCGACGACTGGCCGCGTGACAAGCTCCTTGTACGTGTTCCTTGATGACTCGATTTCAATGCGAGCTCAGGGCGCAGTGTACACAATCGCGCATGCTAACGAAATTCAGGACTACTTCAGGAACGATACCCTCGCCCTGATCGGTTACGGGTCGCAAGGTCACGGACAGGGTCTGAACCTACGCGACAACGGCCTCAATGTCATCATTGGTGTGCGAAAGAACGGCGCCAGCTGGAAAGAGGCAGAGCAAGATGGCTGGGTTGCCGGCAAGAACCTCTTCGAGGTCGATGAGGCTATCCAGAAGGGCACAATCGTGATGAACCTGCTCTCAGACGCTGCCCAGTCTGAGACCTGGCCACACATCAAGCCAATGCTCACCAAGGGCAAGGTCAGCAAACACACAAGCGAATTTTCCAAAACATTGCTGACTTCCCGCAGACTCTCTACTTCTCCCACGGTTTCTCCCCAGTCTTCAAGGACCAGACCAAGGTCGAGGTGCCAAAGGACATCGATGTCATCCTGGTCGCGCCCAAGGGATCTGGACGTACTGTCCGAACTCTCTTCCGTGAGGGCCGTGGTATCAACAGCTCCGTCGCTGTGTTCCAGGATGTGACTGGCAAGGCTGAGGAGAAGGCAATCGCCCTTGGTGTTGCCATTGGCTCTGGTTACATGTACAAGACCACCTTCGAGAAGGAGGTCTACTCGGACCTTTACGGTGAGCGTGGGTGCTTGATGGGTGGTATCCACGGCATGTTTCTCGCTCAGTACGAAGTCCTCCGCGAGCGCGGCCACTCTCCATCCGAGGCTTTCAACGAGACCGTTGAGGAGGCTACGCAGTCTCTGTACCCTCTGATCGGCCAGAATGGTATGGACTACATGTACGCTGCCTGCTCCACTACCGCCCGCCGTGGTGCCATCGACTGGAGCAAGCGATTCAAGGAGGTCCTCAAGCCAGTCTTTGACGAGCTGTACGAGAGCGTGAAGACCGGCAAGGAGACCAAGCGCACCATGGAATACGCCGGGCGCCCAGACTACCGCCAGGCTTTCGAGAAGGAGATGGAGGAGATCCGCAACCTTGAGATCTGGCGAGCTGGAAAGGCCGTCCGCAGCCTTCGCCCAGAGAACGCATGATTGTGTTCGCACATGGGGTTGGCCGGGGCACAAAGGTGGAGTTGCATGTGGTTGACATTGAGTCGAAGCATCCAGACGCCATTGCATGCACATTGCAATCATTTCGCATGCATCGGAGCGCATGCCGACTTTCTCGGCCGCTGAAATTGCCTTTGATCATGGTTCAGAGCTGAAGGGCACTTTTTCCTACCAGGAGTTGGCGTGCGTTTGGGTGGTACGCGAAAAACGGGCTCCAGCGATCTCGAAAGTTCTGTAGCATTATTGACCTTGTGTGAATGTAGCTGTCGCGCGACAGCAAGCTGTGTTGATTGCTTGTTCTGGACTTTCTTTGTGCTTTTTTCAACGAATGCTAAAATGCAACAGCACGCTTGGTGGCGGCAATTCTGTCGATCTGAAAATGCAATATGTCTCGCCCACTGCACGCTGAAACGCTCCCGCCGCACCCCTCTGCGTGAATTCCAAGTGGTCGCACACTCCTAGCTGCTTCCTTCCCCACCATCTCATGATACTGATTACATCATGATACTACTTACAAAGGGGTATGATGTTCAGAACTTTGCTCATCAAGCTAGACACGCGGGGTGAGGACCGATCGCTCGGTTCCAATCCGTGGTTTGGAGCGCAATTTAGAACCTGACAAGCCCAAAACTAGAAGCCCATGCGCCACAGTGCCAGTGTCATGGGAAATGCCGTCAAAGCCTTTTTTCCGAATATCGTGCCGCACAGCGCCGTATTGTGGTCTTTGTTGAGGTGTGTAGTAACGGCATCAGCTCGAATGACTGCCTGAATAGGTCGGCCTATTGGAAAGCCCGCTCTCAGCCTTCATGGCGTTTGATACGGCTTGGAAGGATCCAGCGAGGTTGATCCGACGGAACCGGTACTTTCCTCAGAGCTTAAGGATGGCAAATGTGCACTGAAAGGCGTAGGGTGTTGATGCCCACGTAGGCTTGGTTCGATGGCATGATATAGTGGGATTTGGGCATTTGGGATTTCCGGGATGGATGAAGCTCGTCCGCTATCCTCTGAGCTCAAAGAGTGGCTGTGGCTGAGGTGATTTGGGGTCATGCCGCGAGTGGGGACGTCTAGTATGGTCTGTATAGGCGGAAGGCGATCGACTCCTGTCGTGGCAGGCGGTGGAAGAGGACCCATGGCTTGATGTGGTGGCAATCCAATGACGCCTTCCTTGATCTGGCGGAGTAGGGCAAACACATCGTCGTAGTTGCTCGTCCGGATGCGTTGAAAGATGTCCTGTGCTTCGGGCTCGGGCCTAGCTTGCACGAAGGCCAGAAGCTCTCGTACCTGGTCGCGCTCTTGTTCGAGCACCTGATTGCGGCGTCGTAATGCTGACCAGCGACTCTCGCCCTCCTCAGCCTCGTACTGGCATTCAGTTCTGAGGTTTTGGCAGCGTGAGCAGGCAGGCCTAGGCAGGTCAGGTCAGGTGAGCATTTTATGTTTTCGTCGACGTCGGCTGGACTTGTCTTACCTGAGGCCGTCGCACTGGGGACAAGGTCAGTTGTGACTTCAGTTGAACGGGAGAGAGCTCACTCTGGATTTTCGCCGACGACACGCGGAGCATGCACTTTCTATGAGTGTCCGCTTAGGACGTGCTCCCGGGGGACGATTGTGGCCAGGTGAGGTATTACCACCATCCTTGGAGGCTTCGCCTGACGACGTGCGTGCTGCCAGCAGCGGCCTGCTACCGGACATTCAGGATGACTGGAGCCTTGCTGGCTTGGTGGCATATGGGAATCGGCAGCGATGGGTGAGGAGGCGACACACTGGTCATGAAGGAGGGCGACTGCTGCTGCTGCTGCTGCACATCAGTGCAATGCAATCAGTGCAAGAGGGCCCGGGCAAGAGACCGAGAGCAAAGTGTAAAGTGTGGAATCTCGGATGCTCCCTAGCTCTTGCCTTGCCTGGTACACATCGACGATCGGGAAGGAAACAGCCACAGGCGACTGCACTTGGAGGTCTGCTCTCAAAGACATCCTGGCTCATGCGGAGGCCGAGCCAATTCCGGAAATAAGTTCTGCTTTGGCAGCAACGAGGCGTGGTTTGCAAGACCATGCCGTTCATGCGTGCTTTGGGCTGTGCTGCGCTGCGATGTGCGTCTCGTTGTCGTCCGCAAACTGTGGTATGCACCAGATTCTTGGAGCGAGCTGCCACTCCATTCTCCATTTTCTCTCACGTGTGGCTGAGCCCGCGACGCACCCGCTCCGTACAGCGTCGCACTCGGACACGGGCTCGAGAAGATACTCGCTGTTCACACGACGGACCCCGTTGCGTCACGGTGCGAATCGCAGCGTGCCACCAAGCTTTCCCTGACGCGCATGGCTCAGCCGAATACCGAATTCAGAATTTTCGCACCCTCACGTGTAGCACAATGCCACAAACACCGCCCACCCGTACCAGCGTCGCAGCACATGATGTGTCGCCAAGCCATCTGTGATTTTCTGATTGGCATCGTCGGTGGCCCCAGGCATGCCGCCAGCCCGCACGCGGCACAAGCCATACGCTTGGCGATGGTGATACTGTAGTCCGATGCTCAGGCTCTGCGGCGGACGTCGCAATCGGATTGTCGCAAGGGAGCAATATCAGCCTTGCAAGTCACGGGCCTGCGCTGCCTCCGGCTCCAGGAGATCACTCCGTTCCATACCGACACCCGATCCTGATTAGCCGCCGCTTGCTGTTGCGATCGCAGTTGCTTTGAACTCCCCGTGCGCCGAAAACACTAGAATAAGCTATCCATCTGCCTCTTCCATGCCCAATCACTTTACCACCAGATGCAGCAGCAGCACTTTCCCATTGATGAGCATACTTCCTCGCGCCTTCCATCGCTGCACATTGCCCGCGGCGCCTGTGTGTTGCAGCACGATCGGGGCCAGCTGGCAAAGCGGAAAATTGATTTTCACCTCCCTGCTGTCCTGGTCTCCGAAGCAATCGAAGCCGATCAAGGTCGCTTGGAGCTGCCCGCCGAAGATACTACGGCGCATTCGAATCCGAAGTCGATCCAAGTGGAGCTCGACATCTGTTACTGAGATCGAAATTGCTGCGAGAGCAATCGAGACCAGTGCTATGTTGCAATACATTATGCCATGATGTGCAGAAACGAGCTCGAAAGCGAACAGATCAACAGAGACCAAAAAAGAAAGCTACCGTTCGGGTGTCTTAAAGCTGAGAGGGAAACTCAGGAGTCATGATGTAGTCTCCGGAACCCAGGAGCACGGGTAATGAAGACGTCAAGAGATCTTGCTAAGCGCGATGCAGGGCCTCATCAATAATGCACCGTCAGCACGAATCGACACTGGTCAGGGCCGCTGCATCGGTGCCGCTTACCAGGAAACAGGAGGCAGTCTTGAGATCGGGCTGAAAGCCTTGGCCCGTTCAGAGCCTGGATCTTTGTGGTCCAAGACGATCTGCTTCGAAAATGCATCAGTCCAGCGCCTGCAGCTTGAACCTCACACCTGCCTGCCTGCCACAAACCCTCCACCACACAATGCAAGAGCGACGCTCGTCCGGATTTCAAGAGACGATAAACGGAGGCGCTAAGCATTGTTGTTATCACGAAGGCAATGGAGAGCTGGTATTTGTACAGCACGGCTGCCAAGTCGGTGGAGGGCGAAGTTTGCATTGCAAGACGGCTTCAAGACGTGCGAGTCACGTAGACAACCTTCAAAGTCCATTGCGACAAATAACTATGAAGCCAATTCCCGTGGGAAACGATGACCACATGACAACCCGCAATTCTGCCCATAACAACGCTCGATCAAGCATCCTCAAATAATCTTCATATGTACATCCAACAAACACAGTTCTGTGATATGATATCCTTTCCGTCGAATCGGGCAGATTTGATAAACTTATTTAGCTGTGTGCTCTGAGGCACATCGGAAGCTTTTACGAAGCATCATCCATCTGAGAAAAAAAGGTATGCAGTGAGGCTTTTTCAACCACTATTGCTGTGATTCAATCTCGTCGGTGTGCTTTCATCAACCATATGTACAAAAGACTGTCACAGACAGTCGCAAGGGAAAAGTTCAAGATTATAGAACCAACAATGTGCCGCTGTACATCAAAGGACTGCTCACGCTACAGTATGCAATGCAACGCAATGTGTATGCACCGCACCGCGAATCTATTCAAGATGTACACATCAAGTTCCGCACCTGCTTGTATGTGCTGAAAAGCGAGCCATGTCGCCATTCTCGTATGCCCAAGTAACGTACGTGTATTATGCCTTGCGTATGCAAATCTTCCAATCGATGAGAACGCTCAATCAACGCCGTCGCTCGCTCGCTCGCTCGCTCTGCATCTTGAAATGAAAATCAAAAGGTCTCGCTCTCAAAGCTATCCCTTGATCCTACGCAGACGAATCATGAGTGTCCAGCCCAAGCAATCAAAAAATGAATGAGCATTGGCATCCAGTGCCAATGGCCGTGATTCTGTTTTAAGAAGAAATGATCGTACCTTGAGATGGAACAGGTTTCCTCCTCACCGTGCCAGACGCGGCGCTGTTGTCTACCAGTCTGGCTTGTTGGCCTGGCATAGATCTGGGTCCCGCAGGCGTGATCTTTCTGCCTGATGATCGCACATCAACGGCCTTTGCGACCTTGGGCGACGCGTGAGGTTCGGGCGAGATCTACAGACACATTTAGCTCTGATGTTACTTGGAAAATGTGAGAGAAGAACTTACGTGACCACTATCAGTCTCTAGACTGTATCGCACTTCGGCAATGGGCTCCAACAAATGACCTGAGCCATATGGGCTGCTATAGTAGCCGCCTCCCTTGCTGAAGCCACTGTTGCTGAACTCTGGCTCATCCCAGTCATCTTCTGGGTCAAGCTCGACTTTCGGCGGCACGGCCGGCTTCTGTGGTATCAGTGGCGCATCATCGCTGCCTCTCCTAGCACCGCCATGGCGATCATGACTGTTCAGGCTGATGGGGCTGATTGGTTCCACTTGCGTCAGACGGTGTCGTGCAAGTCCGGCTGTACCTGATGATCCCCAGATAGCTGGATCGAAGTCGCTGACCGTGCGCTGAGACAGGTCTGAATTAGTTCCGGTCGTGTCATCAAAGGTATGCGCCTGTGACTCCAGTGTATTCTGGTGTCGCGAGGTGTGACCCTGACGTGGCTGGGGATGTTGCAAGAGGAGGGAGTTTCTGTGAGCTTGATACTTCGGATCGTCGAAATCAGCTTCGTCATCCTCCTGCTCGGGAGAGAGGGCACGAGCGTCGTCAACGTATTGGTCCCGATGCTTTGCTGAGGCCTCTGAGGGGATAAGCGGTGATGGCGTTCTCGTCATTTTGCTTGCTTGACTGCGCACACTTCGCGTTTCGGGTTGCGCGAGACCCGCGTGGCCTTGTTCGCTGTAGCGACGGTCGCCAGAATGGATCGAGTAGCCATCCTCGTCATACTGCCCCAGTGTCGACTGAGAACGGGACGCCTCGGAGGATGGTCGCACATTGCGATCTTGCCTCGGGCTGTCAATGGTCGCTGGATCCGGTGCTGCCGATGAAGTCGTGGTTCTTGACCAGCGCGAGATCTTTGGCACATGAACACCAAACAAGGACGAACTGTTACTCTTGTGCTTCTTCTGCTTTTCTGGTGTTGCGTCGTTGTTGACATTGATCGGGGCAGGCTTCTGTGGTGGCGTGTCTGGCGGCGAAAGTCTGCGATGCAGCTCCTGCGTTGGTGTAAGGAGGCGCTCATTATTCTCAAATTGGTGGTTGAGTACATGTGTCTCGTGCGGCTCCAGATCTTCATCGTCTTCCTCTTCAAGAACAGTGCTGACACGATTGTCCGAGCCGCGACGTCCATCGTAACCAGAGTGGAATTGGTGCTTCTCTCGCGGTGTGACTGGGAAGTGACCGGACTGGCTCGGGGTGCTCGATGTGCCAGCTTGGCCTTCCGGCTCATAGCCTGAGTCCTGTGTAGCACGCATCTGCTCGTATGTGTCCAAGCTGTCCAGGGTATAGGACCTGCCGAATTGCGGGCCACCTTGTTGATGCTTGAGGTCTTCCACGTTTTCCAGGACCTGCATAAGCATATCCTCGATCCTCGCCAGATCCTTTGCACTTTTGCCTCCAGTGAGACCCTTCAGTGCACGTCTAAGCACACCCTTGCGCTTCGTCTGCACATCTTCTTCAGATTCAACTGCTCGTCGCGGAGTGCGAGGAGAGCTCACTGGCTGAGGTCGTGGGCCGCCAAGTACCTTCTGCGCCGTATACTCAGCGTCGCGATCGGTATTCTGCATAATCATCTTGTCTTGTTCCATGATGAACTTCTTCATCTCGTCAAAAGACTGGCGCATCTCAGCGGCGCTGCGCACCAGTGTGACCAGGATTTCCGTATCGCGTGCATTACGTTGCGCGTCACGAACAGTGAGATGGTCCATCAAGGCCACGACATCCTGCGACTGGATCCGATCGAGACCTTTGCCAGTTGAAGCATCGTATAATGGTGAGTTCAATCCCTGCGAATTGCCGCTGAAGTGACGAGTATGCTTGGTGTCCACTGTAAATGGATCGTCATCGCCATCTTGAGCATCCATCGCACGATGATAGTCTTCAAGATCCTTCTTGCCATATACTTGGTTTTCTGCTTTCGGGGTTGCGCCGCCTCCGCTCCGAGTACGCCCGTCAGTAACGTAGCCTTCGTCACGGAAAGCAGCTGGGCTGCCACTAGGGGTAGCCTCGCGATCGAACTCGCCATTGCGACCGACGTCTGGAGTATCTCGGCCTTGGTCCTCAACTGTAGGTTGCTTGGCTTTGTGAGCGGCGGCAAGAGCGGCGGCGCCTCCAGCAGCAGCACCAACCAGGCCGCCTTTGCTGAAAGCATTCTTGGCAGAAGCGCTCCGACTCTGGCCTGCCTCTGGTTCAGGTGTATAGGGCCAAGTCGAGATTCCAGTGGCATCACCACCAAGAGGACCTTGGATAATGGATGGGTTGGTAGTGAGGTCAGACTTGGAATCATCAAAATGCCCAATCTCTGGCAAAGGATCATCGACATTAGGCAGGCCACTAGCCGTCATTACCGGTTTCTCGTCTGAGCTCTGATTGCGCAGATCCCGCGCCGGGCTTTGACTTGGGGATGAGAGTGTGCGCGCATGACCCTTGATAGCTGCCCATCGGTCCTGGCTTGGCATTGTTTGGCTCAAAGTCGAGCCTTCGTACAGGGGCGGCGCATCTTTGTTTCTGGAACGCAACTGCTCTTCCATCCGAGCACTGTAGGTATTGCTCTTGCTGGGACTACCAGTCGAAGAGACAACATGGCTGCTGACTGTCGAAGGTTCCATGAGCGATGCGACAGCAGATTCCACAGCGACTGGAGTATGCACATAGTTTGGAGCCAGACCGCCTCCAGTCACGTCACGAACGTCTTGCTCCACATCAGCTTGTCCATCTTCTGTATGACGGTCCAGGTAGCTGTCATCGGTCATCATTGTGAAGCGCTTCTCGTCTTGTGGGTATGGGTTGGTCTGGTAAGAGTCGCGGTTGGTCGCCATTGAGTCGCGATATTGCTCGTTGATCAAATGCTGTCGCTCAAGCCATTCGTCTGCAGTCTCGGCGCCTGGTGTGCCGGTCTCACGAGTAAATGATGTTTCCAGCTTCTCGTTAGGAGTTGCATACTCATCGAGACTGACATCACGGGACTGTTTTGCAGAGCGAGCTAGCTGAGTAGTAGGCGAATCTCCAGATTGCAAGGAGGATTGCGAATGTCGATGTTCTTGAAGTCGGCCAGCAGACGAATAGGAAGCCGCACTTCTAGGTCGCAAACCTTGCGGGACGAGAGGATCATCTTCAAATTTATTCTTCAGGCTGGAAACGCTCTGGACTGGGCTGCCTCCGCTGAATTTGCGCTGTGGAGCTGGGTCACCGTAACCATCAGCGTCCATATGCCGGTCCACAGCTTTCATTGCTGCAGCACCGCCGAGGCCAGCAGCAGTCAGGGCAGCCAAACGCTCCCGATTCGTGATACCGCCATTCGGTCTGTGAACGGAGCTCGTCGTTGTTTGACCTATAGACTGGTTGGAAAGGCTCATTCCAAGTCCTCTCGACGATGGTCGTGTGGGAGTACGAGACGAAGCTGGAGAAATGGCATCTCCGACCGAGCCACGCTTCACTTCACGAACTGGTGTGCGGGTATCGGCAGAGCTTCTTGATGAGGGCCGATCGGTGCCTTGCGACAGAATACTTTCTCGAGTGATCTCAGAGTCATTCATCCTGCTGGCCAGAGGAAGTGGCGGAATGTCCTTTTTCTCCGTATAAGTCTCATCAATGGTATCTGTAATGCTGGCAGACCGGCTGCGACTTGTGCGAGATTTGGTGCGCTTCTTCCGCCGTGAGTGTACGTCGTCTTGAGAATCGTGATGCCGCAGAGCAGCCGATGTCAGAACACCAGCTGCCAGACCAGCAGAGGCAGCGCCTCTGAGGCCGTTATTGCTTCTGCTTGATTTGGGTCGGACCCTCTCGTCTGCTTCATAGCTGCCTTCGCGTGAATGTCGACCCGATGACCGGCCGCTGGAAGGACGATCTGAGTATTCTCTGCTGGACTTGCGATGCTTCACTCGTTCCGAGTCGCCGCGAGAGAGGACAACGCCGGGATCATCGCCGTCTCTATTCAGCACCACTTTTGGCTTTGAAGACAGGTGTGGCGTGCTGGAGGATTTGCTGACTCGTCGCTCGAGACTGCCATTCTCGCCACCTGAGCTACGTCTGCTCTGCTCAAAGCTGCGAAGATTGCGATCTTTGTGTTGGTCTTCCTTGAGTGCATTAATCTCAGGCAGGATCATGCGCTTGATGGTATCCTCTACCATTTCCAGTAATTTCGGATTGTTCGTCATGCGCGACGTTTGTGATCGATCTGAACGATAGGACCGCTCGCTGGGCGATAGTTTGGAAGACAAGAGGCTTGATTCTGCGCCGCTCACGGCATCTTCCTCCGCGCGGTGTGATTTCGATGATCGTCTCCGTCTCTCGCGAGACTGTCCATCATATTCGCGACTCGACTTGCGCTGCTTAGCCGAAGTGGCTCCCAGCTTCTCCATGACTTTCTGCGTAAGACGCTCTCGGCTGGCGCTCCTGCCCTGACTGTCCATTCTTTGTGGCTCTCGCAGATAATCCTTCTCCTTCACAGGAGATTCGGCATCGTACTCGTAGCCGCGCTCGCTCTCGAGCATCGATCTATCTCCTTCAAGCATGCTGTCCGGCGGCATCGACGAGACGTTGGACTCCACTGGTGCATACATGAGTCCGCGCGACGATCGTTGACTGTTCGAAACGTCGCTGGTGCTGAGTAGCTCGATCTCAACGGGTGGATGTCCAGAAACGTTGCTATCGGTCGAATGGCTGACGTCTGTTCCTGCTGGGGCAAGTGCAACTTCCGCGTCCTTGGAGCTCGGTAGTGATATTCGACGAGTGTATGACGGCTTTCGATCGCTTCCAATGCTAGTGATCTGAATAGCGTTTTCGCCACTCCTGCTCTTCTTAGATGCGCTCGGCGTAACCTTCACGCGCACACTCGGCCTGCTCTTGCTCTTGTCGCCAGTCTTTGAAGCCTCGAAGTATTCGATCAACAGGCTCGTCTGGCTCTTGGCGCGGCTGTGCTTCCCAATGCCACTCTCCTTGCTCGCAGTGATCTTTTGGGTGGAGATGGTAATGGGACTGCCGTCTTCGGGGACGGTGTAGTGGGACTTGTCGGTGCGGGTGGTGACGTTGGTCGCAACTTCGGTGTCGCCGCCAGAGGTGTCGTCGTCCATAGACTCCGTTGCTTGCGGCAGAGGCGGACGACGAGAGTCTACGATGCCCATCTTAGAATGTTGTTCGCATCACTGCGGCTGCGGCTGGTGGGTCCTGTTTGTGCGTGGTCGGCAAGGCGCAAACAGTGCAATGCGGAATGACTTTTTACCCAGTGGCCGGGCGAGGTGTTAGGGACATGCACAGTGTGCAGTCGGAGTCGGACAGAACTGGGATGCAGCTGTACGCCAATCGATGTTGTGCAACGCTGTGTGCGGGAGCAGATGTCTGGCTAGAGCTGTTCGCCGCTGCGGTGCCGGGCACAGAGCTGCACCGTGCTATGTCTGCCTGAAAGCGATGGTGAGTGCACGAGCAGCACAGGAGGACCAGTAATGTAGTGAAGACTAGCTGTGCCGTGGCGTGCCTCGTTGACTACGGTATCTGGAGCGGCGCGTGAGAAGTTGAGAGTGAGGTCAGGTCAGGTCAGGTCAGCTACACTGCACTGCTGCACTGATGCGTTGTTCTCCCCACCAACCGCAACGAGGGTCGACTCGCCGATTCGAGTCGCGATGCTGCTTCTCTCTCGCACCTCCTTCGCCCGCCTCTTGCTCTTGCCGCACGAAAGGATGAAGACCAGCAGACGGAAACAGACAGCGAGCGATCACAAGCCAGCATGTGGGCAAGGCAAGATCAGGCTGGTGCTTGCGCGCGAGTGCGATGTTCAACGAGCCAGCCACCGACAAGCTTTCCACTAATTCTCCCGGCGCAACAAGGATCTACCGCGTAACTACAGCAACACCATGTTCAGCCGTAGTCAGTGCTCCGCGTGTTCGACAATAGACGCAAAGCTCCATCATCAATCTTCTTCTGCAATTGACGTCGAGTAGTCTCGGCACTTCATCATCACAGTTGCTATCGCTATTCTATCAACAGCCGAACAGTTGACAGTTGCTCATCCCACGGCTCGATCAGCCAGCGTCCGGCGTCACAACCATCATCCCAGAAGCCGGAGCACCGTTTGCTTCGTCCCACAAAACCCAGCGTAACGCAGGACCGTCGCCGACCAGCCATCCTCCTGTGCATCGCATGCGCTCTCATGCAACTAAGAAGAACGAAAACACATGCAACCTGTACTGCCCAAGCAACCACCCCACCAGCCGCATCATGTCCGTAATGATAACCCTCATCACAAGGTGTGAACGGTGCCACATCATCAAAGAGCCACACACGAGACAACTCTTCCACTGTCACTACCGATTGGCAGTTTCAAGCCGTCGTTTCCTTGCACTGGCATTCACCGGTGTGCTTGATCGGTGTGCCCTGCATGGCTGCATGTGGGCTGGGCTGTAACGCGTTTCAGCCTCTCTATTCGTTCAAAGAAACGTGGCTGGGACGGCCGGCCACGCTTCGGCATCGGCTACGCAATTATTATTGATCGTTGCGCAACGACTTACCGGCGGTACCCTGGCCAGTGGCCACAAAGAACGGAAAAAGTATAGAGCTACAGGGCCGCGTGCCGGTGATGCTCTAACGAGCTTCGGTCTTCGGCTTGTGCTGTGTCTGGTAAATCGTAGCTGAGCAAGCCAGCTGCGAACAACATATATGAGTGAATCTGCGAGTGACTGCTTTGCCAAAGTATCATTGCTTTCATGCCTTATCCTAGGACTCTTCCCTCTAAAACGGAATCGCAAAATTAGCCACTACCCATGCATTTCTTCATCATGCAGCTGCTTTGAAGTGAACCTCTCTTTCACAGCTTGTCACCATCATCAAGCCTCTTCTCTGACCCTCTTCACGATGCAACAACTTGCATGTCCGACCCGCAGCAGGCAATCAATGCCTCCATCCGGAATTATAACCTTACTCTTGCAGACATCGAAGGCTGACGCGCCTGGCCAAACCTCGATACTATTGTCGCATGGCATCGAGACCCCCCTGGAGCTCTCTCTCCAAATCATTGCCGTGTCCTGCCATTTCCTGCGGTCTTGGGTTCTCGTATGCACGTGGATCGTAGTTGTTTGGGATTGGCACCTGTGGCTGCCCTGGATTATGCCCTTGGGAGTATTGTGGCTGGCGGACTGAGTGACGGAATGCCTTGACTTCGGCGAGAATCATTTGTCTCATCTCCTGAACATCATCGACAACCTCAAAGCCGAAATCGAATGTCGTCGGGCAGGGCGGCTCGTCGGAGGCATCGTGCCAGATAGCCAAGTATCGGTGCTCCAATGCCTCCTCCACAGAAATACGCTGACTGGGATCAAAAGCAAGCATGCGGTCGAGCAGGTCCAAAGCGTCGGGATTCGCACGTGGGAATAGCTGCTGGAATGGAATCTTGGACATATACGGCAGGTTGCGTACATACTCCTGAGCACGTGGCGATCCAATGCGTGACAGTGTCGATTCGGATGGGGTTCCAAGGTAGTGCAGGATCTGGTTCAATTGATCAACGTAGTCGCGGCCTTTAAAGAATGGCTTGCTGCCGAGTAGCTCAGCGAGAATACAGCCCACAGACCAGACGTCAACTATGGTTTTGTCAGCGCTTCCCCACTAGGTCTATTCGCGCAGAACATACTAGCTTTGGTGTAGCTTTGGAATGAAAGCATGATCTCGGGTGCTCTGTACCATCTCGTGGCAACGTATTCAGTCATATAGCCAGCATTCTCCTCAGGATCAATGCTGAAGCCACGAGCAAGACCAAAGTCGCAAATCTTAAGTTCGCAGTCGGCATTGACAAGCAAGTTTCCTGGCTTCAAGTCACGGTGCAGCACGTTCGCACTGTGGATGTATTTGAGGCCGCAAAGGATCTGGTATATAAAGGATTGGAAGTGGGCGTCGGTCAAGGGTTGTCCAGAACGGATGATGGCAGCAAGATCGCATTCCATGAGTTCTGTAGCATGATGGTCAGCTTGACTTGCACGGCGCTTTTGTCTCACCCAAGTTTCTTACCTTCATACAGATAAGTCTCGTTGAAGTTGTCGGGACGCGGAATGTCCATGTCATACAGACAGGTAATATTTCTATGTCCTCTGAAGTGCTGCAGGAGCTTGATCTCACGCAAAGCGCGTTTCGCGAGAATCTTCTTGCTGAAGACATTTGTGACCTTCTTGATTGCAACGCCCTCGCCGGTCTGATTGTTGGTTGCAGCACACACGATACCGTACGCACCCTGTCCGAGCTCTTTTGTCACCGTGTAGCGTTCGTCAACAATGAAGTCCTGGTTGAAGACCTTGAAGACCTTGCGGCCTGCGAGCGACGGGTCGGCCATGATGTGGAAAAGCGGAAGCTCGTGGAGTCAGTGCCTCGTATGTTTCGGCAAATACGAGGTTCGAGAAGGGGAGGATGTCGCGCAAGGTCAGATCAGTAGCGGCGCCGATGCCTAGTATTATTCAGGCTGCGCGTCAGGAGCGTTGTCAGATGTTTCTCGCGGGCAGGGCAGGGCAGCTTGGGCAGGGCAGCTTGGACAGAGCTCTGATAGTGGGACTGGACACGCAGAACCGGCGGGCGTGAATGGCGAGTGTTGATCCACCTGAACGGCGTTTCTGGCTTGTTTCTGGGCAACAAAGAAATGAACGAGGGAGCAAGGGTCAGGCCAGGTAATTATATCAAGTCAGGCCCACGCTTCCTTCAGCTGCGTGCGGCTTTCGATTCTATGCTGCGCTCGTTGCCTCAGCCTCAAGTCGGGTAAGCAATGCAATATGCTGCCGTTTGACAGCTCACAGGCAGACATGATGATTCACTTCTCAACACGCCCGGCCCCGGCCCCGCGAGATGATGCCCCTCTGCCAAGCTTTGGATGCCCACCCCAGCGTTCTCCCAAACGGAAAGGAAGGTTTTGGAGCGGTATGGATCTGAGCGTATGCGTGACTGATGAGCTGTGGACAAGGTTGCCCTTTTATGCATCGTCGTTGTCGCCGTCACGCCGTGAGAGTGAGACGCAACGGTCGCCATGGTCACGTGACGCCATACTACCGGTGTTCCGAGTTCCGAGCCAGGACACAACGCTGCTGTCCTCCACTTCATCATCAGTAGTGTACTTTTGAGGGACAGCTTGTTGAGAACTTGAGAGATGCGACGCGATGCGATGCGATGCGATGCGATGCGAGGCAGAGGCCCGGCTACGGAGGCCTATACGTACCAGAGGCTCAATGTAGCACTTCTTACCGCAGCGACACAGTATAATCTTTGCCCCTACAAATTGTTTTTAATGTATCTTTTTATCTAGAGGACTTATAGCTAAACAATATATAGCAAAGATACTCTTACTTAGGTCTATTTTTAGAAAATATTGATATTTGTAGTCGTTCCCTCCTAAATTAATAAGCTATATAGCTTAAAACTCTAAGTTAGACGTTTTAGAATTTTAGTGTTTTTTAAGCCTTAGTATACTGTTTTTAGTAATCCAAGATCTAAGTCTTATAGTTTTGTTTAAAAAGAATCTAGTTCTAGATTTTTATTCTAGTATAGCTACTATTAGTAACATAATCTAGAAAAGAGTATTATTAGAACCTAAATTCTTACTAGGTTCTCTTTAGTATATCTTTTTATATAGAAGAGTTATACTTTAATAATATAAAACAAAGATACTCTATTTTTTATCTATTTTTAGAAATTAAGTAAAACTATTATAGTTATCTACTAAGATTAGCCTAAAAGTCTAAAAGAAAGACTTTTAGATTTTAGTATTTATTAAGCCTTATAATACTATTTTTAGTAATCTAAAAGCTAGAACTAAAGGTTTTACCTAGTTTTAATCTATATTGAAATTCTTATCTAAATACGCCTACTATTAGTCTTGGAATCCAAAAGCGAATATTTTTAAGAATTATAAGCTTAAGAATATTAAGTTTAGAATTTTAAAAAATATTCTTTCTTAAGTTATAAGACTATTTATAAACTAATAAAAGTAAAAGCTCTAATAGGAGATTTCACTAGCTAAAACTGTTAGGTTTTGATTTTAGATTACTAAAAATAGTATACTAAGGCTTAAAATATACTAAAATCTTAAAATCTTAATTCTAGAATTTTAGGCTAATCTTAGTAGATAGCTATAATAATTCTGGTTATTTTCTAAAGATATATAGAGAGTAAAGTAATTTTGTCTTATATTACTAAGCTATAACTCTTCTAAATAAAAAGATATATAAGATAGAATCTAAGAACAATTTAAGTTTTTATAGTATTCCTTTCTATATTATATTACTAATAGTAGCTATATTAAGATAGAAACCTTAATATAGAGTCTTATAAAGTAAGGCTATAAGACCTAGACTTTAGATTAATAAAAATAGTATACTAAGGCTTAAAAAAACGCTTAAATCCTAAAACGTTTAACTTAGAGTTTGAGGCTATATAGCTTATCAATTTAGTAGGTAACGACTAAAAATTTTAATTTTTTTCTAAAAATAGACCTAAATTAGAGTATCTTTGTCTTATATTGTTTAGCTATAAGTCCTCTAGATAAAAAGATATATTAAAAACAATTTGTAGGGGCAAAAATTGCAGTACAAAGTCTGCATTGAGCCTCTGGTATGTATGGAGCTCCGTCCCCGGCCCGGGCGGCAGTGAAAGCGAAGGCTCCACATGCCTCGGCTTCCGCTCTCTGCTATCAGTGCTCTGACAGTTTTATCCCAGGTCAGGAGCTGCCACAGTGATAGTGATTGCTCCACTCGCTTTCGTACGAAATACTCGTTCACATCGCTGCAGTCCCTCAGTTGTGCCGCGGCCCATATCTCTCTGTATCATCCACACCGTCGGTCCGGGTCCGGGTCCGGGTCCGTGTTGATCAAGCGTAAGATACAATAGTAGCCCATCCCGCCGCTGCCTCTAAACATGACCATTCACCTAACCATGGACGACGTGCCTGCCTTCACAGCCACTCCGCTGGACAAGATCCCGGCCATTCATCAACGAGTCGTCGACAAGTTCCTCAGCCATGAGACGCGCCCACTCGAATACCGATTGAAGCAGTTGCGATCACTGTATTGGGGTCTGAAGGATGCGGAGCCAACCATCCTGGAGGCAACCAAGCTTGACTTGGGCAAGAGCGCGTACGAGGCATTCCTCTGCGAAGTTGGATGGGTACTCAATGACATCCTCTTCGTATGCAAGAACCTCGCAAAATGGATGAAAGAAGAAAAGGCGCAGGACATGGACCTCATCAACAAGTTCGTGTCGCCGCGAATTCGCAAGGACCCATTGGGTGCTGTGCTGGTCATTGGAGCCTACAATTTTCCGATTCAGCTCTCGCTGGGCCCGCTCATTGGTGCCATTGCAGCAGGATGTAAGTCAGTGCAGGAACCTATCGAAACTCACCGCCATCCAGTATGATCAAAGCAGACATGGTCAAATCATGCGTGAAATGATCGATTGCAATTGCTAATGCGTATCCTGAATGTTAGGCACCGCAGTCCTCAAACCTTCCGAAAGTGCGCCGCATTGCGCCAGAATCATGGAGCACATCATCTCTCAAACCCTCGACCCTGACGCTTACCAAGTAGTTCAAGGAGCTGTGCCTGAGACCACCGCTCTGCTGGACTGCAAGTGGGACAAGATCTTTTACACCGGTGGCGCGACAGTCGGCACAATCATCGCGAAGAAAGCCGCAGAGACCTTGACTCCAGTGACGTTGGAGCTTGGTGGTCGCAATCCTGCCATCATCACCAAGAATGCAGACCCAAGGCTGGCGGCGCGACGACTGCTCTGGGCCAAACTACTCAACGTTGGCCAGGTCTGTGTCAGCCAGAATTATGTTCTTGTGGACAAGGATGTACTGCCAGAGTTCATCCGCCAGCTCGAGATTGCCCTAAAGGAGTTCCAGCCAAAGGGCGCTGAGCTCGCCGAGGATTATGGCAAGATCATCAATGAACGAGCATGGCAACGTCTCAAAGACATGTTGGACAGCTCAAGTGGTGAGATTTTGATTGGTGGCAAGTCCGACAAATCCAAGCTCTTCTTCGAAACCACTGTCGTGAAGGTCAACAGCGCCGATGATTCTCTGCTCAAGGACGAATCTTTCGGACCTCTGATCCCAATCCTGCCAGTCGAGGATCTTGACGAAGCCATCCGCATCGCTAACAAGGTCCACTCAACGCCACTTGGTATCTACCCCTTCGGAAACAAAGCCGATGCAGAGAAAGTCCTTGGCCAGACACGCTCAGGTGGTGCTTCTGTCAACGATGGCTTCTTCCACGCTTCCATCCCAACTCTGGCGTTCGGTGGTATAGGCGACAGTGGCACGGGCTCTTACCGTGGCAAGGCTAGCTTCGACTGCTTCACACACCGACGCCCCGTCACCACCACCCCAGCATGGATGGAAAGTTTACTCTCTATCCGCTACCCACCATTCACGGACGCGAAGCTAAAACAATACAAGACCATGAGTGAGAACAAGCCTGATTTTGATCGTAATGGTAATCCAACTGGAGCTGGATTGCTGTGGTGGATTCTTGGTAAGTCGCAGTACCCGGCCTTGCAGGCGAAGCTATGAAGAGGCGTTGATAATGGTTCAGGTCTTGGTGGTAAGAGTGCAGTTGGTGCTTCTGGTCGATGGGTTACGGTTGCTGTACTCGCTGTAGCTCTGCGCTACTACAGAACGCAGTACAACTAATAGTCAAGCACGGAGAATCATTGATAGGGAGGTTGAAATTTGTTTCATTCTTGTACTGAATAGAGGTCACTCTGGGCATTGCTTAGGTATAGCAATGAAAATGCTTTCACCAGACTATGCCACTTCTGAACTCTCACCGAGCATGATTGACTAGGTACTCTTTGCTCCACTCTTTTGATATGCCAAGCGGATATTGCTCAAATGCTCCAAATAACTCACCCGAACGAATGAAGAAAGTGCGCGAGGAATTTGAGAAAGAATACTAAACATTAGCTAGAGAGAGAGAGAGCCAATCGACACCAGTGACCTCTACCAAGAATAACTCAAGAGAACATTTGTAGAAAAACCAAACATTTGACGCCGAGATAACGACAGTACTCAGGTCACTTTTCTCCTCGTAGACAGTCTCCTTCAAGCGTGCAAAGCAACTAACCCATAACCGAGATGACAAACAAGTATGCACAGGCCAAATGGTTGCAGTCCTTTCAGTTGACCTCCGATGGTCAGCAGAATAGTCTAACGCTCAACGATCTAACGCGGGCAGGAATGGAACCAGTTGACTCGAGCTTCTGGGGCATCGGAAGAGATGAATGAGGGAAGCATTGCAATATCGATCCTGCGTTGCACTGCCTCACTCGAGGCATGAGCGGACTGAACCAACGGCATCATCAAGCTCCCTGAAGCTCGGAATGGGAGACAGTAGTATGATAGGATAGCATGTCTATCATTTCAATGCTACCTAGTGTAGAAACAAGACTGATCGACAAAAGTGTAGCGTACTACACAACAATATTTCCACACGCCATTCACACCGATATCGATCCATCTTCAAAATTTGGTGCGTTAAAACTCCAGTACAGTTGATCCAAGATGAACTCCGCGGTCGTAACCGATTATCCCATTGAAAGATTGATTGCATGCGAATGATGGCATTAGGAAACGCCAGACATCACTGCCGTAGCAGTGTTGAGATTATGAACACAAGCTTTGCGGAATGCTCGTAGCGGCAGGGGACATGCGCGCCAACGATACTGGTTCATGTGTGCGGCAAATTGCGTCCAGAATCCGCGGGAAGAGGTGGTGGATAGCTTTCTCCTAAAACGAAGGGCGCCTGCTTTTTGGGTATCGATGCGGGAAGGAAGACGAGGAACAACTGCTGCTGCAGAGTATGGAAAGTCGAGTTGAGTTGTGCAAATCGTGATACACGACAGCAGAGAAGCGGCGCTGTGCTGTGCTGTGCTAACTCGCGTTCACACAGGCCGTGATGGCAGCAGACAAGAAGCGCAGCCTCTCGAGGCGTGATTGCGGCCAACCAGAATGTTGGAGGAGGAATGTGATTCTTCTGAGGGATAGTATGGTCTTCAGCCTCAGTTCCCGCCAATGTCAGCCTCAATGCCATCTCCGAAGGCAAAGTTGGCGTCAAATCCGAGGCCTTCATCGCCACCAGTATTGTTCAGGAAGGAATCGAAATCGAAGTTATCGAGTACGTCTCCCGACTCAATGTTGGCGAAGTCCATGAAGTTGTTCTGATCACCTCCCAGATCACCGAAAGGAGCCATGCCCATGTCGGCTGAAGGTTGGCCTGCATTACCCTGCTGCTGATTCTGCTGCTGCGCGGGGTTGGGTTGGCCATTTGGCATACCCTGAACGTTCTTGTTCTGGTTGAAAGAAGCTGCATTGCTGGGGGTAACTGGAGGTGGCGGCGTTGGCGTTGGTGGTGCATTTTCCTCCTTCTTGGCGGCTGCTGGTCCCTGAAAAGATATTAGCAAAGTTTCGCAAGGGCGTTGAAGAGCCACTCGCGGGGCCGAGCCTGATGGTTCATTTTGAATGGCGATGATTGCTTACCTTCTTATTTTCCGCGGCCTTTTTGGCTCCAGGCTTAGCTTTGTTCTGTTGACTTGGTGTCGGTGGCGCTGGCGGCTGGGCCGGACTACTTGGTTGCGTTCCGCCTTGAGCAGCGTTGGCCGGTGCTGGGGGCGGAGGCATGTTCCCTTGGCGAGGTGTCATGTTCGGAGGTTGCCCAGGTGGACCTGGTTGGCCTGGCTGTTGGCCTGGCATCATCTGCCCAGGCGGTGGTTGCGGACCTCCTTGTTGCCAGTTCGCGCCATTCGGCATCATCTGCCCTTGCTGCTGTTGCTGCTGTCGCAACATATCTAGCTGTTGAGCGGTCATTTGTCCACCGGGCATCGGATGTGAGGAAGGTGGTCGCATCATGACTTGACCATTAGGTCCCCTCATCATCTGCGGTTGCATCGCGGGATTGGCTGGGTCTATCATGCCAGGTTGTGGCGAGCCGCGGCCTGTCATGTCACCATTAGGAGACCTGCGCTCTTAAGGTTGGGAATATCACGCTGTATGTCGTGGACATCAGGCGACATTTGGGATGCAAACTTACCTCCATTGGGACCAGGAACACCGGTTGGGTGAGCCATACTATCCTGCTCTTGCCTGGCCATGAGCAACCGCTTCTTATTCTGTTGCTCGAGCAGCATCAATTGCATTTGGTAGTCTTGCAGAGCGTGATTGCCGTTGTTGGCGCCTTGTTGACCGCCACCCATGGCTCCGTTCTGGGGCATGCCCGTACGTGCGTTGTTGGAGTAAAGTTCTCCGTTGGCGTTGAAATTGTCTTGTGTCATGGGACTCGATTGTGCGCCGCCGGGTCCCATTGCGGGATTCTGAGGCATGCCCTTGTTCGCGTTAGAACTGCTTGCTCTTTGCATTGCGCTCTGCATTTGCTGCTGCATCGCCTGCGAATAAACCTCCACAGACTTTGCTTGGACGTTAGTAGGTTGCGCGGACAGTCTCTGGAGTTGCTCTTGCGACATATTGTTGGGATCGAGGTTATGTCGAGCAAGTAACTCGCGAGTTTCTGCGGGAAGGGACATCGGATGGGGTGGGATGCTGGACGAATGACCCACCTGGTTCTGGCCTTGCATTTGTGGTTGCTGACCACTCCGTGCTTGGTTCATTTGTTGCATATTGCCGGCGCCGTCGAGACGTTGTCGCTTGGGCGAGGGTGCGTCACCACCAGTGTTCGGAGAAGCAGATCGTGGGTCGCTCATGTTCATTTGTGAGCCCTGGCGTTCCATCTGGTTGGCGCCTTGCATCTGACCTCCTTGGCGTTGCTGCTGCATCTTCATCTGCTGCGCTGCCATGGCCTGCTGGGTCCTGTTTTGGTTGATCAATAAGACTTTCATGGTCGAAGACGGCGGCAAAGCAATGTAAGCGCACTCACATTCCATTCTTCATGGCCGCCTGCCGCAGATCGCCTCCCATGCCGTTATTCATCATGTTGTATCCTGGTCGCATGCTGTTGGGGTCGACACCGGTCACGAGACCAGCTCGCTGTTTCATCTGTTGCCGTTGCTGTCCGACATAGCTGAGAGTGGTAGGCTTGCCCTTCTGGCGATTACCCGAATGAAGTTCCCAGAACATGCACCACCAGTCTTGGAGGAACGGGCTGTCCTCGCTTGAGAGGGACTGTGGCGCGGGAAGGTCGCTTGGGCGTTGTCGGATGCCATGATGTTCTTTGCTGTCCACGTCCATGCCCGCGTCGACTCCGTTGGCCTGGTTCTGGCGCTGGTTGGGTGATTGCTTGATGGTGGCATCCGCATACTCGATCTGCATCTCCTTGTGGAAGGCGCGCGCCACGTCGTACTTCTCGTTGCAGAGCAGGTAGTCGTAGATGGCGGTATTGAGCTTCTTGTTTATGGCGTCCGGGTTGTAGACGCCCGCGCTGTTCGGCGTGCCGGCGTTGGCGACAGGAGGCCCGCCGACGGGTCCTCCCATGCCGCCCATCTGCATCGGATGCTGATGCTGCTGGCTCATGCTGCAGCTGGAAGGGAATGCGCCGTGTATGGATGTGAATGTAGGTGGTATATGAAGATGGGGTGGATGGTTCAGGTCGCGGTCGCGATAGTGGGGCGGGCGGTGGTTGGAGAGCGTGACCGTCGCAGACCTCCGCTACCAAGCTACCAAGCCGCAGCGGCGTGTGTCGCGCGCCGACGTCGAGCTGGCCCAGAGGACTCGGTGAGACTCGACGGCCTATTGGTGTTGGGCTGTGTGCGGGCTGCCGCGAAGGCCGGATGCGTGAAGGAGATGTGGTAGTCAGGTACGTGAAGTGAGTTCACGTCCTGATGAGGCTGGGTCGTGGTTCGGTCGGGGTTTGGGCGAGGGCGAGGGCGCTCTGTCGACGTGCGAAAGGCGCGCACCCTCGTTGTCGTTCTGGCCGACTCAATGCGCACCTGCGCTGGTGTCGTCGACGTCGGCGGTGGTGGTCGGCGGGCTGGAGAAATAATGTGCGTTGCCGGGCGTGTTGGTGGCAGCCATGCAGCTCGCGACGAAGATCACAGGGTGCGGGTGCTGGGCGAAGGAGCAGCACGCCGGAGAGCTGGTGTGTGGTCTGTGTCTGTGTCGGCCAGGCCACTCGCGCTGCAAAGTGGTGGGATCCTCGCCTTGCCGCGCGCGCGTCTGTCGCCAATGCAAATACACGCGATACACTGCACTGCACGGCACGGCACGATTCAGGCCGCCGTTACGAATCTGCACGTTGGTAGAAATCAGATGCAAGAACGCAGAGAAGGGCGAGGGCGAGTGCGAGTTGGGTGCTCTTCGCAAAATGCGACGAGCACAGAGGAGGCGGCGGCGGCGGCGGCCCAATCATGCTGCTCTCCCTACACCAGGCAAGCTTCCAGAAGCTGTGAAATTCTGAACACACCCACACCTCACGTCCTCATCAGCCTGAACAACACGCATGTGCAATACCGTACATTCACAAATGTCTGTTGCCTCTTCTACTTGGTCGTGCTCTCGAAGCTCCCTCACTGCCTTCTTTCAACCTTCTCCACCAATTTAGGACATGTGTTGGCTCTTTCTTGGCGACCTGGTATCAGCACATCGCTCGATTGTGCTCTCGGAGAGTTACTTGATAGGCTCGTGCTTCCCGACTGCCGACCATCTCCTGCCGAATGACAGGGGGAAACCCGATCGGACAATTCGCTTCAACACTGATGAGAAACAATTAGAGGCATCTACATGCTCTGGTGTACATGAGAAGTAGCTTCAAGAGCTTCGCCAGCCAAAGTCAAGTACAGATGAAGGGAGGCGAAATCGAGATGAGATCAGATGCCATGATTTCTGTCAACACGTGAGTTCGGGAAGTGGGTGCATGTGAAGCAGAGAGAAGGTCTCACAGAGCAAAATGCTCCGAGCGGTGAGCTTGACAGCGCACCCAGCGGAGTGTGGTGTTCTCGACTCTTGCTATTTGAGTAGATGCGCATCCAAGCGTGGCTCTGTCAATTCTGAAGGCCCGTGGGCGCTGACTGCATGCTATACCACCCGGCACATGTGTCTGTATGCCACATGCCCATATTTGCGAATGTCGCGATTATTCCTTGCCCTAGCACGACGCAGTAAGGACGGCGCTCTGTATACGGATCTTTGGGCTTTCAAGGTCCGAGGAGCATGGCCGCGAATAATGCTCGAGACTGCATCTTACAGGATGCAGAACTGCTCGAGATAGGAGGACAAGTGCTTCTGCGCATGCTCACTCATCATCTGGTGGCATTTCATCTTCAATATAACGTATCAGTGATACGCGCATTTCAGTCGTGTCGTTGCCGCGCAACACATCACTTATAAAGTGTGCTTCGACCTGCATCTGGACCTGACGAGGCTGTTAGCACGGCACCGTTGGGAAACTGACCAGCAGCCAACCCACCATTTCAAGGGCGCCTCGAATGACCCCACATAGTATATTGCTATACCATAATTCGTCCTGTGCTCTCCCATCATCGGGAAGCTCCACAAAGTCCGCCAAAGGGTTCTCCTCAAATACCAGATTGAAAGCTTTATTGTCCTGACTCCAATTCGTGACCGTCGGTGTAATGTTCATGAAGATCTTAAATCCGACCTTCGATATGATCTCTGCTGTTTCTCTGAAGTTGGAGCAGGAACCTGTGTTCGACTTGGCCAGGAAATCTTCTACCAAACGCAAGCCCATGTTGTAGCCCATTCGATCGAGCTCGTGGTTGACGGCAGCGTAATCGGTCTTTTGGGCAGTATTGGCGACAGTCAGATCGCGGCATAGCTGGGCGACAATCGTTCCGTAGGTCAGGGTCACTACTTCGGCGTTGATCTTTTCGACTCGAGTCCTGAGTGCGCGTCAGCTATGCTATACTGAGTGGCGGAGAGGTGCTCGCGACTTACTTCCACACTCTGCATCATGTTAGCCGTTGTATTTGGTAGTGAAGTTCATCCTCGCAACGCTCACTCTTCGCCCAGGCGGGCTGCCTTTGATGTCATGCTTGCGACTTCACGAGCGCGTCTTGCTTACAGCCACGACAGCAGGCGACTTCACCGCATCCTTCAGTGTCCGGTCTGTACTGGTGTATGCGATCCAACGGCGACTGTGTTCGAGTGGTCTGAAGTCCAAATAAGGTAGATGTGTAGTTTCATAGTCTTGTGTGGAGAGTTGACCCTGCCCCACAAGACCCAGCACTTCGATTTTTTGCATGTGAGCAACATTGACAAAGACTTTGGCATTCGAACGTCCTGCTCATTCGATAGCGCAATCTGCAGAACAGCCCACGCAGACATCATGTCTGGCGAGAAAAGAGCAGCGGATCAGTCCTTCGGCAGTACGCAGCTGGTGAAGAGACAGAGATCCAATGGCAACATTAACGGAGGTGCGCTCATACAGGCAAATGGCGCAGGCACGGTGGTGAGTCTATCCTGTGCTAGTCTCTGCATTCCACATACCGAGGGCTGAACCAGAAGGTCAAGGATAGCGACTGATCTGGATGTATGAGTAGGGATTCAGCGCGCAAGGCTTGCAAGCGCCTGTCATGGAGCTGAGCGGCCATTCTGGCGAGGTCTTCTGCGCACGCTTCGACCGGTCGGGACAGTATATCGCATCTGGCAGCATGGACCGTAACGTCCTCCTTTGGCGTACCTCAGGCGAATGCGACAACTATGGGGTTCTGTCAGGCCACAAGTCTGCGATACTGGATCTGCACTGGTCAAGAGACAGTCAAGTGGTCTACACGGCCTCAGCAGACAAGACTGTGGCCTCTTTCAACATCGAGACTGGCGAGCGGATACGAAGGCACGTTGGACACGACGAAGTGATCAACTGCTTAGATGTGTCAAAAAGAGGCGAGGAATTCTTGGTGTCAGGAAGCGACGATGGAAGCATATCAATCTGGGACCCTCGACGTAAAGAGGCGTTGGACTACATTCAGACAGACTTTCCCATCACCGCTATTTCTCTGGGCGAGGCCGGCAACGAGCTCTTCAGTGGTGGCATCGACAACGAGATCAAGGTCTGGGATTTGAGAATGAAGAAGGTCCAGTATACGCTCAACGGTCACACGGACACGATCACCAGCCTAGAGATCTCGCCAGACACGCAATCGCTCCTGTCTAACTCGCATGACTCCACGGTGCGTACATGGGATGTCAGGCCTTTCGCGCCTACGGATCGAGCGATCAAGACCTTGGATGGAGCACAAGTTGGCCTAGAAAAGAACCTCATTCGATCTTGCTGGGATAGTGAAGGCAAGCGTGTTGCTGCTGGAGGTGGTGACGGAACTGTTACGATATGGAACAGCAAAGATGGTCGGATGCTGCACAAGTTGCCTGGACACAAGGGCACTGTCAACGACGTCCGGATTTCCCCTGATGGCTCCATGATCCTGTCTGCCAGCACAGATCGTACTATGCTTCTTGGGGAGCTTCCACGATAAAAGTGTGCCGCCTTGTATTCGAAACTCTTCACCTTCTGAAACGCCAAGGTACCGATGCTTGTTTGTCCTGTGAGTCACCTCGAAGCCCGAAGAGACCACGTCCCGACTCCATGCAGTTCAAGTACCCCAAGCACACTTCGGCGAGGATGATTAGTCGAAAAGAATCAGGCCGGACTATGGATTGCGCTACCCCTATGATGGCTCCTGCATCTGCATCTGCGTCCGCTCAACTCATCATAGTATGCATTGAGCATAGCAATTTGCAGCACAAGGCATCGAAGGTCAGCACGTGTGAAGAAGGCTCTCTATGCGTTCAGGAGAAATTCCAAAGAAGGTCACAAGCGCAGCATGTGAGCGATCACCATTTCGCCACAACACCCTCATACAAATGCAGCTCGACGGTGAAGCAGGGACGAACCTAGCTATATCTCACCTGTCGTTCTCCAAAAGTGCCGTGCTTCACCATGTCTGGATGCCGAAAGCTGCGCCACTTGCATGGTGGAAGTAACCTCATCTGAGACAAGCACCTCAAAACAACTAGTTTAACCAGAATGTCATTGGACGTTTCAGCCCAAAGAACACCATCTTGAACTGCATGCTGCAGTACAAACTACAACCTGCTCTGAAAGCTTGATTGGCCACCGTTCCCTGCCCTCCATCCCGCCCGCTTCGCGCGTTTCGGCGCGCTTCACACCCTCTTCAACAACCACAACGCAACCCAGAAACCCAAAAATCTGAAACATGTTCTATCAAAACATTCAAACGCCTGGTTCTTACGATGTGAGAATCAGGCTTGGGCCTTCTACTGCTATGTTTGACAAGGAAGATGAACTGGCGCCTCCCCTCGCTGAAAAGCCGCAACCTAGGCGTACCTTGCGAAACGCTGGAGACTCGGTGTAACGTGCTCGTCTGCTGATATAAGATCTTCGAGGAAGTGATTGGATCGCATGGAGTAAGGTGTGCCCGCATGGCCGCAAAGCTGGCCGCTTCATTGTACTTGGGTGGCGATTAGATGTACGAGAGATCACGTATGCACGTATGCACGGGCTGTAAGTAGAGGCTTCGGGTCTTTGGGGAATGTTTATTATTTTATTCTTGAGATGAGGGTTTGGTGCCTTGCAGAATAGGAGAGCTGGTTTTCTCCTTCACATCTTCGCTTCATCTGTTGTTGTTCTGTACAGTTGAGAATATACTGGTTTCTGCTTGTGACTACCTACCACTGTTGGGCTTCGTATTTGGAGAACCGGAAAGATGCAACACTTTGGTACAACGATGGCGACTTCTCCTCTGCCTGATTCTACAGCTTTAGAAGCTGGCATCATCGAAGATGAAAGACCATCGCGTCTGTCACGCGTTCAGGATAATGTCAGGAACCTTCTCCGAACATCTGTGTTTGGATCTGTTGTCAGCTCTCCAACATCACCTTCTCGTCCTCGACAACCACAGTCACCGGCGCATCTCCAAACACATCCAATGCAGAACCCTCTCCGATCACACCCGCCTTCGCCTATCGTCAATCAACGCGCCAGGCCAGAAGTGCTCCCGAGCCCAACAGAGTCCACCAGCTCCTCAGAACGCCAGAGCTCAGAGCAAGCACGACGGCCACCTGGCAGCTACTATCAGAACATCCAACGTATGGCACATCAGTCAGCCGTGTTCAACTCTCGAGCAGTGGCGGCACTCAATCATCCCGACCTGAGCGACCCATCTCTGACAGATCTTTCCCAGCAGAAGACCAAGCGACGGCAACATCGTGGGTGGGCGAGGAGTCGAACAGGGTCTGGCTCGCGAAGTGTGCATGGCAAGCGAACGGTGATGGTGAAGCGAGCTGCGGGATCCCAGGGCTTGCTATTGACTTTGGCATCGGTGTTGTTGGCAGCGCTGGTAGCGACTTGTGAGTGATGGAGTCATGGAATGCTGGACCGGAGCTGACTTAGTTGTAGATGTCTCGCTTGCGACGAGTGTACAGGGCGTGACAACCACCTTTCACGTCCTCTTCATTCTTGGCATCTTGCTGGCGACGATCGTATTCTCCCACGCACTGATTCGCTTCTTCCTGACGAGCAGACGCCGTTCTCGGAATTTGCCAACTTTCGTTAGAGTTACTCGACATGGCCATCACAGACAACGTCACCACGGTCCACGTCATCAGCACAGTCGACAGATGCCAACTCTCGCAGGCGAGACAGAGGCCTTCGTGCCGTCAGCACCGATCCAGGTCCTTGTTCCAGGAGAAGAGATCCAAACAACAAACAATAATAATAATTCAGCCTCTGCCCCGCAAATACCCCATGACTGGGAGAAGCCGGTCCAAACAGTAAAGAATCCTCCTCCGGCATATGGTCGCTGGCGAGATAGTGTTCGAGCCAATCCAGATCTGCTTCACTGGCAAATGATTCCTTCTCCCGTCATGCCCGGCACACCCGCACAGCCTTCACCAACGTACGAGGAAGCAATGTCAGAAGCCATGGCAGCGGCACAGAGCCATGCAGGGAGTCATCCTCCATCATACATGACGAGAGATAGCCCAGCAAGGAGGAGAGAAATGCTGGAGGCGCGAGCTGGTCTCGCGCGATCGCAGGCGGTTGAGCCAGAGACGGAGCCAGAGATGTTCGAGATTGGCCCTCTGAACAGCGCTGCGTCAAGCGGCACTGGTCGTAGTGTCGGGCTGGCCATGTGAGGTCGAGCATAGAAATGCATAATTAGATTTCGAAGGGCGGGCCATGCATGATCATCATCGATCTCGTCGCCGTGCGCAGTAATTCATTTCTTCTGCTCGATATGTCGGCCCTTCGTGTCTCGTCCTTCAGTGCTGGGCACTCTTGCATCTTTATCCCACCACTGCCTCCAAAACTTCTCATCCTCCTTCCTCTTCGCCTCCTTCGCCTCCCTCTCCTCTTTTCTCTTGTCGATCGTGGCAAACCATTCTTCTCGCGCAGCATCCTGTTCGGCTTGCGTGGCGTACTGCATCATGCAGTTGTTCATGAGTTTCTGCTGTTTTCGACACATGAAGGTGGCGGTGAAAGGTTGTGATTGGCAGCATGATGCGAAGTCTGCGTAAGTGAAAGGTGAGATGGCGAAGTTGATTTTTAGCACCATCGGATGGATGCATACCTCTGACTTCATCGGCGCACTTGGTGCGCACTCTTTTGTAGTAGAGCTCTCTTACTTGAGCTTCCTGCGAGGCGGAGAGCGGCAGAGGTGATCTAGAAGGATTGGGGACGATAGGCTGAGCAGTCTGCGAGGGTGCCATCACTGTTGCCATACCACGAAGTAAACGAATGTGTGGGTAAGCCGTTGATGAAGGTGATGAATGAATAATGCAGCAAGTCGTGAACTTCGAGAATCGAGATTCACGCTGCAGTCAATGCTTCGCGCCTTGCCGAAAGCTTGAGCTTACACCTGCACTTGCACTTGTTGCGCCATGTTTGACCATCATCAGACATCAGAAAGCACTGCTTCAGCTTCAGGAAAAGGCCACGGAACTCGAGGACGTTGCTGCTATCGACATGTATTTGGCAATTGACAGCTAGCTGGGCCTTTAGCTCTAATCCTCCACACCTTCTATCAAGATCTTAATTCCTCTGGCTGCCTTGGTCTCTCCAAATGCCTGCTCTGCTTCGTTGAACTTGAATCGACCAGTGATCAGCTTCTTCACATCTATCCGTCCCGTGCTAATGAACTCGAGAGCAAGAGCATAGTCGCCGCTCGAGTATCGGAAGCTGCCTTTCACGTTCAGCTCTTTCGAGCACATAGCTCCGATGGGAAACTGAATGTCCGCCTTGCCCATTCCACTGCACTCGTGTTAGCAAGCAGATCAGAGAGCGCCTTCGTCTGACAACTCACCCCTGGACATAGGTACCGCCAACTCTCAGCACATGTATGGAAGTGTTGATAGCCGGTTCGGCACCAGAAGCGTCAATCACGATATCTGCACCCGCTCCAAGATCGCAGTCCCTATTGATCCTTGCTGCACCATCCTGAGCCGACTCTCTCTGGGACACGACGCCGTGAGTAGCCGCATAGCCCTTGGCGAACTCCAACCGCTCTGCATTGATGTCCACAGCAACAATCTTGCTTGCTCCAAATGCTCTTGCGACTGCCATACACAGCAGCCCAATCGGACCAGCGCCAAAGACCACAATGCTGACGCCTGGAGACACTTGGGCTTGCCGACAGATATGCACACCCACGCTCAAAGGTTCCAGCAACGCGCCTTCTTCCAACGAAATTTGCTCTGGCAGCTTGTAGCAGAAATCCTCTGGCAGAGAGTAATACTTCGCCAGCGTTCCATCGAATGGAGGCGTCGCCGCAAACGCCATTTCTGGACAGAGATTGTACCTCCCGCTCTTGCAGTTCACGCATCTCCTGCACGGGATGCCAGGCTCCATGGCGACTCGATCTCCCTTTTTGAGCGTCTTGACGCCATCTCCTATCTCAGTCACGATGCCAGAGGACTCATGTCCCAGCACCATAGGCGACTTGACAATGAAATGGCCAATTGCTCCATGAACCCAATAGTGGACATCCGAACCGCAAATTCCAGTGTACTTGACATTGACAATTACGTCGTATGGGCTCTTCAGCTTCGGGACCGGTCTGTCTTCGTACTTGACACTTCCGGCTTTTTCAAGCACGAAAGATAAGTTCTACATCGCAAACAGCGTTAGCGAATTCCAATGCAATCGACCTTGATGGTTCACGGAGCTGGCCGGCGGCGCGCAGAGCATGCAGCTCACCTCTTGTCCCATTTCGGTCGGCGACTTCGTCTCCGAAAGTAAAGAACAGTGTAGTTGTCCCGATGGAAGCAGTGGAATCTCAATATACCTACTATTTTTGTTGATACCAACAGCCGCAGAATTTGGGAAGCCTACATCGTGTTGAGTTCCATCCGAAGCCGACATGTGGACGTGACGGTCTGACGAACCGCCGCAAAAATGCCAGCGGAAGAATCGACGGCTAAATGCCCACAGCCACTGCAGTGAGTCACTGTGCGTGGAGTGGCTCGGCTCGTGGAGTTTGGTGAGGATTGCCCGGGTCACGTGTTGATATCTCGTCCTCGTCCTCTTGGCAAACCTCGAACTTACGGAAGCTCGTCGGAGAACTGCTTGCTTCTTCAACATCTGATGGAAATGTCTACCCACGCACGCACATACACTCTCCCTTGCCAAGTGCATCTAGCCTTGTCGATATGCAAGCCTAAGCGTGTCTGCCGTGCTTCAAGAACACTGCAGAGATCTCCTGATGACTTATACTGTAGGTCTCTTCAATTGGCCCTCCCGGGTTCAAAGATAAGGACTTCCGCTGCTTTCTCGGAATCTCCATTCCCCAACCTACATCCACGTGGAAGTCCTGATAAGTCGACCATTTCACCTCTTATCGCAGACACATCCCATCGAATCACACCAATATCGAAAGTTCTGAAGCCTTCAGTACTGCTGGACGCACAGTCAAATCTGGACTGGTTTCCTCCGCTGTTGTGTCCTCTTGGGCCTGGGCAGCAACACTCCTCCAGTCGTCCGCGATCGCATACAAGTATGGTGTCTCTGGTCCCTTCTGGTATGCTTCTGGAGCGACTGTTCAGATCATCCTCTTTGCGACTCTTGCGATTGAATTGAAGCGCAAAGCCCCGAATGCCCACACTTTCTTGGAAGCCATCCGTGCCAGATATGGACCCGTCACACATGGAGTCTATATCGTTTTTGGTTTGATGACGAACATTCTGGTCACGGCTATGCTTCTCACTGGCGGCTCAGCAGTTGCGACATCGCTGTGTGGAGTGCCTACTGCGGCAGCCTGTTTCCTGCTGTCGGTGGGTGTGGTGCTTTACACCATGTTCGGCGGCATCAAGGCAACTTTCTTGACAGATTATGTACACACTGTGGTCATCTTGATCATCATCCTGACCTTTGCATTTACTGCTTATGCAACGGGGCAACAGCTGGGGAGCCCAGGAGCTGTGTATGATGCATTGATGGCAGCGACAGAGCGACATCCAGTGGAGGGTAATGCCGGTGGTAGCTATCTGACCATGAGATCGAAGGAGGGGGCGATTTTCTTCGTGTAAGCTTGACTCTCACCTGTACTACTAGGCTATGCTGACGATGGCGAGGATTAATATTGTGGGTAACTTCGGAACTACCACGACATCGCCGCTGCCGCTCACGTCGACCTGGAAATTCTTCCTGGCGAGCGCAGCAACTCCGTCGATGAAGACGCCAAAGAACAAGCTCAGCTCCAGCGCTCAGCCAAGATTGCCCGCTACATGACCGTTTTCATGACTTTGGCATTACTGGTCCTCTGGCCAATGCCCATGTACGGCTCCGGCTACATCTTCAGCAAGAAATTCTTCACAGGCTGGGTCGTGGTTGGAATTCTGTGGCTTTTCTGCTCCGGCTTCTGTGTAGGACTCTATCCGCTATGGGAGGGCCGCAAGACAAGTTTGAGGACTGTGAAGCTTATCTTCAAGGATGTCACTGGACAAGGCAGACCTATTCCTACGCATGGTAGACCGAGGATGACTGAGGATGATGTTTCTGAGGAGCAGCATGAGAAGAAGACTTCTACGCCTCCAGAGGTTGAGATTGCTCATTAGATAGATGTTGGAGTTTCCGTTGATGAATCGTGAATGTATGTAGGACGCTCGCTGGGAGAGATCAAGTGAAGTGAGAAGAGCCATTTTGGCTGGTGTATTGGATGACTCTCCAGACTCTGGCGTGTAACTTGGTGTCCAAATCGAATAATATGTCGAGTGTCTTCCAATCTTGCAGCGACTTTCAGCAATGCTCAAGGAGAAAGGATGTATTGAAGAAGCGGAGTGAGGTCCGGTGGCTGCGGAAGGAACTCCTGTACCAGTCCAGTACCAGCATCTGTCATTCAGACTCATTCTTCAACACGACACCCACAGATACGAACATTGAACATGGATAATATGACATGCAAGACAAATTAGCGAAGCAATGCTCTTCCAATCAATACCATCGGCTGCAGCTACGTCCTGGTACATACCCGGCGTCCAAATGCCAAACCTCATCGTGACGTCGAGAACGATCATTCTTTGACAGTCGCCCTTGGTGTCACTTATGCTACGCGAGGCATGGATGACTTCAGACAGCATCAACAGCCTGAATAATATGGCCACGGCTAAGTAACGTTTCTCTCTCGCCTCTCCTTCTTTCACGCAACTCTGCTGAATAGCGAAAATGGCTCTCTCACAAGCAGCATACAAAGCGGAACAAGCACTTGGCCATGGCGATAATGCCACCACAGCCCAAGATGTCACGAACCCGGCTCTCGACAAGGAACGGTACGCAGACACTGGCGTGACCATGAAAGCGCTTGCCTGGATGGGTAAGAACAAAGTCGAAATCGTGGATGCACCGAAGCCAAAGATCATTGAAGCAAGAGATGTCATACTGAAGATTACTGGAAGCACGGTGTGCGGATCCGATCTCCATCTGCTTCACGGCAGTGTTGTCGAGCTTCAAAAGGGAGACATTTTGGGGCACGAGTTCTGTGGGATTGTGGATGAGATGGGATCGGCTGTGAAGGGACTGAAGAAGGGTGATCGTGTGGTGGCCTCCTTCCAAATTGCCTGCGGAGACTGCTTCTATTGCCAGAAGAAGTGGTCGTCACAATGCGAAAAGACGAATGAGAATACACTCGAGAATGCTATGTATGGCGGAAGGACTGCTGGTATGTTTGGCTACAGCCATTTCACTGGGGGCTTTGCTGGTGGTCAGGCCGAATACACGAGAGTGCCGTATGGAGACGTCAATTTGCTCAAGCTGCCCGACGATGTGCCCGACGAGAAAGGGCTCTATCTTTCAGATGTGCTCGCGACGAGCTGGAACTGTGTGGTGGATACTGGTGTCAAAGAGGGTGATGTCGTTGCTATTTGGGGTGCTGGACCTATCGGCCAAATGGCAGCAGACTTTGCTTTCCTCCATGGTGCTAGCCGAGTGATTGTCATCGACTGCAACTGGCGACTGGAGTACGTGAAGCAGAAATATCCAAGAGTGGAGACTGTCGATTTCACGCAGCTTTCGGGCACAAAGGCTGTCGTTACGAAGCTCAAAGAGATGGCTGATGGTCGAGGACCAGATGTCGCGCTTGAGTGTGCTGCTGGCGAGTACCCGAAAGGCTGGTTCCACACGATCCAGATTGCGGCCGGTCTCGAGACTGACACGAGTGAGATGTTGAACGAGATGATCGAGAGCGTGCGAAACTTCGGTCGTGTTGGCATCACTGGCGTGTATGTCGGCTACACCAACAACTTCAACATCGGCTCTCTGATGGAACGTGGCATCCGGCTTATTGGCAATGGCCAAGCGCCAGTCCATCTGTACTGGGAAGACCTACTCAAGCGCATTCAAAAGGGCGAGATCGATCCCTTGAAGATGGTCACACATCGCGTGCGGATGGAGGATCTTGACCAGGTTTACTACAAGTTTGAGAAGAAGGAAGATGGAATGCAAAAGGTCTTTGTCGAGACGAGGTTTTCGCAAGCAGCTTGCGAAGGCAGCCCGGCTCTTACGAAGTACTAGTCTCGACCTATGCAGTCTGTCTGATACCAATATTCGAATATAAATTGCTAGTCAGTGACAAAACATTAGAAGGGTTGCGCACCGCGGACGGCCTGTTCTCGTAACGTACGCACTATACGCTCTACCCTTAATCGGGTCGCTAAGATAGCTATATAGAGCCTAGTATAGCATATATTTCCGTCTCTTCCGCGCGTATAGGTTCTCGTATCTATATCGCGTTCTCGGTCGCGTTTCTCGCGTTCTTAGTGCGCTCTCGTCGCCGTAATAGATTCTAATAATAAGGATATCTTATTAGTAAGCCTAGCGGCAGTAATTATACTAAGAAGCGGTCGGAAGGTACGAAAGTAGCTATATCGCGAGCCTATCGATATTAGTATTAATAGCAAAGTTAACGATTAGTAGTTTAATAGAATAACTAACCGCTAGGCTAAGCGCTTCCTTAGGTACGTCGTTTGTAATAGTTGTTAGCGATAGCAATATTAATATAGAAGTTTAAGTTATTGCTAGAAGATTAGTCGACCTTACTATTACTAAGCTTAGCTAATTATAGTGCCTTAGGTTTAATAAGGAAGAGATCGTATATCTTACTAAGATACTTTATATCTACGATATTAAATAGCCTAACCGGTATATTTGCGAGCCTATATAGGCACTATATCTTACGCTATATCGACTTGCCTATCCGACTTCTTAGGCGTATATTAGACTTACGTTTAGTCGTAAACTATACTATCTATCGTAGATCTTCGGTATAGTAATCGAATATATTCGAGACTAATTTAGCGATTATATAGTATAGTACCTACGCCTTCGACGCTATTATATCGTACGTAACTTCGTACGCGCTATAAAGCGAGCTAGACAGAAAGGCAACTTCTAGGGATTTATTAATAGCACGTTTAGAGATACTATAAGACCTAGGCTATTGCTAGAGTGCTTTAATAAACAACGACCTCTATATTCCGGCTATAAGAAGAAATACGGCTTTAAATTCTAAGGAATAATAATACCTAATAGTATGCTATTGTTACTAATTAGACTATACCTAGGTAAGGAGAATAATTAGGATATTTACTAACAATCTTATATACCTAACCGGATACGAAGAATGCTATTAAAGCGTATAAGAACTAGCGGCAAACGACGATATCTCTATCTCTACGGTAATCTAGTATACTACTATTCTTATAGCGTTGTTTATCTATAGCTACGAGGCGTTAGGGTAAAGAAATTGCCTCCTTTAAAGCGCAAGTTTAATAAGTATATATCTAGGGTACGAATAGAGGTAGAGTATAGTTTTAGTAAGACAATCCGACTATTCGTATATTAGGTACTTAAGAAGGAGCAATATATTAGCAATTAACCTATCGCGGCTTATTATATAACGGCGATATTGCTTACAAACCTATATACTAGCCTACGAGGTAGCAATTAAACGAATATTCGATTTAAGACAAACCTACCCTCTATAGCTAAACTGCTATACCCCTACGGCGATAAACCTCTATACGTCTAACCTATCTATCGCTATATAAATCCTATACTAAACGATAACCGTAGTATAGTCTCGCGTACTATAGAGGTTAGCGTAGATTTAGAAATAGAGGAATAGGTAGAATTCTCGGAGGTCCGGCCGCCTCCACGGACCTCCGCGGAGGTAAAAGCTTACTTAGTCGAAATGTATATATAAGCTAAGCCGAGACCTTTAACTATATATTTCACTATAATACAATATCCGTACCTATATAAAACTATATATACGCTTCTTCGTCTATATTATAGCTATAATATATTTTTTACGCGACTTTATCGGATAAAAATTAACTATTTAATAGCTATATACGCTATACTCGGAAAATACGATACTATTACGCTTAAGCTAACCTAAACCCCGCCTCCGGATTAGCTATAAATTCAGCTATTTTATTAGTATTAAACTCTTAATCCGGCTACGTAGGCGCTCTATCTATAAACGCAGTACTTCCTATACTACTTAGAGCCGGACTACTAGTATTCTATAGTAGTAGACGGCTTATAATAGTAGATAGTATACTCTAGATATCGATAAGTTACTCTTTAAGCTTCTTTACCTCGTTTCTCGTCTCTTCGCTGCTATTACTACGCCTCCGCTTTCTCTTACTTATTATATAGTCCGCGATCTTAGCTAGTATCTCCTCTACGGAAAGTACCTTCTTCTCCTTCCGCTTCGCTTTTTTACCCGATTTACTAGGCGTCTTCTTCCTTCTTAGAGGAGCTAGTATCTCTATAGGAGTGCTAGAAGCTATTACCTACGGTATAGGTAAAGAACCTAAAGGAGTTAGAAGCTAACTATCGTCTAGTAAGTTAGTATTAGGGTATACGGCCTTAGAAGGGTCTTCTTTATCTCTATCTTTATTACTACTATATTCTTCTTCCGAAGAATCCTTATATTTATTAGTATCGCTAGTATTACTACCGCTACTATAATTCTTAATCTCCGGATCCGGCGTCGCTTACTTCTTACTACGCTTCTTCTTCGACTTCGGCCTTAAGAGGTTACGTCTTCTACGCTATACCTCTATAGCTTCTTTATCCTTCTTTACCTACTTATCTACCTTATCTTTACTCTTCTTTTTATACTCCTTTATCGCTTTAAGAATAGCCTTTATATAGGTATTAAACTCGTCGTTAAATTTAGTACTAGAGTCTATATAAGTGCCGCCCTACGTAGGATTACTCTACTATAGATAGACCGTAACTATACGGTCCTACGGCTTCTTTATAGTACTATAGCGGCGACGAGTCTCTATTATAAAGTCGTACCTAATATTTCGCTAGAAGCCTTCTTTACCCTATTTCTTAATATTCTTATATACTAGCTTGCTTAGTATAACCTGTTTACCGTAGGTTATACCCTTCTAATCTACCTACGTTATAGTATCGTCTTTATCTTCTATTTCCGTACGGCTAAGAGCCTCTCCGATAGAAGCGGCTCGTTTATTTAATACTCGAGACTCTCGTATAGACTAACTTTTATATATAGGCTTCTTCGGAGGCGGTATTTATTAGCCGCGGAGGTAAGCTAGTTGCTACGTAACTACGTCCGGTATCTTAGTACGTTCTCGAGAAGGAATAGGCGTCTATAAGGGCTCTCGTACTACTAGAAACATACTGTTATTAATAATAAAGTAGTTAACAAAGCTAACTAGTTATATAGATTAAGCGCGTATACTATTAAAACCTAGCGCCGAAGAGGCTATCGGTAACTATAAAAGAGCTACCGTATTAACTAATTAAGAGTAACTATTATTAATCGGCTAGAAGCCTTAATTAAACGACATTAAGGATATTCTACTATTAAGAAAGTGCTATAGAAAGTGCTATTAAAGCAATACGCGTACCGCGTAGAAAGCGTAAGGTTAAAGCTAGCGGCTTCTTCTATAAGCTATACCTTATTTACTTACTATTAGGGCTAAAGAGGCTACACGTAATTAGTATATAACTAGGCTAAGTAAAGCTAGGGTCTTAGTGCCTTAGGTAGGGCTTAGCGCTTAGCGTTAGGCTAACTAGCTAGCCTTCCTCCTTCTCCTCCTAGACCTCTATCGAATACTACTTGTACCTACTACTACCCTATCTACCTGCTAATATAATCCTTCTTATATAGTATTCGATCTACCCTTTAAGGGCAGTAGCTAGATAGTCCTTATTTTAAGCTTTTAGCGGTATAGCTACGAAAACTATCGATTTAACTATATTACGCTCGAAGAACGGGACCTATACGTACTATTCTACTAAAACAACCGTACCAATTATTAAGCAAGGCCTTCTATACGGCCTATTATACTAAGTTAAGTATATTAGACCGATACCTACTAATTCCGCTATATCCGTACCGTAAGAGGTTATAATATATTATTAGTCCTACCCCTTATTATAATAGCCGGCTTATTACGAAGCAATAACAACCGCGGCGCCGCTAGCAGCGCTAGCAATAACAATACTAGTAGCATAGTACCTACTAAAGTGCCTACTAAAGCACCTGCTAAAGAGCCTACTACTAGGCCTACCGAAGAACCTATAGTTCTAGGTAACGACCTAGAGTTGCCTATTAACGATATACTTAATAATATTGTTAATCGACGATATAGCTAACTAGCCTTTAGCCCCTAGCTAGTAGCGAGACTTTAAGAAGCTACCTAAAACAGGCTCGCTACTTTACGCTAAGAATAATAGCTAAAGGATAACCTCCTCGAGCTTCGCCGCCTTTAGGAAGCTCCGACAACTACTACTAAACTAATAGTAGGACCTTCCTCGCTATTAGCCTAGAAGAAGGACGCTAAGCTTAAGGACTATACCGTATTTAACGGCTCTAGCCGCAAGTAGTATAATAATTATATACGCGATTATAAGCTTAACTAACGAAATGCACTAAGGGCTCTTCTAGACGACTATTTATTAGTTATCTACGCTATATAGTATATTAATAGCGACCTAAAACGTACCTAGGATAACCACTTTAACTCCCTTAATAACTAGACCGCTATTTAGTAGCAAACTTATAAAACTATTATACTAGACACCCTTAGAAACCCTATACTAAGGCAATAATATACTTAGGACTAGTACCTTCGAGCTAAGTAAAAGACTAATCAATCGGCCCGCTTATTCGAGGCCTATTTAAAAACCCTTAAAGACGACCTTCCGCCTAAGACTAATTCTATATAGATCTCCGAGATACGCCTAAAACTTAGATAGGAGCTTATCCTCGAATTGGACCGTCGCCGTATATTCGAATAGGCTAACCTAATATATATCTGATTTGTAGTCGAGGTAGAAATAGCTAAACGAGCTGTCTAGCTCTAGTAATAACTAGAATTAAGGATCCGACTAGCTAGTACTAACCGTAGCAACCGTAGCTACGGAGGAAACTAAGGTTCCTGCTGAAACAATAGTGCTAGTAGTGGGAATGGTAACAATAGCCGTAGAGGAGGCCGTAGCCGTCGACTATATAGAGGAGGCCGCGATTAGACCCCGCAGTAGTTCGGTTTAGTTTAGTTTAGTTTGCTAAGCCGAAGATC